GTGCAGGTGATGGAGACGAGTTCGAGGGTGCTTGGGGCGGAACATCCCTCCACGCTGACCAGTATGGCTAACCTGGCGTCGACATACTGGAATCAAGGTCGATGGAAAGAGGCGGAAGGGCTGGAGGTGCAGGTGATGGAGACGAGTTCGAGGGTGCTTGGGGCGGAACATCCCTCCACGCTGACCAGTATGAGCAGTCTAGCCTATACATTGAAAGACCTAAATCGTGGCGAGGAAGCCATAGAGTTGATGACTTCCTGCCACGAACTGATGATAAAGGTACTCGGTCCTTCAGATCATCGCACTCGAGGCGTACTTAAGACTTTGATGACATGGTCAGGAGCTGGGGATAATATGAGTTATCGAGGGCTGAGTGTTAACCGTATACCTGGAGCCTGGGTTGATTGAGGGCCCCGGAGTGAAGGAAACGAAACGAAACGAACTGCAATCTGATCTGTTACGTAAGTCGTTTCGTGACCTCTTATGATCTTTCTTCGCTGGTATAGTGCGGTAATGATGCTTTACGACAGTGTCATGATACGTACTTCATTCCGTTACATCTTTTGATTGCTGTAGTGTTGCGCAATTCTAATCACTGAAACCCGTATGCCGTAATATATCCTTCACGATTAGCTAAACCAACTTGCGCAGTGAGTTCATCAGCGGACAAAGAACCATTCTTTTGCCGCTATATTCTCTTGGCATTCATTGTTTGATAGAAATCTATGGCGCTTCTGTTGTCCTGAATAAGCTCTTAGATGAACTCTCGGCAAGGATGTACTTCCGTTGCCTCGAACAAGCCCTTAGAAAAACCCTGGGAAAGTGATGGCACTTCCATTATCCTGTATGCTGTACAACAGTGTAGCACATAGGCCGACCCACCATTAGCCGTTGCCAGTCCCACAATGTGTTCCTGCCATAACCCTTGCGATCCCCCTACCTAACGCTCTCCCAGAAGGAATCCGCCCAGTCCGCAAGATCCGCGACATTAAAGACGACGTCGCTTTCTGGCGGTACAGCGGCTCGGAGGAGGATTTTGTGAAATTCGAGAATCAGAGGCGCTCCAGCAACGTCATAGGCTGAGGCAGTGCCTGGCTGAACGGTGACAATTGACTGGTCGATAGTATTCGAGTGAGGACCTAGTTGTGGAGTGGGATTTTGGGTGATAGTAGGCTCTTGGACTTTTGTCGGAATTGGAGCGTTGGGATTTGGGTGGCTTCCGGTAGCTGGTCTATATATAGGAGGCGGAGAATGGCACCACTTTTCGACTATTAGCGTCTTCTGTGCTCGCTTAATTGAGATGATGATGACAATCTTGACATCTCCTCCAGAGTTGGCAATCCACCATTCTGCGTCATGTCTCAGACGAGGAAGCGTTTCAGAGAGTCCAGACTCAAAAACAATTGTTGGCCAGTCAGATTTCTTTCCTCGGGTTGGGACGGGGCGGAATCCCATATCACCCTCTTTAGAGGAATTAAGGAGTTTGTACGTTGTCCCGCCAACAGGACATAAGCTCTTTGCTGGAAGGCCCATTCTGGAAAATGCGCGATCAAGAAGTTGGGCTAGTCTGAGGTGCGCAACTTCATGTTCCGCTGAGGGCATCAGCTTGATAACCAATAGATTGCTATCCGCGTAATGGCTCATCCGAGTATGCTTCCCTATGCTGGCGCGCTCACGGTCAATTTTTTCAAGCTGGCCTTTTGTGGCACCCATGAAAACAAGGTATTGCTGATTCGTGCGACCGTCCATCAACGCAGCGGACTGCGAGTTGACACGTTCTTTTAGATCTCGGATCCCTTTGTACGTAGAGATACGAGTGTCTCCCAATCCCTCTAAGGGCGATATCTCTGGTGCTGAACTCTCCACTGCCGTAGTCTCTTTTGATGTAGTTGAGCTTGAGGATGACCTTGACATGGGTGTATACGTAGGTGCCCCATCGCCGGGTCCGCAAATTGTATTCATGTTGAGGTTCGAAAGCCGGAACGCAATGTTGAAGGAGTAGAAAAAGCTGGTAGAAAAATTAGGCAGGGAAAGTTGTTGATGAATCGGAAGTGTACTGAGGCGAGAGGTGGATGCACTGAGGTAGGAGAGATTATGAATGATGAACTGTATGGGAGAGAAGATTGATTGATCTATCTCAAAGCAGAATGTCAATATAAGTTGCCTCAGGTGTCACTATAGAGTGATAATGCCAAGCCAGCCGCGGTGACACGCCAGGCATTTCCTATTCTGGCCAACAATGAACGCTTAAGTAGCCCTTCAGTAGAGAGAGGCAATAGGTGAAAGCGGATATATAAGTGTCACTCTCGAGGCTGTAAGACTGGGCGCGCCAGCCAAGTGCCCACGTGAGAATGAAGACGCTGCAAATGTAATTGAAAGCGTAAGCTTTCAGTTAAATCCCGACCCCCCCGCACGTGACCTGGCCATGCGCGGAAAAAAAATCACGTGATTGAAAAACGCGCGGTAACGTGACTTCGCGCACCCCGGTTCGGTTCGGGCGCGTGTCGACAAGCGCGTTTTGTAGACCTCTTCTTCCACTCTAACCTTTGCATCCAAAACAGCGAACCAATGGCTTCCAAATTTTGCTCCGCGTGCCTCCAAAAACGCCTCCTCTCTTCTTTTCTGGCAGATCCGTCTAATCCGAATAGTATGATTCGGGCTACTTGTGTTTGCCGTGATCGAAATGCTCGACTGCGTGAGAAGAAGAGGAAAGCTCTCTCGTCGCTTGATCCTAACGTGCCTTCGAAAAGACCGGCGATTAGTCGTACGCTCGGGACTCCTTCGATCCCTCTTCCTCATGGGCGATTCGAAACCCGCTCGGATGCCTCTACACGCTCTCTCTCTCCACCCGAATCACAGCCGCAACCTCCAGACGCTCTTTCGATCCCTCTTCCTCATGAACGATCCGAACCCCGCCCGGAAGCCTCTACACGCTCTCTCATAAGCCCCATGTATCGATATTTGCTAGATATATCGCCGATATCGTTGTCGGCTTTCCTAATTGGGTATACCGTCGTCTACTCCATGAGCCATGAACTGGATCCGATGGAGGATATCGTACGGCACATGACACCGTGATCAACATCGTCTACGCGGTCCATGGATCAGGGCGGTCTGGCAGACAAAGGCGTAGATTGGATCCGATGGGGTCAGCCAATTAGAGCACAGTATTACGTAATACTCGGATTATTGATTTTCCGGACTAGGGCGGCACTCCCCAGTGGTCTGTGGATTGGATCCGATGGTCAGCCAATCAGAGCACGTGATTAGGTGTCGGATTATTGATTTTCCGGAGTAGGGAGGCTTGGCTAATCACGCGATGCGAGGGCTTGGCAAATATAGAAGCTACGCTTTCACCCCCCCTGGAATATCCTGTCCGCGGCCCCTAGTTAAAGCGGAGCGTGAGCGAAGCTTTTTCTACACTCCGACCCCCCTGCGTGAGGGGGATCAATTTTAGATTTTCCTGATCACGGGTGGCCGGCCAATCACGTGATGCTAAAATTGGCAATATCGAAACGCAGTGAGGCCTGGGGAATTTGGGGGCTAGCCCCAAAATACAGAAGCTACGCCTTTACCCCCGTAAATATCCCCATCCGCGCCCCCTAGTGCCGGGACTTTTTGGCACGTGATACTGCATCTGTAGCCCAAGAAATCACCGCAATGAGAGCGAAGAGTGGATGATCTTGGCATTGGATCAGAAGAAAGATGCAATGTGTCAGCAAAGGGAGGGCGGTTTCGGGAATAACTGTAGCTGGAATACATTGATTGAGTCCTTGACCCTGAACCCTCACACCTCGACCCTAAGCCCTTATAGTAGGGCTTGTCTGGGTGGTCCATAGACTGGATCCGATCCATGGACCATCCCGATATCGAGGATATCGACTTCTATCGAGTTGGGTGCCCCCCGCCATAGATTGGATCCGATGACGGGCCGGCAAGGGGGTGTGATAATCGACGCACGTGCTCACGTGATAATGCCAAGCTATATACTTACATGATTGGCTAGCACGTCGCTCTTGGCCGCACAACGCCAAGCCGCAACCAGGCTCCAAAATTAAAAATGAAAAAAAATTTAGGGGTTATATTTTATTCCGCCAAAAACTGCTTCAAAATTGACACCAAATCGTGGTTGACCTATCAAGGACGAAACTGAGTGGGCACACTAGGTTTTAGTCGAACCGATAGAATTGAGGGGCCTTACTAGTGTTCGATCATAGGTAAGGTAAGAGGGTTGTCCGGCCTAGCTCCATTGAGTCTAGGTGCCCTAGATGGGTAAACGTAATGCTCCAGCCAGTGATCGTTAATGATGTCGTCTTGTTCAAACCGTTGGGAGGGTCACTGATTCTGCAGTTGAACTTGTGTGGCTGAAGCTTTCACTGGCTGCGGCGCCCCATCTATAAGTTCGTCAGAGATGGACTCTAGGAGGGGGGCTTTTTATTTTCTTAATTTTTTTTGTTTGCTTGTATGTGGACTGCCGCCTCAGGCAGTAACACCACCAAGGATCACTCAGGGTATGCCTTTCGGCCTCCTATGTCGCAATCAGCAGTGGCCATTTGTCTCCTCACTCAGCACCTTTTTCGCACTTCTCTCTGTCCCAAAGTACTTGCTAACATCCTCCAGTGTCGATGATTAAGTATCCAGCCCCTGGATATGATTAGAAAATGTGCATCTTTTACGACACCCAAATTATGGATACACAGCCTGGAACAGGTCCTGATGCAGAGATACATCTACCTATAAAAGGGCGGGCGATCGACTTGGCACTACCCCACAAGCTTGAGGATTGCCCGGTACCACCGAGGCTTTCTGACATTGCTAACGGCTATTTCTGACTTCGGGAACCCTATATTCTGATGAACCCGTTGTATAAGATCTGTCATCATGGTATAGGTAAACTAGCGAATCTTTGTATTTGCAATATCCACGGCCGAACACAGCTTTCATCTCATTAATCTATTGTTTGTTTCCCTAGGACGGACAGACGGAACGAGTTGTTGCGGTACAAGGCTGATCTATCTGAAGTCCAGCAACGACATTTCGAGATCAAACACCAAGTTGTCTTCTCTTATGAATACTGGCTTCGAGAACAATCCAGCATCAAAATGGTTCAGAGCCCAGTATCCAACAGCAACAAGCCGTCCATCGTCGTAGTTCCTGGATCCTTCTCCCCAGCATCCTTCTACATCCCTATTGTTAACAAACTCCGCGAGAATGGATATGAAGCCATGGTCGAAAATCTTCCCTCAGCCAGCCGTTCACCTCCCGAAGCACCTGCAACAATGGAAGAGGATGCTGCCTTTTTCCATGACGTTTTCGAAAAGCTTGCAGACCAAGGAAAGGACGTTGTCGTTGTAACTCATTCCTATGGAGGCGTACCTGGAACGGAAGCCACCAGGGGTCTCGCCAAAGCCGAGAGAGCTGAAGCTGGGAAACCGGGCGGGATCTCCCGATTGGTGTATTTGACCTCCGTCGTACCTCCGCCCGGAAATTCGTTGCAAGATCTCATGGGAGACCTCGTTCCGTCATTTATCCAGTTTGAAGTGGGTTCGAATCATCGGACTCTTGGGCAGGTTAGTGGCTGACTTTTGGTTCCAGGGAGAATTCATGAAACATGTTATCGAAGAGAGCGCGAAACTCACGTTTTCCGACCTTCCGTTCGAGGAAGCGGTTGAATGGGTCAAGAAGATGCCGTTTCACTCTGGACCCAGCTTCACGGGCAAACTCACATATCCCGGATATAAATACATCCCCGTTTCGTTCATTCAGTGCGAAAAAGATGTGATTTTGCCGCCAGAGTTCCAAAATTCGGTGATTGAGACCATCCAGAAGGAAAGTGGAAACCCGGTGGACCTTCACACCCTAGCCACCGGACACTGTCCCAACGCCAGTGCTCCAAATGATGTGGCAAAGATTATTATGATTGCGGTGGCGGCAGCTTGATGCAGGTGCTTGAAGACTCGATCGCTGAAGTGTTCGACACCAATGTTCGTTATCTTGAAGACGGTCGCACTAGTAAAATAAATAGCCCCATTTTGCGGAGAATTCTTTTCCAATCTTCCACGCGCGAGGATCCCAGGGAGCAGCGCCAGGATCCAATGTGAAACTCGTCAAGCAGAACAGATCACCGAGAAACTCTTCTTCGTCAATAATCCCCATCAGAGTAATCATGTTATCTCTCATCTTGGGAAAAGGAAAGCGGTCAATCCATCGAGGATGGATGGTGGTGAGCTGTAAGGTAGTCGGATGCAAAGATTCAGGAATTTCGGCACCGACGGGAGTGGATCGGCCTGGGATCACACACGAACAGGCGAGTCCCATCATAGCACCATTGTTGAAGAGAGCAGCATAGACGGACCCGGACATGGTCGAAGTCACAAATTGGTCTTCCTTGCTGGTAGGCACCATGACCTGGTACAGACTTGGGAGTCGAGGGACTCCCGGGACCAGGCCTTGTGAGGCGTTGTCGGCACTGTCGTCGCCGGACTCAGGTGAAACGCCACTACCAGTGGCGGTATCAGAAGAAGAGGTCGTAGTCGCTTGTGCTTTGGCTTCTGCGAGGCGTTTCCCTGACCAATTGTCAGTTGACAGCTTCTCGTTGGTGGTGTTGTTCTGACGAACTTCGTGCTCTTTGGGCAAGTCTGTCCTGGATTTGTTTTCTCTTGCGTGGATCCTGGACACCGAACCAGTTGTCGTCCTCAACTCTCGCTCTTCCCATGGCTACTGCAATCTCAAAACGAAGTTATTGACCAATCACTGATAGGAAACACTAGAAAACCAGTATATACTGGGGCGTTTGTCGTTGGTGATCCGGTAGCGGTGGCGGATTTGATCAGAAAATAGAGACACCAAGCAGTAAGGAGGCTAGAAGGACGGGTCGATGGGTCCCCCCTCTAGAGCAACGATAGCTTCCTTGATATCCCGGACCCCAACAACTCTGGCCCAGATCGATACAAAGACACGGAGAAAGTTGAAGATGGAGAGAAGAGGTGTAGTCAGCGGGTAACTAAGCGAGAGAGAACTCAAGAGAGGGTGGTGAGCCCGAAGTTGAGCCCCTCATCGGCTAATTTGACTTTGCCATTTGATTAAGTAACGGAAGCGAAATCAGCCTCCCACCGGCGGAATCTACTGTCGTAAGCGTGCTGTCCGTAGGTCGTACAACTATAGTATCTATTACGTCTGTCGAATCATTCGAATTCGTAGCGAAACGACTACGAGACGCCTGCGTACGAGGCCTCTTTTTCGGTCTCTTAGACTGATTAACTTCGAGTAGTCTTTTCTCGGCTACGTCTCGCTTGCGTTTCTCGGTCTCTGCGGCCTTTTGTACTCGTTGAGCTTGTCGTATGGCTTGTCTTTCGGCTTTTTTCTTGAGTGAGTAATTCATCTGGATCCGATCAGGCCGGGGAGGCTGCGCCGTACACGAACGAGACCCCTGCCCTCGATCCCACTCGGCCACATGGTCCACGAATTGGATCCGATGGCAGTGGTACATCATGGGATCCGATCCAAGGACCATCTCGATATTGAGGCCCGTCCAACGAAGATGAGTCTCGTATCAGCTCGAGTCCGATCAGCAGGGCTTGTCTAGGTGGTCCACGGACTAGATCCGACATCAATGACTTGTCTAGGTGATCCACAGACTGGATCCGATGCGTGGATCATCTCGAAAGAGTTACCCACTGACCGTCTCGCGCTGTGCGATGCCCCTTGTCGAGCCAGTTGAGCTTCTGAGAAAGGCGTCCGTGCCCATCTTGTGAGGTGTTGGATGAAGAAACACCTTCTCAGAGTACGCCGCCTACGCCGGTGGAGATGTTGAGAAACCTCTGCGTACCGGAGTGCCTTGTCTAGGGAATAACCAGACAACCAGGACAGTTCGAATGACCAAGCTGCTTATGGAGATCGATGGCATACCACCGCTGGAGCTTCACCATATCTGCCATGTCCTGACTGATAGCTAAGCGGTGATCTGCTGCCTGCCATTGGTAATCGAGTGCAGATTTCCACGAAAAGTGTCGACGGCCTCCGCCAGCCTCGAGGAACCGCCAGGCAACGCGCTCAATGATGGCGTCAGAAGCATTGGGAAGGTCGGGATTTCTGCTTTGAGGTTTTGCAGAGCATTGTTCCGAAGCTCACTCTCGGCGGTGGCGTCGTCCATGCCCAGCTCCGCGCACAGAACTTTGATAGATTTCGGACCTTTACCCATTTTGATGAGTGAACTGCGGATCCGATGGCTGTAGTGGTCAAGGAGGGTGAGAGGAACGCATGATGAGGGGCGGGTTAAAATATACCTCACGCTTGAGGCCTGCGTCGCGTGGAGGCGGTCGAAGTGAGCTTTGAAGGTGGAAGGCCAGACCGGAATGGAGTGGATTTGTGCTTTGTAGAACAGATACCTCCATGCTAGAAGAGTGGATGTTTCAATGCCGATAGAAAAGATGTGTAATGATCGATATGGTTGTGAGCGACGTTAAGCTGATCGTGGGTCACCTGCCTGGACAGCGACGTCCAGGGCAGAGCACCGAGGACGATAACAATATTACGACGCGACGCTTTCCACTTGAACACGTCGCCGGTGTCCATTGACCTTCAAGCTCCCTTATTATTTCGAAAAGAAGAAATCTTGCGTTGGTGAGGGTCGGCACACATTCAGCGTGGAAACAACCTAACTTATCTCTCCGTCTCCTTAAAGCGGCATGCCCGCTCGCTTAGGGCAGATACTCAGCCTTGCGACTCTCTGCTGTCTCTCGAGGACCATCCACCTTATTTATCTGACATTAGCCATCGACCAACTCTTCCAGCGACGCCATAGTCTCGTCAAACCTCTCCAGAGTCAGTACATGTCCAGTATCGTCGAAGATACACAACTCTGGAAAATTGCCCTCCAAAGGAGGGTGTAATCGTTCTGCGGAAGAAACTGGAGCAATCTTGTCCACTTGACCGTGCGGAATCTGAACATTCGAATCCACGATCTTCTCTGTCAGGGCCCCAGATCTTCGATCGAACATGGTGTCGTGTACATGCTGGTGCTTGGAGGATGGATGTTCGGTAGCCAAGCATCACCGTTGGTGGGGAAGACGCCGTTCTTATCAGGTGCATTGGGACACTACTTGCAAAGATGGTGGCTCTTATTTCCGCTAGCTGTTGATCTTGTGATTTGGGGATCAATACGTTGATCAGAGATTTGCCGGCTGACAAGAGCGAGAGGTCGACAGTCCCGTGTGAAGTTGTTGCCAAAAATATGTCGACGACGCGATGCGTCTGGGAGACAGCAGAGTCTTGCAAGAGTTTAATTCACACCAGAGATGGACACATGGCCTGAGAGTATCTACCATTTCTTGCGCTATCATGCCACCCATACCATGTCGCACGACGTGGACTGACAGGTCATCTGCCCGTTCAAGGTGATCAGAACGTCGAGGGTATCTTGGGCGAGGCTCTTCATCAAAGGAAATGTCCATGGAGCCTCAGATCTTCCAGTACAACGATGGTCCAAGAGCAACGGCGCATATCTAATTGGCCCGGAGCTTCACGACAGACATACCTTTCTGAATTTTCATGTCCAAAATGACATGCATACTGTACCCACGATTTCATTGTATTCCATAGCCGCAAAGCCACCGCCATAGCAACGGGGAATTTCGAGCCACGAACTGTAGAAGTAGTTGGCAAGCTCGAGCCTCGACATACCATGACTTATGGGCATAGGAAGATTGAGCGTACGGCCTGGTGTCGAACAATGAGCAGTACCCCTTTACTGCGAAAAGGGTTATCACCTATGCAGGATATAGGGGAAGAATAGGGGTAGAAAAGAGGTCAACCAAGCATGTATTCATTAAGACTGGTAATCTGGCAGGACCAGTTGCCAACGAGACAGAGCATTCAATACATCTCATTTGCAAACCCCCCAGTTTGACACCGGGGCAGGATACACCCTCAGCTCTTTGATAGTGAGTTGTTTCCTTGTATTGATGGAGGGATTCTGCCTCTTGGCCAAAGGGGTTGTGGATGAATTATCCATATTTCGAAGTCGAAGTGACACGATTCCAAGTCATGAAGGGTGGGCTTTAAAGTGGTGTCCGCATTGAATTGTACTGCCGGTTCATGGAAAGTACGTTATCCAACCAGCATCTCTCTAATCATGTTATAGACGTCCACTTTACTTCTAGGGCGAATTTCCTCTGAGCACATATAATACTTTGTCATTTAGATGGTAGAAAATTCCTCGATGCCATGGAAACCAGGAATCACCTCGCCTTGGGTGGGGTACGTGAAGGATCACCAGCATGTCGAAGACTTCTTCTGCCTACGATTGCACCTAATACTAAACCTTTGCTCGCCATTCCCATCTCCATCCCAGGCATGCCCATCGACTCAGCACAAAAGTTACCAGGGACACTCCCAAAATGATGCACATAAATCCCACCATGATCTGAGGACCAGCCGATTCCACTAATTCGCCACTGATTGGAACACAGATAAGTGCCGCCAGCGAGCCAATAAAGTACAAAGTACCGTAGTAACGGCCGAACTGTTCTGCTTCGCACAATTGGCCAATGCAAGCAGGGGTCAATGCCATCCATGACCCGGTTCCAAAGCCAAATAATGCAGTGAAAACGTACAAGGCAGTCAGACTCGTATGTCCAAATGGGAGCCATAGAACGAGCATCAAAGCCAGCGTCACGACGATCATAATGAGGAGTGTGTTGAAGCGGCCGATGATGTCCGAGACGAACCCTGGAATGATGCGGCCAAAGCAAGACGCACCATTGAGCACCGCTATGATGTAGAAGCCGGTGTCTGCAGGGTATTTGCCGCCATAGTTTGCGTAGGTGGGCAGAATTCCGAGGGAACCAAATAGAACGATCTCGAAGCCGAAGACACTGATGGTAAGGAAAGTAAACTTCAGGTCGCCAAACAGGCCCAACGAGATGATTTTCTGATTCCGGGCCTCTGCTGAAGGCGGTAACCTTGGTTTCATCAAGATGTTGCTGATGATCAAACACCCCAAGAAGACAAATCCCAAGATGCGAACGGACCACGCATACCCATATTGGGGTAGCGCGCTTCTCAGAAGCAAAGGAATCGTCACTCCTCCAAAGCTTGATCCTCCCATCGCAATCCCGTGAGCAAGACCTCGCCTTCTCTTGAACCAATGGCCGACCACAGCCAAGCTGGTGGTCGTCAGTGTTGCTCCCGCAGTTCCTCCCAGAAATCCCAGGCAGAGCAAGAATTGCCAGTAGATTTTGCATTCAGCTAGCAGAAACAGCATTGCAATGTAGCAAACGCTGCCGATTAAAGCTATCCATCGAGGACCATAGCGATCAAACAATGGCCCTACCCAGATACCTAGTGCTAAGGCGAGATAGACGAACACAGATGGAATCCACCCCACATCACGAGAAGTGTAATGGGAAAGTTGATTCATCTGGAGGTACTCCTGCACGGTACCAATGGATACCATAAAACCGAAAGAAGTAAACAGCCCCCAAAAAGACCCCGTCAGAACAAGCCATGCTTGAAGACCACCTTCTGGAAATACGTCATTGGGAGACGCTGTGTCTGTATCGGCGATGTCAAAAGAAGCGTCATTTTGCTCGTTGCCATGAGCATGAGCGCTTTTTTCAACGTTGGTAGGGATTGGCGTTTGCGGCTCGAAGCTGGCGCTATTCGATTTGGGGTTGAATTCGGTCACAGAACTCAGGTTCTGCCTTTCTAGATCGTTAGACTCGACGAGCTGGACTGCCGGGAATGTGACGGCGTCCATTGAGTGACGAGAACGGATGATATTTGGAACAGAGGAGAGAAGACTGGGTTGAAAGTCAGCTGAGTGTGAATTGGGGAAAATCTGCTCGTCCAGGGTCGTCATTCTGCATTTTAAGGCACAATATCTGAGTCAGAGTTATGATTCTGTAACCATATCCATAAAGGCACTATTGTGGGGGTGTTTCAAGTGGAGAGCGGACTGCCCACCAACGCTCTTCTCCGTTTCGGTCGCATTTTACGACAATATCTCTGTCGACGATCCGAAGTACCAGTTGTGAGAAACTAGAAATCATGTCCTGATGCTCTTCTGGCGATGGAGGCGTATATAGGCGTCCTGCGTGCTGATCAATCATGGTTCAGGTCACGTTGTCCAGCCTAGGAGGATAAGACGCAGGGAGATTCATATCTTCTTGGCTCAGACTTGCCTTTGCACTTCATGGGTTGACTCGGCGGTTGCAGGCCCGTATGAAATGTGAGCTGCATATCCAGCTCGTGTCTTCTGTGCCTCAGAAGTATCTGGTTGTCATCATTGCCGCATGGTTTCTGGTCAGGATCGGATCTTCCCCAGTAATCCACGCCATCACCCAAGATATCGTTGAGAAGAGGAGACCAAGATGAGCAGGCTCAAACCAGAACATCGGTGCCTTTCATCCTGCCCTGGCCAGCGTTCATTTTCGCCGTTCGTGCACCGAACTGAATGGCTCTCTTTCTCTCCGAAGCGGCTGTCTTCATGTTGAGCTTCCACATGGCTAGCCTCAGGAGCAATTTCGCTGGCTCAAGATCCTCGGGCTTCTCGACCCGGTCAATCCGTCCATAATGTTTTGGAATTCTCTTTCCGGGTCTGAAGCCAGATTTCTCCCAGACAGGAAGACTCAAGGAGAGACGTACAAAATCTTCATCCAGGTAAGGGTAACGCACCTCTTTGCCCCAATGGCTCATGACACGGTCATCCCGACCCAGGTTGCGAGATCCCATACGACTAAAGTCTAGCTCAAGCTCGTCGACGAGATCCGACAAGTCCCCTCGAGCAAAGGCCGCAGAGTGTCGATAATATCCAGCATACAATTCATCCGCTCCGAGGCCGGAAAGCAAGACTCGGGCAGTCGAGAAAGATTTTCGGGTCTCCGTCCACAAACCCGATCTGTTTTCTAAAACATCCCCTTGACCTCTTGCTGCAAAATACAGTGCCGTGGCAATAGACAAATCCATTTCGGTGTTGTGAGGATACATGAGCCTTATCACGGTAGGTCTGTGAGCGAGAGATTCAGAGTAGGGGACGTCGATGGCAACAAATTTCCATGTCCTTTCCGGGCACACCTGGCAGAGCTCAGAAAAACTAGATCGTCCCGTCACGCGATCCGGGCAGGTTTCGTAAGGTGAACCTGGGAGGTTCCCGTTTGCAGTAATAGATCGAGGGTTTTCAAATGCCACATTGAGGAGATCGACGGGTTCATTCCGGGGCAAAATGTCGTGTGTTAGGCGAGCAAGCAGTGTGCAGTCTAGTCCACCCGAGAAGAGGATGGCAACCTTGGCGGAATTTTGAGGTCTGGGGCCGTGAGAAAGGTCGGGAATATCCATGACTCGACATTGCAGGGCACTTTTCAGGTACTGTATGCATTCTTCAACACTAGACGGAGACGGGGTGGTGGCGGGCACATGACTGGGAAGGGATTTGTTAATGGGAGGCGATGCGTTGAGCCAGGGAAGATCGCCCAACGTGACATCCTTTTGCTTTAGCGAAAGATAGTGGACCGCGGCGGTAGAAACTTCTCCTGAGAAACTTCTGAGATTTGATATGCCAGTACTAGACAGCGTTAGTGATTGCTCATCGCAGTGGTCCATGAGAAGAGAGCGGCGCCCAAGACTGTCTCGTCCATAATAGACGGTGGCGGAAAGGGCACTGTAGAAGACAAATGCAAATGGTCCTGTTATGTTCGATAGCACCTGCAAAATGGTCTTGTGCTCATGTTCGTCGGAAGAGTGTGAGGCCTCAAGGAGACGCTGCCAGATTTGCACAGAGTCGTTTCCTTGGACGTTGACTCCGTCGACCTTCCAGGCCTCTCCATTCCAGCACAAGATGGATCCAGAGGACGGATCGCGTAATGGTTGCTCCTGAATACGATCTCCTCGTAGGGCCAAGACGGACGAAGCAAACGTCAAGTAGAGATTTCCCGGCGGAGGATCTGGGAGAGTGACATTCAAGACCTTGTAGCTATCAGGGCCGCGTGCCTTGAGCGCGTCCACAGCGGCATCATCGGGCCAAGATGGGCCACCTCTGGCAACCGAGAAGAAGATACCGCACATCAAGAGGGAGAGGACGCTCGCCGTCAGTGATTAAGAGATTTATGTCGGCGTTGGAGAAGATTGATGAAAATGAGAATGAGAGGTGCACGCGGAAGTGCCCAAGAGATATCGCGGATGGGGGCCAATCAAGCATCGGCAGAACGCAGGCAGACCAGTTTGGTGCAATAGTGGCTCCCCAGCTGCATCATTCCGTCCCGTGGGCGCGGGCGCTGGGTGGCCCTCGCTCGTTTCAAAGGCATCACGCAGGGCTGTCATCACCTGCTCCTGAGAGAGGGTCAATAGGTTCGCGGCGTGAATCTCATCATCCTGAAATCCTTTGTGAAACAACTTCTTCTCAGAAATCATCCACCTCACCTCAACCACGACCGAAGCCCTTGGAATAGTCCCAGGGTCGAGCAATCCTTACCGGTGACTCCTCTACAGCCTCGTTTTTCCAACAACCATGATTCAAGAATAGATAGATTGCGGCGCCAACCACGGTCTTGCACCTGTGAAACATGCCAACCCTGTCCAAGAGTCGACGAGAACGAATTATAGAATATTAAACTACTGTGTCAATGTCATCGGACGGCAACCATGCAACGATGGATCCTCACAAGGAAGCCGTTTCGTCGGAAAATACCACCACCAATCTAACCGATCTTGCACCAGAAGAAAGAGGTGGCACTGCAGACCAGGGAACACTGCACAACACATCCTCAGAGAAGGGAAAAGAACCAGAGTCAGATCCTACGGAGAAGATCGAGAATCTTCACATCGACGACGTCCAGGCTGATACGAATCATGTGGCTCCGTTGGAAATCCCTCCCTCAACTTCTTCTCCTCCAGAACCTGCAGCTGCGGCTGAGAAGCCTTATCTCGACCCGACTCCTAAGACGCCAATCATATCAAGACACCCGTCTGTTCGGGCCTCAGAGGAAGAATACAACGACAAAGACCCCGCCTATGACCAAGACCGTCGGGATGCTTCAGCGGGCGTTCAGGATCGAAAGCCTGGCGAGGAGCAAGATGTGGAATCTACGTCGGAAATTCAGAGTATCATGGACCAGTTCGATGATGCCTCTGCGGCACCATCAAAAGAAGAAATCATGTCTCCACGACACGAAATGGCGGGGCCGATGCTTGGGTCGGGTGTTGGTTTCCCACCTCGAAGATCCAGTCTGGAACATCTTCGATCAAGAGATATGGATACCATTGCCCCATCACCGGCTGCTTCAAATTCTGAAAAGCCGCTGCCGTCCCCGCCTTCGAATTCGAGGGATAAGAATGACGCACTCAAAAGTCCTCCGCTGAGAAGTCCCGGCCTGACATCATCAACCTCTCTTCCCGCGCAACCACCGCCTCCCGAGCCAGAACCTGAACTGCCTTTCGATTTCCATCGATTCTTGGAACAGCTTCGACACAAATCGGCCGACCCGGTGGCCAAGTTTCTTCGCTCTTTTCTGACGGAATTCGGGAAGAAGCAATGGATGGTACATGAACAAGTCAAGATCATAGGTGATTTTCTTGCCTTTATCACGAATAAAATGGCGCTTTGCGATGTGTGGCGTGAAGTGTCAGACAATGAATTCGACAACGCCAAAGAAGGGATGGAGAAGTTGGTGATGAACAGACTGTATTCACAGACCTTTTCTCCTGCCATCCAACCGGCCGCTCAACCCGCACGATCTCGATCTAGAGGAAGGCGAAAGGAGTCGGAGAAAACCCTTGTCCCCGGAAGACGGGGCCAGCATCAGGAGGACGTCGAAAGGGATGAAGTTCTGGCTCAGAAGATCCGCATATACAGTTGGATCCGAGAAGAACATCTCGACTTGGCACCAGTAGGGCCCAATGGCGAGAGATTTCTCAGACTGGCCCAGCAAGAACTGTTGAAAATTAAAGGCTATCGGGCTCCGAGAGACAAGGTCATTTGTGTGCTGAACTGTTGCAAGGTCATCTTTGGCTTGTTGAAAAATGCGAAGAGTTCTGATACGTCCGCGGATTCATTTGTGCCATTGCTGATCTACGTGGTCCTTCAAGCGAATCCGGAGAACCTCGTGTCCAACATTCAATACATTTTGCGGTTCAGAAATCAAGACAAGCTGGGGGGGGAGGTAGGCTACTACCTCTCGTCGTTGTCTGGGGCTATTCAATTCATCGAGAGCCTGGATCGCACCAGTTTGACCGTCAGCGATGAGGAGTTTGAACGCAATGTGGAGATTGCAGTCTCAGAAATTGCAGCACAAAATCGGGAGGCCGAGGCCATTAGCCCGCGTGTTCCATTCTCCGAAAAATCCGGCCTGGCTGAACCTGAACTTACACCCAGAAATTCAATGGACGTGACCTCTAGCAGCCCTATTCGCAGGGATGCCGGTCGAATGAATAGCAGCTTCGAAGGCGGATCCGATGATAGTGTGGCAGGTCTTTTGCGGACCATTCAGAAGCCCCTGTCAACAATCGGAAAGATATTTTCGGATCAAGACAATCCTCAAGAACGCAGATCTCTGAACAGTACGCATCCATCGGTGTATCAAACGCCACGAGAAGGACGAACGTCCTCTTATGATGCGCAAGAGGCCGCGGCTAGACAAGCGAGCGCCGAAGCGGCGGAAGCCCAACGGATCCAAAGAGCCGAACATAGAACGGTCGTTGAAACACTATGCGGCATGTTTCCTAATCTCGATAAGGAAGTCATTGATGATGTCGTGCGGCAGAAAGAAGGTAGAGTTGGACTCGCGGTGGACGCGTGTCTGGCTTTAACCGCGGGAAGTTAAGAAGTGCAACAAACAGGGCGGTTTCGAATTGGAGATATATCTTGGACTCCTAAGATAACAGCACTCGAAAAACAAAGGACCGGGAACCCCTGCGAATTTGAGTGGGAGAAACCAGCTCGCTTGTCTTAGGAAAGCCAAGCTGAGGTTTCCAGGCGGTGACATCTCCAGCGCCCCTGGTCGGAACCGACATGGTTCAACCATACAAGACCAGTGGTCCTTTCGATATCTCCCTGCTGAACATCAGTCATGTCGCGGATGCCCAGTGATAGCTCGTCTTCATGAGGCAGAATTTTTGTGAATCGAGCTGGCAAGTATGGCATTGTGTTGACACTTGATGGCAACCGTGTTCACCTGAATAGACAGATGGCCACCACTTTGGGTGAGAACAAGCAGATGGCAGGAAAATGAATGCTATAATTGAGATGGGAATCTCTGAGACAGGGAATGAAGGAAGTGATGGGCAGAATAGTAGGGGAAGTGGGATGTCCTGTATCTACACAGCTGTCCCTATTGCGGGAGGAGGAAAGGATAGGAGACAACTGAGTACCTAATAATTTAATCCAAGTTATCGTACAAGTCATATTCGAGGATGGTCCTTCACATTTCTCATCCGGACTAGTTTGAGACCCGAACAATGTTCACCCCCTTCCCAAAGCCCAAAAAAAGGGAAGAAAGAAAAAGTCTAGATTCAAAGGGGCTCCAGGTTCTTCAATTCTACCCTCAATTTCGCATTCGCTGCCTGCCTATGCGTCCAACTTCACCCCGAGACTCTCAGCAATCTGAGTTTCAACTTTCCCCCGGACATCTCTCCGGGCCCGGCACCCGGACGAGGCTGTAGAACAGCGACTTCCCAAACACTACCACAGATATCCAATGTGCAGTGTCCGCGCCAAGGCGTCAAAGCGTCAAGGCAGAGATAGTGATAGCCTCGATCTCGTCTCGTGTATTGTACCGGGTCACGGTCTCTGCTTCTCCTGAATGGAATTGGTGAAGTGACTTACTCTGTCAAAAAAAGCCGAATGCGATCTGCATTTCATGTTCTCTCTCCTCGGTCTCGGCGATTCTCTTCCGGCCCGCGGGCGGGATGTCTGCAGCGGGTTGAGGACGGGATGGACCGTGAAAGGCCTGGTGAGTGAGTGAGTCGAGGCAAAAAGGAGGTTCGAGTTTCTAGGTTCAACGAAGGGGCACTTCGAAGCTTCTCATGTGTCATGGCATTCCATTTTGGTTTGGATATTGCCATATCCATACCGATATCAGTATCACCATTCGTGTTACTATTCCTTCAAATGACCACGGCCTACATGAACGAAAGCTGCATCCAACCTTGTAAGCGTTGAGGACATCAGGCGTTGAGGGCTGTGTTCTTTCGGTGGTTCACATGCAATGCCTGATTCGAAACATGTAAGGGTGCTTTAGCAACAGCACCCCGGTACGAGCAACTCTTGGCTCGGTAGACGGGTCGACGGTAGTGAGAAACGTAGAGAATATTCGGCCTCGGCGATCGCGCTGTCTTGGAATGCTTCGGATCCGAAGACGGGATGAGGTGTAATTTTATTCGCTATACGAAGGACGGCGGTGCTTGACGTGGGGGAGTATGGTATAGCCGCGGCTATTACATTTCAATCACTTTCTTGCGAGACATCCAGCACTTTCAATTTTCGATCACAACGGTCCGGATAATGCATATATGGCGATTTGTGATGGACTTATGCCATTGCTATGTCAGTGCCCCAACACTTTCTGCATGAAAGGTCCCAATTTGTCTAAGAATTGCACACGCTCAAATGTTTTCCGGGGCAGATTCTGTCCTATATCCTCTCTGAGCACAAGCGTTGGTTGAATACGGCGTGCGTGGCCTACTGTGGGAGGTAGTAAATAATGTAAGATGTAGTGGAATGTAATTGACGATGTTCAGCGTGTCCTAGAGCTGGAAAACGGAGCCGGAAATTGGAAAACGAAACAGGAAGAGTATCGGAATATGCTCCTAGTGGTAACGAGGTCTGGAGGTTCATCCCATGGCTTCATTCCGTGGGAGTTCGTTCCGTGGGAAGATCAAAATAGGGTCGTTTAGGCATGGCGCACCGCTAAAAGATACGTCGTTAAGCAGTATCATAGGCGGTCGGTGGGCTCCTGGGTGTCATATCCGGACACTTTCGATTACATTTCCAAGACCCCAGGGGCTTGTCGAGCTTTGACCTACACTTCTAGTCCTGAGAATCCTCTGCCCCTCCTTTTCATATAAAATGGCTATCCTGAGGTGAATGTCAGATGAAAATGAACTTAGCCAAATTACAACCAAGTCCCGACAAGCCCAAGTTCCAGTTCTAGATTCCGATCTTCCAGATATCCAAGCGCCGGAGGACCGGAATCTGCGGCACATGCTTGCTCTTACTCGCACTCGCAGGGCTGTGCATATCTGGCGATAAGTACGGCAAATGATCCTGGACACCGACATGTGCAAAATCAACCGTGTTGCCGAAACAATATTGACAATGCTTTGCTGATGTAGAGCCATTGCCCGTGTACCGAGAGCCACCAATGGTCCCAATTCGGAGTAGAATAGGGACATGGGTGAACGATTCGGCAATGTAGGATTTTTCAAGGGTTCGAGGATTCGGGGACGAATCTAAGGATTCGGGGCAGGAAAAGGAAGTAGAAAAGTATGTGAATGAGGCGAGGACAAGATTGTGATATTTTCGAATGAGTTTCAAATTTTTTCAAAATTTTTCACATGTCATATCGTATCTCTTTAATCCAGCTAAAGGATTCTGTTCGTAGGCTTTCATCGACAAGTACGCCGCTCTGCGATCCGATCCGCCATACCAGAATACAAGTTCTTCAGATCGAAACAATAACCGGTGTTTGGCCCACTCCGAACATAATATTTCCGATAGTTCATGCCACATTCAGCGCCGAAGCAGATGATGCTTCGTCGAGGTCAAAAAAGTCATCAACACTCAAGTCGCTGTAGTCATAAATCACGATTCCACCTGGAGTCTTGTGGTTTGTCTCCTCTTCCTCGTCTTCGTTCGGAGCCGGAGACAGGCCGGACGAATGCACATCCTCTGCGGCTTCCCGGTCTGTGATGCTCTTGGTCGGCAAGCCACGCGGGTAGTATTCGTACCCGCCGAAGTTGAAATGGGAAGGGATTCGATCACCGAAGGGGGGAGCGGCAGAGGAAGGGAACATCTTCTCCAATAGTCCTTCGTCGATGGCGTAAAAGTCTTCTGCAGCCGTCTCATCGGCATCGGAAATTTCTCCTGCTTTGACAATTGGTTTCGCGCTGGAAGTCTCTTTTTCCACAAAGTCGCTCGATGATCCTGGGCTGAGGAGGTCTTCCATCATGTCGCGTTCATGGTCGGTGATGCGCATGCCTTCCAATAGGTGCGACCAGGGTCCGGACCGGAGTTGTTCGTAGATGCCGGGTGCAGGAGTGGGGCAACTCTCCTCTGAGGAGGAAGGAGAGGAGTTGTCGGCGGTGAGAGAGCCGGGGGAGGATGCGTTGTCTTCGATCTCTTGATGACTAGTCGTCGCCCGGACAGGTTGTCGGAGTTGACTGTCGGGGTTGGGACTGTTGGGAAGCGAGTAACGGGAACGATCATTTGGATGGATGTGTTTCAGGTAGTTCTTTAGAATAGTGGGCTCGATGAAGCTTGGAAGGCAGGATTTGTTTGTTGTCCTGGATTGGGTGGTCGTGTGCACCGTCTGCGCACCTGGAGTCGTCGACGGTTTGGACTCAGAGTGGGATCTCTCGACATCGTTGAGGCTGGAAACGGCGGTGATCGTGTCATATCGCAATGACGACGTGGAAAACCGATGGCGTCTTTTATTCTGGCCTAGAGCAGATTCACTGTTCTGTCTTCGTGGAGGTACTTGAACTCGACTTTGCCCTTGACCAGTATCCAAGCCAAGCTTTCTTCTCTTGGTGGCTGGCTCGGACCACATGTTACCAAGAGCCTCGAGCTCTCCCGGGGGAAACAAACGGTCAATGAAAGACATGGCGCTCGGTATATCTCCACGGTAAAAAGTATAGTCTCGGTAGATGATATTCGACTCGAAAGGCTGGTGTAGGTGTAACGAGTTACCGAGAAGACCCCAGAGGTCGGATGTGCGAAGGGGCAAAAAGTGCCAAAGGATATGGGGAAAAAATGACGGGGAGGGACGGAAAAGGGTTTATAGTCAGAACGGGTTCGAGCATAGCAAGGCCGTGCCTTTCCCGGGGCCTTAGCACCTTTGCTGAGGACGCCGTTTAACTCTCCTTGTTTACGGCCGGGTTGGAATTTATCAAATGCATCTCGGCCCGAGTCGGCTGCGACAAGAAGCTTGGGAGTATTTCGTTGCGAGGTTGGGCGTGGGCTGTGAGAGGGAGGAGCATCGGATGAGGGATGATTTCCTTTAACCAATTTCAGGCCAGGGCCTTGGGTGAGCCTGGTGGTTTTTTGTCAGATCGCCATGCTGAACGAAGAAGAGTGATACAAGCCACTGAATTAGTGGAAGTAAGCTGACGAATACCACGATGGGAAGATGACCAACACGGGGAGGTTTCAAAAGAAAATATCGCGGAGCTGGTTCGGGGGCAAATCCACCAAGACATGGAGACTCCGTAAATCCCCGTACCCATCAAGCAACGACCTTGATCAATTTTAGTACAATATTTGGAGCAGCCGTCTGCCATCTGGGTGGCAACCAAAAGGCAACGGTCAAAGGGGATTGCCCATTCAAGGCAGAAGATGGCTTCGACACAGACGTGGAATGGTATGGTTCGATTCTGTTTTTTGGAAGACGGCCTAGCAGCAAGTTAATCGCAATTCAAACCATCAACAAACCATCTCATCATCCCAATCACAGCTCTCTAGTGGCCAACGCTGTTGACGCGATCTCTGCAAACTAGCGACGGTTCCAGGAATCAGCTCCGTACTTCGGAGTATAGAACCCCAGATCGCAACAATCTTCGGATCCGACGGCAACAGGGCTGTTCTGCACGTGCCAGGAGGGAGAAACTAGCCTTGGTATCTTACCCCATGGGTACTAGGTATTTGGTGGGATGGAGATGAGGCCGAGGAGCTAGCACAGATGACCGAATAGCCGCGGATCCCTTTCTTTATGGAGCCACGGTTGCGAAATCGTTGGGTAACATGCGTGAAGGAGCCTTGTCCGAAGGTCGTTGAATTCTTTGCGACCATGTGGTCAAAAGTCAAAAGTCATCTGGCACCAAGGCCTTCCCGTGACTCAAGATTGCCTTGATGGGGGGCATTTGAAATCGGAAATGGTGGATTGGTAAAATCACAACCGTTTTTGACTGGCCATTTGGTCCGTGCATCGATTGGCTTGTGCCTCTGGGTGCATTGAGAATGATATTACTAAGGTGTAGTATGGGGAATTAGATACCAAAAAGCGGTTACATTTGCGCAACCCTCTCTTTTCAAGAGGTTGTTCAGGTGAGTATCGTCATTGGGGGTGTGTTTCGTCTGAATCGCGTCGTCCGCCCCTCTCTTGAGTCTCTCTGGCTCAGTCACCCACTGGTTTACACATCTTCTCCCTGTCTTTGTATCGATCTGGGCCGGAGTTGTTGGAGGCCGGAGTATCAAGGATGATAGACTGTGGAGTCTAGAGAAGAGATGAAGGAATGCGTTGTTCTATCTAAACAAGAGAGCAAGACTAAATGAGTAGAAGGATGCGAGTTGCTACATTGCCAAGCCGGCTTTGTCACGTGATTGGCCGAAAATGGAAACCACGCTACCCTATCACCAACGACAAACGCCCCAGTCAATATCAGAATATACTGGTTTTCTAATATTGCCCTATCAGTGATTGGTCAATAATCTTGTTTTGATGCAGCAGTCATGAGGAGAGCGAAAGCTGAGGACGGCAACTGGTTCGGTGTCCAGGATCCACGCAAGAGAAAACAAATCCAGGACAGACTTGCCCAAAGAGCACGGAGTTCGTCAGAACAACACCACCAACGAGAAGCTGTCAACTGACAATTGGTCAGGGAAACGCCTCGCAGAAGCCAAAGCACAAGCGACTACGACCTCTTCTTCTGATACCACCGCCGGCGCGGATGATCCAGCCAATGTTGATTATTCCTCTGACGGTACGTCTACCATGTCAGCCCGTATGAATGCTACGAGCTAACAGTCAACCCTACCTTGTGATTTGACAGCGTCCGATGTCCGAAGCATTCATCACATTATCAGCAGAGAAACTACGCCCGATGTCCCGGAATCGACTGGTAGTGAAAAGAGATCACGCGTCAATCACGACTATCATAAGCTCGCAGGAGGCAAGAAACACAAATCCCATCAACCGGGCGTTGCGTGCCGAGACGGTTCTGCCATAGGTGTCGACTTGAGACAATCATCTCGATCACAATCTCCACCTACTTGCCGTTTAAAGACCTTCAGTGCACAGACCGTTTCAAATCGAAAGTCCTCTTCAGGTTTCTCTCCAACCAGCCACGGCAGTATTGCCAAATCCCAATCTCATTCAAAGCTCGAACTCCCTACGCAAACGCTCTCTCCAAAGGACTTCAACCTTTCATTGCGCTATCGTGGCAAGCAATGGCATTTCCACAGTATTGCGCACAAAGCCAAAGTCCTGGAATTCATCCTCCTAAAAGAAGAAAAGGACGTCGAGTCATATCCCATCCTGGCATTCTCCAAAAATGCGAAGAAAGCAGCGTTTGCGACAGAGGATGATGATGGCGATGAGAGTACGGTGAAGGATTATTTCCGATTCTATACACATTTCATGAACGAGAGGTTTCCAGAAATGAGAAGTTATTGCTAGAGAATGGGGTGAGGCCTTCAGCGGGATGATTGCAACTTCAGTGGGATACGATATCGTTTTGCGGGTGGAAGTCTGTCTGCGGTTACATTCACGAGACGATTGTCGTTTAATGTTCGGGTCTGTGTCCGTCCTGACTGTTATTGGAACGGTGACCGTCAAGTCTTTGCTCTGGGAATGACTATCTTCGATGTTGCGAGTCCAGAATGACCGCCAGACTAGGGAATTGCTTTGTTTGAGGGTGGATTAAAGTTCTAATGCAGCGAAGAGCTGGGAAAAGTTAGACTCTGCCAGTGACACTATGTACGAGTACATCGAAAGAAGCAAGAAATATCCGGTGACATTTGCTTGAGGTGGAATGTCGATGACTTCTCGAGACCTTCGTCAGCTGGTCAACTTTTATTTTGCTCGTTACATGGAAATCAATCAGTGCAGTCATATTCAGAACAGGCTTTGGCGGCATTGCCTTTGGCCCAAAAAGGACAGGCCCACTTGGCAGGCATCGATTTGCGGACTCGACCTAACCGAAAGCCCGTCTGCCGTCTGCTACATTTGCGAAATATTCACCATACCCTTCACTTCCAGATTGCCAGCAGCCTCACTTCGGGTCACCAACGCCACTCTTTGTTGGCGTAACTCATACCGTTTCCTGTCATCGTATCTTCATCTCGCATGACACGACCCTTCATCCGAATCTTCCCCCTGTCAACTGCAGTTTGGCTGCTTTCCTCAACCTCTCCCGTCAACCTACGCCCACCTCTTTCGCACATAGACCTCATATAACCGTTCAAAATGACTGATGAACTGAATGCCAAAGATGATCGGAGAGGGAGCCAGGAGGATGGTGGTGAAGAAGAAGTAAGGACCATTCCTTCCGTTGCATATAGGCTGTTCCGGCCCCATCACCTCCACTACGCAACCACCCTTTCGTCCACGATGTGCTGATCACATTCCTACAGGAAGAAATCGCCGCGATGAAAAGACGCGTTGCCGAGATGGAGTCAGAGGCGGCCAAGCTACGAGAGATGCAAAGTCAACTCGAACAGCAATCCGAGAGCGTACCCAGGGAAGACAGAGAAGACGTCGACGCGCGAAGCATCTTTGTTGGCAATGTGGACTACGGCGCTACGCCAGAAGAGATTCAAGCACACTTTGCAAGTGGACCGGGATCAATAAACCGAGTCACCATACTGCTGGACAAGTTCACTGGTCATCCAAAGGGGTGGGTCTAAAAAATTATCCAAGCACTATCCTGCATAAGGCTTGTTCAAGAGCTGGATGCGGTCCAAAAATCTTCAAAAAATCATTTCATGCTGCCTGGCAAGAGATGGATCGCTAATGGAACTCGCGCAGGTATGCATATGTGGAATTCTCAGACCCGGGTTTGGTGGCACAGGCGTTGGTTCTTAACGAGAGCCTCTTCCGCGGCCGAAATCTGAAGGTGTGCATGACCCCTGGACTGGAGAGATGGTGCTGACAGTTGCTTGATAGGTCGTACCCAAACGCACCAATCTTCCCGGCATGGCCCGTGGTCGTGGGGGGCGAGGCGGCACCCTACGTGGAGGACGTGGTGGTGGATTTGGAGGACGAGGAGGATATGGAGGCTATGGTGGTGGCTATGGCAATTCACGAGGTGGTCCACGAGGTGGCTTTCGAGGACGAGGACGTGGATATGCCCCTTATTGAGCCGAGAGATCCTCTGGCCCACCTGGAGTGTTGTGAAAGGCACGTGACACATTACGGGCACGGGACGGAGCACAATCTATCGAAAGAACATAACAGCGGCATTGGTATTGGGCTGGTTCACGTCTTGGACTCGATATTTGGTCAGCGAGGAAGCGGGTCAAGTCGTCGGTCGGGGCGAAGTCTTGAGAGGTTGAAAAAGTGGCTCATTGATACCAAAGTCCTCGGCCGATACCAGTATTTTGGGGAAGGCAAAAAGAAACAGGGTTTTGACATTTATGGCATCAAAATGCGATCACTGACAGGAAATTAAGGTGATACTGTCCTATTTAATGGGCAATAAGAATAACTTCAAGTTGTTTGGTGTATTTTCTCCCTGCGGTCCGTATGATGTAAGCCATCTGCAGTGGGAGGTGCTTTGTCAACCACGGCCTCCGATCCTCCACCTCCACGACCAAGTTACTCCCGGGCACTGGATGGATTGACTCAGGTTTATCAAATCCCACACCTCCGTACAGTCTCTTGCTGTGACGGTGGTATTTTGTCGAAATTTTATCGTTATTATGCAATCATGACATGAGTGCCGTTCTATATCACTTTGCTGTACTTCCCATGCAAGGCGATAAAAGTCCCTCAGCACTTCTGCGAACCATCCCCTTCCGCAAACTTCTTAGCGCCTCAAACGTCGAGCTGCGCCTCGCCCTGCGGTCCATCTCCACTGGCTACTGGCCCATCCGCGAATACGACTCGACCCTGTCCTGAGATTCTTATGAGCAGTAGAATCATCAAGTGAACATACAGCTGAGCATCGACCTGGTGTGAAGCACCTCCTGTCGTGGTCTATCATCACCGCCCATCCCTCGACATCCAAGTTGCCCCGCCGTACAGCTGCCGCTGGCTGGATACTTGGACCGCAACAACGCGGTCGAGAAATCAGGATGCCTGAAGCGAATCTGCCTGCGTACGTGTCCTCTCCAGATATGTTGATGGCCCACGGATCCTAATGTGTGTGAAATAGAGAGCCCAATCTGCGAGTGACCAGTATGTCGATCATCCGTCCTCTCACCCGTCAAAACCTCGACACTGACCAAACTTAGTCATCGCGGCTGATGGCTTGTATAAAAGAGATGTCTTCCGTGAGTTTATGTAATGGATGAGCATATATGATTCGGTGACTGAGATTGTTCAGGATTTCCCGACCCGTTCGCTGTGGCGACCATCTCGGGAGAACAAACGAGGACGACCTCGGTGATCAAGAAAACATTGAACCCTTATTGGAATGAAGCCTTTGACATGTTTGTGAAACATCCCCCTGACAAAGAGACTTTGACTGATCATGATATAGGCGAGTCACAGAGGACAGTATTTTAGCTATACAAATCTTCGATCAGAAGAAATTCAAAAAGAAGGACCAGGGCTTCCTTGGTGTCATCAACATTCGAATCGGCGACGCCATTGATTTAGATATGGGCGGAGATGGTATGCTTTACATCTATGCGTGCTTGAGAGGAAGAAGAATGATACTAACACCAAATCAGAGATGCTCACTCGGGATCTTAAGAAGTCCACCGACAACTTGGTGGTTCACGGAAAATTGATCGTGAACTTATCCACCAATCTCTCCTCTCCACCTCCAAATCAGCAGAATCGGCCTGCTCCGAGTACCTCTTCCAGCGTTAACGGCTCAAATCCATACTCCAGCAGCACGAACGTCAACCAAACCCTACCCATCCGTTCCCGGAGCCCAGCCCCGTCACGAACAGCTACATCTGGCTCAGGAGAAGCAAGGGCTTCTAGCACTGCTATCAACGGAACGATGCCACAACCTCAGGTCAATGGTACTGGAAGATCCGGGGGGTTCAGCTCTTTTGAAGACAGTCAAGGACGTTTGCCCGCTGGATGGGAACGCAGAGAAGATAATCTGGGCAGAACCTACTACGTTGATCACAATACCAGGACCACAACATGGACGCGACCGTCCAACCACATGAGTGAAAGCGAAGCAAGAAATCGTGCCGAAGCAAATATGCAGATGGAACGACAACGACACCAAAATCGTATGCTTCCCGAAGATCGCACCGGAGCCAGCTCGCCCAACTTGCAAGACAGTCGAGGAGGATCGCCTTCTCAGCAAAATGCCGTATCTATGATGGCCACCGGGGCCACCACTGCAGGAACTGGTGAACTTCCCGCTGGATGGGAACAGAGACACACCCCTGAAGGTCGTGCCTATTTCGTGGACCACAATACACGAACCACCACTTGGGTGGATCCGAGACGACAACAATACATTCGCATGTATGGAAACAACCCTTCTGGAAACAACACCACCATTCAACAACAGCCCGTATCGCAATTGGGACCATTGCCCAGCGGATGGGAAATGCGACTCACCAATACAGCCCGTGTATACTTCGTGGATCACAATACCAAGACGACAACCTGGGACGATCCACGATTGCCATCGTCGTTGGATCAAGGCGTCCCACAGTACAAGCGTGATTTCCGGCGAAAGCTGATCTACTTCCGTTCGCAACCGGCTTTGCGTATCCTGTCTGGTCAATGTCACATCAAAGTCCGACGGGGCGCCATTTTCGAAGATTCCTATGCTGAGATCATGCGACAAAGCGCGACCGATCTGAAGAAGCGATTGATGATCAAATTCGATGGTGAGGACGGTCTTGACTATGGTGGTCTCTCTCGGTAAGTCAACGATGAACATCTGGAAGATATATCTGTGCATTAATATATGATCAGCGAATTCTTCTTCTTGCTCTCACACGAAATGTTCAACCCTTTCTATTGCCTGTTCGAATACTCTGCGCATGACAATTACACTCTGCAAATCAATCCACACTCCGGCATTAACCCCGAACATCTCAACTACTTCAAATTTATTGGGCGAGTTGTTGGGCTTGCTATCTTCCATCGTCGCTTCCTGGATTCATTCTTCATCGGGGCGTTCTACAAGATGATGCTTCGCAAGAAGGTCACCATCAACGATATGGAGGGTGTGGACGAAGAGTACCATAAGAACTTGACGTGGACTCTGGAGAACGATATCACCGACATCCTTGACCAAACTTTCTCTATTGAAGATGAACAATTTGGTGAGACCAAGACTATTGATTTGAAACCTGGCGGCCGCGACATCCAGGTCACAAATGAGAATAAGAGAGAATATGTCGAGTGAGTTTGGCCCGCTTTGGGAATCCCAATAGTTCAAACACTAATACCATCTAGACTCGTGACAGAATGGAAGATCCAGAAACGGGTTGAAGAGCAGTTCAATGCCTTCATCACAGGTTTCAACGAATTGATCCCGGCAGATCTCGTCAATGTTTTTGATGAGCGTGAACTCGAGTTGTTGATCGGCGGTATTGCTGACATTGACGTTGACGATTGGAAGAAACACACCGATTACCGTGGCTACCAGGAGCAGGACGAAGTGATCCAGAACTTCTGGAAGGTGATTCGATCCTGGGATGCTGAGCAGAAGAGTCGTCTCCTCCAATTCGCCACAGGCACGAGCCGTATTCCTGTCAACGGATTCAAGGATCTGCAAGGTAGTGATGGCCCGAGAAGATTCACGATCGAGAAGGCTGGTGAGGTCAACGCCTTGCCGAAGAGTCATACGTGGTACGTTTTACTTTCTTGTCACGCAGAGATTCTCCTAACGCAGTACAGTTTCAATCGTCTTGACCTTCCGCCATACAGATCTTATGATACTCTCAACCTGAAGCTTTCAACTGCCGTCGAGGAAACGCTGGGCTTCGGCCAAGAATAAACGCGTCGTTCCTCGTTTGATTCTGGTCATGATCTGGTCCCGGACCAGACAGTTCTGGCGAAATGTCGGTTGTATTGCGGTGGAAGTTTCTTTAAGCGGCGGGCGTGTGTAGAGCTCACATTGGGGAGAACATATATGTGGAAGGGTGACGGTCAGTGAGGGTTGAAAACGCCTGGTGGTGGGACAAACATATGGTGGATGACTGGTGGCCGTCAGTGTTGACTGGACCCTCTTTAGGAGACCAATCAATACTGGTCCAGTTGGCCTGGTCTGCCTTGGGCGCGGATAAAGCAGTGACAACGCAAAGGAAGGCAGCCACGGAGCGATGGTGCAGAGCGATGCAGTGCAGCGCAGTGCAATCTGAGCAGGGAGCAGGGAGCTCAGTTCTGACCGGGAATAGGCTGAATTACGGGCCCAGGATGAATGGGATCGGAGGAATCAAGGACATAAAATGCCATTACTTACATACATCTAGTGGAGTTGAGTCAGAATCGTCGTGCTTTGCTTGGGACGTCACCGTGGAAATTGGAGGTCATATTTCTTTCCTTTTCTTTCTTGGCCCTCTCATCACTGTCGCTAGCTCCGGATCGCATTGTTCAATAAATACTTAATATCTGTGCATTGCATTCACCATGAGCTGAAGATACGTTTCCGACTACGCTACGCAGAACCCATGGTTTCCACTCAACTTCGAGATGATGGTGAGGTTACTTTGCTCAGGCAACGAGAATTTTGAGAAGAGATGGGAAAGACATAGACGGCACCGGGAGTTATAGCACGAGAAAGAAAGGAAGGACTTTCGGAAGCATCTCTTGTCAATCTGAACATGATGTGTTGATCAGCACCTATGCTAAAGTATGCTGGATCTATTATATCAGCGCTGTACTACTGATGTCGCTTCAAGAATCAAGAACGATGAAGGATGACTGAGCCTTGGCCAACCAAGAAAATGCACCTGTAATCTGCTGGTGGAATGGAGACCGTCGTCCCTAGACCTTCTGCAAGGTCAAGGCAACAAATTGCAAAGTGATAAGGTAGGTCCATCTATGTGGATCGGCCAGGCTGGTACCAAGCATCATGCCAGTAGTCAAGAAACCGGTTGTACTAGGATCGGTCAGAAGAGAACAAGTTCAGGTTTCTGGCTGGGGGATATACTGATGTTGGCAGTAGGTCTGTTTAGTGAGTCATACCCTGGTTGAAGAGGCGATGAAAATCCTTCTTGCCCTCCTCAACGTCGTAGGGTCATATACGCGGAGATTGTAAGAGAGCAAGAATTGGTTGGAACAAGGTGAACCCCGGTGGCTCTGGCCATAGCATCGAAGGGTATGTTGTTGCTCTTTTAGTCTTGGTGTTGGATCGAGGCATTGTGATTGTGATGTGAGGCACCACAGTGGCCAAGGATGGACGTGTGTATGGGTAATGGGGATATCCTGTTTGGCAAGGTAACTTGTTGTACCGAAAATGGCTTGCTAGCAGAAGGAAGCTGGGATATCCTGAGCGAACGAAGCTTGTTTTGGTCAAAGTGTTGTGTGAGTGGTTGAGGAAAAGGCGAAGATAGGACACCAAAGAGGGCCGAAGGGAGCTTTTTATTTGAGAAGCGAGAGTGGACGCAGTATGAGAGAGTAACTGCTAAGCAGATATGAGGAGTGGCAAAGGCAGCAGAGAGAGTTCATATTGGGTGCGGAAGGAAGGCAATGAGAGGGCATATGAAATACAGCAGCGTGGCCGATTTGAGAGTATATCAGATATGGAGTACTTTTCGTCAGGAATTACCTATACCACTGCTTGGATCGTCGGAGGACATACACATGGCCGGTTCGGCTTTTACTGGTCAAAGGAAGGTCGCATTCCGTGGTTCCTTTCCAATCTCCGAAGATCCAGTGAGTTGCGTCAAGTGCATATTCATATCATTGCCATGTCCAGCCATCTGCGGTGTACGGCGGGGGTTCTTCGTCTGTATGGACGAGGTTTTCCATCGTGGAGCGGACGGGTATTGGAATCTCGCTGGTTGACGAGGTGGTTTCTGCGTCGGCCGAGTGTTGCGCTGAGGAAACAGGGGCAGAGCTCGTGCCTGAAGGTAAGTCTGGTTCTTGGGTTGAATTGGGCCGCGGTTTCGTCTGGGGAAGCCTCGTTGAATCGTCAGAATCGTCCACGTCTGAGTCGGTCTCGCTGTTTTCAGCTCTCTCCTCCTTGTTTGACATGTCTGGCATGACGACTGTTCCCCCGTGGAGTCGCCAATTCCTTATGACAATGACGTGGTCATCCCGGGTGTCGGATTCAGTCCTCGGCACTTCTTCCACGTTAGAACTTGGCCCAAGATCTCCATCTCCGTCACCTTCCTGGTCCAGGGATTTTCTTCTGTGCTCTCTGATCCGGTCCTGGGAGTACCACAGATGTAGCATCTTTCGATATTCTTTAATGGTGGCGCTGAAGTCATACTCTTCGTGCATGGTTTGTGCTACTGTTTCGTAGTCGAGTTTTCGTACCAGAAGGAGTTCGAGGATCACCGCTTTCAGAGTACACCATTCTTCCGTCCGATCCTCCTCCATTGAAGGCATCATCGTCAATAAGTCATACTTGTCGTTCATCTTCTCTGCATTCGTCCGCGAAAAGACCAGGGCACCATGGTCGCTTTGCTTGCCATACCTACTCAACTGTTGTGGCGCAGGGACATGTGCGCAACATTTTTTAATCCACAGGAGAAATTCCATGTGGTATCTCCAGTAGCCTCTTTTGGAGTCATATACAGAATTGGCACTTGGAGCGGCTGAGTCTGGCATATAGCGGCGGTAATTGATGGTGTCAAGGTGGCGTACAAACTGAGGGAGATCAGCATCTGGGTCGTCTTTGACTGCTTCATCGCCGCGCATTTCTCGACGAGACATCCGCATCAATTTCAATCGTCGTCGGTTGTACTCTTCGAGGTCAGCCTGACGCGAAGCTGCATTCCGTGCCCGAGCTTCGATCATTTTCTGATTCCAATGATACCTAGTAGTTCCGCCGACTTGTCTTGGGAGGGCTTTATTGCACCAAAGACAAATCCTCCTTCGATCTTTATCGGCATCCAGAGGTGCGCCGCAGTCTTGACCATGACAATACATCTCTGACGATGAGATGGCTTCCCGATTCTGCAGATCCTTACAGCTGAGACAGAGCCAGCCATCGTCTTTCAGAGTACACGTGCAATAGTCCCGGGTGCTGCCATCTGGATCATACCATTTCCTTTTACGGTGGGAATCCTTTGAAGGTGTCAGTGGGTAGCGTTGGCTTCGACTTGAATTTCCATTGTCCCAGCAATTCCTGCAGAGATATCGAGTCCGATTCTGGAAGGTATTTTCGTGGCCTCTGGCGAAAGATGACCGTACAATGCAGGCGTCGCAAATTGGCCTGGAACAGTAGCGGCAAGGTTTGGGATCCGGTCCTTTGGTGTGAGTCCGAGACGAGCACTCGAACGGTGCCAGGTCCTTGAGTCGCTGCCAATATGGGGTACCATGATTGCCAATGTGTAGCTCCTTTCGAACCAAATGAAGGTCTAAAGGTACTTTGGTTTGCTCTAGTTCGTCGAAGCCATGAAGAAGAGCACGGAGAGTAGTGCTGAGTCTGGCAAGGCTGATGAGATCCCCCACTGGAAGGTGCTGGCTCAGAGTGCTGGCAATAGGCCATAATGACAGGATAGATTCCAAGCTAGGAGACGCTGCCACATCCATGGCTGGAGTATGTGGATCATAGTGAGGCGGACGACAAGAGACGACGTGTTGCAGGTCGACAGTGGCTATCTGACGGTGGCATGGACGAAGTTGGCTCTCAAGTCTTCTCGGAGATGAAAAGAAGGAGGGCAGACTCTATGATCAACAGGAATGAGATGGTTTCAGCGTCTTCACATGATGTGGGAGGATGACACGATGAATGGGTTCCCATAAGGCTGAAAATGCCAAAACCAACGCAATGCCGCCTAGTGGATCCCCGGATTTTGGTGGTTGGTGAGTTCAGCAGCCGCCTGCAATTTTGCGATTCGTACAATTCTTACGGATAAATTTACTCAATCATTAGGTTGTCGAGTCAAGCAGTTGCCATTGACGCGTCCAGCTGCTCTCCCCTCCGTGCCTCCTTGCTCTCACACGACTGATTGGCCGTTCCTCGCAATGTCTCTACAGTCCTACATTAACCGTATATGTGACCACCCTGCTTTGGACTTGACTGCGATGATATGCTTATGGTTCACACAGAAAAAGTCCTCGTCATAACAGTCGATGGGCGTACCTTAATTGGCACCCTCCTCTCCTGCGATCAGGTCACCAACATCGTTTTGAACGACACGGTTGAACGAATTATTCGTCCTGCAGATGACCCTGAACCAAGCTCTCAAGTCAGCCATGGTTTATATCTGGTCCGAGGCGATAACATCACAATTGTCGGACGGGTGGATGAAGAGCTGGATAACAGTATTGACTGGGACCAAGTGAGAGGAGAGGTTATCGGGACGACGAAACACGTGTGACAAATGAGCTTGTAAGGCGGGAGCCTGAAGACGAAAGTTCGAGATTTCTATGGATTCGCACTTGAACGCAGAGTCCAGCGAATGCCAAAACACCAACGGTCCATTCATGCGCGTCGATGCACGAGGAAGAGAACGTCTTGTGCGGAAGCTCCTCCTGCATCTCACGACGGTGGGCTATTCAACCCGGCGGGTGCCGCTAAAAGCAATAAAGAACTGATTCAGAGAGTATGTGAAATCTATGTTTCCCCCCTCCCGAAACCGTTGGTTAACAAACGATCCATCAAGAGTTCTCTCTTATACCACTTTGACAACGCGGCCTCCGAGAGTCGTGCCTGGCTTCACGGCCTTGGAAATTCGGATGGAGAGTGGCTCTGCCTTCGAACTATTTTTCCATCCCCTATTCGGATCCAAAAGAGCACTCGGAGATCAACCTTGGCCAAATTCAGTGGTAGTGCCCTTTTGGTCAAGCTTCAGAATAGTGGCCACGATATTCGGGCCGAGAAAGAATGCGAGCTACCATGTCGAAGAGAGGCATCTGTCGACTCGTTCCGTCTCCGCCAGGAACCGTTAGCTCTATCTATTTAAATAACTATTTCCAACCATGGTTTGCCTTGAGACACGTACGTCTGCACATGAATCAGAGCCTTCAATTGGGACTGTTGGTCCGACCGATCCAGTTTTCGATGTCCAGATCAATAGGTGAAGCGGAAAGCCGGGTGATCGTCTCCCATATTTCTCTTCTCCTCTTCTGGCAAATTATACCTATCATCTCTTCGGCCTTGGTCTCTCAATTTGTTTTCCCGTCTGATGTAGAAGAATAATATGACTGAACAGAGGACGCACAACCATATCAGACCCAATCCCAAACCGAATCCGAGCGGATATTCCGGTGCCTGACTAGTGACAAACATGTTCCTGGGCCCGTTGGTCAGTCACACCACTGAACATGTGCCTCGAGAGAACTTACGATGCAACGATACCACCACAATTACCCCAGCCAACCATCATAGCAGAGCTCACACTTCGTTTATAGTGCCCGGAGACATTGTTGTTCAACCAAACGAGAGTAATTGGCTGGGCAATATATCCGCCACCAATAACGGCAAACAGGGCAAAATATCGAACACCGACGGCGACTGAATGCATATTCAACAATATCGCATATCCGATAGTGGCGACCAGACAGCCGGTAACAATGAATCCAAAACGATGGCGTATTTTGTCGCTTGCCATGGCGCATGTGAGAGCGCAAACGGTGGCGAAAACATAGATTGGGATAGACATGACCTGTGCACGGATTGATGTCCAGCCCAGCTGTTTGAGAATGGTCGGGGTGAAGAAGGCACCGCTATAACCGGTGGTGACAATACCCAGATACATGCCAATGCTGGTGAAGGTTAGTTTCTTGCCCAATATCGCTGCACAGAAGGAAACATATTACTGACCCAAGGTAGATCTTGATATCACTAAAGACACGCTTAGCCGTCGTCTTGTTCCAATGGCTCATATTAGCTTCTTCAACATCCGTGGCCAAGCGACGAATGAGAAGTTCTCGTTCATCGTTTTTCAAGAACTTGGCCGTCTCTGGCCAATCGGGAACAATCCAGTATGAAAACACAGACACAACCACGGTGAAGATGCCCTCGAGAATGAAAATCCAGCGCCAGCCACCGTACCCAGCGATGCCGTCCATGTGTGCAATAGCATAGGCGAGGAGGCCGCTAAATGCACCGGCAATAATGGACGCGGAAAAGAAGAGATTGAATCGCCATTGGAGTTCGTGACGCTTGTAGTACATTGAGATCAAATAGAGACATCCTGGGAAAAACCCGGCCTCCAGGGCGCCGATGATAACTCGGCAAACGACGAGGCCAGCGAAGGATTCAGTGACTCCTTGGCAGACGGTGATCACACCCCAGCCGGCCATAATGGATGAGATGAAGATCGAGGGCCGGACATTCTTGAGAATCAGGTTGCAGGGGACTTCCAGGAGGATATAAGGAATAAAGAACATGAATAGTGCGATGTTGTAGTCTGAGCCACTCATGTTGAGCTCTTCCTCGAGGCCTTGAATGCGCGCATTGCCGATGTTGATTCTAAAAAAAAAACCCCGTTTATAAGCGCGATGGTCAAGAATTGGTTGACCAGGTCATGAGGTCATACCGGTCAATGAAAGCGCAGAGAAAAAGAAGAAAGAGAATCGGGATCAAGTTGAGGTCGGTCTTCCAGAGAAGCTTCTTCTCCCGCGCACGATCAATTTCCTGAGCTTCGCCTTTGAGACTCAGGCTGTTGACTTCCTGGATCTCCTTCTCGACAGTGTCAATGGGGACATCTTCAATCTCGGATCGGTCGACGATCTTGTCCGTCATTTTGAATATGGTAGAAGAATCCCACAACGAAGAGTTGAGAGCGAATAAGAAGGGAGGAGTAGCAGAGAGCAACGCAAAGAGAGAACAGAGGAATATTGTACCGCTCCCTTCGTGAAGGACGCTGGATTTGGGAACTGGGGGCACAGGGTCACATTTATCACTTTTCCCACTCACATATGCCAACATGCGGCAATTGATAGGGGGTATCAGGTCTTGGGAGAGCTTGGACTCCTGCCGACCGGAAGTGCCAGCAGCGACCTGCAAGGTTGGTCTGTGACACCTTGGATCGTGCATTAGTTTATTCCTCTTTCTCTCTTTTGGTGCCTTCAATCTCGACGCTTCCACGTTCCCCAAGACCTTGGCTTCCAAGGATTTTTGTGGGTTCAAACCGTCTTTGGAATTTGAGCCTTGTTAGCGAGAACGGGGAGAGAACCTGTCAATGGACAGAGGAGAGGTTTCCGGGTTTCAAGATTGATCAACTGACTGGCCTCAGAGGATCATCCATCGCGTGGCGACAAAACATAGGATCGACAGCCAACCATGATTGGGAGGGGACTACAAAGAGCAAAAGTCCGGGGTAATTGGCAAAAATTCACCAGGTATTCGGACCGGGGCCACACCAACGCAGTCGATACTCCACCCGTTTTTTGCTCCCAAGTGGCTGGCGCCGCCTGCGAATTAGCTTCCTCCCACTTCTCTTTAATCCGGGGCCAAAGGAGGAGTTCCCGGAGAAGAATTGGGGGACGAAAGATGGTTAAGCTCCTTCGAAGACCGGGTTGTTGAACCCCATCCATTTGGGGAGGATACGAGTGCGGAATTTCATGGCCAGGGGGACGGAGGAAACCCGCACCTGCTCCCAAAGAATGACCTCGGCCAATGACCGTAAGTTTCGTATAATCCCCTATTCTATTGTGTACATCTCGTCGAGATTCGTATTGTGACACATTTGCCTCGGTGCGGAGAAGAAAGGTGACCCACTTTTAGACAAAAGGTCCTCACCCAGAGAGGCGCGATGTTGAAGTTGATGGTAAAGCCTTAGAGAAAAGAAGGATATCATCTCAAATGTTCAGATCACAATTCCAAGACTTTTGACGAACAGCCTGGCCGGATCATCAAGCTGTTTTGGGCAGGATGGAAAAACCGGTGGAACAACCGCTGGATGATCCGGGGCCGGAGCATTTGGGACATGACACACTGGTTGAAAGGAGAGTCGCTTCTAGATGGTCTGTTCATCAGGCAAAGAGCTCAAAGGTCCGTACCCTTCTCTCGAATGCCTGTGGTCTATCCTGCATCTTTTTCTTTGCGTTCAGGATTCACCATAGGCGCATTATCACATGAATTCATTCTCCTCCCCCCACCCCCCCTCTTCTCTTCATTCTAAACCATCTAGCATTTGGCCAAAATGCCTTCCCAGGGTTTTAACGGGATCTTCCCCTCTTGCGGCTTCTCTGGTTGGCCCTTGAAATAGTTACTGCGTGCCCAGAACTCGACCTCCAGGTCTTCCGGCAAAATCCATTCAACATTCCTGCCCGAGAAGTTCAAGACCACCAGCCATTTTTCCCCCGTCTGGCTGCCCATCCGAATGTATGCAAAGACATTAGGATCATCGGGCGAGATTTCCTGGTAATCGCCGTAGACGAAGACATCGGCATGTTTTTTCCGATCGTGGATGCCTCGTTGCCAGAACTGCCATGTCGATAGCTCTTGAAAGGCAGTTTGCTTCATCTGGTCTTCGGCGTTGATGCTATCTTTGAAATCGTCCATGACTCTCATCCAAGGCTTGACACCGGGACTGCAAAATCCAGCGTTGTCCCCGGCCGTCCACTGCATTGGAGTGCGCGCGTGATCGCGAGCTTTCATATGGATGACCTTCTTACCGTGCTCTAGCCCGGCGGGGTCGTCCTTGTAAATCTGCTGGCACTTCTTCCAGAAATTGATCGTTTCGATGTCCTTGTACTCCTCGCTAATCTCCCAGTGTGTCGGGGCATTGCGGATCCCGATCTCTTCGCCCTGATACACGAACAGGGTGCCGCCGAGCGTGGTCTGCATGAGAGCCAGGAGCTTTGCGCCCTTGTCACGGAACGCGTCGCTATCGTCCGTGTACCGGCTCACGCTGCGCGGGTTGTCGTGGTTCTCGATGAAGACTGAGTTCCATCCGTCGCGCTCGATCATGCATCGTTGCCAGCGGCTGATGATCGATTTCATTTCCCTGACGTCCCATGGTTTCAGGGCCATGCGCACGTTCGGCTTGTCGATGTCCACTAGGTCGAAGATGAAGACCATGTTGAGTCCGCCTGCGGCCGAGCCGACTGTGCGCAGAATCTCCGTCTCGTCGGACACACCGGGCATTTCGCCCACAGTGATGGTTTCATACTTGGATAGTACTTCTCGGTTCATCTCGCGGAGGTAGTCGTGGAGTCTGCCGGACCGAGTCAGATTCACTTTATTGGAACAGAGGAGGTAGAGAAGGATGAGGCGAGGGAGTTACTTAGGGCCGTTCACGAAGAACTGTGTACCCGGTTGATACTGGTGGGTAGCTGGGTCCAAGACAATGGGGGCGTCCGGATAAGTTGGGACCTTGGATATCATATTGATGACGTCCATGCGAAAGCCCGCGACGCCTTTGTTCAGCCAGAATCGCATGACATCCCAAACAGCCTCGCGAACTTCAGGATTCTCCCAGTTCAGGTCTGGTTGTTCGGGCGTGAAGACAGAGAGATAATATTCTCCTGTATCAGTGTCATAGGTCCAAGCAGAATTGGCCTCACCCAAGATCTGAGCCCAATTGTTCGGGGGTTCAGGTCCTCCTGCGTCACTGATAGATTTCGGGGGTTTCCAAATATACCAGTCACGTTTGGGGTTGTTCTTAGAAGATCTACTCTCAAGGAACCAATCGTGCTGATTCGAGGTGTGATTGACAACCAAGTCCATCATCAGCTTCATATCCCGCTTCTTCAGCTCAGAGATCAACTCCTCCACGTCCTCCACGGAACCGTAGATGGGGTCTATCGTTTTGTAGTCCGCAATATCGTAGCCCATGTCCGCCTGGGGGGATTTGTAGATGGGACTTGTCCAAACCACGTCAATTCCTAGGATTTTCAAGTAGTCGACGCGCGAGGTGATGCCTCTGACGTCCCCCCAGCCGTCGCCATTGGTATCTTGGAAAGAGGACGGATAGATTTGATAGACGACTGCTTCTTTCCACCATTTTGGCGTCGCATACGCAGAGGTCTTGGACATTGCTGGGATTTATTTTCCTCTTCCTTTTCTTTGGTTGGGGGGGTTGGTCAACCCCAAAGTTTTAAGTAGTGAGGCGGCAAACTGTTCACTCAGATGAGAAGAGACAGAGCCGAAAAGAGAAATATTGAAGACTGGGAATCTTCACCTGAACTCGTCTTGCGTCTTGGATGTGGACACATTGTGTTCTGTATCAGCGAAAGAATCTCCGCGCATGACGTCTGGCCTAATGGAGAAGCCTCCCCCGATGGCTCGGATGTCCTCAAGTACATTAGCACCTGCGTCCCTTGCCTGAAAGAGGAATCTCTTCATCTCTTTTCATTCTGTATACGGGAGAATGAACCCAAGCTTCCTTATGTAGCCAAAAGATACGTGAAGTAAGATTCAAGGACCCTCAGGACGTTGTATGCTGACGGCCGCTTCGTCATAGGGCCTGGCCTCCTACTTGTCCAACGAGCGTGCGAGAAATTAGGGATAATCAAAACTCTCTTTTCCCTCGCTCATCCCACATTGACGGGGCAAATCAGATCCCAGGAAAAAGAGAAACCCCTCTTTGTCCCCGGTTTGTGTCAGGACGGAATTGCTCCGAGAAGCTCGTCAGGACTCTCATCGGCGTCACTGGGCCGTGCGTGGACGATGAGTCTCAAAAGAGAAACACAAACAGACTGTGAACAGGTCAGACCATCGATCTTATAACAACAAGCTATCAATATTGAAATTGGAAAAAGAATACCAAAGCAGACATTCGTCCGTCATGGCCTATCTCAAATCATGGTTTCCGATCCCCAAGTCCAGCCATTTCTCCTTGGCCAATTTACCCTTCGGCATCATCTCCACGGCATCCAAACCAAGTCCTCGACCTGCCGTGGCGATTGGTGACCATTGTCTGGATCTGGAGGCATTTGCAGCGTCTGGAGCATTCTCACCTCTGGAAATCGATGTTTCATGTTTCTCTAAACCGACGCTCAACGACTTCGCAGCCCTAGGAAAACCCGTCCATCGCTCAGTTAGGACATTCCTTCAAGATGTCTTCGCCGAGAATCCATCCAATGCAAAGGCTCTACAGAGCAATCAGAGCCTTCAGGAGAAATGCTTGATTCCACGTGATCAAGTGTCCATGCACATGCCCATGCAGATTGGAGATTATACCGATTTCTACGCCGGCAAGAATCACGCATTCAATGTTGGGTCTCTCTTTAGGGGACCAGAGAATGCTCTTCAGCCCAATTATACTCATTTACCGGTGGGATACCACGGTCGAGCATCATCAGTGGTCATCTCCGGTACTCCCATCACTAGGCCTAATGGCCAGATTCTCGAGAATCCTGCAGCTACACCAAAAGTGCCAATCTTCAGCCCGTGCAGACGACTCGACATTGAATTAGAACTCGGTGCATTTTTATGCAAGGGCAGTCCGATGGGCAAAAACATCCCCATATCTGAGGCGGCAGACCATATCTTTGGCTTCGTCATGCTCAACGACTGGTCAGCTCGGGATATTCAAGCGTGGGAGTATGTCCCCTTGGGACCGTTCCTGGCGAAGAATTTCGGATCCACCATCAGCCCATGGGTGGTTCTCACCGATGCATTGGAACCTTTCAGATGTAAGGGGATCCCGAATGATACTCCTTTGTTGCCCTATCTGCAGGAGAAGGAGGAGAAGAACGTGTATGATATTCGATTACAGGTGGATATCACTCGTAAGTCCAACACCAGGATCCCTATTCCGGAAAAGAAGGTATTGATCGATTGGAACTGACTTGACGCCCAACAAAAATCCAGCCGAGGGCAAACCATCCACGACAATTCTCAACTCCAATGGACGACATCTCCTTTTCTCATTCCCCCAGATGCTCGCCCACCATTCAATCGGAGGATGCCCGATGGCAGTGGGAGATTTCCTGGGTTCCGGCACAATCAGCGGCATCGAGCCGGGTACGCAAGGAAGCATGCTTGAGATCACCAAGGGCGGGAAGCAAAGTATTCAATTGAATGGTGGAGTCGAGCGGAAATTTCTCGAGGATGGCGATACCATTACGTTCTACGGAGTCTGTGGCACCGAGGAGACTGGATTGGTCGGGTTCGGAGAGTGTTCGGGCAAGATTCTGCCCGCCCCGAAGATCTGAGTCGGTGCTGTCTACAGGGCATATGGGGAATACAGTAGATAGGATTTGATTGGAATAGGGTATAAAAAACAATACAACAAAAAGGGGAGAGGCATGTGAATATGGAAGCCAACCGATTCCGCTCTGAGTTTGTCGGCTCAGATCCGAAAGGCGCCAATCACCAGAGCTCTAATGGATCTTACCCCAGACTTGCAGCCTCCAGAAAGCTTGCTTTCCGGCCTGTTCTCCCTTGCTGTTGGTCGCCCTTGATGGATGGGGCTCCCGTAGGCTCCCCCCAAGCCCGGTGGTGGCTCAGCGGGCATATTTCCGCTATAACAATGGCTGTACACATTTCTCCCCCTCCTTTGGCTGCTAGTGTGCACATGACCGCTCCCGCTGTGACATCGAAACCCTCGCTGAACATCCGCACTCACCGACGGTAAACGGAGGAGGAAGATCTCCTTGAGCCCGAGTTTCGTCCATGATGTTATCCACCTGCTTCAGTTCTGGAATGTATAAGGAACAAGATATATATTTTTCAGGCTATTTCATCTCCTTCGCCGTGGACCACTCTCAAATCTCATCATCACCATCAGCAAACTTAATAAACATACCAAATCTGGGTGTCTTGCACCGCAACGAAGGTGCTGATACGTTGGCCTGTGAGCGTGATTGAAACCAGGAATTCTCGCCGGGAAAGAGAGACCATAAGCGAGGCCAGTTCTGAGTGACTCAGCGCCAATCAATCGAATACTCGATGATTATTTGAATCCAGAGCATATTATCATTTGTATGACTGGGGAAAATTTTTCGATTGATGAGAAACAACACGTCCATTTCCATCAGGATGATCGAATCATTGTCGCCGACGACTCTGTTGTTCGTCTTCCTCACACTTGCCTATTTCTTGATCCGCTTCCTCAACTCCACCGATCAACCCAAAATCAAGGGTCTGCCTGAGATCCCGGGCGTGCCCATATTCGGCAATCTGCTTCAACTGGGTCAGGATCATGCACGTGTTACCGCGGGTTGGGCAAAGAAATACGGCTGGCCTGTCTTCCAAACTCGACTGGGCAACCGTCGTATTATTTTTGCCAACACGTTTGACTCAGTCAAACATTTCTGGATCACGAATCAATCTTCTCTCATCTCCCGCCCGACTTTGTACACCTTCCACAATGTCGTGTCAAGCAGCCAAGGCTTCACGATCGGTACCTCGCCCTGGGATGAATCCTGCAAGCGCCGCCGCAAGGTCGCGGCTACGGCCTTGAATAAACCTGCTGTTCAGAGTTACATGCCATTCATCGATCTCGAGAGTTGTGTGGCTATCAAGGACATGTACAAGGATTCCATGAATGGGACCGTTGATTTGGATCCTCGCAAGTATTTCCATCGATTTGCTCTCAATACCAGTTTGACCTTGAACTATGGCATTCGTATCGATGGCGGCATTGACCAGGAACTACTCAGAGAAGGTGCAAATCTCCTGTCATTCAAAAGTTTGGGGCAAGCAAGCTGACCATTCCTTATAGTGGTCCATGTTGAGCGTGTAGTCTCCAACTTCCGAAGCACGTCGAACAACTGGCAGGATTACATTCCTCTTCTGCGACTGCCGTTCCTTTCTCGACAAAACAAATCTGCCGCCGAATATCGCATTCGCCGTGACAAGTATCTGACCACTTTCTTGGATATGCTCAAGGAACGAATTGCCAACGGCACCGATCGACCGTGTATCACCGGCAACATCATTAAGGATCCAGAGGAGACGCTCAACGATGCTGAACTCAAGTCCATCTGCTTGACTATGGTGTCGGCAGGAATCGACACCGTCCCGGGTAACCTGATCATGGGTCTTGGTTATCTTGCCTCGCCTCAAGGCCAACACATCCAGCAGAAGGCATACGAGGAAATCATGAAGGTGTACCCCGAGGATGGCGAGGCATGGGAGAAATGCCTGGTGGAAGAAAAAGTGCCGTACATCACGGCATTGACCAAAGAAATCCTCCGTTTCTGGACAGTGATTCCCATTTGTCTGCCGCGGACGAGCATCAAGGACATCAAGTACAACGACACGGTGATCCCGGCAGGCAGCACGTTCTACATGAACGCCTGGGCCGCCGATTATGATGAGACACACTTCAAAGACCCCACCCAATTCATGCCAGAACGATATATTGACGACCAAGAAGGCAGTGGCACGCCGCACTACGGTTACGGGGCAGGCAGCCGGATGTGCGTGGGATCACACTTGGCAAATCGTGAGATCTACACGGCGTTCCTACGTATGATTGTGGCCTTTGAATTCGTTCAGGCCAAAGATCCCCGCGACCGCCCTGTCCTAGACGCTCTCGAGTGCAATAGCATTCCCACGGCCTTGACAACGGAGCCCAAGCCATTCAAGGTTGGGTTCCGTATCAGGAATAGGGAAGCTCTGGATCGATGGATTCGTGCCAGTGAAGAGCGGACCAAGGATTTGTGAGTCGTGGATGGAGAGAACGATTTGCAAGCCGTCCAGCTTGGAGCTGAGAGGGAAGACATCACCTTTTTGGTAGCTCTGGAATTTGCATGGCCGTGAGGAGGGCGAAAAAGGAGCAATTCATCAGGTTGACCGAAATTGCATGGGACCAAGGGAAGATTGTTCCCATTGGGTGGGGCCATACTATCTGCATCTCCTTGGGCCTCGAGGCTGGTGTTTGCATCGTACCTTCATTCTTTGACTGAATGTACCGAATCCAAAGTTGCTTGCTGCCTACTTCATCTCCTCTTACCTGCGTAGCATTCCAATTACCGTTTGTCACCGCTGCGCTCTTTCAACCGGCCCATTTCTTTTTTCCTTTGAGCTCCTCACCTAAATCCTCGACGAAGTATACATCGAAATCGAGCTCAACATTCTCATCCGAGTGGCCCAGGGCTCGTTGGAGCGGCGGAGGAGGGATAAGATGAGAAGCGCATATTACGATAAGGAGCGATGTACATCGAACCAGTCAGCAGATAGTCGTGATGTTGCTTTCTTTTGGCGTTATGAATCAAGTGATGTGCGTACGTATCCTCCTTCCTCATAGTACGTCCGTTGATGAGTCTTGGATGAAATAATACGTCTCGTAGTCCGATAATAGCGCGTACCTTGCTTGCGAGTCTGAGGGACAAGGACGATGACACAAGGAAAGAGGGAGAAATTTTTCGCCTGGTGATTCGCCATGAATGGCCACGGGCCAAGCAGCAAAGGTCGCTCGCTCTCCGAACGGCTCCCAGTCACCGGTCTTGGTTTGACGGTTCAAGCAGGAGGTTGCGAGCTGGTGCGCTGTGCCCGAGGAATGTGATGTGAGCATCAACCACAGCCGCCTCCGTCCCTATGATGGCAAGGTCGATTCGTGGCTCAAGCATCTCATTGAGACAAGTGAGGATGAGCTTCCAAGTAAGTAGCTCATTGTTTGCCGTTGTGATCGCCATGGATCATCATGACCATGGGAGTTTTGTTCTAGGCTCGTGACGGTCAGCTGGCGTCGTGAGGGTTGGCGAATTTCTAGCGGCCAGCAACCTGCAATCGTTGCGGCTGCCCCTCACATTCAATCCCGTCCCCCCAACTTGGAACCTTCCCGGAGGTTCGTGGGGCTGTTTACGACGATCCTGAGGCTGACTGTCCGCCCGGATCGAGCGCCTAACGTACTTTTTTAATCATGAAACGGAAGCCCGACCCCGACGTCCCGAAACAATAACGGCGACAAACACCAAACCAGTGCCTAAAATTAACCATCCGCAGCTCATCATTCATGAGTGATCTGATCACGCACCTGCAACGCCGCAGTCGTGCACTCCACCTCCACACTCATCGCTTGCAACAAAGCAGCAGTGTGTCAAGTGGGATTTTGTTTTGTTATTGTTCTGGTGGGGGTGCTTTGCAGAGGTGGGCTGTTTAGCGGCAAAGACGGCATGCGGTGGCCCAGTTCAAATCAGTCCATTCGCCCTGGCGATCGTACTGAATGGCTGCGAGAAAGCCTAATGAGCCTAGTGAGGCCCAAACGCAACCATCCCGCACTCGAAACTCACGCCTCATTCCGGACATCGTGGGCAATTATGGGCCAGTCTGGGTCATTCCTTGCGGACATGTCATTTCCCTCGAGCACTAATACCCAACTCGCCTTAGCCACCTCGAACCCCCAAGTCAATCTTTTTCGCTTTGCGCCTTTTTTGGGCGAGTTTGGTCAGGTTCCATCCCTCTCCGTCGGTCCGTTCTTTTCTCATACTGAGCCTCAGCTTCTTGCCACTGATGTCTTGATGGGCTTCAATGCTGGGTTCAGGACTTGGTCTTTTAGCTTAAGTGGCCCACGGCCGGCCAGAGCCCACATTTTTTTTTGGCAACCTGCCTTAGCCGCTACGTCGTCCTCGATGTCGTTCATATTCCTTCCCACGGAATCAGTCCCTCATTCTTTTCACCTCCATTCCGCACTCTCCCCTCCTTCAGACTTCTGACCAGTGTATGATTTTCCCCAGGTGATCCAGCAACAATACCGCCCTTCATGCAGGGGCTCAAGCGTTTGCAAGAGGCCATTGAGCGGCACCGTGAGAACAAGGACATCAACATCAAGTACAAAACCCCCCTCACCAGTAAGTCTCGTCTCATCTATATTTCTCCTCAGCTTGCCAAGCAGCCCGACCTCTCTCCCTCTCCACACATTCGATCACTTCTGACTCTATCTTGCAAAAGTTCGTAACGTCAATACGTTTACCGACGAACAAGCCATCGACGATGCCTGTAACCCAATTCGCTGTGACCGACACGTACGAATATCTGAATGGGTTCGGGGGGTACAAAGAGTATGCTTGATTCCACAATGTGTCGACGCCCAGAATGGGGTGGCTGACGAGACATAACCTCAACAGGAGTGAAGCCATAGCTGGTACCTTACCACTGGCCGCTAACTCGCCTCAAAAATGTCCCTATGGACTCTACAATGAGAAGCTGTCCGGGACGGCCTTCACTGCGCCGAGAGACGACAACCAACAGACCTGGCTCTACCGTGTCCTCCCCTCGGCCAGTCACCAAAACTTCGAACCGGTACCCTCATCTTCCTCTCAAGCCTTGAACTCTCCCACTCCCAGCTTTGGTACTCGTTTCAATGCCATACCCAACCAATTGCGATGGGATCCTTTCGATTTCGACAAAGAGGTGTCATGGATTCACGCCCTCCACTTGGTCGCTGGAGCCGGTGATCCGACGATGAAACAAGGCTTGGGCATCTATATCTATGCGGCTGGTTCGAGCATGCCCGAAAAGACAGCCTTTTACAGCGCGGATGGTGATTTCTTGATCGTTCCCCAACATGGCGTGCTGGACATCCGAACCGAATTGGGCAAGATGTTGGTGCGACCGAATGAAATCTGCGTCATTCCGCGGGGAATTCGATACCACGTTGCACTGTACAACGATGAGCCTACGCGGGGATACATTTGTGAGCTCTATCAGGGACACTTCAGGCTGCCCGAACTAGGTCCGATTGGTTCCAACGGGTTGGCCAACGCCCGAGACTTCCAAACCCCGGTGGCAGATTTCATTGAGGACTATGAGAACACGGAGTGGACTTTGTATGGCAAATTTGGAGGCAACCTCTTCTCCGCCAAACAGTCGCACACACCATTCGACATTGTGGGGTGGCATGGTACTTACTACCCCTACAAGTATGACCTCGGGCGATTCAACCCCGTGGGCAGCATTTCATACGACCATCCTGATCCTTCCATCTTTACTGTTCTTTCTGCGCCATCTCATCCCCACGGAGCGGGAACGGCGGTTATTGATTTCGTTATTTTCCCTCCTCGCTGGCTGGTCCAAGAAGGAACTTTCCGACCACCATGGTATCATCGCAACACCATGTCGGAGTTTATGGGGCTGATTATGGGCAACTATGATGCCAAGGGTGCTGGCAAAGGTGGATTTCAGCCGGCTGGAGCAAGTTTACACAATACCATGAGTGGGCATGGGCCAGACATGCAGACATTTGAGAAGGCGTCAACGATGGATTTGCCCCCACAAAAGGTGGGCGAGGGTAGCATGGCGTTTATGTTTGAGAGTTGTTTGATGGTTGGCGTTACCGAATGGGGATTGTCCAAGTGCCAAAAGGTGAGCGCTAACCTCGGTGGGAAAATTGACCAGTTGCTAATTGATGGTGTGCAGGATTATAATGCTCATTCGTGGGAGCCTTTGAAGGTACATTTCAGACGGCCGAACACGGCTAATGGGGCCAGCAAGAAGAACGGATGTGCCTGATAACCACGTGAATCGTATGTCGAGTACTCCGTATACACATGACATTCAAGATTGTTGTTTTTCTATAAGGCTTTCACCCTATCACATACCCCTCACAAATGTATTATGTACTTGCGTATGTCAGGCATGCACGGGTCTAACACAAGGCTGCTCAAGTGCAGGTCATCAAATCTTTAGAGTTTTCATGAAAAGGCTGATTTGCACTGCAATGTGCCCGGACGGTGTTAGTCGACGCGAACCGACCGCCTCTCCAATCACGTCGTGCGCTGCCACACGTGCGTGTTGGACGTTATGGTTCCGACCAATTCTCATCGACAGAATGCTACACGTTTTTTTCCCACAGGTCTCAAGGCCCAGCGGCATATACCCTGCTGTCCTCAACCTCATGCTCAGCTAGAAACCAACCCCCTTTCCGAAACTCCCTTCTGCGCCCTGCGCCCCCTCGGTTCCCCCTCCCTCCGCTCTGGCCAGATTATTCTCTATGTCAATTCATTCTCCGGACCGTGGGACTAGCGACACTAAGCTGGCATTGCTCCTATCACCTATCACCCCAAGCACACGAGGGTCGTTGGCTTGAACATCGTGGTGTCGTGTGCTCAGTCTTCCCATACACGTGCCCACATCCCGTCTGTCTGGACGACTGATTCACCTGTCAACTCACACCTTTCATTCTCATGCTAAGTTCTCAAGACGTGCTTGCTCCTTGTCTCTACTACTCTCCCCTCCTCTCTCAACTTCTTTTCTTCCCAGCCATCATGTCTCTGATCGATCTGCCTGGCCCATCGCCATCATCAACACCTTTTCCTCCTCCAATTCGGTGACCAGTGCGCCGTCACAATTTCTCCGTTATTCCCTGAAACCAATTCTTCAAACTTTTTACGCCCAGATCCCTCCTCGCGTGCCCCAATTTCGATCTCTCCTGCGCTCTTCCCGCTCCCTTTGGTTCTTGAGACCGCAATTCTACCCGGGATTTTCACCTATTCTCGTCTTCTCTCTCAATTATGCCCCGACCACGACCACCTCCCACTCCAGCCGGCTCGACAGACCTGAAAGCAGTGGACAAGGTTTTACACTCCTCGGATATGGAAACAATCTTTTCTCTACCTCCTCCAGCATTAAGATCCATCGAAGCACAATCCCACAGTCATAATTCCAAATCAACCACCCAAGAATCCTCCTCTTCTACCACCAACACCACCGCCTTTTCCCAAAGCACTCCTCCTGTTTCTCCCAAAGACAAACCACTCACCTCGAGTCCTCGACACAAACGTACCGCATCTGGCGCCGTCAAAGCCACCACGGAGTCTTCCTCCAACCCAGCCTCCAATTCCTCCTACGCTCTCCCCCCACCACCCAGTCGAGCTCGAAAGATCATCCAAATGAAGCCCAAATCCACCCACAATTCCTCCCCGGCCAGTGATGCCAGTTATCACCCTCCGGCCTCTACGGCCTCGAATTCTGTCCCCAAATCGACCGTGACTGCTGCAAATTCCAAGCGCAAGCAACCTTCCGCTACGAGCGCGGCGGGGAGGAAAATTGCTCGCAAAACCGCTCACAGTATCATCGAGCGACGTAGACGGAGTAAAATGAATGAAGAGTTTGGAGTTCTCAAAGACATGATCCCTGCTTGTGAAGGGGTTGAAATGCACAAACTCGCTATTTTACAGGCGGGCATTGAATACGTCCGGTACTTGGAGGGCTGTGTTGCGCAGCTCAAGGCCGAGAACGAGAAGAAGGGAGAAGAAGATAAATCGAGAATGCAGCTTGATGATCAGAGAGATGACGACGAATTGGACGACGAAGATGGTGAGGAGGAGGAAGATGCGGCCGAAGATCTTCCAGATCCTGCTCCTCCCGCCAAAATTCGAAGCAATCGTCGCACCATGTCTGCAGCCAACGAATGGCCATTGAGAGATTCCCGCAAATCTTCAATTGCTTCGTTGAGCAGTTCATCATATCCTTCCCCCCATTTGCACTCTCAACCCCAAGGTCAAGTGGACGAACAAGGGACAACTCGAAAGCGGCCCTCGCTCCCCGCAGGTGCGGGATCATTCTCAGCCTCGCCATCTCAAATTTCCACCCAATCAAATGTCACCTCGGCCACTCCCACTCCCACTCTCCTCAGCCCTGCATTCAACTCGATCCATTTCTCACCCGACCTTGTTCGGACTCAGACAAACAGCAGTGTTGGCAAGTCCGCCAGCAGTGGGAGCTCAGGTCTCAACCCACTATCGACGTCAGGATCCTGGACGACCGTCAATCCGAACCCAAACCCGAGTCCTAGCATGCAACCATTACCCTCGCCCAAGGCCGCCATGCATCTTCCTCTACCTCATCCTCCACCGTTGCCGTTGTCCAGCGCCAATCTGCAACTTCCTCAACCATGCAGCGCCACTCAGCGTGACAGAGAGACTCACAGTAAATCTCCTGGCGCTTTGAGTGATGGTTCGGGAACAGCCGAGGCCACTGCCAGCGCGGCGTTGATGATGCTGACCAACGAGTGGCGAGGCGGTGGGCGAGAACAAGCCGCTGGTCGAGGCGGTGTCGGTCAAGCTGGCGATGCTAAAGAGAGAGGCAAGGGGATGAGTGTGAGGGATTTGTTGAGCTCATGAATGAGCAGTAATGAGCTGAGTGCTTTTCAACGTGTGTTTTGAACATACGTGGGATTGGATGAATTGATGTTCGGCGTATCCCTTACTGGGATACCATAAGGTTATAAGGGTCGTATAACATTGGAGGAGAGGCGATGGTTCAATGGCTAGTGGTTTGATATGTGATGGAAACAAGTTCTCGAATAAATGGGCGAAACCAAAAATGCGTCGGCGTTGGTATGATGAGCGTAGATACAAGTCGGCTTTTTACGAACAGATATACTCACAACGCAAGTTAATAACAGCGAGGTTTCCAATGAAGAACTATCTTGCTCTGAAACCACATGACTAGATGTCTCTATGTGGGCATGTCATACGGCAGAATTTTCGATCCTTTCGACTCTCTTGGAAGTGACCAAATGTAGCGTATATGTGGACGATGTCCGTTGGGAGCCAAAAGTATTCGACGCTTTTGCATTACCTGAGGGCAAGAAGGACCTGGATTTGTCCCTGGCAGAAGCTCGTGCTGGAGGCGTGAACACGTTTCCGTTCGATGGCATTGTTCCAGGTAATGAATTGTTCTTATGCAAGTTGTTTCCCAAACGGTCTTCTCTTGTACAGATTGACAACTTCGACAGTGGGCCGCTGGGAATGGGGAAAGACATTGACCACCGAGGCAGTATCCGAGCATTTGAAGAAGGCCACTCTCCTCTGTAAGACTTCCCACCACCGCAGTGGTGTTTTCCGACATATTCATCAGATATCCGCTGGGGAGCTTAGCACAGACACCGAGGGTGCTTGACGGACGTCTCCCCCCAATTTTTCGGCTTGTGAACCTCTGGAATACAGTATTTGTCCTTGACGAAGCATGTGGAAAGGCTATCAATCTAGTCTGCAAACTGACCATCGCGGAACCATTTCGTTTCCGCCTCCCAACAGGGTTACCACATTCGACGATGCAACCCTTGTTCGAATGCGCATAACTTTCGCATTTCCGAGAATTGACCTCGACGCCAGAAGGAATCGATTCATTCAAAGAGCCCATACTCCACAGGGACCGGTAAAGACCGGATGAAGGATTTGGATTGTCAGGTGGAGAAAGACCTATATGCTCGCCAGGCAGATTGAAGTGGTCGAGATTAAATATATTGTTGCAACAGCCCACGCAATGGACAGCAAACAAAATCCTCGAGTAAAGTCCGCACACTTCCCAAAAGTGATAGATTTGGTCATTGCCTTCATGGAGGACTGACTGCAATGACGTGAGTCTGATGAGAGGGATGAAAGTCACGGCTTTGGGCCCGTTCTGGGCTCGCTTTGGGCGTTGATGTGAGGGTTCTGGGCTGATCTAATCACGTATATTCAAACTATCATCAGTTCTAGGTACAGTACAATATACAAAAAGCAAGACGTAACATGAGGCGTGGATTTGGGGGCCCGCGGGATTACCCTTTGGCGCGAAAGCCGGGGCCAGGATGTGTCGGTGCCTCTGAATCTAAGGACAGGCGTCATCCAGCATTCTGCCCAGAGAGTCGGCCAACGGGAGGCCTGCTTTTCAAACACATCACACAGCAGCGTCATACAAATGTAACTACAAATCCTGCATCACTATTCCGAGAGTGACCATTTACTAATAACTGGTTGTGCGGGTGGGTATTCCGGAGACGTCTGCCTCCACCTATCAGCGCTCGACAAGGCGTGCTGAACCCGCCATGCCACTTTTGGCATAATCATAACAATCGAAGTCTTTTTGCAAACCTGCCTCCGCCTTCAATATACTCATTGCATCCAATATCTCATCTTTGAACTCCCCTCTGTCAATTTGAGCAAGTGCAAAACTTTTCGTGCGTACTTTTCTGTGTCTGTTACCAAAACCGCCCTGTGCTACGGGTCGATGTGGCCGCATTGAAGACCTCTGCCATCTTGAAATTCACTGAGGATGTGCTGCAACTTCCCATCACCACACAACTCCAATCTCCTCTACCTCAATACCTTGATTCGGCTTTCGGGATGTCTCAGTACGCTCTCCGCCGCACGCAGACAGACAATCACTACGGGTTTCCTCAACGCGAAACATCCATAACCTCGACGGCGTCATCCGCCTACTCTGCCGTATCGAGCGCCTACCTACCAAGCCGCACGAGCACAGTGACTTCCACTAGCTCCAGTATCTATTCGAGAGGCTCACCAGGGCACAAACGTGGAATCAGTGAAACAGGAGAGATGACACCAACACGGACATACGGAGGCCATAGCAGTGTGGAAAATAGTCCTGACCATGTATACCGCAATGTCCGTCAAACATTGCGACCTCTCCCACAAGTCCCTTCGCCCAATGCAACACCAGACATGAGACGCCCAAGTCCTCATCATGTACGAGCCCAGACAGTCGATCGTTTCCCTCAAACCTACTCCGAAGACCCGTTCGTCGCAGAGCATCATCCCGAGCAAGCTCAGCTAAAACCGCATCTTCACCACGCTGTGACAAGTCCTCATGCCAGCACTTTCAAAGCACCTGATTTACAGGAATTGCAAAAGTCGTCAACGACGCATTTGAGAGCATTGTCGAAATTTGCCCAAAATGGTGACGCTGAAGAGTTCGGAATTGCGCGTCCTGGACAATCCGTCGTCGGATTACAGAATCGAAGACAACTGAAGCGAACCGACTCTGCGGCAGTTGGTGGTCGGTCTACCGCCAAAAGCTACGGTTGGGGCGAGAGGAATTGGATGGACAAGCAACGCCAATTCTTGCAAGCATATGAATATCTGTGCCACATTGGCGAAGCCAAGGAATGGATTGAGGACATCATCAACAAACCAACCCCGCCGATTGTTGAATTAGAAGAAGCTTTGCGCGACGGAGTAACGTTGGCGGAGATCGTTCAAGCATTTCACCCGGACCAGACTCTGAGGATTTTTCGCAATCCGAAGTTGCAATTCAAGCACTCTGACAACATCGTCTTATTCTTCCGCTTTCTCGAAGCTGTGGGGCTGCCCGACCTTTTTCGTTTCGAGTTGATCGATCTGTACGAGAAAAAGAATATTCCAAAGGTCATCTACTGCATTCACGCCTTGTCATGGCTCCTCTATCGCAAAGGTATGGTGGATTTTCGTATTGGGAACCTGGTCGGCCAACTTGAGTTTGAGCATCATGAGCTGGAGCAAACCCAGCGGGGCCTGGACAAGGCCGGCGTTAGTATGCCGAGCTTCTCAGGCATGGGTGCCAGTTTTGGTGCTGAGCCCGAGCCTGAGCCGATCGAAACAGAAGATGAACGAATAGATCGAGAATTGCATGAGCAAGAGGCAATCATCCTGGACTTCCAAAACCAAATCCGGGGCACATTGGTCAGGTTGCGGCTGGGCGATATGATGGAGCAACTCTGGGACTCTGAAGATGCACTCATCGACTTTCAGTCTCGTATCCGGGGTGATTGGGCCAGGCAAATTGTTGGTTACCGTCTTGACATGCAACGTTTCGCAACGAAGCTTCAAGCGGCAGCCCGAGGATTCATTTTACGGTCTATCCAGCGAAGGAAAGAACAGCAATGGAGGTCAAGCGAAATGGAAGTCCTCAAACTCCAAAGCCTCTTCCGAGCTGGAAAGGCTCGAGCTGATGCTCGCATGTTGAAGTCCCAGGTTCGACAGCATGATGCGGGTATTGGCAACCTGCAAGCCGCCATTCGAGGAGCTCTCTCTAGGCGAGATGCTTACGATCAGTATGAAGCCACTAGGACAGCCGAGAAGGAAGTCCTTCACCTAGAAGCAAACATCAGAGGCATGCTTACTCGAACCCAACTCCAAAGAGACCATGCAATTTTCGAAAGATATACCCCGGTCATCACCAAAGTTCAAGCTGCAACACGGGGACTGCTGGCCAGAGTGTCCCAGGGTATGGTTCGGCAGGCCCTCCACAAGTTCACACCAGCATGGATAGCGTTGCAAGCTGTAATCCGAGCTGGACGTGTTCGACAGGATATCAGACATCTAAAACAAGATCTCAAAGCACACTCTGCATCTATCCGCAAGTTTCAAGCCATTCTCAGGGGGGCGAATACGAGAGAAGACCACAGCTCTTTGAAACTTGCTCTTCTCAGAGAGTCCACGGCTAGCATTCCGTTGCAAGCTTCAATCCGGGGCTTTGTGTTGCGAATGCATTTACAGAAGCAGCGATCGCTTCTCGATCGACACGCTCCGAAAGTGGTGTTGCTTCAGACACACTCTCGAGGTGGCTTGCTCCGAATTCAAATTGCGGACCTGCTGAGCAAACTGGAAGGGACTCAGGAAATGGCGTTACATCTACAAGCACTTATCCGTGCCATACTCTGCCGCAGCAAAGTGGCGGATCTGCTAGGCGAGCTGGACGCCCACGACGGAATCATCACTGAATTCCAAGCACGCATGAGAGCAGCAGCAGTCCGCTCTCGGTTTGCAGAGAAGCAACGCTACTTCAAGGAGAATATGGAAAAGGTCGTCAAAATCCAGAGTGTGGTGCGCGCAAAGATCCAGGGCAAGGCTTACAAAAGCTTGACATCCGGCAAAAACCCTCCTGTGGGCACTCTGAAAGGATTTGTACACCTCTTGAATGACAGTGATTTCGATTTTGACGAGGAAATCGAGTTCGAGCGACTGCGCAAGACCGTGGTGCAGCACGTCCGACAGAATGAGCTGGCAGATCAGTACATTACTCAGTTAGACATCAAAATTGCGCTGCTGGTCAAGAACAAGATCACTTTGGACGAAGTGGTCAAGCACCAAAGACACTTCGGAGGCCATGTGGGCGCCCTTCTTCCCAACTCCGACATTGCCTCGAAGGATCCATTTGACTTGAAAGCCCTCAACAAGACATCACGACGGAAGCTGGAGCACTACCAAGAGCTGTTCTTCTTACTCCAAACTCAGCCTCAATACCTTTCGCGGCTATTCCGACGTATAAGAGAGCAAGCTACTGCGGAGAAAGAATGTGACCGTATCAAGCACCTGGTGATGGGACTCTTCGGTTATGCCCAGAAACGAAGAGAAGAATACTATCTGGTCAAGTTGATAGTCAGGTCGGTTAAAGAAGAGGTCGATTGCTCCGTTTCTCTTCAGGACTATCTGAGGACAAATTCCTTTTCCAACAAACTTTTTGCCGCATACAGCAAATCCCCTCGAGATCGCAAGTTCTTGAGAGATGTTCTGGGACCGCTGGTCAAAGAAAACATCATCGACAATACTGCTCTCGATCTTGAGAGTGATCCACTGCAAATCTACCTCTCTGCTATTAACAATGAGGAGCTCAGGACTGGTCGACGAAGCCCTCGAGATCCCAACGTGCCCCGAGAAGTAGCCATTCGAGATCCGGAAACGAGAGCGACCTTCATTGCACACATGCAGGACCTTCGCGATATCACCGACCAATTTTTCTTGTGCTTGGAAGACTGTTTACATCGAATGCCCTTTGGAGTCCGTTTTGTTGTGCAGCAGACCTACGAACATCTTACGGCGAGGTTCCCGGGTGAAGAAGGGGAATTTGTCCTTCAACTTGTCGGTCAATGGCTGTGGCGCAACTATCTTCAACCGGCCCTTCTGGAACCCGAAAAGTTTGGCGTCGCCGATCGAGCCATGACACAGGAACAGAAGCGCAACCTGGGCGAGATTGCCAAAGTCCTGAATCAAGCCGTGTTGGGTCGAGAATTTGGAGGGGACAACGTGTATCTCCAGCCGCTGAACAAGTATATTCGAGAATCCATCGGACGATTTGCAGTGCTTTGGACTCACGGTGAGTTATTTTGTCCTTGCCTATCATAATTTGGCTAACCTTTGTGCAGTTATTGCAATCCCGCCGGCAGAGGAGCATTATGATATCGATGAGTTCAACGACCTATATGCCAAGACGAAACCGACATTGTACATCAAGATGGCGGATATTTTCTCGATACATAAGCTGTTGACTCAAGAAATCAGTACCGTATGTCCCAGCCAAGACGATGTTCTTCGCGACACTCTTCGAGAACTGGGTAGCGTCCAGAGCAATGAGAGCGAACTTAGAGCTGTCAGTTCCAGCGAAATCAGTCTCACGTTGAATCCCAAATTGCTCCATGCCGAAGACCCAGATGCCGAGGTCAAGGCATTATTCACCGAGACAAAACGATGCGTACTCTATATCATCCGTGTTCAGTCAGGTGCCAGTCTTCTTGAGATCCTTGTGAAGCCGATAACCCCAGAGGATGAAGACAAATGGGAAGCCTTGGTGAGAGATGAACTTCGATCAGGTAACAGCCGCCGCGGCGCATATGCCGACGCCAGTACCCATCTCGATATCAGCACGTTATCCTACCCCAGTCTCAAACGCATTGCGCTAGAGAATGTCCTACAACTTGAATCAATAGGACGTTTGACTCGAACAAATCACTATCAAGACCTACTCAATACCATCGCTGTTGATATTCGAACCAAGCATCGCCGAAGGCTGCAGCGTCAGAGAGAATTAGAAAACGCGCGGACGACATTGGCGCGTTTGAACGAGCAAGCTGTGTATCTCGAGCAACAACTCAAGACCTACAATGACTATATTGAGCAAGCAATGGTGACGTTACAGAACAAGAAGGGCAAGAGACGATTTTTGATGCCGTTCACTAAGCAATGGGACCACGAGAGAGAACTTCAACGTTCCGGTCGATCGTTCAAATTCGGATCCTACAAATACTCCGCACGAACCCTTGCAGACAAAGGAGTTCTCGTTCATTGGCGTGGTTACAATGAGCGACAATGGGACCGAGTGGATTTGACCTTTTCGTCGAACGAGGTCGGCGTATTCACCATCGACGGTAGCTCAGGCAACATGATGATTCCAGGAGCGAATGCGCAAGTACCGCTCGACGACCTCTTGCAAGCACAATTCAACAATACCCAATTCATGGAGTTCTTTGAGGGCGCACTTCGGGTCAACGTCAACTTATTCCTGCATTTGATTATGAAGAAATTTTACAACGAATGAGTCATGATTCAATGCATATGCATACAGGGAGGGAGAGAAGCGATCTGTCGGGCTTTTCTTTCCCCCTAACAATCTAGTTGGAAAGCAGGCCTAAGGTGTGGGAATGGGGGAGAATGAAACAGCTTAACTACATTGTATTGGGCCTTCAGCCGACACGTCGGATTCAGCGATGGAATTCAACTCAGCCTTTGTCGTCGGAAAAGACAGATTTAGGATGTGCCGTAGTCGATAGATTGAACATATGTGCCGTCCCTCGTGCATCCGTGTTGAGTGTAAAAAATTAATAAGTTGATTAGTGAATCCAATTGACGCATCTCCTCGGTCTTAATTGACTTCCATATCTTCTTGCCAGGCACGAAAGCCCGATGTAGGTACAACCTGTCAGGGGTAGGATGTAGTCGGAACACAGGAATATATATATTTTCCGAACTCTTAGTTTTCGTTCTCATGTCCCTACGTAGGCCCATACTCTGTACCCTCCGGTCTCGAGCATGGGAGCAGGAATGCTCCACTCCTGCCATGTGTGAAAACTTGAATGGAAAACATAGTGTTAGAAGAAAATTTGTGAAAAGCCAAAGCCAGCCACAAAGTGCCAGCTGTTGTCTGAGCGTCGACGGCCAAACCACATCGTATCCCAACCATCCTCATACCACCCGATGAATTTATCTCTGCGGACCGCAAACCTGTAAACCACGGCGCGCAAAATCAGGTCTGAGGAAAGCTCTCTTGTCCTCTGTTAGGATCACTACATTATGACCCCGATGAGGTTGGAAAGCCTGTCCCTAGTTAGAAGTTACACAGATCGTCTATGCATTCCATCGGAGAGCGACACCCGTGTGCGCGAATGAGTCACGATCGGCGAAGTGGTCAAGTCATATGGCGGGGGATATGATTGACACGACGAACATGAAACTCACGGCTGGGCTGACACGAACTACGTCAAATGGACAGTAGTATCTGCTGCTGCAATACTTTTGTCCTCGTGGAATTTCCATCGGCTCCGAGATGGCCCATGACTGTGGGACCTTCTGTACTAACTAGCGAAGAAATGGCGTCGACACGTCTTTGGCAAACTGCTCCTGACGAAAGTGAACTTGTCTTGAACTGACTATCATTGGCCGAATGCTCAATGGTGGCATCCCGGAAGTGATCCTCGGGTCTAGAAATTCGAAGAAATGTTTCGAAAGCCCTAGAGATGTCTCTGACAACATAGCAACGGGGGGCCCTGAAAAATATCTCACAACTCACTCGCGACGCAAACCCAAGGGTCATTGCCATGTGTGATTTGCCAGAAACATTGGAAGGTGCACCAATCCAAAAGATGTTCAGTACGCACCATGACTGCCTCGAGCAGAGCCAAGGGAAACAGATCTTGCCAAAAAGGGTAATTACATACCTTTGTTCAAGTACAGGTGGTGATAGCGAAATAGGAGAGAAACTCCTGCCCAGATAGCTGACCTTCCAAGCCATGACCGAAGAATTTCTACCCAGTGGGTAGACGGTGGGCGCCACGGAGGAGCTCGTGCGTGAGCAACTGACATCTAGGCAGGTACCGATGGACGACGGAATGGAGGACGGAAAGAACATGACAAGAGTCAAGCCTCGGGCGTATTACTGATCCTCACTGGTTTCATCGAGAGGGATACTCGAAAACGGTGAGAGAGCCTGCTACTAGGACATACCGTTGATCGCTCTCCGAGAGAGGACTGGTAGGATATCGATACACTATTCCGAATCAGGAGGTGGAATATAGGGGTTGCCACAAAGGAGACGAAAGCGAGGTCAGAATCAAAATGCGTGACGTGTGAGATGAAGGAGGTCCCTGTCGTCCTCATATCGCTGGATGTGTTGTCAGGGTGTACTTGTGGGAGGTACCTTGGTCAAGGCCACCACTGAGCATCTCGCGTGGCCAGTGATCCTGGAATCGGCCAGCTCAAGCAGAGGCGAACAATTCGAGTTTAGATCTCTGTCACAGACGTAGCGGGACGGCTGACAGCAGAAGATGTCGCAATGTTGGACTGGCCTATTGGTGACGTAAGAGGTACTCAGGTACTTAAGTGTACAGTTCTTCCAGATTGCAGCCGAGACGATGCACGCGCCTGAGATAGGATTTGACGCGGCGCGTTGCTCCAAGGAATATGAGAGATGTAGATGGCTCAGAGGTATTCTTATACTAAAGAGAAGCCTTATAGACAGGAGCAGGAGAGAGACATGAGGCACATGGTTGACGTGAATAGCCGGTGAACGCAGATAAGGTTGGACATGAGGCCCAGATAATCTCAACATGGATGGGAAACAGTAGGAAATGCATGTCGCGACTCAATAATGTGTCTAGGCTTGGACAGCTGGGAAAAGACGGCAGAGGTGTTTCTGTTCGGGAACTTGTCTGGCGCTGTCATGTGTGGTCTGGGGACCTTATATCTATCTGCTTAGGCTGGTTAGCAAATCGAGTCAAGATGTTCCGTGTCTTGGTCAGGATGGCACGCCGTCGAGGTCTTTTTCTCAATCCCTTTGTTTGAGGATGTTGGGATCAGAGGCCACTTAGCTAGGTACGTGTCGTAGCCTAGCAAGCTCCCCGTCAGTGAGTGGCGGGTGTTGTGCGAGTAGTATAATGTTCTGCTAGCGAGTGGTATGGATGTGAGATGTGCATGATGCCTGATCAGAGGACCGTATCTCCGCTCTCTTTCTTTCCCTTTGTTCTCACCCATGACTCAATTGGGATATGCTTGTACCCTCACTCTGACTCCCATAGACGCCCGGTTATCTTACTTTGACTGGTGGAAAAGCGAGGACAGAGGTGCTGGTGGTGAGAACTGGTGATTGTGGACGACGAGCGGCACCCGGACAGCCAAATGAGGTTCAAGCTTGGACTGGGACATGGGACTGGCAAGACATTCTGTCGCCGATACGAAAATTAAACAATGCAAATTGCATCAATGACAAGGACGAGATCCTGCAGCTGGCATTGGTGCCTGGCTCAGGAATTCATATCCTCCTGTTCAGTCGCCGATGCCAAGCGCGTCCGCAAGTATCAATACGAGTACCGACTGATACGAGCTTCGGTGCCAGGCCCTGCAGCTGCCTGCGAGCAACCACGCCAGCCAAAGCCCTGCATGACAAGATGCATTACGAGATGCGTTCCGACTCCCCGAATACAGGAACCATCACTGGGACTAAGGCCAGAGTGGGACCCTGAACGGCCGCTTGTTGGGGCTATTGAGGCTGCGGCTTAGGTGTGGATTTAGCGGATAGGGCACGTCGGGGCTTATAGACTTAACTATGAGTTTCCTTGAAGTTGTGGGTTACCCTACCATCGACATCATTGCCCCATTGCCCCCGATTATCCATCGACTTAGCTTTTGCCGTGGTACCCAGGCATACATCATTAGGCTGCCAGTCACAACGAACAAACCCCCGGTCTTCTATCATGATTCTCCTCCGATCTTAACCCCGCCAAATCCATCTCAATATCTGCCTCTAGCAGAGATTTCTCTCTTTCAAATACCAGCTCTCATCGGCATCTGCACCTCATCCGACACTCAGCTACGCGAGCCTGCTCCTGTCTCCTAACAGTGTTCGGGTATTTCCCTTTTCTTCCTCTATCCACTTTTGTTGCTCCACCTTACACCATTCATCCTGCAGCTTATTCATCCTCACCTGTTCATCAAGCATATCCCATCTCGACCAGTCTTTTTTGCCCTTCCACCTCCAAGTCCTGCTGCCAGTACCTGCCTGGACCACCAAGTCAACTGCATACTCAATAATAACTTCACCACGCCGATCCTACTCCTCATTTGTCATCTGCCGCGCCGACACCCCCAAACCTCGAAACCTCTTCCCCGTCTCTCACTCTACCTCTGCTCTCGCCTGCCACGCTTTTCACATCTTGCTTCAGATCAAGCTGAAAAGATGAGCACCATTCAGAATCTGAAAAACTTCATTCGCCATGGCAAACAGGCCCGAATCGTCGACCCGCCTCGCGATCAACCCACTACCAACATCTCTCCCATACATGCTCAACAACAAAAGTACCACCACGGCATCGCCGAACCTGTAAACAGCTATCGACAGCAACAGCAACATGCTCAGCCCCTACCTGGTGAATATTCCGCCGCTGCCGTCGACAATCGCAACCTCGTAGCCCAGGCGGCCGGGGCGGCAGTGAATGCCGCTGGCAAGAACCAGAAGATCCAGGCCGACATCGAGGCGATTGTTGCTGAAGAGAGGGAAAGGGCGAGAAAGATGCCCCGATATCCGGGTCTCGAAAGATACATTCTGTTGGAAAAGATGGGCGACGGTGCATTTAGCAACGTCTATAAGGCAAGAGATACGCAATCCTGTGACGAGGTTGCGATCAAAGTCGTCCGGAAGTTCGAAATGAACTCGAATCAGGTATGCCACAGTCCTGGGGCAATTTCTGTCTTTCTTTCTCGTCTGGCATTGCATCCCCAGCATTGCATTTCACCCTCCCCTCTTCCTTCCCCACTACCTTCATTTAGATCAAAAGACACAGAACCAACTTTTCTAACCTAGGGCGATGCTCACCTTCATCCGAACTTCAAAAAGCAACCAAAGGGCGTGGAGGTGCGCAAATCCATTCAAGCTAAACCAACCTCCCCCTTACTTTCCCCCCTTCCTTCCGTCGTCCTCAGAGCAAGATCGAATTTGACTCCCTATCCCGTGCAAAGACTGACCCCTTTCCAATAGCGAGCAAATATTCTCAAAGAAGTGCAGATTATGCGACAACTAGATCATCCTAATATCGTCCGACTCATCGACTTCTCGGAATCCCGACAATACTACTATATCGTTCTAGAGTTATGCCCTGGAGGGGAATTGTTCCATCAAATTGTTCGCTTGACATATTTTAGCGAAGATCTCAGCCGTCATGTCATTACCCAGGTCGCGAAAGCATTGCATTATTTGCACGAGGAGACTGGTGTCGTCCATCGGTAAGTCATTGCGTCACGATCCCCGACTTGTGGGATCGAGGCTGACCAGGTTTCAGTGATATCAAACCAGAAAACCTTCTCTTCTATCCTATTCCATTTATCCCCACTCGCAACCCTAAGCCGAGGGAGCCAGATGACGAAGACAAGGCTGACGAGGGTGAATTTATTCCGGGCGTTGGCGCTGGTGGTATTGGCCAAATCAAGATCGCCGATTTCGGTCTCTCTAAAGTCGTCTGGGATTCCCAAACCATGACCCCCTGTGGCACGGTTGGCTATACGGCTCCCGAAATCGTCAAGGACGAGAGATACAGCAAGTCTGTCGACATGTGGGCTCTCGGATGTGTTCTTTATACCTTACTGTGTGGCTTCCCTCCTTTCTATGACGAGTCGATTCAGGTCTTGACCGAAAAGGTCGCCCGCGGACAATACACGTTTCTATCTCCATGGTGGGACGACATTTCCAAATCTGCCCAAGACCTCGTCTCGCATCTGCTCACTGTCAATCCGGATAAACGATACACAATTGAAGAATTCCTGGCACATCCATGGATCCGAAATACATCCGAACCCACTTACGCCGCGGCGGATGCTCCACCGTTGGCTACGCCTCTGGCTGTCCGGCAAAAGGAATGGGCTCAAGCGGGCAATCTGCCCGCCGATGTGTATGCTCTCGGCACCCCTGGTACCCCTGGTGCTGCCAAACGAGCGGATTTCCGATCACCTGATGCTCTCAACCTTCGTGAAGTGTTTGACGTCGGCTATGCTGTTCACCGACAAGAAGAGGAAGCCAAGAGAAGAAAGAACTTTAAACAAGGATACCGGGGAGCCGGTCTGCCCGGTGGATTGAATCCTCTTAGCGAAGATGACGACTCTGATGAGGATGAAGATTACGGGGCGGAAGTGTCCAGCAAAGTTCCCAAGGCGCAACAACCCACAGACGTGTCTAGTATGGAAGCGAAAATGCGCCAGACTAACCTGGGGACACAGCCTTCGGTAGCTGCACAAGCCAGAGCAGCAGCAGCAGCAGGCCCCCCCAGGAGTCAACATCAAGGTCAGCAACAAGAAAGAGGCTACGGACAGCATTCTGCTGCTGTGGCCGCGGCTGTTAAGCAGAGCGTTGGACGGAGGAATAAGCAACCTTTCGAGCTCAGCTTGGATAATTCGACTTTGCTGGGCCGGAGAAACAAGATGGGTGGAGCTCCGGGGGCACCGCCTTCGAAATTGCGAGAAGAGTTGAGCGTCAGATGATGATGAGAATTAACTCTGATCTCATACTCATATGATGACAATCGGAAACAAGGAATCAGAGAATTTTCAATTGGCATAACCGACGAACGCAGATTTGCACGAGGATGAGATCTGAACGCCTTTCCCCTCCCCCCTTCTCTTCGGCCTTTGATTTATGTGTGTATGGTCGGAAGGGAGGGATGCTGCGAAGGAGCAGCCCAATTACGACGGTTCTAGAAACGCGATATGACGATTTTCTCAAACAATGACTCAATATTCTTTTTGTTTCGTATATGTTCATAAATGACACATCTAGCTGTGATTGATGTACGATGTACGAAGCAGTGGTCTCCCCCGCCTTTCGGACTACTCCCAGCTTTTTTTTTTTTTTTTTTTCCCTCTTCTCCCAACAGCATCACCTTTTGTCCCACCATTCAACGGATATGACCGACTCGTCTTCAATTTTCCTCTGCTGGTACGGTGAGGTTGATGGGCTCTTTTTCCCTGAAGCCTTTTTCACAGCCACCAAGCAACCAGGCCTGGGCAAAGAAACAACATATATACACCCAGAGCCTCGTCTCCTCGCTACAGCTTTCTCTTCTCTCCGTAACCATATTCTCTGGCAGGCCAAGATCACGGTGATCTGCGCGTGCCACAACACCATACATTCTTGTCCCAGATTCAGTCCATGACCTCCGCCCCAACTGAAGAACAACTCCACGGAACTCCCCTGAGCGTGGCTCAGGACGCAAGCCGTCCCAATCTCTTACAAGCCCAGCATCACGAACATCCTTCATGGTCTTCCACAACACCCATAGCTCCTCTAGATCCCGAGAAACGATCATGGAAGGAAAGTGAAGAAACACTGGAGGCCAGTGCCTCGGCAGAATGCCTCCCGAACCAAAAAGGGTCATTCGAAACGGAAAAATCAAATCAAGGCTCTCATGAACTACCAGTTCTCCCACGCCCAGGGATAGGTTCCCGACAGGATACAGCCCCGTCCATTGCGGCAGCTCCATTCACTTCATATTGCTGTGATCTCGAAAGATCTCACAGCCATGGGCCCTCGAGTTCACCCCGTCCTCGGTCATCGTCGTCTTCGAGCTCGGCCCCAACCTTACATGAAGTGCCCAGTGCGCTGGCCAATGCTAGTAGAGTCTCGACTGATGCTTATGGTAACATATATCCCGAAGGAGGGAGAGAAGCATGGTTGTGTGTGTTTGGCTCGTTCTGCGGACTGATGTCCGCTCTTGGGTAAGTGCTTTCCCATCCGAGGCTGATGACCGATCTGCTGACTGTGATTTAGTATGATGAATACTCTGGGCACATACCAAGCGTATCTATCGATTCATCAGCTTCACGGTCACACCGAAAGCACCATTGGTTGGATTTTTGGCATTTATGCCTTTCTGTCATTCTTCCTGGGCATCCAAATCGGCCCTGTCTTTGACGCAAAAGGCCCGCGATGGCTCGTTCTCGCTGGGTCTGTCTTTATGCTGGCCACCCATCTTTTGATGGGCATCTGCAATGAATACTGGCAGTTCTTGATCGTCATTGGCGTCATGGGCGGTTTCGGGACATCTCTCGTCTTCACGCCTGCCATTGCAGCCATTGGACATTTCTTCCTGCGCAAGAGAGGTCAAACCACCGGCCTCGCGGCGGCCGGGGGTTCTCTTGGTGGAATCGTCTTCCCATTGACATTGCAAGCTCTCTTTCCCAAGATCGGCTGGGCCTGGTCGACTCGTGTGTGCGCATTGATCAATCTGGCTCTCCTCAGCTCTGCCAACCTCTTCATCAAATCTCGTCTCCCCCCCCGCAAGGCCACGAAGGAGAATATCCTCCCTGACTTCCGCATCTTCAGGGATCCCATTTTTGCCTTGACGACCGCTGGAGTATTCTTTGTCGAATGGGGCCTTTTCGTCCCCTTAACCTATCTCAGCAGCTATGCTCTGAGCCATGGGGTATCGACCGCGTTCTCCTATCAACTCATTGCCATCTTGAACGTGGGATCGTGCTTCGGTCGGTATTTTCCTGGGTTCGTGGCCGACAAAGTCGGCCGATTTAATGCCATGGTGGTCACGATTTTTCTGTGCCTCGTTTCCACTTTAGCGCTCTGGCTTCCCGCCGGCGGATCCATTGCTCTGATCATCGTATACGCGATCGTCTTCGGCTTCGCTTCAGGATCCGGTATCTCGCTAACTCCGGTCTGCGTGGGCCAGTTGTGCAAGGTTGAAAACTACGGAAGATATTATGCCACTTGCTATACATTGGTGTCGTTTGGTTCTCTGACTGGAATTCCCATTGCTGGGCAATTGGTAACTGTATGCAATGGAGAGTATTGGGGACTGATCGTGTTTACTAGCTGCGCTTATGCGGCGTCAACGGCAATGCTGACTACTGCGAGAGTGGTGGGTGCAGGATGGAGTCCGAAGAAAATATATTGAATGAGTGAATATAGCAACGTACACTAGAGTCGACTTCACGTACATAGAAAAAGTTTGAATGAACACACATGCAACTTCGTTCTAGAGCCATCAGGGTGGCCAGTCCTCGGCAAAAAGTTGGTACGCAAGGCATTGGCATTGGGGGCCAGAAAAACTCTCTTAACAGCTCAATAGCCTCTCCTCTTTATCGGCATTCTGCAGCATTATCATCTTCCAAAAACAATATCATCAAGACAGGGGAAACGAGATGAAGCTGCGGCTTGAAATGCCTTCTCGATCGTAGTCGCAAAGTGGGGCGTGTCAACACTCCGCGGGCGGTCCGGATCAAAGGTGAAGTCAGCTTCTGTCAGGGGTACCGCATTGAGACCGTCAAAAGGCCGGAAAAATGGACGACCGAGGATTCATTCTCGACGGCGATGCATGCGCTCAAGATGTCTATAGCAAACTCAATGTCGAAGAGGTACGCACCTTGCTCCTCGCCCCAGGAAAGAGAGGCACTCCCATTGTTTGTGAGATGCAGGTAATTGCCTCTCCGAAATGTACCCAATACGAGGCATTGTCTTATGTTTGGGGCGATACCACAAAGACCAAAACCATCTCATGTAACGGTTTCGACTTTCCAGTGACGGAATCTCTATATACCGCCTTGGTGCATTTGCGCTACACGAATTCGTGGAGATGCCTTTGGGTTGATCAACTTTGTATCAATCAAGTGGAGGACCACGAGCTGATGGCCCAGGTCGGTCTGATGGGCACCATATATTCCCATGCCTGCCGTGTCATTGTCTGGCTGGGGAAGTACGATCAGAAGATGGCCCTAGCATGGGAGTTACTTCAAGAGACCACGTTGAGCTCCAGTCTCGTTCGGTCTGATTTCTTGCAGACATCAACCGGCCCAGTCACGCCACAGAAGAGATCCTCCACCCCACGACGTGCGAGCAGGAGCTCGTCCATATCAAAGTACTCCCGTCGTGCTTCTAGCTCGAGGGAAAGTCTTTCTTCCTCTACATCCAGCCTCAAAAGCATCACTCCTACTCGGCCGAAGAACAAACGGCAAGACACTCCTCCTGCCTTGAAACACGCGCTGTCAATTTTCCAACACGCTTGGTTCAGTCGGAAATGGACCTTCCAAGAGATCATTCTTGCAAAGGCTGCCATCATTTGCTGTGGCAATCGTGAAATGGCCTGGAGTGATCTGACTCTGTGGTATTTCCACTATGCATCGAAACTGAGGAGTTCGAGTTTACTGTATGATTCACATGGTTCCTTCGAGAACATCATGAACGTGAGGAATGAGTTGGGGAAAGGCAGCTTAAAGTTGAGCAATTTGCTCATGCTGACAAGGCCAAGGATGAGCACGAAACCAGAAGATGCAGTCTATGCGTTATTAGGCCTATTGCCCGATCTGGCCGAGACTCTCAAGACGCTTTCCAATCCCGCTGGCGCCGCAAATGCCACAGCAGCGCAATGTGACGCCCTTTTCAATCTTTACTTGGCCGCTGTCAAGTATTGCCTCGAGAGGGAGAACGATCTCGCCATCCTGAGCGCTGCTGGGAAGTACAAAGGCAATCTCCAAGCAGCGGATTGGCCTAGCTGGCTGCCGGATTGGAGGCAGCAGCTTCCACTCCGGCCCATAGTACTGGTCAATCCAACAGATCTCGGTCCGGAACCAGCATTTGATGAAGAAATGTCGGAAAGTACGTCACCGGCGACCGAAGTGGTAGCAAAGGACCAGAATATCTACAAGCTGAACGTCTCACCGCTTCACGGGTTTCCGCGACCAACTGCATATTCGATGACTGTCTGGGGGGTCCGCCTCGGATGCATAGTCACGCGCCCACTGTCGTGGCCGAGCACCTTCTTCGTCGCGGACACCATTGCTCGGTCTTGCCTTGGAGGAAGAAACAGCAACGGCGACGCCTCCAGCAGCGATGGTAGTTTTTCTCAACCTCTTGCTTCGCTTGTTTCGTCACATCAGAGTTTATCGCCGCAAACGCAGAAAGCCACCCATTCAAAGATAAATCAGGGGTACGCAGCCAACTTGATTCAGAGGTCCCTCAAGAACAGTGCGCAATGCCCTTCCGTCCGTACCTCCGCCATGATCGAAACAGGGGACTGGCTTTGCGCTTTCCATGGTGGTAGAGTACTGTACGCTGTCCGACCGATTCAAGAATTGCCACGGCCGTATTCTGGCGCGGGAAGAAGAAGATTGCATGACTCCTCATCCCAGGCTCGGCCCATTTTTTCAAATGGCCAAGAAAGTGAGTCCATCAGGTGTGTCTTTCTCGGTGAATGTGCGGTATATGGTTTGAACCCTGCTCAGGCAACGGGAGGGCTCAATAAAATGGACGAATTCGAGTTGGTATGACCGGAGAAGCGATACATCACATCAACCACTCGTTATACTCTGACGGGGAATCTCCCTCCTCGGCCTCGCTTGTCTTATCCACTTAGCATCAGGCATCAAAGCATCTCCGTGCTCCACTTACCGCCTCCCAGGCTGGTCACGTGCGAGGCCGCAGCAATTCCGGCCAGACCAATTACGACAGCACAAGTTTCAAGTGCCTTGCGTATCCAATTCCGGCCTCGAGGCAACTCATTACTTAAGAGCAAGACATTCAAAGAGGGGCCCCTAGGTGGGCTTCTCCTTTCATTCCATCATATGGCCGCATGACTTTTTCCCACCATTGCGGATGCATCTGCTATACTCACGCAGTCGATCTTACAGCGGGGTTGAGATGGCCTTGACGGACCATATTTGCCTCATTCGAACAAGAGATACGGGTATAGCTGAAAGTCACAAGCTCTTCCAAGAAACTCGCCCTCACATCAGGCATATTCAGAGCTGGCAAATGACCGGCCCAGTTCCAGCAATACATTAGGGAATCTCAACAAGACGACACCAAGACAAGGCTGGACATCACCGCGACGACGATTCTCGCTGGGATGCGATGCAGGTGACCGGTATAATGGGATATTTTTACCCCTTTACGATATTGGCTCCGCTGGCGTCGGGATGGTGTTGATTTGGCTCACTCGAAAGGGTCGCGCTTCTCCTATCATGAGAGCGCAGGTAAGGAGGGTCGTTGGCCGGTTTTAATTCCGGCCACGTTGATATATACACCTGCTCCGCCCCGGTCTTGAAGAAGATGATACCGGAGGCGAAGCAGTCCATCCACGGGCATTCCGCCGAGAGGAATCTCTTCCTCCCCAATACTTAGTAGTCGTACTACTACTCCAACCTAAGTATCTTTATTGAACATCCGACATGACTTACCTGACCGACTCACCACCTCTCCCACCCCTTTCAGTCCTCTTTCCCCACTTACAATCCGATGCCACGACTCTTCCCGGGTCCACGGACCCATTCACCATTACCACCGCCACCGGCTTCCTCCCATGTCGCCCGCCGGTATTGCGCCTGCCCGCACAATTCGATGCCCTCTCTTCCATTCTCGATGACATGCCCATCGTCAAAGCTGATGGGTCGCCCGGCCTCCTGGCATCTTTCAAACTTGGGGCCCTGATCGACTCCGGTGCTCTGCCGGACCTGACCTCCCACATCGACGACTTACGGGTACAGCTTAACAAGATTGGTTCAGAGAAAGATTACGACCTCGAGGCCATCACGGCTCTATTCCGGGACTACAGTTTCCTCGCCAGTGCATATTTGCTGGAACCATGTTGGGCGACGTGGTCCAAGGACCATGATGCTGGTTATGGTCTGGGGAGAGCTGTGTTACCCCGGTGTATCGCCGCACCGTTGGTTAAGGCGGCCGATATGTAAGTATTACTGTCGCTCTTTCTAGATTTTGGTCCAGAAATAGCCTCACTACGAATGATCCCGTCCAGATTTCATACTCTATCCAACAAGCTTATGCACTGACTTGGCCCTCTTCTCCCCCCCTTCTAGCCTTGACATCCCCCCCTTTATGTCGTATGCCGCGTCATACGCACTGTACAACTACAGCCTTGCTCGTCCAAACCTCGGCGCGAGCGTGTATGACAACTTGCGACTCGTCCGCGCATTCGAACGAGGGCTTGACCCTACTAGTTCCGAGGCCGGCTTCATTCTCACTCATGTCCATATGGTACAAGAGTCCGGGCCATTGATCTCAGGGGCGGTGGATCTTTTGTCGACCATTGAAAACGTGCCTTCCGACACGGGTGCCGCGATATTGGCCTTCCAAACCATGCTCTCCGCCATGACTCGAATCGAGACACACATGGAGCAAATGTGGACGCACTCGCTACCTAAAGACTACCTGTCCTACCGCACCTTCATCTTTGGAATTACATCTCAGTCGATGTTTCCAGACGGGGTCATCTATCAGGGGACTCGATATGGCGACTCCAAGCATCTCTATTTCCGTGGCGAGTCGGGCGCGAATGACAGCATCATTCCCTTGCTAGATCATCTCCTAGAGATCCCCATGCCCAAGAATCCGCTCACTGAGATTCTAAAAGATTTCAGATCCTATCGACCTAAGCCACACAGAGACTTTCTGGGATGGGTCATGAGCAAGAGCGCCGAAGTTGGTGTAAGGGCGTACTGCTCTGCTAGCCGTGATAACGCGGAAAATGGTGCCAATGACGACAGCTTGCTTCTCCCGACCCATTACCTCAAACTTCTTGAACGTGTCCGCAGTTTCCGCTGGCGCCACTGGCTGTTTGCCAGAGAATACATTATCAAGCGCTCCCCACACCCCACAGCTACAGGCGGAAGTCCAATCGTGACATGGTTGCCCAATCAGCTTTTCGCCGTCATGGATGTTATGGAGGCCGTTTACGAAGAGAGTGGACTGAAAGCCGTCGTTGAGAGCGACCAGAGCGAAGTCTTAGCGGAAGCCAAAGTTGTCAAGGGGATGATGGAGAATGTAGCCACACAAAAGGACAAGTTGGATCGCGAAGTTAGAAGATATTGTGCCGAAAGAGATGCCTGAGCATGAGCGTGTTGGCATCATGGACTTGGTCAGGAGGAACTTGTTGGATAGAATGCGGACATAGTATTCGGTGAAAATGGAGGCCATCTGGTGCTCCATGGCACATCCTTCCCAAGCGGCCACTTCTATCGCGGCCATCCTTCCCAGGACCAACGCCTGTCATTCAAAGCAATTCCATCTCAAGCTCTTCGCAGCAACATTTGCTTCAAAGCACCCAACAATACGAGACGGAGATTTCAAAACAGGTGGGGGATCTCAATCTTGGGTCCCGCTGATGTCAGCTCGGCGGCCTTCCTTTACTGACGCGTTGTAGATTCTGTAGATTGTTGAATGATCTATGATGAGAGGCGGATGGTGTACAAGGCTGAAGGCTGTGGGCTATGGCAAGACGACGAGGCTGAGATTCTAAGGGGGCTCCTTTTCTGGCGAGCTTTGTATCGTAGACTAGATTCCTCGGTGTCGACCACAGATTCAGGATCCAGAACGAAGGTCTGGACTCGCTATCTGAACTGATCTGTCATTTGTGAGATGAGCAGTGTGTCCTCGCTTCAGCTTCTTGACGACTGGCCGGCGAATCTGCGACTGCAACCACAACTGAAGAGTGGGACTATTTTATTTTCGTCTTCTCTTTTCACTTCTGCTCGCCCATGTTCCTCTGATGCGACGACTCGGTCATCCCCAAGAACTCCCTGGCCCCACGAGACCGCCCAATCAAATGTCTGGTTATTGGTCCATTCAATGCTCTTTGACGCCGTCGTGACTATCGCTCGTTGAGTGAGACAGATTGCATTTGAGCCACTTCCGCTCCAATCCGATCCACCTCATTATTCCAAACACCTTCAATCAAAGCAATTCGTCTCAATACACCCAGCACTCCTGGCCAGTCGAGCCCTTTCATCCGCATAACCCCCTTGATCCTCCGGACCATCCACTTTCTATCCTCACCAACCTCAGCCCATGCCCCCACAACCAGCACCCATACTTCGAGCTCTTCTAGGTCCGACCAATCTGTGATGTCATGGTATGACCTGAGCAACTTCGGCAATCGACCTCTATGCTTGGCATGGAGATCTCTGTTCCCCGCAACACGGCCAACTGGTGCAGTGAGGAAAAGAAGGGACGCCAGCCGGATCGCTTCGCGCAGCACAAGGTGAGCTGTCGAGGGGTGGCCGGGGTCTGAGAGGATCAAGCGACGTGGCAGGCTGAGCAGGTTATGGGTGATGAGGCCGAGAGTTTGGGTCAGGGTTTTGTCAGTCTGTTGACGCGGCCCGTTTCCGGCGACCAGGTATTTCAGATAGGAAAGACGTACCAGCACCGAGCAGATGTCTGAAAGGATCGGAGTGCGATTTTCCAGGACCGAGATGGTTCGCGCGAGTACTGGAGAGGCCGGATAATCGTGCGCTTGTGGCATGAGCCGGTCACAGACTGGAAACTGAGGAGACAAGTCTAGTGCTAAGGACCCAACCAAGTCGGACCTGTGCAGAATTCAATATGGCGTAAATTGATCCGTGGGTGAGCGGCTCCTCATTGGTTGACATACCAGAACAGTATCTCTCGTGTATTGCCCCAATCAAGAGCCTCGACGCCGCCTCGGCTTTGGATCATTCCCTGTAGACCAGCCATATGAACCGCCCATCGCGAGAAGTGGTGGATGCGCAGCTAGGAAAGCATTAGCGGGCTCCGTCTCCAAACAGCTGAACAGGGCTCTGACATCGTACGCAGCCAGAGAGATCACCGTGCCAATGATCGCATTCCCGACAGCGCTCGTATTCCTCAGTCGCTTGTCCACGAGTCTGAGCGAGGCAGTGTAGTACTGCAATGCGTGCACGTTTTCTCGGCTATCGGGTTGGGAACTCTGCCACTCCGGATCCAGTGCCGACTCTGCGAGAGCCAGGTACATGGCACTTTCGTCGGCCAACGCTATTGTGAAACACAGGCTTCGGAACGTTTGGCATACCGGAGCGTCCTCCTTGTGCACTATGTGCGGTGAATACCAGTCATCTTAAGAAAGAGGAATGGGGGTTTCGCCTACGGAAGCTGAGAAGTCTCTGAGCCCGAGACGACGCAATACGAGAAAAGAGGTTGCGATTGGCGTATGGCGAGGGGAATCCACTCGACGATAGTTGAGAGAGCGCTAATTTTGAACTCTGGTGAGAATGCAGGTCCGTGATATGTCGAATAGGCTTTGGAGGCTGCTGAGAGACCACCGCCTTGCTGGATTCAGGCTTTGATGAATGTGGTTTCTCTGAAGTCAGGTTGAAAATGATTTGGTTGGTTCGGGATCTTCGCCTTCTGGCAAAGCCGATATCCTTCATAACATGGCGACGAATTTTCCTCTGCGTTTGTCGATCTCTGATATCTTGAGGATGTGTGATGTTCACGAATGCCAGATCTGGGTTTGTGGTTTGAGATGTCCGGGGAGGAGATGCCTGCATCTGGAGCGGGACTGATAGTGCCCGAATCTATTCCTGCGAGATTGTCGAACATGAAGGCGAGGCGTAATAGCATCAGGTTGTTCGAAAAATCTCAAAGCAGTGGAAAAGACAATGTTTTGATCGACAGTAAGTTCCACCGCAATTTGTAAGCAATTGTAGAAAGTGGGTTGTCGTCACCGCCGAGACGTTATGGACGATACACCTACATGACGCGAACTTCCTAGCGTTGCTAGGTAGTAGGTAAGGTAGATAGCTGGCCTAGACCATTCTATTGGTATTAGATGAATTCATCTTTTCGCGAATGTAGGCCGTGCCTTAGCACGGGATCTCAAAGCCCATGTTGTTGTAGCGGCGAGACGAGAACGTATAAGCTAACTAGAACTATCTGGCCGCTTAAGGTCCCGGGCAGAAATCCACAGCCCGTTGAAATCAAGGAAAATAATTGCGCTCACGTAAGCCGGGCCATAGTATCCCTCAACTGCTTCAATATCAGTTTCCGGTGATCCCTCCACTGACCGAAATATACTGCCCCGTAATCCATCGTGCCTTCTCAGACGCCAAAAGGAGCACTGCGTCAGCAATATCCTCGGCGGTACCAAATCTATCTGCAGCTCTGGTTATGTCTCTTTGAGGTTTCATAAGCTGGTCGGCCACATCTGGAGGAACGATATCTGTGACAACGGGACCCGGAGCGACAGCATTGACAGTGATACCTCTGCTTCGTCCCCACTGTAGCTCATCAGTTTTTCAGGGCAGGCGATTCAGCTGGGGTCAGGACTTTCTTACCTCCTTGGCCCACGACCAGGTCAGGCTGTCCAAGGCAGCTTTGGAAGCTCCATATACTGGTATATCGTGGAGCCCAAGCTTAGAAGCAGTCGACGAGACATTGATAACTCGACTCCCTGGCGGCATGTGAGGGACTGTGGCCTGTGCCATAAAGACGGGTGCCTTGACGTTGACATCGAATGTTTTGGTGATCTCTTCTGGCTTGACATGGAGGGTTTCGCCGGCAAACCCAGTCCCTGCATTGTTGACTAGCAAGGAAGTCAGAGACCAGTTATGTGGCAATAATCTGGACAAAGCATGGAAGCTTACCCAAAATGTCGATGCGGTCAGTTTCGAAAGCCTTCAAAGTCTCTTGTACGAGGAACAGGGCTCCCTCCGGCGTGTCGACAGTGGTCTGGACAACGGTTACCCGCCCACCGTCGGCCTTGATTTTATCGGCAACAGAATGGGCCCGTTTCGTTACGGAGTCGGAGACGTAGTTGATCGTGACCGCAGCTCCACTGCGAGCCAATGCCGCGACAATTCCAGCTCCAATTCCGTTCTCGCGGCCGGATCCAGTCACTATGGCGACTTTGCCAGCTAGAGATAAAGTATCAGCGGTCATATTGAAAGGGTTTGAGAGTCTCTTGCTGGATTCAATCTTTTGCTGGATCCAAAGTATCAAGACGGCGATGGACAGGTTGTAAATCGGAAAACATCAGAGATGATAGATCATGGCGAGTAACCCGGACACAGTTTATATCTGACTTGGAACCATTTTGTAGGACATATTGAACCATCTTCACCATGGAGACTTGCCATAGTGCTTGCTGGTTTGGGAAAATGGTGTTGCGTAATTGAATAGCGAATCCTCATCTCTGAACAGATCGGACCACACGGAGACTGGTCCTAAGTCCGATAATGTAGTGTATTCATTGCGCAAAGAGAGTGACCTTTACTAATAGCATCTACTATCTATGAAATATAGCGAAAAGTTGGTGTTGAACATTGGACATGGGATCCTGTGCAAGTGCTCGGCGAGGATGCATCGGGAGGGTCCGAGTGCCCCACATGTATGGTTGATTCCGTCCAAAAATGGAAAAAGGTGTCCCTGGTTATGCAGATCTCACCTTCATCTTGCACTTTGTAGCGTATTCTCTTGCATGGCATCGTCGACGGAGAGTGTTCAGATCGATCTTGTTGACTTCAGTTGCGCATTCACTCACAGGGCTAACCACCGCAATCATCCACCAGATTGGTCCAAAGATCCGAGACATGACTTCCTCCTATCCTCGACGTTGTCTCAACCATTGACGGTCAAGACGGCACATAGTCAGACTGCTTGCTCTCCTCTTGAAACGGCCACATTTCCACTTCCACAATCATGTCGATCCAGTGTCGATCTGACAACACTCAATGTCTTTGTCGGCACCGCGACCTAGTTCACATCGTTGTCAACCCCTGGTCCAGCCAGCATAGCTGCAGGATGCCTTAGAAGAGCCACACAACCCCAAGCAGACCATCACGCTCCCGCCGCTGGATCTCATACCTCTCCACACTTGAGCTTGGTACAACGGCACTCGATATGTGACTGAGTCACACATATCAGAATGATACATATTGCGGACGGACTGTGGAGGTGTCGAACAAGAGAGCCATTATACATTGGCTCCACCGCTGAAACACTGGTGAGAGGTTTCCATAGACGACGGCGTTACTGATGGTTGCTCTGCGTAACGACGTAGTATTCGCATGTCTATAAAAGAAGCCTCAGTCCCTCGACAAGTGGATAGAGAACAGAGCATTCAATACATCTCAGTTGCACCCAGTTTGACAGGAGGTCAGTTAACTCGCACCTTCAACCAACTTAATGCTCACTCCTCATCTCCGAAAATGGCGCACTAGAAGGGCGCTCCTTTCATTAAACATAACGGCCACCATTCACCAGATCTCAACCACTACGGCCAGGGCTTGTATTTGCACAGACGATAGGAATGTCCTGGGGATTCCTTCAATCCTAGCCCGTGCAAAGCGCCATCGGAGGTCGAATGGAAGACGTTTTCCATTTTCAGTCCGCTCGCAGGGCATATACCGCAACTCGTTCGTCATGCATGCGTGACGGTACATAGTTATGGCAACCCTGTTTGGTGCAATTATGGAGTTAGTCACACCTTTATTCCCACAGTGGCTGCCTACGGTTAGTTGCGTCTTAACACCATACAACGGTGTCTTGGTAGAGCACAGCAGCAACGAGCCGTACCAGTTTTGCCAAAGTCACGTCCTGTCGTAGGGTCCGATCTGCAACTCGTACCGAAACCGCTTCGCTAACCTGGCCGTCGTGAACCTCTCATCAAGGTCAACAACGGCTGGGTCCTGATGGGCAGCTGGCTTGCATGCCAATCGCACGGGCAGAAGAGGGTCAAGGTGGAGCATGGGAACCGAAAGCGGTGACGAAGAAGATGATGTCGTCCGGGTGTCACAAAATTCGAAGATCCCGACAAGACGAAAATGTCGATCCCTTCGGCTTTGTCGCATTCGTCTTACTGGGAGCAGATCAAGAAGCTAATCTGGCAGCCGGGTTACCTTAGAACCTCTTCAAATGTGAAGCAAAAAGACTCCACAGAGGGATTTGGCAGAAAACGTTGGACCTGCAACGTGTAAGCAAGCCTTTAGTGAGAGCTTGTTCCGTTTGCCAGTAGTATGGAGGATGTCAAAGTTCCCTCCCACACACAAGAGAAATCCAAAGATAAAAATCCCAATTTTTTTTTTTTTTTTTTTTTATAATAGTATTTCACCACTGGTGAGAGCTCTCATTCGGATCGTCGCTCTTATTGTACCGGAATCAGTTTTGCAGTATGACAACTGGTTGCCAAAGTCTGATCGGAGTAGTCATTTTGACTCCATCGCGACACTGTTCAACCCAATTCAGGTTGTCGAGGCTAGCCACGCCGCCTTTTAAGGATGCTACTGATGTTTTCTTGAGCGTATCCTGGAGAGTTGAAGAGGCCGAGTGAAGCGAAATGTCGAAGCGATGGTTTGAAGAAGCCCACCAGGGGATGTTTGATTGACACGACAATTTGACAATTTGACGAATCAGTACTTATCGTAAAAAGTCTTCTAGGTCGGCAGCTATCATACCCTCATGGCCGTAGCCAGCAATTTTGACTGGGTTTTGTGTTGAAGATTACGTCGAAAGGGGCTGACCTGCGAGTGTTTGCTTCAAACGGGCTTCGAATAGAAGTACCGATCCGATATCAGATAACGACGATTTTTGGATCGGTATATACAAAAAGAAAATCGTGGTGACAAGAGGAAGACTTGGGCTTGGTAAATTCCTCTGCGTATGTGTGAATCAAAGAGATCTGCTAAGGAGCTTGCGGAGTCCCTTGCTGGGTGTGAGTGTTATTCTTTTGCATTCAAAAATTGTGGATTGAAAAAGCGTTGGCAGAAAGGAAAGACAAGAACTGCGATGCTCGAGGCGCTGGCAGAATTATTCTGCCAATCAGCAATCAAAAACTCCTGTATCTTTGTTAGACTTATCTTTCATGGGAATCAAAACCAGGGCCACATCGACAAAGCGTCTGTCATTGAGGTACCGGACATGGACAGAGATCCAACACAGTCACAAGAGTGAGTCGGTCTCTTTCCCTCGTCGCAGATTTCTGGAGACATCCTGTTTGCTCAACAGGGGCAGATTTGGCTGACAAGGGGGAAGCAACAGTGACAAGAGGACACACCTTGTCGACAGACCCCTAGACAAGACGGCCCCTGGCGTCCATGGCTTGTTCAACTTCGGCCTAGGAATCGAACTGGCTAGAGTAATTCTGCACAAGGGAAGTAGATGAGGCCTTCATCTTTCTACACAGGGGATGGTGACTTACTAGTCTGCTCCCTGCTGCTCTGACGCTAGGACCGACTCACCCAGCGGCAACAACTCTCCCTACCCAGGATGCCAACATTCCAGTGCCTGCTTCGGGACCAGTCAGCGACAACCGCTCGTTGGGGCTGGGACTTCCTGACTCCAAAAATACTTTCACCAAAGCACCAAATCCCGCCCCCAACATAGAGCCACTATAAGCCGTGGAACTCGAACTCGACCCTAACCCTATCGGCGCCAGTAGCGGGTGGACAAGTACAATAGGGGATAAGAGAAAGAGGACAACAAAAAGAACCGGCAAAGAGATATACCTGCTACGTGTGTGGATACAATCTGCTGCGGGTGAGTCGTGTTCTCAATCATATGATCAACAAGGGTGAGATGAGGGAGGAAAACACTGATATCGAGCGAATGAAGGCTCCGGAGGTAAACTCCTTTTGGTGAAAGAGGAAGACAAGGACACAAGAAATAGGATGAGCGTTTCGGCTTGGGTCGTACCTGAAAGACATTGATCGGGGGGGAGGGTGTCAAGCAGATCAACGGGAAAACAACGCTTTACCAAAGGAAACCTCTCAACACCAAACTGATCCCAAGCTTCCAGTGCTCTCTATTGCTGTTTCTTCTCCTTGGCCGCTTTATCCTTGGTGCCCATCTTACCTTTAATCGCTGACCTGATAATCAACCAAATCCACCAGAGCATATTGCTTGCTTTCCCACCGTCGTAGTCCTGTGATCGATCGCCGATTTCTGCCATCGCACAGACTAGGTCTGCTAGCTCCTTTTGCACCTTGTAATGTAGGTATGCAGCGGTCAGGTCGAGACCGTTGGTGATTCCGCCTACAAATTGGTTAGAGAGAGTTGGGTCTAAGGCTGACGGCATCGGCGAAGGTCGGGAGTGAATCGAGCAAAAGAGAGAGAAAAAGGGCATACAAGAAATAAGATGGAAGTCATGGCCACGTTTTGATCATGCAAAATCAGACAGTAAAGGGACAACGGGAATACCCACCGGAAGTCCATAGCCGACCATCCCTCTCCCACCTCCGGTCCACGAATTTAGCGGTCGGAAATTTCTCCTTCAACTTGGTCACTAGAGCTCTCGGACCTGTGACGCGCTTCCCGTCCAATAGTCCAGCGTAGCCGGCAGGGAAACTACCCGTGCAAATGACGAGGATATCCGTCTTGTCGGCTTTCTGGTGCGCGCGGATAAAGGATGAAACGGCCTCATCGGGGACGAGGTTCGGGTCCGGGCCGGGAATGAGCAACGTGTCGAGTTGTCCTGGTTGTACGGCGGGAGAGTCTAGGGAGTCTGTCACTGGGAGGGTTGCGGAAGAGGTCATGGAGACATGCGTATCGGGGCCGGAAGTGCTGATGTAGTGGATTGAGACGGGGATTGCGAGGTCGACAAGTGGTTGGGGCAGACCGCATGCTGAAAGGTATGAGGGAGTCAACATGCCGAAGGCATCGATGGCGGAGGCGTCGAGGAGTTGCACCGGTGGGATCAGGAGGATTCCGACGCGGAGGGAGGTTGATTGTGACATGCTGAAAGAGCCAAGGCGTGGTTAGAGCAGACAGATGATCGAGCTGTTCGCGGACGGGGAAGGATAGATAGATCGTATGAGGTATTTGAAGAAAATCTTTTGGAATGAATGGTCATCTTGTATTCCTCGAGTTCTATTCAAGGATTTGTATCTCCCAAGCTCAATCAAATGTTTGTCAGTTTCAGAGAAATATTGCTGCCTCGCGGCCCGGCATGACGTTGGCTCAATCGCCAATGGCAGCTCGCTCTTACCATTCCTCATCGCAATTACAACGGAGTCAGCGAAGGCGAAAGATTGGTATTATTTGAGAACTTCGACATGGCTGACCTCGTAAAGGGATCATGGATCTGGGCACGTCTCAGGCTCCAGCATTTTCAGGAATAAGCTCGGGTGCACTAGGAAGGTTCTCAGAGCCCTTTGGCAGATTTTGATTGGGTGTAGGTCGATGGATGGAGAAGAGCAGTCGGGCCATAGTGAGTCCGAAAGGTGATTGCTCGAGGCCTGAAGAGGAAAATTGTCTGAATGAGGGAAGGACGAAAGATGAGGTTGGAAAACGGGAGCAGGGTACATTTCGGGACTGGCGGTCGCGAGCATTCCGGCGACGCGTTGCCAAAAAGGGGTGTCCAGTAATTCTTTGTCGACGGCCCCTTTTTTCCGGCGGGCGTCTGAAAGGGTATAATGCACGTCTCTGGCTTCATTCTGCGGTCTCGAATGCTATTGCTTTAGAGGCATCCGAAGATGGTGTCCTGCCAAAAGGGCCACCGATGGCCTCCGCCAGCATGAATAAAAGTCGAATGCTGTACACAGCGGCACGTACTCGATCCCAGCCACGGTCCTTCTCCTTCTCTTACCATCCCCTGAGGTATGAGAGCACCCTTCGGTCCGATGCCCCACGCCTATGCAGAGCCTCAACTGCGGGGTCTACATTCTGAGTTGTCGTTGCAGAAGCTATCCGTTGTCTTCACACGCCTTCTGGGTCCCGTTACCGAACTTTCTCAAACCCACCTGCTGGGAAAGACCGATGCAAATAGAAGATAGGTCGAACGAATCAATCTTCACAACCAGGAAGGGAAAATAACCAAAAAAAGGGTACAGAGAATATACGCAGACTGCGCATGTGCTCGTTTGATTCTGATAACTGGTCCGTGGGTGGCAATGATAAGGTTTTCCAGGAGCAGACTGACATCCATGGATACGGTTTCAGCTGGCGAGGGGGGGACTGGGAGTCCTGAAGACGTTTTGCATTGTGATCACCAATGACCATCTACAGGCGCAAGGATGGACCACTAGGCTAACGCTCCCATACTCTCGATCATGGTGTACTTGGACCGGAAAAACAGTAGTCACCCCCATCTGAGCGCTGGGCTGTTCTTGTGCAATCACTTCAGGCATCACAATGCCTGTCAACATATCAACGAGCCATGTTGGGGCCCTTGCGACACCATGAACGGCTATAATCAATCATCAGCGGCATTTCTGACCCTTACACTTCATGCAACTAGGCTTCCTAGACCAACGAGTAAGCAGGAATGTCTCGTGTGTGCGTGACCCGGTCCATTGTGCACGCCAGTCAAGGACCTAAAAGTCTAGTACTTAGTATTGTACACGGGGTTTACTTCATGTCCTATCTCATAATTGGTGGTTGCTCTCACGATGCCCGGTCGTGTTACCCCAACTTCCAGGAAAGAAAGCTCAGACAGCGGAAATGGAGGTACAGATATCGGTTCGTCATTTTGGTTTCCAGTCCTCTACCGCACGAGAATATCTGAATGCTGGTTCCAGCCCTTCGATTCTTTTAGGCTGGAGGATGTGGCCAGTCACAATCCGTCCGAGAAATCCCAATCGTTAACTCTTCACTCCAAGATGGCGTTTTGGGCGGTTAGCCTCCGGGCTGCACCATTTTACCGCTGGTCGATTGCACGGTTCGGAGAGTGAACGCTGAGGCTTGCCTTGCAAGGAAAGCCTATGTTGACACTGGAATGAGAAAATTGATTGTCCCTAAGTGAAGGTTGTCGAGGATTGTAAGCTTCTACTAGGGCTCTCCGGCTGGGTCAAGGATAGATTCTTGATGCCAGATGGTCCCGACTTCCGGGGTTTAGTGGTGTTTTGAATTCAGGGATGTGAATTCATTGGTATGACAACGTGAATTACACATCGCCCTTCATGCCTCGATGCCAGTGGCTTTTCAAGCGTGGGGTGTGATTACAGTTGATACGACCGTGCCCCTGTTCCATGCGAGCACCAGGACTGCCGCCCAGTAAACTATTAACACTATTGATTGGCCAGGGATTAATGGTAGAAGAGCCATTTTCGGCGTGGCTGTGCTTTCGCAACGCCCCGACTGCTCCAAAGCAAACCCATCACGAATGAGCTTGAGAAAACGGGCGTCATCATATGATCGTCTTTTCGGGCAAACCCATTGCGGATACGTGTAACACGGGTGGCAAAGAGGCGAGAGGTCTCCAAGGCCCGGACCGTGGACGGGGTCGTGGATTCTCGTTTCTGGTTTTGCAGACGTCCATATTGCAAAGGTTGAAGACCGGAGAGCCATCAAAGTGGTCTGACCAGGCCACGGTCTCGAGATAGAGATATCTGCAGCATGATTGGTTGTGTGATGCCGAACTCGATAATGGATCTAGAGGGATATGCTATTGATGTCGAGACAAAAAGTGCTCCAGGCATTGCCAAAACGTGCAGCCTTACAGGCGCGTCCTAGTAAATAGCCAGCTTGCCAGGATTTCTGACAATAAAAGGGACAGCGATATAGCTCCTTGCCACCACAACGCTTGCGAGTGACTTTGGGTTCAATTTTTCCTCTGGAAGACAAGATCAAATGAATAAGGATCAGTGTCTTGTTTCAATTCCCACTCACAAGCGAAATGATCGTGTAGTTGTAAATTTGGTCCTCGTCCCAAGCAAGGTCCAATGCATACGAAGAGAAGAAGCAAGCCCGAAAAAATCTAAGGCTTCCTTTTTTTTTTCCCCTAAGAAAATCCCAGAACAAAAGGGGGTATCATTGCCAAGTTGCAAAGCATCAAAGACGCAAACTTCCAAAGCCATGGTCCATTTCAACGGAGAGACATTGCACCACCTTTCTGATTTCGGGAATACAAATTGAGTCGCTGCATATTGTCGCCAGTGTGAAAACGATGGGGCTTTCGTGGTTCATTAGGCTCGCTGATTCCATGAGTCAATTGGGATGGCTCCGCGTGTGTTGCGATAGACATATCGTCACTGAAAAAGGCTCGGGTCAGAAGTTTACTCGATTTGGACTTCCGCTCTTCTTCAAACCAATGATCCAATTTCAAGAGCTTAGGGTCTGTTTCCACTGGTTGATTTGTATCTTGTGCAACTTCTCGTAATGTCTTAGCAAGTTCCTCTTGCTCCTTGAATGATACCCTGAGCTGATGCAAGAGATAGGCGTTGACCAGAGTGTCGTATTTAATATGATCGTCATCCGTCACTTTTTCCAAGATGGACAGCAGACCACCCTTCTGAGGACCTAGCAGAAACTGAGAGTCTGCTTCAGGATCTTGGTTGTGGTCTTGCGCCGGTCGTTCGCTGACGTCACTTGCCCCAAGAACCGCTTCCTCTTCTTCCCCAGGAGGACGCAGTTGCTCTTCCGGTATGTCCACTTTTCTCTCAGGGAGATTGTCTCGTAGGACAGTGAGATCATTTTCAGCTTTATCGAGCTGTTCTAAGAGCTCTTGTTGTCGGGACCGGAGCTCTGGTTCATGGTCATCAAGGATGTCACTCTTCTCAACCAGGTGTAGCTCCGCGTCCACTTCCATTAGGCTCTCTTTGAGGAGATCCACATCGCCCATCTTGGAGAGATAGAGTTGAGCCTCGTAAGTCTGATCGCATCGAATATCATCTGCCAGAAGAGCCGAGTCGTCGTCTTCACTATCTTGGGATTGGACAATAATGCCTTGCTGGTCCAGAATTTGGAACGACTCAGGTGCGGACTGGCCGAAAATCTTGGAGCCTTGGGCTCGTGCTTCATAGCCTTGATGGATCAGTTCCTCATCCGCTACCTTGAGTTTTTGTTCAGAAGCTTGCAGCGCTGACAAAGAGTTCCAAAGATCCTGCAAAATCGGATCCTTGCTGGAAGCCATGAATGCGTCAATACTTTGCAAAGCTCGTTCCCTCGTCTCTGTAATATCTCTTCGCAGATCGCCGGCGAAAATTAAATTTGTCGAGAAGGAATCCATCAAGCTGTTGAGCTGATACCATTTTCTCCGTAATGATACAGAGCGATCGTCAGAATCAGGGACACCACCATGACTTTCCTTGTCATTCAATTCCAATGCTAGGCCGGATGAGGTCTTTTGGTCTTCATTGCTCGGCTGTGGGGGTTCAGATAATTGGTTTTGATCATGCAGGGGGTTGGACAGTTGTTCCATGGGATCCAAAGATTTCGCTAGCTCAGGTTGTCCAAAGTTTGTTGATGGGTTTACCGCGATGTATTGTTGTGCAAGCAAGATCTGCTCTTTGGAAGACTGGCCGAGGCTACTTTCCGAGGAATGTAAAGTTTCTACCAGGTTTGACACTACCATTTCCTCAGAAGGGTTTACCGACGACGTTCCAGGTTCTTTACCAGATACCTCGTCTTTTGGGAGTGGTGGTGCGGGTGGCACTTGAGTTAAAGGAGGACTTGAAGTTTGATTTGCTCCATCCCCTTGTGAGGGACTTTCCACCTCTTCTACCCCGTGCGCGACTGAAGCCTGTACCATCTCGCCGTGCGTGTCACTCGAAGACTCGGACTGGGATAAGACGAGATTGCCTTCCGAAGGCGACACCGGTATGGGGCCTGTAGAAGATTGGATTTCGGCGTTCGACGCATCTTGTTCATTATCCGAAGGCAAGACTAGGTCTGCTGGTGGCAATGGTAACCGTTCTGAGCTGGATTGTTGTTAGTGTTTTTGATCGCACAAACCACAGCGCAAAGGACCACGTTTACCTTTCCTCGGGTTTCGGCGAATTGTCACTTTCCAAGTGACGGTTGACTAACCTCAAGGGCCAAAAACTCATTCCGAGAATTTCAACGCTCCAACAATAAATTCATAACCAGCTGGAGCTGACTCCAGAGGTGTCTTGGGTATCGTAAATGACAGCAAATCCATCGCGCATTGGGATGCTGCGTGAATATTAGGAAATTGTCCTCGGCAAGCAAAATGAGCCGGAGCCCCCCCTGACCAGGTGTGAGACACACCCTCCAGAGGCTAGTGCTGCCTGTAATTTTAGGCGCCGTACCGGTATTGACGATTTTATTACGCTACCCCCCATACCGATTACAATGCCCTAACCACTCCCGTCATTCTATGCCTGTTGAGGTATGCCTGCTGTTATCTCATTATCTCATTTGACCTCGAGATGCTCTCCAAACGCGGCGCCTATCGCATCGAGCAAAGTGAGCATGCAACGTGTTCTTGCTTGATTCCAGTTGTTGGCATGGCTCGATGTAGCACTACGAGCAATCAGCGCTCCCATGGTCCTCACCGGGTTTCTCTGTATCCTCCAATGCCAGCCAGAGACCCTTCCCGGTTCACGAGAGCTAGTCACAGAATCCCTCCAAACACCAACAGGGGCCGGCGGCGCACTTCAGCAGGAGCAAGTCCTTCTTTAGTCGTTGGGCTTTGAAAAAGTATATACGTGCGATCCTTCGGTAGGTCAATCTGCGACTACGCTCATTCCGCTGCATGAAGCTCCCTCAGTTTCTGTGGCTTCTGTCGTCCTGTATATCTCATAATTGGTGGCCCTCCCCAGGAGACATTGCACTTGGATGGTTCGGTCGCTACACCGCCTCCATCAAACAGTGTACACGACCTTCGCGACACCGACGGTACCACCAATCGCCTATTTTTCTTGATTGACCCTTTGGCGAGATAGCTTTGCGTGCGCTCCCGTTGGAAGACTTCTGGTTTTTCGGTTGGAATTCCCCGCAAAATGCCCTCTGGACGTAGGACTCGACCACCGGCACCGAGCCTCCCTACTCGGACTCGGCCTGAGACATACGACGATGATATTCCTGAGAGCGAACCTCACCAGGGCGCTGGAGCTGGATCTGAAGATCAGACCGTGTCTGAAGCCAGGACAGATCATATTACCGAGCTACCTATTGATGATGGTTCGTTCGTCTCTTCAGACGCCAATCCACTAATTGATGACAATACGGATATATTGGACTTTGCCTTTCTCTGGCTGAGAGATCCGGAAAGCGCTGCAAAGCATCTGAGCGAAAATCTGTGCATTTTCCAAATCCCCGACTTCCAATTTCTTCTAGAAGCGATGAGGTGCGAATCGGATGGAAAGCCTCGGCTTTGTCTCGTCTTGAGCCAGCTATATCTCCTAGTTAGACGATTCCAAAGCCTCCCAGAGGAAGAAAAGGAAGGCTTCCTCGATAATATGGTGAATGTGGACCTTCAGAATAAGGACAGCCCTATGTTCAGACAGCTGGTCAGCACCGTCCAACTTTTTGTTACGCGGAAAACGGCTCACGATATTTCACCTTCTGTCGAACGGCTGAACGTGTCCATGGATGCGGTACAGCTCCATCGTCGTCGATCAAGTCACCATACATCGTCTCTTCCCAATGTTGAGGAGGAAGAAAGCCCGGGAATGGGCATACGTCGTGGCTCCAGATCGGATATTACGACGCCATTGGCCGCGGGTTACTACGTACGATCGAGCAAGTTCTTCAGTCTTGGTCGTGTATTTATTATGCTCTGGCATGAAAATGCAACGGCCGCCAATAGATATCTTAGGGATTCGGGCACGACCGTTCCCGGACTACACGGAGAAAAGGTATTTTCACATATAAGGCGGTTCGTGGTTGTTCATAAAGGTCATGGATTCTCATGGGCGATTCCCATCAACACTTACCAGGGAAAGGGCCTACTTCGCGGTGGGTTCGATCAGGACGAAATCGACGCACATGCCATCATTCACATGGAAGGCACCAACCCCCAACCCATCGCCGGAGAACCCAGGATGACCAAAACACCAATCATTGTTGACAATACTACCAAAGACAAGAAGCTGGAGCCGTCTAGTCGAATTCGATTTGACAAGGTGTTCACGATTGAGCATAATGTCAAAACAAGAAATGTGGGCAAGATATCGAGAAAATCTTTGCCCTACTTTTGGACATATTGGCGGGCTGAAGCCCAAAAAGCCATACCGATCGCTGGCCCAGCTGGCCCAGCTAGCCCAGTGACATGAAGCATAATCTTGTTATCTACCGGGACACAACATACTCGCGCAACTGAAAATACGTTCTTGTCTCCGACGCCAGCTTTTGTGTCGGCGGCTATATTCGCTGCCTTTGCGCAGTAAACTTCCTTTTCAAGGAAAAACTAAAATGGAGGAGGAGTCTATGCTTCTTCTCCTCTCGGGGCAAGTCCCCGAAAACATACGAAAGTTTGGTACGTTGGTTGTGTTGCCCATTGAAATGGATGAAGATGCACTCTGCCCGTCCTTTGGTTAGGGAATATTTTTGAATTTGGTATATGTTCAGTCTCGACAGTGGACTTCATTGTGGACACCGGCCCGCCCTCCCTCCCCCTTTTGGTGACCCAGCCTTGTGTATTTGAGACATTTAATTGGCCATTTGGGATCTGAGAGAGGAGATGTTGAATTTAGGTTGTAATGATTCTTATTGAGGCATGGTGGTTGCCTTCTCGCTTTTTAGTTCTTGTCGGAAAGCGGAGAACCCGTAATGTTTTCATATTACTCCATACTTACATTAAGGTAACAATTCTCGAAAGGCAAAAACAAAGCAGATCGGGCCCGTAACAAGTCTCCACCCTCCCATTCCCCCGTCGGATACAATTTTCAGCCTTGTCTTGGCGGGTTACTCCACTAGGTCTTTCCAATAAGTATTTTTACGGCCGCCTCATCTCAGCCATTCTAATCTCTCGTAAATTTCACATCCTAGCCACATCGTTAATCCGACACCAGACCTGTCAATACAGCTGTCAATCACTTTGTTTTGAAGTATGTTGAAGAAGCAAATACAATGGTTAGTGGGGAAAAAAAAAAAAAAAAAAAAAAAGGCAAATTGCCTGATGCCACCCACGTCCACGCACAGCAAGGCCCGAACGCCTTCGGAAGAAAGAAGTTGCGCCTGAATTTTGTCGCTGTTTGCCTGCTAAATAAGGTTAATGGTAAATCAATGCGCAGTACTTTATGTCTGCTCCTATTGAGATACGGAAGAAGAGGCCATGTCTCAGACAGTCCAGCCGAGATTAGCATTTGTGGCAGTATTTTTACCCTCAATCTGCAGAAGCTTTCACCTCTACTACGGCCCACGTGCTCCATGGGACCTTCGGAGGCTCAGGAAGATTGATAGAGTACGTTGAGGACCTATGAAGAACATCAAGCAGAGTACCGATCAAAACTAATGGGAATACGAAGCGGTTTTCAAGGGGCACAGGGATGTGTGGTAGATTGCTGGGTCGTGATTCGCCATGAAAATGTGTTGGAGCGTGTGAGCTTGGGCCTGATGCCGGCTTTGGCGCGCGGCCTTTAGGGGGTCCATGGGCTTCTGGTTTGGAGCCACTAACGGGGTGGTGCTTTGAGAGCCGCTAATCGGACTGGGGGACTCACCATCTCCAAACGTATTTTGAGACAAAAGAAATTCACCGTATAGCCATTGGGTCATTCCAATGATACCAAACGTCAGATACATCGGTGAGACCGAAATGCGTGGCAAGCGACTGTGATCGGGTGACCCAGAAAAGACTTCCAAAGCTGCAAAGACCCCTGAATGCCTGTGGGAGGCGACGAACCAACGAAAAGATTCCTGGTATGAATGGCCTCTGGAAATAGGTATTACCAATTCCCGTAGTTTGTGCTTGTGCCTTCGGCGAAGGCGACAATTTTTGTGAACAAGCATCTGTAAGAACAGCCGACGAGTCGAAAAGGTCACCAAAAATCCTCAAAAGGGCCGAAAGTCAGCGCCCCTTGGGCAGGGCACCGAATTAAATCAGTCGTGTACTCCTTGCTTCGTCCGGGTCAGCATTCCGTTCGCAACCATTAGCAGCATCAGAAAATAAATTTTCCGATGATCGTTTGGTGACTCGCTGGCTGAAATTGTCGTTGAAATTAGTTCTGGGATATCAGTCCAATGGCCTCGAAACCTCACATCTCAAGTCGGCGGACCCTTCATGAAAATGTCAATTTCCGGGGCGGTGGTTGGTTCTAGGCAAGGCAGCCCGAATTGTATATCCCGTGCGCGTGCATTCCGCTTGGTTCAATTTTGCGGTGATGCCCAATGTGAAGCGACAACCCGGTCGATGGATTCATATGAGCTTCTGAGTCTGAGATATCCAGGTACGGGAGCGTGTCGATTAACCTCTGGATACGACCGGGAACTGCTCTGGAAATTTCAGACTTTGGAAAGGCCATGCTGCAGGTCAGGAATGATGTCGTTTGATGCGTTGTTCATCGATTGCCCGAATACATTGTTCAAAAAGTTTTGCCAGTAATCCATAACCCTTGAAAGAGACGTAACTTACACTGCAGTCCATGAAGACAATATTATGCTATTAATGGCTGAGACGAAAGGAGCCATGATGCCGGCTCGATAGGCTGTCTCTCGTCTCCTTCAGAGTGATCATGCGACGGAAGTATCGACTCACCGTCCTGCTGGTGAATCGGTCCCAGTCTATTTTCCGAGAAAGGACAATACATGAGATCATCAGAACCAGCAAGCTGAGAGTGCATTCGCCTCCGCCCATAATGTAGGGCTCGATTTTCGTCGGCTAATGCCTCATACGCTCCATGCTGTGAACAATGGAGAAAAAAAGGACTTTTGAACGTTTCACTGCTTGAGAGGGCCAAAGTGGGCGAAATTTTCCTTCAACTCGGTCAGCCAAGGTTTTCTATAGACGGTGACTGTTTTTCAGCGACGTCCTCAAACATTCTTCAGCCGTGGTTGTGTTTTGCTAGTCGTATTGACGAGAGGTATTCAACTGGACTGAGTCAGGTGAATTCGTCGACACTTCTTTCGTGTCAATGGGTATGGCATCTTGAAAAGACTTCGAAGCCTTGGTTGTCCAATTGATGGAGGAAGGCGTCATCCTGCATCGACAATGGGGGCTCATATCACTTCTTGATATCCCACTGGATATGTTGACTTTGATCCCCGATGTGTTGTTCTTACCAGGTGCCATTCGAGACAATCAAAACACGACTTCTCTATGCGTCAAGCAACGGCCTCGTTCAGCAGATTCAATCAACGTCGGTGGTATCAGAAGAATGTTCGCAAAGCCCTTACCCGTTCAATAAACGGCCAACTGATCTCTACCTCATTCATCTGTCCTGATCTGCGGCATGGCTGCCATGTTGGTCTTCTTGTTACGGTTCGACTGTCCAAAACATCCTTGAAAAGCTATCCTTGGAAACGCGGCTCAAGATCCGCTGTGCCGCAACGGCGAGGAGGAGCTGAAATTCTGAACCTCTTCTGTGAAAGCATTCCCTCCCCAATTGATCTCGGTAGACCTTGCCCTGTTGGATGAGATGTGCAAAATGCTGCAGGTGGCTGAGACGCCAAATGTATCTGAAATCTGCGTAAAGAATAGGAGATTGGCAGATTGGCTAGAAAGAGGCAAGCAGTTGAAAAGTTTGAGCTGAAATATTGTTCTCATACATGGCGGCAAGAATGAGACAATCTTGCAACATCGGTTCAGAACAATATGAAGAAATAGGGCTCATGTTCTCTCTTGACACTGTCCTCCCATTCCTTGCCTCGAGCCGGGTAAACAAGGACTACAGCCCGATCATGGAGTTACATTGCTACAGAAGTATCAAGACTTGTCCACATAAGGCTGAAGCCCTGTTTCAGCCTACCGCAACTCACGTCGACAAGATGCAGAACTACATGCATCCAGTGACAGGAATACGAGCCTCGTATGCGCGATGTGAAGTCTGTTCAATTCAAGACTTTCTCCGATGTCTCCCAGTCAGATGCGATAACAGCTGCAAGTTGCATGCAGGATTTAACAGTGCACAGCCCCGATTGAAAGTCACAGGACACAGTGCATTGCTGCATGGTTCTAACTGGTTAGTTTGATGTCTGACCACAATTCGGCACGTTTGCGGCTCTGCTTTCAGAATTCAATCCAGAAGGTCACCGTCGGAGCCACTCGGAAGGTTTGACAATCTGCAGCTCCTCGGCTTCTAAAATGCGGTGATCCCGGCGATAGACCTTTTGAAACCTGGTGAGAGAAAGCATTTCCGTCCGACATGGTTTCTCAGCTGTTGCCCCGACATCTTTCTCGCGGATCAGAGCATTGGTCAGCCATTCCAGAGGGGGCAGGTTGATCAAGCGGTAGATGCCAGTAATTCCCCATTCCAATAGTGATAATCTTACAAATTTGCATGCAGTATAGGTAAAGCCCCCGAGACTTCTGACTTGTGTCGCTTAAGGAAAACTCCAGTCTATGATGCCATGACCTGTGCACTCTGGCCGGCTGCGGTGTTTCAATATACCGGGGGGATACTTTAGGTAGCCAGGTAGCTAAAAGCACCTATGTACTCCGTCATATGGTACAGAATGCTCCCAGTCCAAACTTCCAGCCTGATGTATCTGAATCCATCCAAGATTATAGACTCCGAAATGCAAAAGTACGGGCCCCCCGGAGTCCGTGACATCAAAGGGGGACCGTCGAAGTTAACGGACTTGAGAAAAACTCGTCTTTCTCGCTGGAAACAGGATGCACACGAGTAAGGGCGAAAGTGTCATCGGAAAAAAAGGGCCCGAGATGAGATTCGAAATAGATAACAGGCGCCCGACCTTGGACGAGCCTAGACAAGAAAATTTCCAGAGAGAGGTTTCCACAGGGGAAGAAGGAAATACCACGGGGTAGTCATTGTGTCTTTGCTCGGCCGTGAACGCCGGTCCCTCGCCGAGGCCTGGAAGCTGCCGAGTCGACAGACCGATGGCGTCTCTTCGGGTAGTGGCTTTCCCACCCTTGCTCCTGCGTGAGATTTGAGTCCGGGGAACGAGTGAAGCTGTCGTGATAGGGCAGCTGAGAGGTATTCACACTCTCAGGTTTCTCACTGAGCGCAAGCGGACGCGGAGGAACCACCCCTGGGCCAAACCACGTTTTCTTCATATAGCTTGCAATTGTCTTGTACGAGAACTTGTCATCAAGACCACTTTCGAAGGCGAACCGGACGAAAGACCACCATGACGACTGAAGACACCTGAGAATCCACATGGAAATGAAATTCGAAAAGTTGTCCGTAACGGGGTCGCGCACGTCCCAGAAGAAAGTGGGGATGAGTACATGGGAAACGGAATCGAGTTGCATTGAATCCGGGGAATGTGATAACCCGTCCCAAACAGGCTGTGATAGGAAAGGCGCGATGTCGTCGGCGCGCGTTTCGTCGTCTTCGGACTGCAAAGATAGAGACATGGCCTCATCGCCGTCCGGCCTCGAATCCTGTGTGCTAACATTAGTGTCGACACCAAAAAATTGATCCAGTCCAAAGAAAATATCAGATGCCTTGAAAGGTGGGGGGGAATTGGTTGGGAAAGCCTCTTCAAGAGCACTGCGTTGCTCTGCAATGTGGGCTAACTCTTTCCACAGTTGGCCGCGCCGTTGCGGAAAAGTGTCCAGTAGTTGCTGCGAATAGTCGTCTGGGGGCATTCCCGCCTCTGCTCGCATGGCCACATGCTGCAAAAGCGCCGCATGGTCTTTTTCCAAGATTGCCAGACGATCCCTCACTTCTTGATCGCTCGATGTCAGCGCCGAGATGCGGTCTTTCGCCGTTGCTCCACGAGGCTGCGCCATCACCAGACCTGCTGGATGGGAAGGTGGGCTATGATGCGGAGTCCTGGGTGTCAACAAGCTCTCCCGATCAGACCCATTCATGTCAGAAGCTGGTGTCCCGAGAATCTGGTCGTACAACGCCGTTTCCGCCTCCTTGAGCTTCCACTCCGCGGGGATAAGATCGCTTTCCAGTGCATCATTGTCAATCTCCTGCGAATCCATCTCTTTTATAACCAGCTCCAGATCTTGGAATTGTTTGGCGATATCGTGGCTGACCTGTCCTGTAGATGAGAAGTCTTGGGTCGCTTTCAGGAGCTCCGACGTGATGTGGTGCAGTCGTCGCCTCGTCGACCTCATCTCATCTCGTTGATCTCTTGCGCGTACCCTTAGTCTCTGCAGATGCTGTCGTTGACGTTTGATGTATGGCAGGTGATGAAGAAAGCGAACTGGATTGTCCGCCTGTTCGAGCATAGTCCATCTTCTTTCGTCATGGTTAGGAGAACCCTGTCGCAAGATTCCAGATGGGAGATTGAGACTGTCGCGCGCTTCTGCGCTAGAGGAGTGCCGACGCGCGGGAGACATAGGTGTGAAATATCGAGGATCGTCGTCCATGGCTTGACTTCCTCGTCTCCTTCTAGTTCTACCCTCCTGACTTTTGGTGTTGTTTGACAGATCTGTTGAAAGGACCTGCCCTCTTACTTCATTTTCATGTTCTTCAGAAAAATCATAGTCCACGTTTGAACCGTGGACTTTTGAACAGGCGTGGTTCGAAGGCGGGATGAGAAAACTATCCCTATATTATACGTCAGCTTGTGCTACATCAAATCTAGTACCTTTTGGCCGCACTCCACGTGGTAAGGGAACCCCTGGAAGGCCACCCATTGTGAACTATAAAGCGTCTCGGCGGGTCGTTCCATGAAATGGAGGCCATAGGCGAAGGGCCAATATGTTGACAGCAAGAAGCAGACAACGCGACGTGGCGAACGTCAAATGGCAAGGGCATTGGTGATCCTGGGGGCATTCGAAGGGGGGCAAACAATAGAAATGAAACCACCAAGGGGAAGTCAAAATTGTGTGGGTGTGGTCGGTATTTGGGAGACAAACTAGAGAAGGGCTTTGGACATCAGGCCCTGGCACCCTCGTGACAGTGTCTCCTTATCCGCCAGATCCAGGCAAGTCAGTCAGTTGTTGCCCTTTGAATATGGCCATGGGGGAGAAGACGGCTGGCGCGTCAGCCCCCCTTACGGAAGTGAAAGATCGCAAGGTGATGAAATTCCGCGAGGTGGCTGCCGAAACCCACCGTGGGTGGGGGTGGGAAAAAGCAGGCGGGCCGATCCCTAACAAGCTTAGCTGGCGCGGTAAGACTTAGAGTTCAAACACGGGACGGGCCCCTAGACCTAACGAATTGGAGGACTCCACCCTTAGCCTCCGAAGGAGCCTGAGGGACCGATCCTCTACAACAATGCCGCTGTCAGACACAGCTTATTTCACCTATTGGTACGCCATCTTCGTTGCTTCCCAGGGAGGAACTCAAACTCCCCAGCTGGACCACCATCCTGCACCTCATCACCAACTCAAGACTAAGGTCTCCCTTCTCCAACATGGCTTTTCCCGGCACAATTCACCCTGTAGGCTCTATCTACTGCTGTCTGTCTGTGCAAGCATGTGCCGACCCTATATCGTTGGCGCGAAGCCCACCTACCCTCGAGCCCTTGCTGCATGACAACCTATGAGCTACTGCATTCTCTAAAGCGCTCAAACTTGCTTCATGAAGCCTATCGCTTGACCGAGCAATGGAGTTTCTTGCACCCCGTCCGTCCGTGCTCCTTTTGACGGGGTGCTCATATGATCCTCGGCGCCGGGTAACCCAGGCATGCGGCTCCTAATCTCCAGACGATTTAGAAATATCACTCGTCTCCTAGCCAATGGCCCCAACTGGTCACAATTTCGATGCCTTCCTCGTCCGCATGTTCTCACATGGCTTCATTCGACCCCGCTGAAAAGATAGGCTTTGGATGGAAAAGGTACAATGACGGGTCTGTCAGGAAGCTTGTCGTCCATGAAGGTGAGCTCTGCAAAAACAAAGCCGGTGCACACTGCTGAACTTGGCCAGGGCGATACTGCCTTGAAGACGAAGAGACGAGGAAGCTAAAGCCCATCCCTAACGCTGTCCCTCCCCGCCGTGATGAGTACGGTGTTGACACCTCGAATTCTTTCGTGGTACCCTGGCTTATGATAGTCTCAGAACCGTCCCGAGATCTGAAGAAAGGGAAGCAAATCAGCGTCCAGGGCATCTCCTGAGGCGTGACAGCGAAGCTTTGCAGAGGGGACGACAGAGTGACCTAAGAGCACATCCAGCAACATCTGGCAATGTGTCCTCACGGTATAGATATTTCACTTTTCACCAAGATCGTTTCGCTTGTCAAGAGCCGTTTATGCTGTGAGCCTTCTTTATGTGCCTGGATCTGACCACTGTGCTCAGAGACGATGCCCGGCCACGAGATGATTTTCCATCACCGCCCGAAAACCGAGGATTCGAATTGGTCCAAAGTCATCAAGGGCCCCGTACAACTCGTCACGCTTCCGGCGCAAATGTCGGGGAAGTCGGTGGTCATGTTCCGTTTCGCCTAAGACCGTTGTCCGAAGCACCACAGGACAGGCCTACCATCTCACAGGCTCTTTCAGATCGTAATACACCTCGCATTGTGCTAGATTTCATCGATATTCCAATCGGAGAGTTTACGCAGTGCAATCAGTTTATAAATCGCAATCAGCGCATCCTCTCAGCAAATGATCAAGATTTTCGAGATGTTGCTGTGCTGGCAATGGAGAATGAAAACGGTGACCTTTTGCAACGGTGTCTTCAGCGTTGGGCCATTGTCAAGGAATGCAGAGACTTAACAGTTGAGGCGCGGGAAGACTTTCTTGAGACGCTTAAGCGCAAGGCCACACGAAGCCTACAAGCCCTTTATCGTGCTTGTGACAGGCTTTTGGAAGATGTGAGACGACATGTGCAAGAAAAATCTCGTCCTCCGCCAACGTTTGGGAGCCCAATATCACGCAACTCTGTAGGAGGCAGTTCAATATCAGCCGGCCCAATATCAGGTAGTCAAAATTTCCGTCCCGACAATATTTACGCTTCGCCAGTTGCATCCCGGTATCTCAACTATACAGGGTATCACCATCAACCGCTTGGGACGACTGCCAGTTACGGCTTGATGTCGTCGTCACCTCCTGCAGGATCACAAGCAATCGGCGTCTCGTATTCGATGTCTGCGACTAAGGATTCATCACTTCCATCCACCTTTCTTGGCTCATCATTCTCAACGAAGCCAGGGTTGGGCAAAGACGATGAAGATGCGCAAATACGCGACTCAGATTTCCCATCCAAGTCGCCAAGGGGTGGTGACGGAAGAGGGCAACCTATGTCGCGCTTGTCCGGGAGTTCGTATTACGATCATGAGTACAAACACAAATTGCCTACAGCTGGAGGTATTGACAATGTCGATTTTCGAGGTGAGGAGCAGTTGAGTCTAGGTATTTCGGAACGTCTGGATCCCCGCTACGTCTTGCGTCACGACGCCGCAACCTTTTTCTGCAAAGGAAGAGTGTTCTCCATGATGTTTCACGAACCATATGGCCTCAAACGCGGAAAGTCAAATTCGAGCTCCAGGGATCCCAACGTAAGTATGGGACCGAAAGGGGTCCAGATTTACAGTCACATCAGAAGAATGGCTGTCATCAGGCAGCGGCATGGCTATTGTGTTTGTGTGCCAATTAGTTCCTATAGCGGGCGTGGAGTAACCAAGAACATGGATTCAAAGGATGCACAAGCCCATGCCATCATCTATCCAAGTTCACGGCCCAAGCCGCCCAGACCACTCGAAGACGAGCCCGATTTCAAAAAGAGAGCCATTGCCGTTAACATGAATGAAGGTCACTCTTTGGGTACCACCAGCCGAATACATTTCGGAAAATCTTACACCATCGAGTGGAATATTAAAGTCATGGATGTCGGAATGATCGCCGATAATTCCATGCCCGAATTTGAAGAATACTGGAAACAAGAGCTTCTCCATTGAAAATGGCTTGCGTTCCGACAGCCTTAATAACGTTATGCGTACAGACGAGAAGCCACCATGCAAATGGTTGCAGCCATGTCTGTTTACGCTTATATGATGCACATTACATATACGTCAAGCAAATGTCCGAGTGGTGTTGGCTGGAGAAATTATCAACATCACACTCAACGTGCCTGCATTTCTCTCAAATTTTTATTCTCACGACAATTCCGCATCTTCCTATTCGTCATGTTTTGGGGTTTAGGAAAGTTATGATTGAAATTGAATGATTGCATTGAAGCAGTTTGATTATCTGGAGCAACTTCGCTATCATCGTCCACGTTTGGAAATTCCCGACAAACTCCTTTCCTCCTCAGCCTCGCTGGTACCGATTGGTGGAGTGGAAAGTTGCGGTGAACGAGTACCCAACTAAATTCTTCCCCACCTCTCAAGTCGCAACGGTACGTGACGGGCCGCTGTTTCCGTTACGACAAGTCTCTCTGTCTAATTTGGGTACATGGAAATATTTCCTGTATCCTGCGCCAATTGGAGGAGGAGACTTCAGAGAATTTTTCTTGGTCTGGACTATTATGGCACCAAACTAGGGTATCTGGTTTTTCACTGGTTTCGGGATCTCCTTTGCATTCTCTTCTTCTATGTCTCGACGTATTACGATCATACATGTACGGTATACGTTGATACAATGAGTCAAACGGCCGATTTTACGACTGGCAATGAGAGCCAACAATACGACAGGTTGACATTTCCCAACTTTCCCATTTTCACGAATGATGCATTCCATTTCCTGAGTCATCTATTCTCCTAGACCATTCTCTTTTTTCTTTTCCCTTTTGCCACCACAAAAGCAATTCCATCTTTCATCCCACGCTGAAACTTTGATCGAACGAGCATCCCAACTAGTAATCTTGGCTAGAAATGCAATGGAACCTTTGTGTGTTCTAGATGTGTTCAATGATTGGCTGCGGTTGCGTCGCAGCGTACTACCTATAGTAGAGTGAGATAGTACGGAGCAGGCAACCGAAGAGCAGCAACCACCGATACGATTATGATCATGGTTGCCTTCTGAAGCCACCCCCTGATCACCAGACCCTGGTCTTGGGATATTGGCCACCAGCCTCAGGCTGATAGAAACCTTGACTTACACATCATCTACATAGTAGTGTCTTGTGCACTGGCTGCAACGCGGCATTTACTTGTTTGCTTCAGAAGATTCGCGTCTGGACGCGTGGAATGGGAGCCAGCTCCGTACAGGGAAAGGGTATGTGGGATTCCGCGCCAGAACCCATGTCCAGCCCGAGCTGTTTCGGACTCGATCAGACTTTTTGCTTGGTGTTGCGCTACATTGACCTGATTTCGTGTCGCACACTCGAAGTGTCTGACACGACAACTTGCCAGTTTTGCTAGTTGCCCCAGATGCGTGGGCAGTCCGAGTCCGAGATCGAGATCAAGCTGGCTGGCTGGCGCCTGGCAACAACGACAGCCTGATCTGTTGGGCGCTAACCGCTGTGTTCTACAGCGATGTGCTGGTGTGGTTGGGAGAGGAATGCAGTAGCCTGATGTTGATGTTTGATAGACTTGATTCAGAAGGCGACCACGACCACTCCTATGACGTTTGTATTTTGCTCGCAGGCGTTTGCCCTTATGTGTCATGATTCGTGCCTGATTACGCCGCAGGAGGGTAGTGTACAGATCCGACAGACCTGCAAACAGAGTCCTGAATAGGGGGTCCAAATGGGCCGGACTGCCCACCTTAATTTGGGACCGGCCGGATGCGACATGACAGTGCCAAGCAAAAAGTCACGTGATTAGTTAGACATACAGACACAACACACACACAAGAATAATAAATAAATAAAAAGAAGGGGCCCCCTCCTAGAGTTCATCTCTGACGAACTCATAGATGGGGCGCCACAACCAGCGAAAGTTCTTAGTCAAACAAGTTCAACTTGGGGGGAGTTTGAACCCCCATGTATCACCTAGTATGACATCAACAATCACTGGTTGGAGCATTACGTTTACCCATCTAGGGCACCTAGACTCAATGGAGCTAGGCCGGACAACCCTCTTACCTTACCTATGATCGAACACTAGTAAGGCCCCTCAATTCTATCGGTTCGACCAAAACCGGGGGTGCCCAGTTTCGTCCTTGATAGGTCAACCACGACTTGTGTCAATTTCGACGATATTTCTGCGGAAGAAAAGTAAATACCCCAATTTTTGTGAGCGTGGGTCACGGAATTGCGCGGACGCCAAGAGTTATATGCACTAGTCCCAAACTGTCGTAATGCACGCGAAGTCTATCAAGGGACGTTCATGTATTTAAACCATGCTCGTTTCAAAGTTGATTGAAGGCTTTTTGACTTTGGCGGCGCCCTATAGGAAGGGATATTGGTGAGGGTTCGAAAAAACCGGCTCGTGCGGGAAGAGGCAGGAGTTCCTCCCCACCCAGATTTCTCCCACGCAGAGAATTCTGTGTCACCTAAAGGAGTTAGATTGCACCAGCCACATACTTGAAAGCCACAGACTTGGCAGAAGAGCAGCACGGATTTCCCATGCTAAATTACATGTCGACTTCCGGCATCTTGGTGGGACTGTGAGGTTCCCGTACGAGTTTTAGAAGTGACAAGAGACCATGTCAGTGCTACAGTAACGAAATCCTATCGTGCCACGCAGCCGCACTCTGCCGAGAGCAGGCGACAGACGGGCACGCTGGGACAAGTGAGACGGCTGTCGGATGCCAAGTGGCGTAGCGCGTCAGCGCGCTCTTGATGGCGGCCCCGATTTTAGCGTTATTCGCCAACTTGTCGGTAGATGATCTCGGAATGCCGCATTTGGCGGATACCTCGATCAAGGCGTCGAGAGCCGTCACCCAACTTTTTCTTATCAAACTGAGCCTGAGGCTGAAGCGGTAAAGGCACGAGTCCATTTTTGTACGGGATACCGATAACACCCTTAGTACCGTTGGGGTAGGTATGGACGTCTTGAAGGTACTGGATGCCCGGGTTGAGGACATATCTCGGGAAGGCGATGCGAGAGCTTCGAGATATGCGTTTCTGATCTCATTCTGCAACCTAGAAGGCATCAACCGTACGACCTCCGCAATTTCCAGATGGGCCATTTTTTGCTTCCTGCTTGGAGAATTTTGAAGTGTGCACAGTGTGTAAAAGGTTGGTGACACTCTGTAGGGCTGTACCTATTGTTGTCACGGAGTAAGGTAGCTATACTAGGCAGTCAGGCATCAACAGGACGATCCACCTGTAGACCCGGGGATCTTATCAAACTTACCAACCTTAACACTACATGAACTGTCTAAGGCAGGCGGTCCAATTTGAGGCCTCTGGACTAGACCGACCGCCTAACACGAACACCACCTGCAAACAAGTATTACCATCTCTACCAAGGCGATATCAAATTCGTGACCAGCCAAGCGCAACACCAATGCCAGCGCCATTATCACCATGCCGTATCCATAACTCCTCAACCCAAAGACGGCTTGTGCGAGGTACATACAACCTTGTTATTGTCATGTTCTGCTGTCAAATCATTTCCCACCTCTTTTTTGGGGGTTTGGGGAGGGAAGAGCGAATTTCGTGTACGGCGCTTGCTTTCTCCAATTCGGTGAGTTCTGATGTTTGAATTTGCGAGAAATTTCGGTTCTCCTACTGCCTGCGTATAGTTCCAAAGCACGTTACGTTGCACCGCATGGCAGGAAACGAAGCGGCCAAATTTAAGACAGAGAACTGGGATGACGTGGTTGACCGGTCGGCGCCTGGGAATGCATACAATGCAAATCAAAAAATAGTGGAGGATAACTTGTGTTATTTTCCAGCCATTTCCCGTTGGACGCCATCCAAGCAAGGTATTGATGATGAATTATCTCCCCAGAGCAGACCATGCCAGGGTATCATATTTGAACTAGTTGGAATGTGGATGTTGAGTTTTGTTGCTGTTCGACAGGCGGTGGTTAAATGTCCAATGTAGGGTGGTTGCCCAAAATGAATGCTGCAGCTGAATTGAAAAGTGCTTTGTACCAAGCCTTTGTACAAGGTACAAAGTCCCGCGTCAGTTGATGTTTGGGAGGATTACTCATGGCCATCCCATTCAGGGTTCTAATAGGATGGGAACTATAGCATCTCATCCTTCAACTCCCCTTGCACACTTCCCTCACCGCTGGCTCCACCGCTTAACTCTCTCACCTCGGCGGTCTCCCAGCAGAGACTAGTCAGATCAAGCATCCAACGGTGGTACTGTTCTTCAAGAAACTCGATGGTTAGTGGTTTGGGCCAAGACTTGAACGTGTGGTCGGATGTAGAGTCCTTGAGAATCTTCTCATAGGACTTGAAATTGACACGGTGGTGAGAGATGTGGTGCCAGGTATCATCCATGTCGATATGGAGTTGAGAGCCGGAGAAGAGCTCGAATCTTGATGAATGTCAGAATTGATAGGTCATATGTGGAGGGGACGTAAGCCACGGTGGCAGGATAAGACCAGTTGACATGCCAGAATAGTTTGGTGTGACATGCAGTCAGTAGTTGAACTCACCCAATGTAGACCCCATTTGCACTGCCCAGGCTGATGATCCTCGCACCAGGCGAGGTCTTAATCAAATGGTAGATCTCGCAGTAAGGAATCAAATCTTGGTGCTGGGGAGACTGGGGAAAGAAGGGAAATTTCAGCTGTATGATTGGTCAGTCTGCTGTCAACCTGCCGGGCATGTTGCGGTGAGTTGGGATACGTACAAAGTGCAGATCTCTTGCTTTGTTCTCTTCATACTTGACCTCCCAGAAATGCCGCAAGACAATCTGATCAGTACGTGAGAGATGGCCGATAGCACTTGATGGCAGAACTGTCGCGGGGTTCTGAGTCGGGGGACGGTTGGCAAAGTCGAAGCTAGAGCTGGTATTTGCCGACACCGGTCTGGAGTGGGAATCATGATGAGACCCTGCAGTTCCATTGGGCAACATCGGGGCGTGAGAGAGAGGCGGTGTATATGAAGTTGGAGGAGACTGGGGTGCCTGAGAATTGTGAGTGCTTGATCGAGAGAACCTTCGCATGCTGAAGAGAGGGGGCATATTAAGAAGAAGGGAGAAGAAGAAGACGTCGAAGGAAAAGCGAATGAAGGAAAAACAGAATGGAGGGCAAGTGAAGAATAAAAAATGATGGAGGTTGGCAGAATTAAAGAGCGTCGTAAGATTCATGTCTATACAAAGGCATCACTCAACTCCTCTTCCGGCCAAGCGCCGGAGTGCTCAATGTCCGATCGGAATAGCTGCCCAATCCGAAAACTTATTGAGCATTCAAAGTCCGTTCATCTTTGACATCAAACGACCCGTCCCTCTCTGCAATTCTCCAGAGCTGCATCAATTGTGATGTGTCAGTTCTGGGAACAATCTAGCCATCCACGTCATTGAGAAGAGCCATGTCCGAGCAGGAAAGAAGGAAGTCAATCTGGCCATGCAGTAAAAAGGTGAATTGATCCCCCCTCTTAATCCATGAATGTAACTCACTCCTTCTACTGAAACTCTGATCTGAGTATCTTTTCAGCTTGCTAGGCCAAAAGTCCGAGACAAAGTCCTCCGTATCCTTGTTCCCTTTCATCATGTTTGTACAATCCTCTTCATCTGACTCGACGGTATACATGATATCCATCCCGTGGTAGTACCGGGACTAGAGCCTCCCTTCGCCATCGCTCGAGCCGAACAGCAAGAAATGCCACACCATAAAATCATGGTTCATGGAGTAAAAGCTGGAGCAGAATCCCGCGATTTCACCACACGGGTGTTTCCCAATCCCATCCATCCCATGTCATAACATCGTGAGCTGGTCGTAAAATGCGGAATCCAATGCGCTTCATGCAATGATTATAATCGTAAAAAGAACGGGCCCCCTCATGTCATCCCTGAGCTTTGAGAGCGTCGACTGCTTTGTTAACCTCGTCCCCCGCAATTTTCTCCCACTTGGCTTTGCCATCAACATCAAGAGCCTCAAAATCACCAATTTTATCGTACAGCATTCGGGAAATGTCACGGTTGATGGTGGTGTATTCGTCTTTTGTAATGGTCTGATCGTTATAATGTGGTTTGAGAGCGGTGGCGACCAGTTTCTGCACGTCCGCTTTAGCTGTCAAGGACATGCTCGCTCGCGTGGGGGACGTATCCGTGGATCGGGACGGAATAATCGGGGTCGACGCGTGTTCTAGTACTCGTGGAATCCGACTTCGCACTTTGGGTTGTGCCAGGGGGATGGAAGTCGACGGGGTCGTTTTCGATCCCTTGGGTTGATGACCAGAGCCCTCTGACGGTGTGGAGCCACCCGGTTCTGGAGACACGGAGCGCAAAGGGGAGTATTCGGTGGAAGGAAATACAGGTTGAATACTCGAAGATAGGCCAGTCGGGGAGCCTGGCCTCAAAGCTCCTGGAGGTGGTGGAGTGGAAGACATGGCTCGAGGCGAAGAGTGGTTAGAGGGGAGAGGGGATAAAGCTGGCGAGGACGGTCGTGGAGAATTCTGTTCGGCGGCTGGACTGGCTGCCGGACGGGGAGAAGGTCGAGGGAGACTGATACTATGAGTGGTCGTACCAAATTCCTCCACTTCTTGCAGCAAAGACTGCAGAAAACTCGGCGCACCGGGTTCCAGAGTGGGCTGTCGTCGCGGGATGGGGCTGGTCAAGCGTGATGATTGTCGAGGGCGAGCCGCGGCGGCCGAAGATGCACCGGGCTCCGGGGTGGTACGAGGAGAGACACTGGGGCGTCTGCGTTTAATCACTGGAGTTGACTCTGTTCCTCCTTCTGCTGGAGAGGACGTCCTTGATTTTCTCTTTCTCTTGTGAGATGAACTGGGTTCGTTGGATGAAGCTCGCGCTTGTTCAAAGGCGCGCCACGCCATGAGTTCGTCAGCGTCCTCAATCTGAGGGAGAGGCGATCTTATTCTTCGGTTTCTCGGGGTTGAGGCGCCTCGGGCCCTGCTAGGAAGGGCTGGCTCTGTCTCCCTAAAACGATTACCGGCGCCATGGAGTTCGGCCACCTGCATTCGGCGCATCCAGGCGTCATGTGCTTGTCGATTGGCCTGATGGCGTTGTCGATGGCGTCTCAGATATGTGGCCGATGATTCGTCGTCCTCATACGGAAAGTCAAGGTCAAGATTGATGCGTGACCAGACCGACTGCCACACTTGATTCCAGGACGAGTCATGTCCACGCTGTCGACGCTGCTGACCTCGAGTTCGTCTGCGAGATAAACGTCCGGGTCGAGGATTCGCTGGTGGGCGAGGATCAACCTCACGTTGTGCCCTGCAATGATCACAAAACCAATGTCCATATGGCACCTCTTGTAGATCGACACAGTAGGTGTGCCACAGCTTTTGACAGCCGTCACAATACATGAGGACGTCTTCGTTGTCATCTTCGCCGCACACCTGGCAAGGTTGATCCTCATCCTCCTCTTCAGGGATTTCGAGGAACATCGAGGGGTCGAGCTCGGCAACTTGGGTGCGATCTTCGACCGGATAAGAGGAGATCACGTCGCCTATTCTCGGTCAGATCATCTTTTGGACTAGGCTGACACAGAGCATAGTTGTCGCTTACCATTAATACCATGCATAAGTTCGACGAGATGGAAACTGGCGCGACAGATGGGACAGCTGTTGGCACGTTCCACCCATGGTGTCAAGCATTCATTGTGTAGGTAATGACCACAAGGCCGAAGATGCGCGATCAGTTCATTGGGATGCGGGTTTGGGGGTTGTGTGGCATCGCTCGCGTCTTCGGCATCGTTGGTCTTCGAGACGCTGCTGGTACGGGCAGCCGTGGGATCGTTCTCGTGCTGCGGAGACTTGACCAGGGTCGTGGGGAAAGCTGAAACATCACCATTACCACTGCTCAAGTCTCCTAAACAGACGATACAGGTGTCTGACATACAGAGATGCTGTCGTGCAAGTTTGAACGCGATGCAGGTGGTTGAAAATTCATGGGGACAAGATGGTCGTTGGTTGGTGTCGATGTGGAAAGAGTAGAAGGAAGGTAAGTGGAGGCAGCCAGAACTGCGTTTTAAGCGGTCCTCTCAATAGGGCAACTATCCCGATGACGCTGGCCCGCTCACCACGTGACCCTCCAGTGCACCCGGATTTGTCTGGGGCCAGCCAGCATGCAAGGGCGTGACTTTGGGAGAATTGCCGTCCAATGGGGTCAGATGTTCGTCTCTCGATCCATTCGATATCAGCTGGTCGCCTGCTTGTGGCCAGAGAATCTGACAGTGACGATGACCCTAGGCAACAGAAAGGGTGTGTGACCAAAATTTTCCCCCCTTGTGAGTTGTGTTTCAGATCTTATGGTGATAGGCGACGGGACTACTGGGGAATCGAATTTGATGTTTCAAATGGCGGTGAATCTGCAACCGGAGGCTTAGGAGCCATAGGGTAAGATTAGCGACCAAACGACGAAATAAGAAATATCCGCCATGCACCAAAATTTGCCATTGTTGGTTTTGATAGTCAACAGCCGGGTGTCCATGTTGCATTCGGACTGACGGAATTCGAGAAAGAGGGGATAGCAAGTCTAGCAATTTCAAGGCACCCATGCGGAGTCGATAGTGAGGGATCAACAAGCAATCGGCATCGTTTGCTCGCAAAGGAGATATAATCATGAAAAGGAAGGATAGATAAAATCGACCACGGAACGAGATTCGTGCGTGTTTTGGGGGTAGTTCGATCATTCGATTCAGCTCTATCGATTCGTCTCGGCCATGAGGCAAAAGGCAATGACTGCTTTCGACAATGCGGAAGCGGGATGTCCTGCGCAAATGAGACCAGTTTTGATCTGAATCCTGTTTTGCTATTTGAGGAATCATGAAATTCTTTTGTTGATTGAATAAACTCCAGGCCCCATACTAACTGTGCTTTTATACCTCCGCAATTTCTCTCAGTCGTCGAATAGTTGATCTTGCGGCAGCCGCCGCGGGAGTCCTGTTGGACGAGACGGTCAGATCTGCTGCGAATCCCAGAGTATATGCCTGTCTCTTGAACTTACGACACTGTCCAGGCTCCTCCGGCAACCGTCTTCTTGCAACCCTTGCATTTCCAGATGCCGACCGAGTGTCTCTTGACGGTGTTTTTGCCGCAGAAGGTGCAGATGTATCGGGCGTGTTGGGTGATTTCCATCTTCTTGACTTGTTTTCGGAGGGATGCGCCATATCGAGTGCCGTATTTACCGGTCACGCCAACCTCTGCGAGTGGTCAATCCCTGGTTTGGCAGTGGATCGGTCAGGATAGAACTCACTCTTGGTGCGCTTCGTCATTTTGGCGAGTGTCGACGAAGAATTGATGGAAGGCTGTTGTCGTCTGGGCCAAACTGGCGAAATTATCAAATTATCTCGCGAAAGACACAAAAGTGCGGACCACGGGCTTGGCGTTCCCTGGTCACCTGACTCCGATCGCAATCACGTGATATCCAGCCCCGTCGTGGCTGAGTCATTCTCAAACTGACAAGGGAAATCAGCAATGGATGGAAATTAAGATCTCGTCAATCCGACAATCCATCTGGCACAACCTCCGGCCCCATGAGAACAGTCTCATTGAAAATGTTGGCCCTAAACCATTCATAGTAGCTGGCTCTTTTGACTAAGTCAGACCTCACCTTATATCGTTATTGTTCGCATATTATCATCATACCACTGGCGTGCTTGACGGTGGTTTCCCATACACAGCACTCCGTACTTGATTATTTTTCTCGATCTTTCAGTCATTGCCGCTGTTATGCTAATACGGTACCACCGGCGGGATGACTGTGCTCACTCGACTGTCGTACAAAGAGAGTGACATCTGCTACGTACTTTGTCATGGACTATCGATCTTGAGCCTGGAATCTGTCAATTCTTGGCCACTTATTGGGCATCGGACTCCTGAACCACTTGGCGGTGCATACTGCATGCAAAAAAAGGTGATTTGGTACCAAAAATACTCCCAGTACCCGCCCTCAATCCCTCCTTCTTCTCCGCCGCCATGTGTATTCGGCCCATAGCCATTCCTCTACGAGTAGCCGTTCCCCCTAGCCTAACACGCCTGGCCTCCAGCCACCCAGAGCCTCTTTTGACAGTTAGCGAAGCTTAAGGGCCCCAAGAACTGCACGTCTCAGGGCAGCCCCCGTGAGGATTTTGCCCAGGGTCTAGCCTCTCGCGTTTCTAGCGTGCGCACTCTCTCCAGTGCGTGGGTCCCTTTTTTCAGCATTTTACTGTTCAGGATTTCCCCCCCAACTCACCTAAACAATTGCTGACATCTCAGCGCTTTTGATATATCTACTTCTTGTACTTTTCTTCCACTTCTTCATTCTTTTCAATCCCCTATTCTCCTTGTCCATCTCTCTCCCCCCTTCTCCCTGTTTCTTTCCTTTTTTTTCTTTTTCCCGCACAGAAATGGCTACCAAACGACAATACGATCTCATCCTCCTGGGTGCGACTGGCTACACGGGCAAGCTGGTAGCTGAATATATCACGTCCAGCCTGCCGACCAACATCAAATGGGCAGTTGCCGGCCGCAATCCGTCCAAGCTGCAGTCTCTGGTCAATGAATTGAAGTCCCTCAACTCGACACGCAGCACTCCCGACATCATCACCATCGCCAGTCTCACCGCCCCTGAATTGAGTACCCTCGCCAAGAAAACCAAAGTCCTCCTCAACACCGTGGGACCGTACCATTTGTATTCCACCCCGGTCGTCGAGGCATGTGCTCAATCTGGGACCCATTATCTAGATGTCACCGGCGAGACTCCTTGGGTCAGAGATATTATTGTCAAATATGAGGACACCGCGAAGAAGACTGGTGCCGTTTTGATCCCGGAGGTCGGCGTTGAATCCGCTCCCTCGGATCTGGTCGCCTATATCGCAACTCGCCTGATCCGCAAGGTCTGGGATTGCGGTGTCATGGATGTCGTCGCCTCTGTCCACGAGCTCAAGTCCTCCGGCCCCAGTGGAGGCACCATTGCCACCGGCCTGGGCCTCATGGATCACTACCCAGCCCAAGTGATGGCCCAATGCATGAACGACCCCTTTGTGCTCTCCCCATCCCACCTTCGCCCATTTACCAAGGAGAACATCTACCCCCGCAATCCAGAGCCCAACACATACATGCGCACTGGGCTGCAGAAATCCACCGGTGTCTGGTCCTATCCTCGTCTGGGCCACCTCACCACCTCGGTCGCCGCCAAACCCAACCAAGCCATCGTTCAACGATCGGCGGGTCTGACACCTTACTTCTACGGCTTTAATTTCACCTACGAGGAGTACATGGCCGTCAGCAGCCCTCTCGCCGGCATGTTGATCCACCTGGCCCTGAGCCTCTTCACCTTGTTCATCGCCTTCCCACCGACCCGTGCCATTATGAAGATGTTCGCCAAGTACAAGCCCGGTACCGGCCCCAGCAAAGAATCGACCAAGGGTGACGTCCTGGAGCTTCGTGCCATCGCCGTCGCCGAACAACTCTCCAAAACTCCGCGCAAGGCCTTCGCCACCTTCCGCTACGAGGGCAGCATGTACCTGCTCTCCGCCCTCCTCTTGGCCGAGGCGGCCATGGTTCTTTTGACCAAGGAGGAGGACGTCAAGAACGACCATGGCTCTGGATTTTTGACCCCCTCGTGTCTGGGTGACGAGTACCTCGAGAGATTGGGTAAGGCTGGCGTCAAGACCGGAGTTCAGCAGATTGGCGATATTGGCAGCAAGTAATCGTGAAGCTAGATATCTGCCGAGCTTGGAAACAGTGGTGGTTCTCTTTTTCTGAGATTTGGGATCAATTCTAATTGGAGTGAGAAAGTCGCTGCTGGAGAAAGCGATCTGCATCGCCATTAGACACGAGCAGAAAGCAGGAAGGATGATGGGAAGTGGTGTCGGGGTAATTGATGTGATGTGTACTGTGTACAAGGCTGATGATGAGGTGTTTCGGGTCTGGTCTAGGCATGACAGGGGGGTTTTTTTTTTTTGTAGATTCCAAACTTCAAACATTCAAAAAGATCTCAAGTGCCTTGAATTAATTAAATTTGGAATCATACAGAATAAGTTCCGATAACAAGACGACGTGGAAATCCCTCCTTGTATGGTAGAGGGCCAAATCCGTGCTTTTTCAATCCGCCATATCCACGCCGAGGATGCCATATGCATCGCGGAATTGCCAGTGTTGAGAAGAATATATCTAGCAAGTTGCTCAATTGTAGCCCTAGTTGCAGGTTTTCCAATCATCCTGACCATATTGATTTCCTCAAATATAACTAACCTTGACCCCCATTCCCACGGTTCCCTTGATTTTCTCCCAGCTCTTGTTCAACATCTTCTTCGTCTTCTCTCTTACTTGTCTTTGGCTGAATGCCATTACAAACATCAACACGAAAAGCAAGAACCTCAAGAATGTGGTAGGATTCTTGGAAACCGTACTGGCCAAATTGTGGGCCAAGTTCGAGAGCGCCAGGAATAACTGCCGGGCTTGCGCGAGCATGGTGTTTTGATTCGAGGCCTTCGGTCTGCGAGTGGGACGTCTTGGCGTTTGTGCGGGAGGAGAGAGTTGATGTCGGCCCGCCTCGGCCGGCCGAGGAGGAGAGCGCGGTGTTGCAGATGAAGGAACTGGCTGAGGAGGAACTCTAGTGAAGGGAGCATCGTTCGAACTCTTCGTGGACGTGCCATTTTCGGGTTTGAACGGAGCTCGGCCGCCACTCGGATGTTCTTTTTCGATGCCATAGTCGACCTCGCTGCTTGTTCTCTGATGTTTCGAAGCACCTCTTGACTGAGATGGAGGCTCAAGGGAAGCCCCCGGACCGACCACCGATTCCTGTGACTGCTGCATTTCTTCTGCACACACATCCTCATTTGCATATCCGAGTTTTTCTTGCTCGGTCGCTTCTTGAAGCTCTTGGAGAGTCTGCATAAACGCCTCGCGACGTTCCTCGTCTAGGATGTCACTATTAGAGATGAAACTTTTCGCGTAATCCCATTCATCATTGCGGGGGAGGACATGGAGGGTAAAGAGTTCGAGTATCTTAATTCGGGAGGTTAGATCCTTTGGTGTATTTGTTCCGTTCAAACCAGGTTGTCGGCCATTGCTAAGGGCAGTGTTGAGCTGGGTCGAGAGGTCGAGCTCAGGATATGAAGATGATGAAAGGTAGGTTTCCAGCCGCGTTTGGTTGCGTTTTTGGTCAGGGGCTTGCCCAAGGAGTATATTGGACCTTTACATGTTAGTGTCAAGGGGGCGAATTTGGAGGGTGAGAGGGAGTTTGTACAAATTATAGACGACCTCCGCGTCTACCGAGCCTTCGCGGCCCTGATAGCCATCCTTGACCACCTGCTCCCAAATATCACCATTTTGAACCTTTCGAACGATATCCCTGTATTCTCTCTGCCCGAATAACTTCTTTCCTTCTTCAGATCCAACGTCTACGATGGAGTTCAATACAGTGACGTACAAGCTCCAAATCTTGATGCGCTGACTAGTTGTCGCAGTGGCGATCGGTGCTTGGGCAGGACTATCATCTGGTCGAGTCTTCTCTGGGGGAGTGACAACTGGCTGTAATGCTTCGTACGCCTCTACCAATCTTCGAGTAAGAAATAATTGCGAGGCATGCTTGTAGATTTTGGAGATCTCGGATGACGTTCTCTTGTTCGATTGAGTGAGGGAGGCGTGAGTCGAGGAGAGATGCTGCGAGCTGGACTGAGAATCTGAGCCTACAGACATATCTCTGACCGAGAGAAAAGGAACCAGGAAGTTTGATGTAGGTGTGAGAAAGCGAAAGCAGTGGATATCAAAATCCCATTTCTGGGAAAGCAAAAGTCTGGGGTTGAAGTCGGCTTGTCACGCTTGAACCTCGGCAGGATTTTAAATTACAAGATTCTGCTCTTCTTGACTTATCAACTTCTCCCGATTTTCCGACCACCCGCCCTCAAGAGAACCCCATTGCCAGTGTCCTAACTTTACAGTACCGAAGACGATGGATCACACATCTCAACGCTACATCAAATCCAGAATACCTTCCTGAGATGCGTTGACTTGTAACTTGTTACTGATCAGTTTCCAGAACTCAGCATCCTCCTCCCATCGAGGGATCAGCTGGCCCTCTCGCACCAGTTCCGCAATTCTCTCTCGTTCCCCGATTTCCTTCTTCCCGGGTTCTGGAGGATCATCTTCGAGCATGTCGAATATGTTTGATTTCTGGGACATTGACTTCAGATCCTCTGGCTCAGTTATTCGTCCTTGAAACCCCCGTCGGCCTTTTTTCGTAGTGGGAGGTGCCAGACTAGTTGTTTCTTCAGGTATGACATTCACTGATTTGGGACCGCTGCCACTTTCAATGTTTGCCTTGTCTTGAACCCTGCTTTCTGGACTCGTCAAAATCGACTTTACCACAGTCACAGGTGCTTTGATCGCTTCAACCAGGCTATCCGTGAATCCTTGCTGCTGACCTTTCTCTAGCGAGGCGGTTGCGGCGGTCGCCTCCTGTTCACCTTCTTCAGCTACCGATGTCGAATTACCAGTGGGGCTCGGAGAAGCAGGTCCTCCCAATAGCTTGACATCTATGCGCTCTCTTTTCAGCTTTGCGGAGAGTTTGAGGCCAATTTTTGCCGTCACAAAACTATCGAATCCCGCCTCATGATAATTTGGAGCATAGAGATATCGATCAAAATTGATGGGGAGATGGATTTTCGGCATTCCCTCTGAATAGAGGTCAATTTCGACCTGTCGGAGCGAAGTATCATTCCGGCCCTTACTTTCAAGGCCAGCGATGTATTTGGTGTCCAGAATGATAGGAAATAACTCGTGCAGCCTTGTGCGGAAGTCTTCAAGTCGGTCCGGAAGATCACCGAAGAAACATCGGTACAGATTCATGACATCCGTCATACAGTTGTGGCCCACGAGAGCCCGGGTCTGGCTCCTGAGTCTTGTCTGTAACTGGTCGAGAAAGTTCTGGATGTCCTTTGGGGCTTTTCCTTCAGGAAAACCTGCTCGGACATAATAATGCGGCATGGTGGAAATATCACCACCGATGATAGCTTCAACTATCCACCGAAATCCGACGGCTTTCCCAACCTCGCGTTCCAGCATTTGTTCTTGTATTTCCTTTTGGTTTGCTTGCTGCTCTACCGTGGGGCTCGTGATTTGAACAAAATGACCCATGCCTTGTGTCCTGAGGCTAGGATATTCATTCCTCACGATTTGGTGTATCAGACGAACCTGATATCGATTCAGGGCAGAGGGGATTGGGTCATTAGCATCTTCTGCTGGTATATTGATATATGTCTCTTGCTGATCTTTTGGCAATTCCTGCCATTGCTTGATTGACTGTTTGATATGGTCCACTAGAACAGAGTCCTCCTCTTTCAAGATCATATCTGGAATATTCGCTCGTGCCTGCTGGGCCTCGATCAAATTTTTCCGTATCTGGTCTTGCTCTTGCCGTGATAGGTAATGCACACCCTGCAATAGCGGACGGTCAATACTGAAGCCATTGCGCATCAAAAAAGAAATTGCTGCGAGTGTCAGTTCTGAAAATGTTAACAGATCAGGTGGCAGCCCCACCGCCACTATTGTACGACCACACTCGTTGAAACGCTGACTCCTTTATTGCCGGTAAAGGACAGAGATTAAAATTGTAAGGCCGAGCAATATAGCGTGCTTTTACTGTCAGCCTGGGAAAACAGCCACACAGAACCTGGACATGACAATGACGAGTCCTCGCGCATGACATACCGTTTTCGACATCCTCGGTGACAATGGTCAAACCCACTTGTAAGATTTGATAGATTTGTGCAGCTGATCTCAAGTCTTGATATAATTCTTGCAGGGTAAACTTTTCAGACCTGCCACCGAGCTGCTTGGGCGCGACACCTGAGAACTCAAGATCGAAGGCAATGAAGCGACTGTCTGCGACATTCTGGATAATCTTGATAAGTTCTTGAGGAAAGGTAGCATTTGACACGTCCATGGCGCAGGGGAAGGTTGGTAGCTTGGGCGCGAAAACGGCCCCGAATGAGTTGAAAGGGAGACGTAATAGTTTGCTTGGGAGATCAAACAGACGGCGAAGGATAGTCGGCATCAGACCGTAAAATGGCTGACTGCGTGAACAATTGAATGTCCATGCGGGTGATGAAGGCCAAAAGGGAATTGTGAGAAGTTAGAATTGATCATGAGGCTGAACGGTCGAACGCGACACCATGGCGGCCCTTAAAATACTCCTCACACATCAGTTGCCTTGTGGTAGTTACTATTCTCCGAGCCGTGTTCAATGATTCCTTTGAGAGCCTTCTCAGCATCGATGTGGGCCATATCCAAAGGAGTCGCGTGCTCTCGGATCTAAGTAGCATCGACATCGTTCTGCTTTCTGCGAACCAAAACTGTTTGCGGAGAATTTCAATTTTGGTTGTGGGGGGATAATCAAATCGTTCAACTTTTATCGCTGGCCTCGGGCCCGTAACGTTCAACATACTCCTGTTCCTCGGCGTCAAGGTCGATATTAAGCCGCAGGCGTATGAGACCTGCATCCTCTTGACAGTCCTTTCTGCTCTCCTCGTTATCCAGAGAATGGTTCAGTAGCCGCGAATTCGTCCTGTTCTTTTCCTCTGCCAGCGGCATGGCCGCCGCCACCAGCTCATCTTCGCTCTCCGCGCTCCTTAAGAAATCCACCCTCGATGACCACGAACAATTGTTAGACGCAAGCAACAAGGCACTGAAAGCCGCCAAATCTGATCTCGAAGCCCAACAGGTCAAGGTTGTCGCCCTCCTCAAACTTGACCGATACGGCGAGGCCGTTAAGTTCATCGAAGGAACAGGAGACAGATTACGAAAGACGGTGGAACTGGAATATGCATATGCTCTGTATAAAACAGGTCGATTAGAAGAAGCCGCAGAACTATCGTCCACTATAAACGAACGGGGCGCACAACATATCGAGGCTCAGTCCAGATACCGCTTAGAGGACTCGTTAAAGACGTCCGAACTTTACAGGCGCATAAGGAGCCAGAAGTACGAGTCTGAGGAATATGACCTCCGAGTTAATCAAGGTGCGATAGATGCTCAGGCTCAATGGGTCGGTGCTGCAGATCCAAAGTCGATACGGCGACCTGGAAGAGAGGATTTAGATGCATTTGAAACTGCATATAATGCCGCATGTGGAAGCATCGCGAGGGGAGAATTTGCGCAAGCCGAGATTCTCCTGAAACGAGCCAAAGGGCTTTGCCAGCACTCTGACGATTTAACAGACCAGCAGAAAGCAGACGAGCTTCTCCCGATATCTATTCAACAGTTATTTGTCTTGCAGTGTCTAGGAAAAACCTCAGAAGCTGAGGCGATGGCTAGCGAAATCAGCGCCGAGGAAGCATCCGACGTCTCGACTCGGAAAATTGGTCAGAACAATATTCTGCTGACTTCCTCCTTGGTGAACCCTTTCCTTGCGCACAAAGTGTTCCATGCAACATCAAAAATTCCTCCCGAAGATAGGCTCTTCTCTTACCAGAGTGTGCCTCTCGAATCCAACAAGACTACACTGGACCTTCAGACTTTCAAGTTCGACGGCATCATCTCGTCCACCTCCAAAAGAATCAAAGGTCATTCTTCTCCTTCATTATCACCCGAAGTCCTTCTCTCCTCATACTTCAATGCGGCAGCCCATGCCAAGGGCGATACGGGCAAAGCGGCGGTGAGCAAAATTTTGCCCGAACTGGAGAAAAGACCGAATGATATTGGCTTGATAATCACTTTGGTCCAGCTGTACATATCGATTGGCGACAGTACCTCTGCTGTTGAACTGTTCGAGTCGTTCATCAAACGACTGGAAGATTCTGTCGCCGAAAACGAGCAAGAGATTCGGTTCCATCCCAGCCTAGTGAGTCTTTTGATTAGCTTATACAAGCACCGGGGTCAGAAGGCACACGTCAAGAAGGAACTAGCAAAGTCCGCCTCTTATTGGCAATCCAAGTTGAATGCTCCAACAAGCTTGCTCGCTGCTGCCGGCGTTTCACTGTTGGAATCACAAAATGAAGACGACGCCAAGCTAGCAGCGGATCTCTTCAGCAAGCTCCAAGAACGACAACCAGATGATAAAGCTATAATAGCTGGTTATGTTGCGTCCCATGCATTCGGCGACGAGGCTCCGGTTAACCTAAATGCCGAGAAGCTGACGCCCACATCTGAACTTGTCAGCAACATCGATGTCGACGCCCTGGAGAATGCCGGTATTCCTCAATCATTGAATGCTCTCACGATAGCACAATTGGGCCAGGCCAGGAAGCGAACGGCACTTGACGCAGGCAATGCTAAGCCTAAACGAATCCGCAAATCGAGATTACCGAAGGATTATGATGAAACCAAGAAACCAGACCCTGAACGGTGGCTTCCGATGAAAGACAGGAGTTATTATCGACCACCAAAGGGCAAGAAGAAGGGCAAACGAGGTGGTGAAGACAGAACGCAGGGTGGAGTGGTGAACGAAGATCTGAATGTGGATGCTGCGAAGCCTGCTGCCACCGCTACTACAGGCTCTGGAGGAGGCGCTGGCAAGAAGAAGAAAGGCAAGGGGAAGAAGTGACATTTCCATCAGCTGTAGAGTTGTCCCATAGCGAAACCATGCCTGACTCAAGATGAAAAAATTCTGTCTACCTCGCCTGGATGACTTGAATCTGAAACTCCTCTTTCCCTTGTCTGCGGACCTCGTCGTCAATACCCAGATTATTTGGCTCTTGCACCCTCAGGATCTCGTGTCATCTTGTATCATCGTCCACTTATCTGGCAGAGAAACACTGAGCTTATCATCCTTGATCCATTTAGATCTTCCTCTTGCAAGCAATGACATTGTCCGCACGGGGCATTGTTTTGGCAGTGTGATTCTAGCAGATTCCGGTACTTCTGCGTGTGGAGGAATGTAATTTTCATGTCATTCAGCCATTGGGTCTTGGGGAGGATTTGTCACTGTTTCGAACGTCGGACGAAGCCGAGTTCCCAGTGTCGAAACTCTGCTCCCGTGCGATGGCAGATTATAGGAGGGAAATCTAAGACACGTCAAGACAAGGCTAGCAGCTGGAGAGGGATAAGATTTGGGATGGTCCACCAGTGAGAGCCACGAGGACCAGGGAAGAGAAAGGCTCAGGCCGCAGATTGGAGATCTATTGGCTGAGGGAGGTTTATGAAGTAACGGATGCACGAGGCACAAGGTACGGCGGCGGTGGTGGCGGATGAAAAAGAGAGAATAGTAAATCCGCTGCAAAGCAAAGCGAGAACAAGAAGCACGAGAAACCCTGGCTCTCTGCTTTTGAGCCTGGGGGGTTTTCCGCCCGTCAATGTCTCTTGTCACTTGTCCACTTCATCCTTCATTAACATGGATAGCAATGATCTCTCCTTGTACCGTGTGTGGCCACTGCACTTGCGCCATGGTCTATGGGTCCTCTGTCGGCGGTGTAACCAGAACTTGACCATTACAATCCAAGTTTGGTAGCACACGCATTTTCTTGCAATCTTGCGGTCTAGCCGGCCACGACCTCATCGTCCCAGTCGCTCACCACACCCTTCTCCATCTTTGCTGACTGCGAGGATGCTCCAGCGTCCAGCCTCCGTTGTCGGTCATGAGGACAACGACGGGCCACCGCCCGTCCCACCTGTGACCTCCCTGTTCTTCGGTCCCTGTCTCCCTCCCCCAGGCCCGTCTCTCCCAAGGCCCCGGTTCTGTTGATAGTACATTGGTGTGATCAAAGGCCTCATTGGTCAGCCCTGGCTGTTCCGCCAGGGCGTGGCGACTCATCGGCATCCGGCCAACCCATCTCACATTCAGCAAGGTTCTTTTTTTTTTCCTTCAGCTCGTGGCTACATTTTAGTCCCCCCTGAAAGCGACTTCCCGGTGGACCAAGCTCCATTCATACTCAGGTCCTTTTTCGCTATTGGCACTTTGGCCACTTCCATTCAATACCTCTACTTCGTACTTTGTTCGACTTCCTCCCACCCTCACAAATGCCCTTGCGGCGGCTCTTTGACGACAACGCTCGGATGTCGCTGCTCTTTGACCTCTCTACTTTAGCTTAAAACATGACAACCTCCTTCAACCTTTCCTGCAATGCTCCTGTCATCTGTCAGTGTCTTGTCTCGTCCTGAACTCCCACTCCCCAGTCAACGTGATTGACGGCCGTTGAGATCTGCTTGCCCTTACCCGACGCATATATCATATACCTTCGACGAAAGCTGTCACTATTTCCTCCTTGCAAAGTTCCCTCTGCGAAAGTTTGACCAGGTGATTCGTCGACGCCATCTGTACGAGAGCAGCTCGCTGTCCATCTATCCATCCATCCGTCCTTTGCGCATTCTATTGCTTCAAGCACCTTCTCTGCCCAGCAGATCCAGCTTATTCATCCCAAGCGTTGCGTTGATTCCTTCGTTTGTTGAAATCGCTCCGGCTTCGTCGGCCGCCCTGACCCAATATGGAGCTCGCCTGCCCTGGCTTCACCGCAGTTAATGTGGGCTCCAACTTTGAACATCCCGAAGACGTACATGAATATTTCTCCCTCCAAGCGCCACCCAATACCAGCATATGGCGGAAACCCGCCGCGTCAGATGATACCAGCGCTCCCATGGTGTTGAAGCGCCTTCAGCAAGCTTTTATCCTCGCCGAAGTCACCGTCTCAGCAGATTTTGCCATGGAATATGATCAAGCAGGCCTTGTCATTTTTGCGGGCTCCCTTCCCGCCCCGTCGTTACCACGGTCGCCACCCACGATTCGGAGAAGCCCTCGATACTCGAGGCCGGGAACGGAGACCCTAGCCACAGGGAAATGGGCCAAAGCAGGGCTTGAGTTTTCGGGGGGAGAACTTCATGCTACCTCTGTAGTAGCCATTTCACCATGCGGCGCTGACTGGTCATCTTCGGCTCGAATGCCTTCACCGTCATCGACCTTTGATCCTTATTCACTGACATCACAATCTCTGCGCCTCAAGTTCGAACGTGTGGATGAATCCCTGTGGATTTGGTATCAGATTCCCCACCTGAATTCTCCGCCGCTAGATTATTATCAAACGTCCGCCTATGATCCTGAATGGCGAAGTCCAGAGGACGTTGGATCCGGGTGGAAAAAGATGCGCGAGATTATGGGTTTCTTCGGAGGTGCTGAGCAAAAAGGCAATGTGTGGGTCGGATGTTATGCTAGTCGGCCGATGGATTTCGAACCGAGTAATAGTTGGGAGGAGGTTGATGGGTTAGTGGCCGAATTTGAGGATCTGGAAATATTATGATTTGTATTGGGACGAGACTGGTAAATGAAAGAGGAGTAAGAATTGAGAGAGAGAAAAGGGACGTATATTATGACTGGTACAATTGAGAGATATGGAAATTTGGGCTTAAACAGAAGGAGTACGAATACAGGATTAAACTGGAAAGATTTAAAGAAGATACTGTTTTAAAGCAGGCCCACTGCCGGTGCTGGGCTCTGAGATGGCTCGCACTAGTGGCCATCGTATCTTTTGTGGCCTAGCAGAGATAACAATGGTTAAATTTCTATATCAAGTTTGAGACTTCTTTTTCATTGTTCCATCACTCAATTAGAACTAGAGGCCCATCAGATCCGAGATATTTGATGGGCAGGATGGAAATACTTTGCTTTTGAAGCAACTTGAGGTTTCTTCCATGTTTCTCTGTCATTGCATTCCCCTCCGTTCCCCCCTTTCCCCTTTTTCTTTCCCTCGTACCACCTTCGAACACGACTAGTTTGGTGATGACCATGTCTATTGAAACACACAGAGATCGGATTAGTCGGGACGATGAGGACGCTCGAAACCTGAGGAGAATCTACTAATCTCGTCTCATTCCCTGCACCCGTTGGGTATCCTTACTTGGCTTGCTCTCGTCTATCTTCTCTTTTCTAGTCTATACTGCGTACTCTGTGAGCACGTAAACCCTCCAGAGCGGGAATAAGATTGACCTCGACGTGACGGGCATCGGCCCAGGCAACAAGGTCTTTCGACACCTTCGGGCATGCTTCCAAAGTAATCTTGCGCACTTTGGAGGGCTTTGCCTTTTTGAGCATGTCAGACACAAATACTCCCGTGATCTGGGCCTGCTCGAGATGCAAATTCTCGAGCATGGGGCATCCGTCGATGAAGTATTGGCTCCAGGAATCGACGATATGGTGTTGTTTCAAGCGGAGAACCTTGACGTCCTTCAGAAAACCGGACTGGAACAGGCGTTCCAACTGGGGCCCAGTTTGCTGTGAGCCTCTTATTGTGCAATTTTCAAGGGTCACGTGTTCTGCCCCGGTGGTGATTGACGGTAGTACAAATACTGGGAATGAACCACATTCGTCAACCACGAGAGTCTGGAGGTTTTCCAGCACCGCAAATGGTTCACTGAGCTCGTCATCGTGCCAGCCGACTGAGTGAAAACTCAATTTCCTGATGGTCTGAGGGAGATGGATGTTTGGTAGGATGGAACCGCTGATTATCAAAGTCTCCAGTTGCTTCATATGACGGAGATCAAGTCTTCGAATTGAAGTATCGAAGTCACTCCACAAGATACCGGAACAGTAAAGTGATTTCAACCGTGGCAATCCCGAGAGGAGGATGCCCTGCCAGAGAGTTAGCAGACAAGAATCAACCATCACGGCGGGTGAATCCACTCACCGCGTCAAGCCGGTCAGAAAAAGGTTTCACATTCATGTAAAGTTGCTTGAGAGTTTTACTGGCCAGGATCCAACGTCCCCGTTCAGGATTGGACCCAGGATGGTGGAAGTCAAGGACTTTCTGAAATCTAGCGATTTCAAGAGAGGGACAGTCTCGCAGAATAATGGAAACATCCTCGCTTGATATGGTTGGGTCAGGACCGAGCACAAGAATCTTCAAATTGTACTTGGACAAGGGCAATTTCCAGCCCGAAAGCCATTGGTTGTCGATCTCGAGATGTTGAAGCGATGTAAAATCTTCCCAGCGCTGAAGAGTTGTATTGAGGATCTCTGCCGAGATTTTCGTCAGGTTGTGTGCGATAACTGTCTTAGGAGCTCTCACACGTCTGAGAGTGGCGCGTAGCATCCGAGGCGTAATATCCTTGCTGGCCTGAGGGAAAGCGATGGTATTTGTCAAGGGAGGCCTCCCGAGGAGCATGTTCTTCCAAGGTTTCGAAACGCGCAACATTTGGACATGTTGTCTGTAGTCCAGAAAAGACAGAATAGATTCAACCACCTCCAGCGGCAGAGTTGTCATCGGATCTGTACGCCGGGAAAAGAAGAGCTCACTCTTGATCTGCTCTCTCAAGTCGTGCAACTTCTCGGTGATCGAGTAGAAATACGGGTCCGAGGTTGGGATAGATTTCAAGCCGTGCTCGTAGTACTCAATGGCGCGAGCTTTATTGTCTTGCAGTCGTTCGATTTGACCGCATCGAATGTAGCCTCGTCCATCTTTACGGTCAACCCGGATCATTGCCTTGGCATCACGAAGGGCTCGGTCGGTTTTTAACATGCGGAGATAGACAGCGACACGAATATCCAGAAGAGTCAAGCGAGTCTCGCAAGAAGTGCTCATGTCGCATGCAGAGAGCCGTAAGGCCGTGGTAACCGATTCTAAGGCGGCATAGAAGCGTTTCTCTTTGGCAGCTTTCCGACAGTCGAGAATGAGTTTTGCAATTTGCTCGCGGTTTTGAGCTTCTGAAGCCATTCGAACATCGTTAGGGCAATGCAGAGTTTGACAGATTCCTGGAGGATGGGAGTAATATCAATGAGTACACCCAGGATTGGACTTTGACCACGTGTCACTCACGAGTTGCACGTCGCGTCGCGGCCACGTAGAATCTCACCTATCACCGCTCTTAGAGTATGAGTCACATAGGGCGGCGTCACTTCGTCCCCCAAAGGGGAGTGTTTATTTATGTCTAACGCAAAGAAGCGATATCAATGCAGAGTCCGCTTTCCACCTCCCACCGGACCGACCATGGAATCGCACAGCCTAGAGCGGGCGTCTCAGTATCTGAACAATCTATTACTTGCTCGCGGCCTTCTCTCGAATGGAAAACCTATCGACTTTGCCTGCCCCGACCGGCATGGCCAAGGTACTGATGCAACGATGTCCCGGGTCATCAATCTCGTCCACGAGCTAGTTCTCCGACGCGATCAAGATGCGGAGCAACGAGAAAATCTCGCGACCAATATCCGAAAAGCTCGCGCCGATGAGGCACAACGCGTCCTTGACCTCCAAAGATTGCAAGACAAGAACGTGGAATTGACCCGAAGTGCCGCCTCCGCCGAATCCCACGAACGCACAAGTAAAGTAGCACTTCGAAAAGCAGAAGCCCAGGCCAAAGAACTCAAGGAACAGATGTTGAAAATGAAATCCAATCTTGAGCAAGTGCGCGCCAAGTGCTTGAGCGACGTTCGAAAACGAGATGTCGAGCTTGATAAGTTGAAGGCCCATCTGGCGGGGATCCAGCGAGGAAAAAAGGATGCGTCGGGGATGAAAATCAATGTGATAAACTGGGAGCCAGAAATCAAGGCCCGAGAGAAGCGAAACGGGCAGGATGCGAATAGTTCCGACTGGAGCCTCGAGAAAGAAACCAATGATTTTCTGGCAGCCGTGTTGAATGAGACAAGCACTGAGAATGTATCACTCAGAAGAATTATCACCGACACCATGGAAATACTTTGTGATCTCATTGGCTTTGAACAAGAAACTGTTGATGAGGAAGGGGAGAACGCAATGGGCACACCCGGCCAATATCGCAAGTCAAGACGAAGAGCAGCCCAAACGCCTGAGGACCTCACATCATGCGCCGCCCTCGCAGATCGGATGAGGGCCATTCTGGAGCACTGCCAATCGATCCTCAGAGATCCTTCATTCGTCCCAATTGAGGAAGTACAAATACGAGACGAGCAAATCATCCAGTTGAGACTGGGCTGGGAAAAGATGGCTGCAAGATGGAAAGGAGCCGTGACCATGATGGATAACTGGCGCCGACAGATGGCCGCGAATGGCGAAGGGTTGTCAGCCAAGGACCTTTCCAATCTAGAATTCGGCAAGAGTGTGGCGATGCTTCCGAATGGACAGCCCGTATTTGGAGCTGACGAAGAGTTATCATCAATATTATATGAGAATAGCAAACTGGAAAAGGATCGAGACGAAGAGCCCGCCTATCAGATGAACGGTGGTTCGCCTCCACACAATACCATGAACGACGAAGAAGAGCGGGATTCGGACGTCGACCTCCTGCCGAAAGCCTCACCGAAGCGGCCTGCTTCAATTTCTCGACGAGTGGGTCTGAATATAGGGAAGCCGATTCGACCGTTACAGGCCATCGATCTCAATCGGAACCACTCGCCGAATCGTGATACGAATTCACAATCACCATGGGGGCAAAGGGTCGATCCTGAGCGGGACCATCGGGATGGTCATTCCGACGCCGAAAATGATAAACTTGCGCCCGTGGAATCCAAAATTCCGCGACAGGTGGGCTTGATATTGGCTAGGTCGAAGACGCATGGAACTAACTTTGGTGTCCAGATCAAACGACAAGAGGCTAGGTTGACCGTGGCAGAAAAGCTTGCCCTTGTTGAAGCAGAGGCACTGGGAGTGCAGAAGGAATCGTCACACGATACCAAGAAAAGAAGGCGGTCAGGTATGAAGAAGACGAGGAAACGTTCGAGAAGAAGAAGCACGTTGAGTCCGGAAGAACTTGCGGCGCTGATGGGTATTGAATAGTTCAATGGCTAGCAGTCGGAGGCAATTTTGGATAAGGTCTCAATTGCTCTGCTGGATTTGAACACTAGCTCTCTAGGTGTCAACCTCCCTATTTGGTCTTGCACCCGTTAGATATGTGATGCATGCTTCTCGTTCACAAGAACAATGCGATATCTTGCCTTTCCAGCATCCATATCAACGATAGCCTTATTGACATCCTTCATGGGAACATTGTTGTTCCAGGTGTGCACGCCTTTCTTTGCAAACAGATCCAGCATCTCCCGGATCTCCTTTGGACTGCCAATGCCGCTTCCGGTGACTTTGATCTTCTTTGCCAGAAGAGAGAACGCGTTGAATGAGGGGATGTTGTCTTCAGGGGCACCGATTTGGACGAATACACCATTGACTCTCAAGAGTTGGAGGTATTGGGGCAAAGGCATCTTCGGGCTAGAGACGGTACTGACGATGATGTCGAGAGAGTTTCTGTGCTTCGTGGCCCAGTCTTTGTCCTCGTCGGTGGCAATGAAGTCGTCTGCACCCATCTTCATGGCGTCGGCCTTCTTGGACGAGGTTCGTGAGATAGCGACAAGTTTATCAACACCTAGGACCTTTGCTCCCATGACACCGAAATGACCCAGACCGCCCAGTCCAATAATACCAACTTTTTTGCCGGGCCCGGCCCCGTATTGCGTCAGTGGTGAAAACGCTGTGATCCCTCCACAGAGCATAGGCGCAGCCACATCGCTGGCCAGAGCGTCGGGGATTTTGAAGACGAAATGAGAAGGCCCGCGCCAGTAATCGGCGTATCCTCCATAGGACTTGCTGCCATCCGGATACTTGCTATTGTAGGTGGTGGTCTGGCCGTTTTGGCAATAGTTTTCGGCGTCATTGGAGCACTCTTCACAGTCGGGTCGAAGACAAGAGAGGCTCTGAGCGCCAACTCCAACACGATCCCCGGGATTGATACCGCCCTCGGCTTTAGATCCGACTCGTACCGCGGTACCGACGATTTCGTGACCGACACAGACGGGGTAAAGCGAGGCACCCCAGCCACTGCGAAGGGTGTGGAGGTCAGAACCGCAGATGCCGCAGTGAGTGATTTTGATGTCAATGTCAGTCTCCTCGAAGGGTTTGGGAGTGTACTCTTGCCACACCAGGTTGCCTTTGGCCGAGTCCTTGTTGAGGCCCATCCAGCCTTGGAACTTGTAGTCTGAAGCCATTTTGAGTGATGTTACAAGTAAAACAAAGGGAGAGGCTTGAGGATGGGAAGAAGAGTAGAGGAAAGATCAGGCTGCGCGCTTGTACTCACACGCGCATGGCCGCTTTCCCAGACATTGGTCTACTCGTAGCAAGTCTTGATTCAATTGTGTTGAGGAGCTAGTAGACCTTTTTATGTACTGTCGGTTCAATTCCACGCTCGCGATAGGTGGTGATAACGAAGATATGATGTACATATTCAGCGCTCTCCACTCTGGTCCATGGCTAGCCGACAGCCCTCGGCTCTAGAGGTGCAGTAACTTTGTATCGCAGGTGTTGCCAATTTTCCTCTAGACGAGCCTCGACTCGTCCAGGGTTGCTGCATGGTTGATTTCTGTCTAAATGAAGGAGCTTTGCGGGATTGTGGACCTTCACTGGCAGGCTGCGGCCGACAAAGCTCAATATCTCCAATATCCTCTTGTATGCCTGTAACATGCTGTGCGTAGAGGACTGTCTAGGAAAGCCGATGGGTTCTAGAAAGGGGTGTCGAACAAAATGCGTTGGTGTGGGGGCATCATCTATTGATTGGCGCGCGTCGTGTTTGTCGGCGGACCTGCGCGCAAATCACCAATCTTTGGTTAGTTACGACTTGTCGTTCATCCTGGAATTGCAGTAGGGCAACAACAGTATTCATTCAATTGGGATCTTACTCTGTCCCATTTGGGCTCAATTTCGTTGATCTTGATCGAAATGCTATGATCAACCTGTTCCGACAACCATCATGAACCGTTTTACGGCCGACTATTCGAGCAGCATCAATTCCACTCCTGGCAAAGAACATCCACAACAACGATCGCATTTATTCTCCTCCAAGCCTCCTGAACATGCCAGCACTACTCCTATCGCCCCCCCTCCTTCTCAAATCTTCGGCAGCTCGACCTTTGGCACTGGCGTCCGGAAGCTGCAACTTTCCCAGCCTTCCAAATCCTCTCCTCCCTTGCATACATCCAAATTCAGTCCGGCCGAATCGCGCACCAAGAATGGAACATCTGCAAAATTGAACGCTAGGTTTCCAAGCTCTTTCAATACATCGGTAGCCTCAGACACTGTGGAGCAAGATGGAGATAGGTACACGGAGGACGATATGGATGAGGGTGATCCGGATGAAACGAACCAATTCCCATCCCCTCGAGGCTTTCAATTAGTCAATCAACAATCCGCGGCTTCGCTCATGAAATTCAGCCCCAACAACGGAAGGGGATCGAGGATATCAGTGTTGCGCCAATCTCTACGGACCCCAAGACTCTCCGCACTCCCACACAAGGGCGATGATTCGGTCGTTCGAAATTTGGCAAAGGAGCTAGGCGCCAGGGCGCGACGCGCACCGCTGACTGAACCCGACGAGGTCATTCTCAGGACAGAGCAGATCCTTCGCCAACTCGACGAACAGGCACAGGACCTGAAAGACGGCGGGAGAATCCTTCAAGCCGTCACTGAACATGTTTTGGAGCTCATCAAGGAGTGGCAACGGTCTGTGGCGGCGGATCGTCCCTCACTTGATAGCAGCGATATAGGTCCACAACCTTCAGCCCCTGCATTTGTCAAGGCCAACTACCTCGCTTCGCTACTTCTGGCGCTTCATCATCCACCGTCTCCGGACCACATGGTCCTCTCCACCCCACAGATTCTTCTGGACTGGCTCGATACCTATCACGTCTCCTATGAACCGTTGTACCGGACTGTTGCGTCGGCCAAACCGAATTGCACGTCCCATGAATTGTTTTGGGACGCCGTCCAGAGCCTGGCGTTGCGAGGGAAGCTGCAAATGGTGATGCAACTCTTTGCCGAAGCCGATTTCAGATATGCGGCATCTGCCGCGGATGATGGAACGGATGGTGCTGGTTACAAGGGTGCCCAGCTCCAGTCGGTGCAGAGCGTCATCTATCGAGCGCGCGTCCTGCTCAATTCATGTCCGGCCATTCAATCCGAGGATTGGGATGTCGCTGGACCTGATTGGGATTTATTTCGAAGCCAAGTAAAATCAGAGCTAGAAAACCTGACCGAGCTTGCCTCTGGCCAGGATGACGACGACACTGCCTCATTCGAAGCGGAGAACTTCGGACTGCGCAAGCTGGGCTTAAATTCACTTGGGAAACTTGGTCAGAAATCTGGATCGACGATTCCCTGGACGATCTTTCAGAATCTCAAAATCCTCTACGGTATTCTCTTCGGGAGTGTCGAGGAGATTGCTGCTCAATCCCAAGACTGGCTTGAAGCGGCAACCTCGTTGACAATATGGTGGGATGGCTCTGCGGATACTTCAGTGGCTCAATGGAGCTTCGATGTCAGCCGCGCCAATGACAGGGCTGAAGATGACAACGATATCTATCCTTATCTTGGCCGACTTCGAGATTCCTTCCTCAGTGTGACCGATCCAAATGACAAGAACTCATTCCAAATCAATGCTATGTCGCCCATCGAAGTGGGTCTTGGTTCGATCCTGCAAGGAAGCACTCAAAGCGCCTTGATCGTGCTCCGTGGCTTGTCTCAGTGCGTAGCTGCGGCGGTGGCCGAGGTTGGCGTAAAGGCCGGTTGGCTCGAAGAGGATCCTCCCGCCAGACCGGCTGGTTTGAGTGAAGAAGATCTTATGGTGCTCAGCTATGGTGCCCCGAAGCAGGATATCACCAAGGATGAGCTGCTATTGGGTTACGCAGAGCAACTCTTTGAAAAGGAAACTCTGCGACTTTCAGATGGTTCTCTGTTTGAAGGCTGGGAAGTTGCCATTTCGGTCATAACGAGATTAGACGATCGCGACGCAATGCATACCGCGGTCGGCAATTTCATCGAGCAACTCCAAGTGGTGACTCAAGAACGGGCCGAGAAGCTCACCAACCTTTGCTCAGATCTTGGACTTCAGGACGAGGCACGAAAAGTGTCCGATCGATTTGGAGATCATCTGGTCAACAATACCACAGAGTATGGAACGGCTCTATTGTGTTACGCCAGGAGTCATGCATCACATAAAATCCGTCAGTTGGTCGATCTACTCATCAGCTACTCCTTGGTGCAGTCCCGGGCGTATCCTCCAGACACCGAAATGGACGATGGTCTCCAAAGTCTTGTCGGAAATCCGAGAACAGCCCTCGCCGACATTGCGGATGTGGACCCGGAAGCTGCAGAGATGCTACAATTCTATCTCGTCGGTTACGCCTGCCTCCGACGATTCTACAACCTGCGTGACGAGGATAACGCGCCGACTTCGTGGGCCAAATCCAACCTTCGACCTCTGGCACGCAGTCGAGCAGCGGCCAAAGCTCTCATCGCTGCAATCAACAGTGCCGCCGACAGCATTTACGGAGGTCTCTACGATCCCGAGCGACAATCGGCCATTCAAGTCGACGGACTCCTGACTCTCTTCGGTGAAGCCACGGCGCTCCTCGCCGTCAATGGCACATCTGGTAAACGCGTCTTGACCACCGAACAGATGTATTCACTCCTTGCCGCGATCGAAGACTTATCGACCGTCTCTTCGCGCGTGTACGATGCTACGGAAGAGTGCCTCCAAGCCGCTCTGCGAAATTTCCACGGCTCGCAACCGCCAAGTCCGCAGGCGATGCTGAAGAAGAGCATGTCGAGTGGGACGAACTCGAGTTTTAGCTTTAGCATGATGGGATCGGAGATGTTGGGTCGCAGTGAAATAACCAGTATGGGCACCGGAGGAAAGAGCGTAGGCAGCAGTGGTGTGTTGGTTCCGCATGGAAAAGGTGATGCGGCAAGAGGGTGGGATTGGCGGTCCAAGTTCAAGGATCGCCATGTCTCTGGACGCGATGTGGTTAGAGTGTTGAGAATGGGATTAGCGGAGGAATTGAGTCTGGCAGAGTTGGAAGGGAGTGTGTGATGAATTGCTGTAAAAGTAATACTTAGTAGCTGATGATGGCGGTGGAGCAAAGAAAGGGAGACATTTGAAGTTTCAGCCTTGTCCAAATTAAAAATATTCAAAATAATCGGTCAAGGCACCTGACCGTCGGCTGGACCATTGATAAATGATTTTTCCTCTTTCTGACAACATCACGATATCTTGGACGTCAATCGTTGATTTCCTCTACACTTTGACGAAGATTTTCGCTGTATATGTATGTATCGAAAATCTCTCTCCACACACATACATACCGAGTTCAAGCGAACTATAACACGTAGAGGTTGGCAAGATCGGACATATCAGAGATGGGGCATTCAGAGTGTCGAGTGGGCCGTGTATCGCTTCTAAGAATGATATCACGGAGATTTTCAAAGAACCAACTCAAGTGGGATCTGCAATGTACAATTCGCAGACAAGGCCATTATTCTTTATCGTAGACGATCGGTTCTATCGAATCCATCTCATAAACCCTTTCTCCTTTGCGGATTTTCGGATCCATTCCGAACGGGGACATAGAGAAATCCGTACGTGCAATGCGGTGCAAACCATACCAACCAAAATCCCTTCATTCCGCATGGGAAAACTCCGAATCATAGAACATAACCAGCTCCGCCCTGAAAGGCGATCTGTAGTCATCGTCTCTCTAGTATTTTCATTTCGTCGAATCTAAACGGGAAGCAGGCCAATCTCCCAAGATCTCGCCCCGCAACGTCGGAAGCAATTCAAAGCTCCTAGCGGTAGACCGGCGGGGTATTGGCATAATTTTGCAGAGGAATTCCGCCTTGTCCATACAAAGGCAGAGATTGCGGGTGCTGCCGATCAGCGTATCCGGGTTCCATTTGACCCTCACGGAAATTAGCCGCAGCAGGGGTATTCAATGGTCCTTTTCGCACTTGTCGGCGACGTTTGAAAAAGAGAACGGTTCCGATAAAAGTGAGCATCAAGACGATGGCGATGGCGAGGAGGATCATCCCCCGGCGGTTGTTATCGGCAAAGTTGAATCCGATGAAACTGTTGATGAGACCGAAAGCGATGGTGCTTGGGCCGAGGACACGATGACCTTTCATGATTTTGGCAGGGGCGCCGGTTTTTTTATAGATGCGATGGCCAATGAAGCCGACCGTCCAGGTGAGGAGGACGAGCCCGGTTACCACAAGACCGAGGATTTGATGGACGGAGTCCAAACTGGGATTGAGGTTGTCCCTTTTGCTGACGGCAATTCCCACACCCGTGCCAATGACGACCATGAGGAAAGCAAAGGACTGAACACCCCAGTGGAGCCAGACTTTTTCGAAGAAACGCAGAACCAAATATCCGGTGGGAAAGACGACCAAATATGCAGCAACCATGAGAAATGCATGGAAAGCGACACCGCCTCGAGAAAGTCCACCGTCGCCCGGCCTTGTATAATCAACTTCGTCGGCTGAGGGGACGGGGACACCGCCAGTGCCAGTGGCCTTCTTGAGATTGAGCTCGAACGAAGCGTATCCTTGGTGCTGGACAATCGTGGCCGAGACATCATTCGAGTTCATATCTCCAACAGGGCCTACGGCCCAAATCATATCTTGATCCTCGCTGTTGATATCGATACTACCGCCATTCCAGGAGCGGCAACCGGTACATTTGGCGTTGACGACAAACGTGCCGTCAATGATGCCACTCCCGTTCAAGACATCGACTTTGACGTCTGAAGTATACTTCGGCTCGACATGGCCCGTGCCGAGACGCGGGCTGAGGGTGATATTGTTTCCATCGTCATTGGCATATGTGACGAACATCAACGCCCCGTCCATCTGACCGCCCAAGCCAAAGGCAGCCCATTCTTGACCGGCGGGAGCAGAGAAGTAGAAGAAGAGAGAGTCGGTGCTGTCGGAGGGCACATTGATGGCGACGGTGACATTATCGTCCGTATCTCGAGAGGTACCGAGGCCGACATAGGTGGATTCAGGAACAGCCGCCTGCGCCGTGAGGAAGAATGCTGGTTAACGTGGTCAGCACAAATGGTACCTTTCTTTACTTTGGATGGGGAGAAGTGGAGGTTATGATCGTGTTATCGAGTCTGGATTACGGAGAAATGTACTCACTAGTCACGAACAGAGGAAGCAAGACCCTGATTCGGGATTGGTAAACAAAGGACATGTTGGAGGATATGAGAAAGTAGACGGAGACAGACAGGACGCAAATAACGAGGAATCGAGAGGAAAGGAAGAATACCCAGACAAAGAAAGAGATTGCAGGTGACGTTGGTAAAGATGGACCTGCAACAAGAGAGAACGTGTGGAAACAGACCAAGACAGAGGAAAGAGGGAAATTAAGACAGAGAATTGAAGTTTCAGAAGCGGCTGAAAAAGAAGACTCGAGGCGCTCACCGTGAACAGGGTCAATGGCCAGTTCGAGATTCATGGTGGGCGCTTATCCACTGGATCGGCGGCAGAGGTGGGAAAAAGACAGGGGGTAGAGCCCCCGTTCACCCATTGTTTCTAAACATAAGGACATCGTTCCTGGGACTGAAACCCCTTCCCCCCATCCCCGGGGGCATCCACTAACCAGCCGCTGAACGGGCTCCGAATGCTTATGTGCATAGTCTTCCTGGTGCTTGTTTTTGTCTCAGCCTCCCTGCATGGAGCCCGTCAGCCAACCACAGCATCTCAATAGGTCATATCACCAGTCATCCGGCATGATCTCCGCCTATGACCTTCCAAGAAACTTTGTTGGTCTCTCTCAGGCTAGGCGCTTATCCCTTAGATCTTTGCTCATCCATATACTGCTCGAGGTGTTCGCATAAAGAGTAGTCCATCTGCTCGCATCTCACCGTCGTCCTTGGCTACAGACGCGGTGACATAATCGATACTCGTTGCCGTGTCCGTCATAAAACTACATTTGAATCTGCCGGTCCTGCTGAAGAAGACGTCATTTTTCAGAACCACTCCTCTTGGATATTCACGAAAAAACGCTGGAAGGCCTCTGGCCGCACAGTAAAATCCCCCACGGATGGTGACCATCCCAAGTCCAACAGTTCATTCGCTTGCATCGACATGTGTTCCGGTGTCCAATTTACTCCAGTCGACCCGTCTTGAGACATGCCTCCTTCGATGATACTGCCGCTTCGTGTTTGTGTCGAATCTTGCGTGCTCCCGGGCTCCATCACCGTGTCGTCAGTGAAAGTCTGATCATGCTCCATACCAAATGCCACTATTGAATTCGTTACCACGTTGTTCGGGTAGTCTTGCATGAAACGCTCCATAGGAGTTGAGCTCGACAAATCCGAAAACAAGACACTGGGTCGGTGCGCCGCCTGTGCCTGTTGGGTGGCTCGTTTTGCCCGAGCCCTGGCCATCAAGTGTCGGATTGGTTTCCACAACATGCCCTTTTGAAATCTGTGGTTCTTCATCATCTTTTCATCGTAAACCGATTCAATGGCTCGCCAGGCCCGATCCACGTCAGGTCCCGGTGGTCGGTTGCAGATCTCCGACAGGGCAAAGGCCACTGACTGCCACTGCATGTATGTTCGGAACAGCCACCCCCATTTGGCCGTATTCTCGTTCTTCTCCAGGAGATGGGAAAATTCAATCACCTCCACCGACGTGATGAACACTCGATCTCGAGTCTCGGGTGGTAGGGGTGTTCCCTCGCCGGTCGAGTTGAACGACCGCGGATGGTGCACCATGAGCCAGATCTTGGCCAGAATCAGTCGGGCCACCGTGGCGGCCACCCAGTAGATGGGATTGCTCATGTCGCAATGTCGCAGATACTTCTCTTCTAGCTTCCGATGACATTCGTCAATCAATCTTTCCTTATCTTCATACGATAACCGCTGAGAGGGGCATGAGTCTCCTCCCGGGGCTGTGAAATTGAATCGTCGTGAAAAAATGCTAATTTCAAATCGGATCAAACAGAACGTCATCTCGGTAGCGCCCTGTCTTTCCGGCGGGCACTCTTTCATGCCCGGAGAGAGATCTTCGTCATTCAGGTTCATGGGAAGCTTGGTGTCATAGAATTGTTCGGTAAAGGTGGGATCCGTCCCGTGGTCCTCCGCGGACCGATTGTCTAGAAGTGACAGTTGCCACCATAGTCGTCGCCGCATCTCCGTGTCGAACGGATTGAGCCCGAAGTTTGTCCCATCCCGATGAATCCCGATCGCTTGCGCGAGATGGATTGCCAGGCCTCCTAGAGCCCATACCACTCGGGAATCGTCGCAGTGCCGCACGAAGATGAGGAAAAAGCACAGTGCTTGCAAGCACATCAGGCTGGAACTGTTCAAAAAATCCGCCCGAGCCAGAGCTTGTTCGGTCGCAAACCGATATTTCTTCAGGAGAACATCCTTGTCTTCGTCGAGCAATTGCTGGCATTGGTCGGGCGTCAAGCTGACCACAGCCCCAAAGTAGATCGCGAACAACAAGGCCTCGGCAGATTTGGAAACTCGGTCCAGACTGCTGGCAGCGTTCATGAGAATAGTTTTGGCGGTGGGGCGATGCAGAATTCGAACGATGGGGTCAACGTTCTCCTTGAACACTTCCCATAGGATGAAGATCTGGCTCGGACTGGGATGTAATTCGCGCAAATCAAGCATGGCCGAGGAATAACCAAAGAGAAAAGCTTGATGGCTGGTCTGAAGGTCTTGCTCCGGGGATCGGTCGTCATCGTCCTCATCGCTGCTGGAAGGATCCAGAAGATATCGCATTTCGGCAATCTAATCATGTCATCGTTAGTCATGGATGGGGCGGGTTAGAATATCTCAGAAGAGAGGGCATAAACGGACCTCGTCGCTCATTCCGGTCCAGAACGCGTTGCTGACGTAGCGACTGCGGTCCTCACTGATAACCAGGCGGCCCAGGTGTTTATCAATCGACTGTCTTTTGGAGTCGGAGCGGTCCGACGTGGGCGAGTCACCCGCTTGTGTATCACCAAAACGTGCTCGGACATCTGCAGAACCCGCAAGGGTCGGTGAGACCACACCATTCTCGTCGACCTGCGCCCCCAAGCTGTGCACAACGCCCTCGAGCCGTCGCAGCCGTGTGAGGAGCTCTGCGTCGGGAGGCTTTCTGGATTTTCTAGGAGCCCGTCCCGGCGCCGGAAAGATGCACTCAATTCCAGCTCTTACACAATTCGCGCAGGGATTTTCTTTGTTACATCGGACTTTGCGACGACGACAGGTCACACAACTTCGTGGATTCAAGCGTGGAGCAGACGTGGTCTGGGGTGGAGCAGGCTCTGTGCTCTCGTCTTTGGGAAGGGCAGGCGTGGACGGGCCGCCGTCTTCAGAGACATCCATGGCGTGTGCAAGGTGGTCACGAATGATTCATGGCCGATCCGTCGAGGAAGAATCGCGTGGGCGGGAAATTGGAAGAAGAGAATGGGAGATGACCAAATTCCATACTCAGAATGGGCGGTACCACCCTTCGTCATCACATACAAAGGATGTAGGGCTGCGGGTTCGCTCATATCGGTGAAGTCATCGAATTGACTTCGGCTCACCTTTCCATTGCTAGTGTAGTGCTACCTCGAATTGCTACTGCACATTACTAAGACTCTGCTACAGGTCGTTTCTGCGGCTTGAGCGGAATTGGCTACAATTCTTTAAATCTCCCGGCTCCGGGGACTTTATGTGTCGTTCGCCCGAACCACATACCGCGCAAAGGTAAATTCCCTCGTTGATGGTCAGGCGTATCGGGCTTACCATGTGTCCTTGTCGCCCGGCTAGAATCACCACTACCGTGCCGGAGGTCGCTCTCCCATGTCTGTCTATCCTCAAACCCAGGGCCAAAAGTACTGTGCCTCAACCCCCCACCACCCATGCAGATCAAATTCCATGCTGCGTTCTTGGAAGCAGAAGAAGAAAAAGAGGTCATATGAGTGATTTATCGACCGGACCAGAGACTCATAACCCCCTCCTTTATACCTTCTCGCTATTCCCTGGCCGTTCACTTTGGCCGACTCAAGATGTGTGACAAACAGCGGTTCTGGTATTGGACACTCCCTGCGAGCAACTTCCAGACAGATACCAATTCCCAAGTGTTAGAACGATACACGAAAGGGCAGGACCTTATCCCTAATACACCTCGCTCCATAAAATCCCAAATAATATTCCCCGCAGCGCTGATGCATGGCCAAACTACGCCCAAAACCCTTCAATCCGTCATACCAATGCTCATTGGCTGTGAGATCTCAATAAAACCTGATCACCCAATTAGCACTGGCCACCATCTTTATTCACCCAGACCAAGACATCGAACGTACGGAATTAACAGCCGACATCGGATCAGGTTCACCGTCTTTAGCAGTGGCAGGGCTTCCAGCACTGCGGTGGTTCACGGGTCCGGACGTCGTGATCGATCTCTCCGAGAAGGGAGGTCTCAGACTCGATGTCGGAGGTGGCTCGACCTTGGTGCGGCATTCTTCCTGCTTATTCGTAGTATTCCCATTCGTCGTCGCGGTCGACTTGGTTCGAGCGTGTTTGTTGAACATGGCGGTGACTCCGTCGGACGCCACTCGGAGAATCGTCTGCATCAGGAGATTCTGCTTAAGGGGCTTCGATAAGTATTCGTCCATTTGCGCCTGAATGCATTTTTCGCGATCTCCCAGCATGGCATGCGCCGTCAGCGCCACGATCGGCGTTCGGGGCAGTCCCGTTTCTTTCTCGTACTGCCGAATTTCTCGGGTCGCCTCAAATCCTCCCATCACGGGCATTTGCACGTCCATCAGCACCACGTCGAACCGGTCAGCCTTGACGGCGTTGACGGCGTCCAACCCGTTGCTCACCACCGTCACAACGTGATTGTACTTTTCGAGAATCTTGATGGCCACCCTCTGGTTGACCTCGTTGTCTTCCGCCAGGAGCACATTGAATGATTTTTTGTAATCCTTGATGATCGGCGTCGACCGGCCTTCGAGAGCGGGGATCATGCAATTGCCCAGGTCAATCAACTGACAGGGAGTCGTCATATACGACGCAATGCCGAGGTCCAGCACCGTCTTCAGGCTGATCGACACGGTTGGGTTCAGGAGCACCATCGGGATATACTTGAACTTGTCGAGCTCTCGCAGTTTGTGTGCCGTCTGGATCTCGTCGATCACAATCACGTCATATCCGTCGGCGGATCTTCCTTTTCCGTCACTGACCGGATCCGGCACGTTGGACACATCTTGCACCACGAGGACCTGGAGACCCAGCTCCTCAATCAACGCGGGTAAACGCTGAAAGAAATTGGACACGCCCTTGTCCACCGCGAGGACCTTGTGCTTTCGGAAGGGATAGAGCTGGGAGCTTATGACACTGATGTCCTCGGTCGCAAATTTGACGATGCACGAGAAATGGAACTCGCTCCCATGACCAAAGTCTGAAGTCACCCACACTTGGCCCCCCATGAGGTTGACCAAACGCTTGGAGATGGAGAGACCAAGACCGGTGCCGCCGAATTTCCTGGTGGTCGAGCCGTCCGCTTGCTGGAACGTGTCGAAAATGAGATCAAGCTTGTCCGACTGGATGCCAATGCCGGTATCGGATACCACAAACTCGAATGGAAATTCGTCGGGCGCACAGTTCGACATCAGGTCTTTCGACTTCTTGATGGTCACCTTGACTTCGCCCTGGTCGGTAAATTTGATGGCATTGCCTACCAGGTTGAGGATGATTTGTCGGAGTCGGAAAGGATCTCCGACGACGTAATCAGGAACCGTATTGTCGACCTCGAAGGCCAGACATAGCGACTTCTCATTCGCCTTGACTGCCAACGACTTGAGTGCGTTGAAGACAGTTCCGCGAATCGTGTAGGGAATAGCCTCGATTGCCATGCGATTCGCCTCAATTTTGGAGATATCCAAGATGTCGTCAATAATGGTCAGCAGACTGTTTGCCAGGTTGTGCACCGTGTTGAGCATTTCTCGTGAATGTGGCTTCAGGTCATCAGTGTCGAGGGTGAGCTGGGTCATGCCGATGATTCCATTCATCGGGGTCCGGATTTCGTGCGACATATTCGCCAAAAATTCCGACTTGGTGCGGTTGGCCAATTCGGCCGCTTCTCGAGCTGCCGTGTTCCTTTGAATGCTGTCCCTCAGGTTCGATATCATCTGGTTGATCTTTCGCTTCAATTCGTCCATTTCTCCCGACGCGTTGACGCTGATCAGTTTCGAGAAGTCTCCCTCAGTCGCTGCATCCGTAATCTCTCCAAAGGCACGAACCTGAGCCGTCAAATTCTCGGCCATGGTGTTGACGTCTTCCGTGATCTCCTTCCAACGACCACTGACATCGTGAACATTGGCTTGACCGCCCATCTTGCCGTTGACGCCCACGTCTCGAGCCACTCTTCGCAGTTCATGTGCGAATGTGGCCAGTCGGTCGACCATGTTGTTGATCGTCACCTTCAACGTGAGGATTTCTCCTTGGGCCTGCACCTCAATCTTCTTGCCCAAGTTACCGGCCGCGATGGCTTGGGTCACGTCCGAAATACCTCGGACTTGGTCCGTCAGGTTGGATGCCATCGTGTTGACGTTGTCGGTGAGATCCCGCCACTTGCCCTGGACGTTGTCCACTTTTGCCTGTCCACCAAGTGTACCGTCGGTCCCGACCTCCCTCGCGACTTTGCTGACCTCAAAGGCAAAGGTATTTAACCTGTCCACCATGGAATTGATGGTTATTTTGAGATCAAGAATCTCGCCTTGAACATCAGCGGTCACTTTCTTCGACAAGTCGCCATTGGCCACGGCGGTGGTGACGGCGGCGATTTCTCGCACTTGGGTGGTCAGATTCATGGCCATGCCGTTCACATTCTCCGTGAGGTCCTTCCAAGTGCCTTCGACATCATGGACGGTCGCTTGACCCCCCAAGACACCATTCGTTCCGACTTCTTTGGCTAAATTGGTCACTTCCTGCGCAAACTGCTGCAGTTGGTCCACCATGTTGTTGATCGTAATTTTCAAACGGAGAATCTCGCCTTTGCAACTGGCGGTCACCTTTCGGGTCAGATCGCCTTTGGCCACAGCGGTCGTGACCATGGCGATATCCCGCACTTGCGTGGTCAAGTTGTCTGCCATTGCGTTCACACTCTTGGTCAATTCATTCCAGGTACCCTGGACTCCATCGATCTGGGCTTGGCCACCCAATACGCCTTCGGTTCCGACATCTCTGGCCACTCGCGTGACTTCCGTGGCGAACGTTCGTAGTTGATCGACCATCGTATTGATGGTATGCTGGAGCTCGAATATTTCCCCTTTGGCACGACTCCGCACTTTCTGGCTCAGATCGCCACAAGCGACGGCTTTGGTGACCGTCGCAATTTCTCTGACTTGATCGGTTAAGTTTGCGGCCATTATATTTACTGTCTCAGGGTTAGTGGAGCGCGAATTAACAAGGGGGAATTGTCGTCCACACCGTTGTCGGTCAATTCTTTCCAGATTCCGTGAACTCCGCTGATTTGGGCTTGACCTCCCAAAATACCTTCCGTCCCGACCTCTCGCGCGACACGGGTCACTTCACTTCCAAATATCTCAAGCTGGTCCATCATGGTGTTGATGGTAACCTTGAACGCCGCAATCTCGTCATCCATTTCGGTGGCTTGAATCTGGACGCGTTTGGACAGATCGCCATTGGCAACCTGAGTGATAATGCCACCGATTTCACGGAGGGCTTTTTGGAATGCCTCATTGGCCTGCTGATGCTTGCGCAGTTCCCGCTCAAGGATGGAAACATCTTCATTCTCCACTCGCATGAATGCTTGTTTAGCCTGCTCTTCAGAATTTCGGAGACCGCGACTGATCTCGGCAATGGTCTCTCTCTGGCTCTTGATCTGCTCCGCCTGTCTTTCGACATGCTCCCGCAGGACGCTTATATCATCTTCGCTGACCGTGCGGCCGAGTTCAGAAGGGCCTAGCGAATCTCTTGCGGCCAGCAGGCTATTGACGCGCCTCGACTGATTGGAGTTCAGAGACGGTTTGTTGGGAGAGACCACGATGGGATCAGTGTATGGCTCTCCCAGAGGGCCCCGAGGCTCGATTGGGCGTGACAAGGGCGATGAAGGACTCTGGAATTCACCTGGCGTGTCTGGCAGCGAACGGCCCACCACGTCTGCTCTTGATTCGAGGTAGTGTATCCGTCTGACGAGGGCGCCTACTTCAGCTTCGAACTCATCCTTGGAGGGACTATCGTCTCCAGGAAGTTTGTAGGACGGCAGCTTCAAGCCATTGGTGGAGGGGTTTGAGTGGGAGCCTCTGGCCAATCCACGTAGAATTGCCGCAGCGGCCGCCAATGTCTCGTCAGGCCGAGACATGGACGATGTGGGCGTCTCTACCAATTGTTCTTCCTCATGGGGGACGATACGAAAGGGTTCGTGGCACGGGCGGTCGATGTGCCAAAGGGCTCGTGTTTTGGGCTGCGTCCAGCAGCGAAGGCAAAACGGCCGCAGAGCCACCTTGCTCGATGGCGATGGCGAGGAAGAGAACTCGTCGACGAGACTTTTTAACGATGAGGGGACTGCTCGATTGAAGGCCCAGGCATAGGTGGTCAGGTGGCTGCGAGACGAAGATGGATATGTGGGATGGCAAGTCAATTTCCGCGTACTGACGGGGGGAGGGCAATTGGCTTGCTGGCAGGTGGGATGGGATAGGACATGCCAAACAGCGACAGCCACGGGTCTGTTATGTGGGCTGTGGAATGAGCAAAAAGACGGCGATAGTGATGGACGAAAGGTAAGAACACCCAAAATTGCTGTTCAGCTGAAGAAGGACAACGCGAGTTGAGTTAGCCGGGCAGATAGATAGTAGGGGTAGGGATGTGAGAAGAGTGGGCGAAGCGAGTTGCGGACAAGGCCACTCACTCGAGTGCCTAGGAACTAAGGGCATGCACAGCGCGAGGTTGTAGATAGTGGGCAAGAAACTCCTGAAAGATCGGCTTGCCTCACCTCACCTAACTTATCTCACTTACCCACACCCACATCACGGCTAACTTTCTAGTTCGCTGCCGCACAGTATGGCGCATTTAAGGATTCGGCAAGTGACTGACCACTCCTCGCCAACCACCCGGGTGTCCCGCTTAGAGAGCGAACAAGAAAGGCATGCCGAAAATGGATCACTCAAGACAACCCACGTCGGGTATTTCAGCCTATGGTTAGGTTTTATTCCAAGTTCTCTCTGGGATAGTATAACAGAGCCATCGGTCCCACTCGACTTGATATTTTCCACTCGGACAATCTCATGGTGACAAAACGCAACGTGCAGTATCTGCAGGACATCCAGTTCTTCAGATCTCTGACCACCTGATCTCTTCTCTCACATCCAAAATCAATCTGGCAGGGACATCAAAACCAAAGTCTTGTCGTGAGCAGCCCGCAGTCGTCAAAAATGGGAAAAGCCTCTAGCGCAAAACGACTTTTGCACATCTGCACCTGCCCACACCATGCTTGGTCCTCATTGGTCGCGGCGAAGCCAGGGTCGCTGTCGCATTTCAACTACGACGTCTGACTCGCCAGACGTCTATAGGTGGTCCATTACTATAGCCAGGAAGTCTTGGGTTAACGGTGCAGCAGCTGGTCTCGTGTTCGGCGGCCCGACATTTTCTCTTCCACTCCCAGTGGGATAGACATCAATGACGTCATTGTCACATCTGGTCCCCTGTCCAGCAAGACCCTGCCCTTGGCCAAACGAAATTCCCCATCATAAAGTTTAGGCCCGGCCCCAAGGGGGACTGGCGAGTCAATCTTACAACACCAATCCCGATCTCGTGGTACGAAGCTAGCCTTGACTTTTATCATCGCCCTAGGCGATCGACAAGAACGGATGTAAAAACCCTTATGAATCTGAAACAGTAGAGGGACCAGGTGGTGATACTCGGCGCGGGCATCATTGAAATCTCTCTTACGCGGTGGCTTACATCCCATTGGCTTCTCTCATATTTGGTACAAATCTCCGAGGTCGTCGCTGGATAGTCTCTAAAATTTCCCATGTCCGTTGTGAAACTCAGATCGTGATCCCCGCTCGCTTCCTGGGGTGAGAGTGTTTCAAGTAGCTCGCCTCCACGAGATCGTCCCCCAATGGATGAAGACGAAGGTTGGGCCGAGGGCCATGATGCAATTCATCGTCAAGCTTGTGCTGACGTCGTTGTTTCGAGGCACGCACGTAGAACATTTGAGGCAATTTTCGCATAGGTATGATCAGGACTACCAGCAGCATTATGAGTAGACAATTTTGAATGGGATCTTTGAGACGCAATTCATTGGTCCGGGGAATTGTCCGGGTGTTGCTGGAGGGTTCCTATACTTTCTCATTATGTATGGTTCAATTCGTTTTCAGTCGTGACTGGCATCACTCATAGTCGCGAATACGGGGAGGGGTTCCGGAAAAAGAGACAACGAAATCGACAAAGTTAGAGGCTGAGTCCCTCCAGCGCTTCCAAAAAGCCCGCAATTGCCCCGGTTCCTAGTAGTCCCTTTGTAGCACCCTCCCGCAGGTTTTGCTTCGTCGTTTTCTCTCTCGAATGCCTCTTCTCATCATCTCGGCCGGTATGACTGCGAGGAGGTGTGCCGTATTGCGACAACCGAGAAGGTGATCTTGCCGGTTTGCCGTCCTGAGAGAGCGGTCTGGGAGGTGGTCCCATTCGGGTTGAAGGTTGTGACATATACCTTGACTGAGGGCTGGGCGGGCCGTATGGCGACGGCTGAGCTTGTGGCTGTCCGACGTAGCGAGGAAACCCCACATGGTGTTGCGGTGGTGCGTAAGGATTTAAAGAGTTGGCGGTATGTATCGGTGGCAGCGGAGATGATTGGCTGTGATGTCCTAGGCTCTGATCCGGAGCTGCCCAGGGTCGATGGCCGGGAGGATGGAAAGCCGGTGACGATAACCTGGACGCTGTCGATTGAGCGGATGTTACCGATGGTGCGCGACCACTGCCTGGTGTCGTCTGGGCTATCATCCAAGGAGGAGGTTGGGCCGGTGCTGTGTACGTGTGAGCGACAGGAGCACCTTCAGAGAATGGTATTTTGCGGCCAGCCGTGGGACTGCCGCTGCTTCGCCGTCTGGGTTTTGGTTGAGCAAGATCGGGTTCCGACGCTGACGATTCTGAGCCCGAGTCGATTATATGGCGTTTCGATCTTCGCTTTTTGGAGCTGGCGCTGCCCGGCGAATCTTCCACATCACTGCTGGCAGCGCTCACACTGGGCTGATAATTCGAGTATTCCTTACGCCTCCGGAACGCCTCATAGCGTGCAGATGCGGAGTTGGGCTTCCGCCAGTCGGTAGTGTTGCCTTCTAAGTAGTAACCACGAGGACTATCTTCTCGCTCTCGATATCGCTCATGGAATGGTCTGTCCTCATCGTCTTCATTGAGATTTTGAACCGACGGTGCAAATCGCCCCCCGACATCACGATTATGTCTTCGTTCACGAACCTCTCGCCAAAGAGTCCATCTTTCGAGGAGAGGGTCAATGGCTTGATTGGACACTCGAATCATGTCCTTGGGAGATCCCTTCATTTGATGGAGGGTCTGGTCCAATTCGCCTAGGGAAAAGACGGGAAGCTTCGCTAGAGCGGTCGAGGGAGCATATTCGGGAGGAGGAACCTCGACTGACACTTGAGAGCTGTCCGTGGCAATCATTGACAAGTGGTCGTCTTGGACTGTTTCGTTGTTAACGATTGCTTGCCTCTCTTCCTCGTCTTCTTTTTGCGACGCCTCGAACAATCGGTCCATTGTGCTCATCTGCCAGTAACGGACGATGACCCCATTCTGTGCCTCGGCACGCTCTTGCTTGATGGCTTCGGTCTTGATGGCGACCTCTTCGGGAAGATCCCTAACAGAATATGTCAGCGATGCCTGCCATCGTTGTGGCATCGATCAAACCTTCGGGAGGTGGATGCCATCAACTTCCCCAGCTGTATGATCTGAAGCATCAAGGATAGGCTCAGCTTCAAGCTCTCGAGTTGCGCTAGGAGATATATGACCCTGTGTTTTTTAAAGCACCATCTGAATCTTTGTTGGATGGTAGGTGACGTTCCTTCCGTAGTGGGCTTGGTGCGCACGCGATCCAGCATATCATTTATTTCATCAAAGACCCTCGTGCTCTCATCTGCCATGGATTTGACGGTTTCGACGGCTTCGCGGGAGTGGACTGAATCTGCGGATTGAAGGACATTGCCGGTTTGTTTCAGCATCAGAGAGAAAAGAGTGACGGTCTTGGAAATACTGTGGACTTCGAGGCCAGCATTGGCGACTTCGCAACTGATGGCATTGAGTATGAGCGACAGCTTGAAGCCTGCTCCAGCAACACCTACGATGGAGGCAATAATACCTGGGGAAATGACGAATCAGCTCGCTCTCTTGTATCTCGTTGCGTTGATTGTCGACTCACCTATTTCCGCCATCTTTGGGCGCGTGTAGGAATCAGCGTCGATTCAAAAGCAAAAAATCACCGCCACGCCACCGGAACAGATGCGAAAATGTGGATTGGTTAGCGAAAGGGAATCATGGAAAGCATGGCGAGCCCCACGATCGCTGTCTGGGAGAGAGGGTACCACGATCGGACACAAGGCTGGCCGTGAGCGCAAGCAGCCATAGGCATCAGGCCATCGCTTGACCGGTTGGGGAAGCGTGGATTTTTCGGTTTTTCACCATTTCAACCACGGTCCAATGATTGTTTTTTGGTGACGAGTGGGCTGAAAAAGTCTGTCATCGGATTGTGCAGGGTGGCAGTGCGGGCACATCATTGGTGGAATGGCGAGGAGAAGGACCACAATTGCGAAAGGCGAAAGAAAATAGCGGTTGATGAGGATGAAGACGGTAGGATCTTAACAATTTGAGCAGCAGATCTTGCAGCGCGGTCAGAACCGAGTCCAGAAATCTCCCATCCCAGGGGAATCTGGCACTCGGGTTGGCCCTTTCTAGGGAACCTCGGACTTTGCGAGTTTGTGCTGTGAGGTGTCGTGTGTACGTAATCACTTCAAGGTTGTGTACAGTTGCATTTCGCATCCGCTGCCGTGCTCACTGACAAGGAGGACCGGACACCGGCAAGTCGGTGCAGCCGCGAATCAGGGTGGCCGCTCGCTTATGGCGTTCTTGAATGGGCGTCGATGAGGTTCACTGGTCTTTTGTAGGCTTGCAGCATCCCTTTCCCTATCCGATGAAGTCGACCGGGGCCTTACTAACTGCGGCGTAGTTGGCCGACCCGAGGACCTGCTGCGCAACCCCTTGACTACGAATTTGACATTATTAGCCACTGATTGCTCAACATTGACAATTCTTCTTGAATCTCAAGAGGCTCTCAAGTATTGGTCCCCAAAACGGGTGCTTCTAGCTAAAGTTCTTGTCGATCTGGAAGTGACCCACCTCTGGATGTCGTTTCGCTCTACTCGCGTGCATCGCCCCGAAGAATGCCAGGGCTTCTAGAACCGCCCCCTCCCTTGCGCAAGCTATTGGCTTATCATTTTTCAACTTCCCGCCTTCACCTACCTTTCTTCAGCTCAACACAGGAACGCCTCAGGTTTCATACCTCGAGAAGGCTTCAGACGGCGTCCCACAGAAACCTTTGACCTCTTCGAAGTCCCTATCGCTAATCACGTTCTCCCGAACGATCGCAGCCTCCGCCGGTGCATTTTCCCTCACTCAAAGCCTGCCCCGAGGCGCCTTCTCACTATGAATTTACGGCCGGAGTGATGGATAAAGGAGAGGGACATGTTTGACAAGATAGCTTGAGATGCAAACGAGGACAACACTGGAAACACCGCAACTATGCGGATCTCAATCCGGGAGCAGCTCGGACTCCTCGTCCTGTTCTGCTCTCTCACATCGCTTATGGTCCTAGCACTGGCAGTGGTATGCTTCATTCAGGCCGTCAAGGTGGACAATACTGACTGCTTTCTCGTGGTGCAGTGGTTCCAAAATTATAATTTCGTCATCAACATGAGGTTGTATGTTCGCATGTTGTGGTGACCAGCCTCACTGACATCCTTTCTAGACTGTCGGGTCTTTCCCTAACGGCTTCGCTGAAGGCGGCCCAATTGTCTAGTACCCTTCTCTTGTACGAGTCGCAGGTCCGATCTGTCTCGACACGAATCGTATTACAAAACGCTCTGGGCAGGTACAATCGAGGTAAACTTTCTGGCGAAATCCGGAGCCCCTCACCCCACATACCACATACCGGCTAACAGTGGCATCCTTAAAGGTAACACTAGTAGCGAGAACTGGGTCCTCAGTCAGAGTGATCTGGAGGGCGCTTTAGCGAATGGATCTCTTTTGGTGCAAGCGACATTATTTCCCAATGCCTTCAACGGGAACACCAGCGCGGTCAATGGGCTGCTCAATGTCACCGCGAGTGGGTTGAGCGGAAGAGTCAAACTGCCGTATGCCTACCCTAATGGCTCTGCTGTTTACCTTGGGGATCCGGGATTAGGGTATCCTCCCACGCTGTATCCCAATCTAACTTACGGACCGCCACTGCCGGGTTACAACTCCTCTTCGGTGTCGTATAACGGCCAAACGATCGACCCCGGCGAGGCATTGATTCTCGGCCCTTTGCCCGTTAATGAAACATATGGTCTCCTATCCCTCACAGTGGCCATGATCAACAACACTTCTCGGTCTGATATCCAAGGCTGGGTGACAATGGTTGTCAATGCAGATATACTGTACAACGTCCAGAACTCCCCTGAGGGACTGGGCAAGACCGGCGAAACCCTCCTTATTGGCCCAGCTACCCCCGACAATCATTACCAGCGGGAGATTCGGGGCTCAACAAAGGATTATGCCCAATCTCAACTTGTTCGATTTGTTCTTCCGCCGCATAGCAATTCCACCCTGCAAGGACGCCACCAAGCTCGAAGTTCCATCACTAATTCAACTACACCATTTCCCATGTCGGAATATCCCGCAGTAGTAGCAGCGTGGACGAAAGACAACAATGCCATCAATAATGCGGGCGCATTCATTTCCACGCGTAATGAAGATGGCACGCGAGTTTCTACGGGATACGCAACCGTGTCCGCAAAATCTGTCGACTGGGTTCTGGTTGTGGAACAGTCACACCAGGAGGTCATTGAACCTATCAACCATCTTCGGGACGTCGTTCTCATTTGCGTCTTCTCTGTGACTGGTCTTCTCCTGGTCATCACGTTTCCCGTGGCACATTATTCAGTCACACCGATCCGTGAACTGCGAGCAGCGACCGCAAAAACCGTGGAACCATATCAACCGGACGATAACAGCGAATATTCGAGTACGATGGGCCCCCTGGCTGGAGGGGAGGAAGAGAGCAGTCCTAACCCGATCGAAGAGGAAACGGCCCGAAAAGAAGGCTTTTTGGGGTTTCTCACCAAGATCGGAATGCCCAAGCAAACTGAGCGGTCCACAACGCCGAGAAGCTTACGTCGCAAGACTTTCAGAATCCCTCGCAAGGTGCCAGAGCGTCGGCATTGGATCACCGACGAGCTGACGGAGCTAACGAGAACGTTCAACGAGATGTCTGACGAGTTGACGATGCAGTATGAGCGCCTGGAAGAACGAGTCAAGGAGCGCACCGCGGAGCTTGAGAAGAGCAAGAAGGCCGCCGAGGCGGCAAACCAGAGCAAGACGCTCTTCATTGCGAACATCTCCCACGAACTCAAGACACCGCTCAACGGCATTCTTGGGCTTACCACGGTTTGCATGAACGAGGATGACCTTGGAAAGATTCGGACCACTCTGAACACGATTTACAAATCTGGCGATCTGCTCCTTCATCTGTTGACCGATCTCCTCACGTTCAGTAAGAACGAAGTTGGTCAGCAGCTTTCAATCGATGAGGCCGAATTTAGATTGAGTGACCTGAGCACGCAGTTGATCCCGACCTTCGAGAAGCAGGCCCGAGAAGCGCAAGTCGACCTCAAGATTTTGTTTCTGGGAACAAATGATGCCTTTGGGGACGCCTCTGACTTCTCGGGCGATAGATTATATGGCCCAGTTGGCACAGGGCGTGTCAGAGATATGTGCCTGTGGGGTGACAAGAATCGAATTTTGCAGGTATATATCGTTCACTCGAATGTGTAGCCAACTTCACTCACTCATGTTAGGTTCTGATGAATTTCGTGAGCAACAGCCTCAAATTTACACCGGCACACGGCTCCGTCACCGTTCGCGTTCGTTGTACTGGACTGGTTGAAGTCTTGCCTAGCCGAGCAGGTAGTGCGCGGAAGTCGTCTCTGAATTCACGAAAGTCGAAGTCGTCTAGCGCGAAGCGGGTGCGGATGTCGGATGGCTCACTTGCCATCCCAGACACGCCCGATAACGAGAAATCCCACTCAAACTCGACCTCTCATGGAGACCCAAAACTCAGCATCAACGTTGCAGGGGGCACCACACACATACGCAAAGTTGTCGAGCGACAGAGGTCGATGTCTCCACCACCTTTAAACACAAAGGATCTCAGCTTTGAGTTTGAAGTGGAAGACACTGGTCCTGGAATTCCACCTGACCAGCAAAAAAAGATCTTCGAACCATTTGTCCAAGGCGATCTCGGTTTAAGCAAGAAATATGGCGGAACTGGTCTCGGCCTGAGTATTTGCGCCCAACTCGCAGCTCTCATGGGAGGTGACATATCTCTGGACAGCACGGTGGGAGTAGGCAGCAAATTTACCATGAGAATACCCCTTCGTTACGTTGCGGAACGAAGTCCGTCAATGACATCCTCCATGCACAAATCGCACTCCAAAGCAAGCAGTGTCGTGGAACAGACATTTCATGATCCTGGTGATTCGTCGATGCTCAACCATACCGATTCCACGGCGTCTTTAGGTTCAATGCGCGATGATAGGCTGGGACAAGCTAAATTGGCAGATATTCCCCGGATCGTTGGTTTTACGCAGCCTTACGTGGCGAAGGAGGCCAAAAGCAGCAATTCTTCGGAAGCCAAACTCAACGAGATGAAGAAAGTCGAAAGTGAAGCTGCGCAGAAGGGCAGGAAAGTGCGAGTTCTGGTGGCGGAAGACAACAAAGTGAATCAGGAAGTCGTCCTCCGGATGTTACGATTGGAGGACGTTTATGGTGAGTTTGACCAGTAAAGTTTTCCAATGGAGTTTCTAACGAGTCCAGATGTCACCATTGCAAAAGACGGACAGGAAGCATTCGAAAAGGTTCGGGAGTCGATGTTTAGCGGTGAACGGTTTGATCTTGTGTTTATGGATGTTCAAATGCCCAATCTGGACGGAATTCAATCGACAAGACTCATCCGGGGAATGGGCTTCTCCGCGCCCATAGTAGCCCTCACAGCATTTGCGGAAAAGTCCAACGAGGATGAATGTATGGCATCGGGAATGGATTATTTCCTAGCGAAACCAATTCGACGACCGGCTCTTAAACAGGTTCTAAAAAAGTACTGCGCAACCATCCCAGAAGAGGAAAATGAGGGAAGCTCCGCTGCCGCGGATTCTTCAAAGGAAAATTCAGGGTCACAACGGCCAAATGGCTGCCCGCCGCCGTTGGCTCCAGAGTCGAAAGATCCGGTTGTGGAGGCAAACGACTCCACTAAAGCCTCTCCCCTATCATAAACATACCCCAATACCCTAAAATATCGTTTTCGGGAGATCGAGGACAAAAGCATTATTGCGGATGGATGTGGCGAGAGAACCCAGATGTCTCTCCATTATCCAAAAAATGACTTTGAAAGGGTTGGGAAGCATTATTTGTCTGCGCTCTGTCATCTTCAGTCACGCAGGCGCTTGAAAAGGATTTCAAAAATTGGGGGGGCCTAAAGGTGCTTTGTACGAGGACAGCGACGGCGCGAGGCGTAATATTTTCTTTTCGACGGGGAGTTCACGTCGATTCAGGTGTTGTCAATTGGTAAGGCAGTGTCAGGGTTCAGGGTTAGGAAAAGAATCGCGACGATCAAAGGGTGTTGCTGACGCAACGACTGGGAGCTTATGATACAGGAGAGGAAAGAAGAATTGGTCATGGGCTTGCATCCTGTACCGATGAGGGTCAAGGAAATATGCATTGATCTGATTAAAGGCAGCAGTAGTAGCGCATTGCAACAAACAGGATGTCACCACCATATATGAATCTTTGATTTTGATCATGTACTCATCGGTGAGATCGTCTGGGGATCTGGTATGACATAACCCACTGTCCTCTTGATCCATGGACTGCGACCACACTCCTAGTATAGAGAGAGCTTCCTATTCCCTCCCTGCTCTCTCATTCCTTTCCCTCGGTCAACTCACGCCTCGCGCCCTTATTGTGCCATCTTCCATGAATGCTGAGCTGTATTCATCTTCGACGACCGATGTCCACCCCTGAACAATTCACAGCTTTCTTCCATACGTCTCTCAAGAGCAAAGGAGGCCAAAGAAACCACTAGCAGGCCATTCGACCCCCGATCAATATCAAGATTCGCAACTGAGACGACGAACGCCTGGGTCAACGACTACAGTGCCGGCGAGATTGAGCATCCAATCAAGACTTTGGAGAATGCTATCAAAGAGACGCAGTCAGACCGGGACGCTATCCAAGCGGGAAACTCTGTGGTACATTGGCTCAAGTGTGATACACGTACCATGGACAACATGGAGCTCCATCTGGTGAGCGAGAGAGCAGCTAAGCTCGGATTACCGCTGATCTGTCTGTATTGGTCTCGCTGCAAGACTTTGCAGTTCATTTGACCATCCCTGGCCAAGTGCACATCATCCTCCGCAATTTATAAGCCTGTCGTCAAGAGGAGGAATTTGCTCAAAAGACTGATGGAGCTCTGTGCTGGCCTGGACAAGGAAATCTCGTTCAACGCTGTCCATGGCACATGCGTCATCGAACCTGGCGAATTGACGAGCGGTTCGGGCAGGCAAATCTTGGTATACAGCCCGTGGCATCAAGACTCTAGATGCTTTCCCCCTACTCACTACGAATCCGGCCAACGTACGGGACAAAATATCCCGAACTCTTCAGCTATGAGGTTGTTGAAACACCTGCCTCGAAAAACTTGTCTGAAGAGGAGGAAAAATTCCACAGTATGTGGCCATCTCGAGGACATACAGCTTATAACCAACTCAAGAAATTCCTCCTTGAAACAATCAGCAAATACGACAATACGAGAAAACAAACTCCTCGGCCAATGGCACGACTGCGTGGGACGCTGTCGGCGCAGAGAGTTGTTCGAGAAGCTGGCGAGGCTGTGCCTCAAAAGAAACTAACCGATGACCGCAAACAAGGGACACTCCATGTGGATTTGGGGGAGTGGCATGGCGAGACATTTACAAACATGTGCTCTGCCATTGGCCATATGTTAGCTGACCGCATTTTCAGCATAAAGAAACCCATTCAAGCCAGAATGCTGTAATATTGAATGGAGCATGACTTGGACCGATTCCGGAAGTGCAGAGGCCACGACATGTCTTCCAATTGTTAACGCGGGCCATGCGTCAAGTAGGATACACAGGATCCGTACACAACTGATCTCGCATAAGTATGGTCTCATTTTCTAACCAAGGACCTCACGATTGATTGGCGGAAGGGGGAACCACGGTGGGGTTGGAGTTCAGGGCCAGCTGCGGTGTCGACCCATGGCCATACTTTTGCATTTTTCAATCCCTTGCTTCAAAGCAAGAAATTCGATCCGCAGGCGCGGTTACATCTGCAAATGGGTCCCGAGCTGGGGAGTTTCTTGGGCTCCGTCGCGATACAAAGCAAGTTCTAGGGAGAAGTTACGTCATGACAAGGGAGTTGCCCGGGTACATATCGAGAGATAGAGAACAAATTTTGTAATCAGAGATTGGGATGACGAATCCTGACCCTTGCCTCGGTGTGGAAAAAGAAGAGCTAAGGGGCTTGAATTCAACCAAGCCTGAGCGCCGCAAAAGCTTAATCCGTGGAAGGTTGTCTCAGGTGATGCCGGGAGCAGGGCTGGCTGGAAAATAAATTATGGGTGACTCAGAGCCCAACCGTAAAGGTATGTCGAGTGTGATCAGAACCTCCGTATGATGGAGATGGTAGCTCGGGACAGAGTTTCAGCAGTACGCGGACTCTCTAACATATGTAGCCTGCGGAGTTCTTTATCAGCTAGAATGGGGCACGCGACAGCGGTCTTACGTGGCCGCCCGTTAGCCTCGTTATTAAGGAACCTCTCGAATTTGGTACAGTACGTACTCACGAGCCAGAAGCTGGGCTACATACTACTTACGCTCCGAATCCCCTACCACCCAGTCGGACGCGTATGCTTGGAACAGGACCGAGGAGTCTCTTCAAAGGTCTAGCCGGTTTAAACGTAGGGAGTTGGTACCTTGTACACACGAGGTTGTGAGTATCCTCTACTCACTGAGTCCAACTCGCCCCCAAATCTCCACCCACGCCGCCGCCGCTGGAGGCTGAGAACTTTTCTCGCTGCGTTGTTGGAACCAGCATCGATTACGAATGCCTCTCTGGTCTCTTGAACTATTTTGCTAAAATTATCTACCCATGATATAGCGGAGTCTGGCCAAACTTTTCCTTGCGAAATGAGCACACGACCACCTTCCTTTCCCGCAATTGAATCAACATCCTCCTCCAATTTTGGAAACCTCACCCAAACTCGATTCCTGGCTAGTGGAGGACACTTCAACTTGTAATTGAACTTTGCACCGCGACCTTCTTCCCACAGAAATGCCCTCCCCGATTCACGAGCCATGATTCCTCGCGCCGCGGCAAGACTTTGCCTGGCCATCCTCCTCGTTCTTCCGGTATGCCAACATACAGCTCTGGTCCGAGGCGACGCCGATTTTCTCGATGTACGGACCAATCTAGAGAAAGACCGGAGTGGAAAAGGTGGAGACCCAAAAGACAAATACTTCCATGAGTCGACTTTCCATCCTCACTATGACGGCCGCTTTGCCGCCAACCAGCTGGGCAAAGAAGACCGACTCCCCCATCTCACCGCTCTCATGCAGACTTTTCTGGCGACTATGGCGGACATTGGTGCAGAAACCTGGATCATGCATGGCACATTGCTTGGATGGTGGTGGAACCAGAAGATCTTGCCCTGGGATTCGGACATTGATGTCCAGGTGTCCGAACCTACAATTGCTTTTCTGGCCAAATATTACAACATGACCGAATATCACTTCAAGCTACCCGGAGTCAAGAACGGCAGGACATATTTAATGGAGATCAACCCCCATTTTACCATTCGAGATGTGGAGGATAAGTTGAATGTAATTGATGCAAGATGGATTGATACCCAGACGGGCCTGTTCATCGACATATCCACTGTTCGAGCCAATGATACCGCCAGAGCAGAAGGAATTCAAGGCGCGCTCATGTGCAAAGACAAGCATAAATACTTGGTACGTCTCTGTGGAAAACCTTTCGGTGGATGCCGATGCTCATCCCATAAACAGGAACAAGACATTTTCCCCCTCCGAGATTCTTTCTTTGAGGGGATCCATGTCAAGATACCATTTGAATATGCGTCTCTTCTAGAGGAAGAGTATGGAAGGAAGGCACTTACCTTGACCACATATGAACGGTACGTCGTGGTTACACGGACTGACGGTCCTTCGCTGATTTCCCTTTCTAGCCATAAATTCAATCAGACAAGCAAATTATGGGAACCGATCCAAGATACAGCATCACCTCGGCCGGCGCGACCCATGCGAAGGCCGCCCATGCCTGAGCATGCCTAGCTCATGACATGATGAACTCACAGTTTGGTTGCCCCAAAATTCTTTATTCTCTCCAGCATAGCGATGGTGTTGGATATTCGGAACCTGCCCGGTGTATTTGGGGAATTGTACCCGCCTTTGGGACACTACTCACGTGTGATTCATGGCATTCGGTGGGGGACTGTATTTTTAGGGGGGCCTTCGTATCCACCAGACTCGGCTTCTCGGCTCCAATGAAGACGAAAGGGGACCTCACCGGTGACCCAACACCAATCCGATTGCTGGCAACCCTGGCCGAATGTGCAGGCATTCTCCAACCATCAACCCCTCTTTTCATCTCTTTTTTTTTTTGTCTCTACACGCCCGCCACTACAAACGAGCCTGTTCTAGTGGAACCCGGGCAAACTGCGCCTTTTGATGGCTACAAGTGCAATGTCCCTATAGCACGGTGGACACACTTCCTCTCGCCCTCGTCTTCTCTTCTTTCCTTTCTTCGGTGACACGCAGATTTATTTTCCATGGCTCCACGGCGTCGCTCTCAGTCCTCAAGCCATGGTCAAAGAAGCGAAACGGGCACTTCCGTTGCCCAAGCAGCAACTGTTGATTCTCGCAGTATGCCGCTTCGCAGAGCCCGTTGCAATGACTTCGGTCTATCCGTACATTGTGCGTCCCTTCTAACGTCCCACAAATTCCCATTCACCGTGCCGCTGACTAGATCAAGCCTGAGATGATTCAATCCTTCGACGTCCGAGACGACAGTGTTGCCAAATGGGCGGGCCTCATGTCGGCCGTCTTCTCGTTTTCGCAATGTTTGACCGGAATCGCTTGGGGTAGGGCTTCCGATCGCTTCGGCCGCAAACCCATCATCCTCCTCGCTTTGATCTGTACCATGATCTCCAGTATCCTGTTTGGATTTTCCAAAAATTTGGTCTGGGCTTTCCTCACAAGATCAATGCAAGGTCTGTCGAATGGAAATGTTGGGATTATCAGGACAGCGGTCGCGGAACTTGTTCCACAGAAGGAATTACAGCCTCGAGCGTTTAGTATAATGCCCTTGGTTTGGAACATCGGAAGTATATTCGGGCCCTCATTCGGTGGCTCCCTCGTCCATCCTGTCGACCGATATCCCGAGGTTTTTGGGAAATTCAAATTGCTCCAGGAATATCCTTTTGCCCTGCCGAATCTGCTCATCAGCATCCTTTTCCTATGTGGCATCTCTGCCGGCACCCTCTTTCTGCACGAAACCCTGGAGGAGAAGAAAAATCGCCGAGACTATGGGCTCCTGGTGGGCCAAATCCTCACCAGCCCTTGTTCGCGCAGCACACGCTCACGCGCCAGGTCGTGGTCGAATGCTGACGAGACAGACCCGTTCCTTTCCGGAACATCTAGCGAAATGTCGACGCCAGCCTCAACTCCCGTCATCAAGCTATCCAAGAAGGACCCAGGCTGGAAAGAGGTATTTTCCCGACAGTCCAACATCAACCTCGTCGTTTACACGTTCCTGGCCATGCATTCGGTGGCCTACGACCAACTTCTACCGATTTTCATGCATTATCCGGTGCAATCTCTCCGAGATCCTCACGTCCACCTGCCATTTAAATTCGCCGGTGGGTTTGGAATCGATTCGAACAGGATCGGCTTACTTTTCACCGTCTACGGCATTTTTGGCATGCTCATCCAGTTTTTCGTTTTCCCGACCTTTGCGCGGAAGTATGGCGTTTTGAATTGTCTCAAGGCCTGTGTTTTGACTTTCCCCCTGGTTTACATTGCGACGCCTTTTACGGCGTTGTTACCGTCGGATTCAAGCAGGCAAGGAGTGGTGATGGTCTTGATGTTGGTGAAAGGGTTTTGTGGCATTTTTGCATTCCCATGCTCGACTATACTTCTCACGAACAGTGCGGCGAGCCTCAAAATCTTGGGAACCTTGAACGGCGTCGCGACGAGTATCTCCGCTCTAGGTAGAGCTGCGGGGCCGGCTTTGGCTGGCGCCACATTTACCGGCGGCGTGGAAGCTGGCTACGTTGTGATTTCCTGGTGGACTTTGGCTCTGGTCGCTCTCATTGGCGCCGTGCCAGTGTGGTCTTTGATCGAGATGGAGGGTTTTGGAGGTGACCAGGATGATGACGACGAGGAAAACGAGGACGATGAGGACGGTAACGCAAAAGTGTCGGCCACTGGTCCCACGGCGGCTCAATCGAGGAAACATTCCGCACCTGAACCGGTCGAGGACGTCTTCATGGACGATGACACTCTGCCCGACACCGACTACTTGACTCCAACCGTATCGAGAACTCCTTCTCGTCGTCACAGTGTTCATCTTCAGCGCGTTGCGAGTCCCATTGGATTCGGTCCAGGCGTCGTTCCTCTCGGAGCTAGAAGATACAGCAGTGACCTGGGGGCCACCCGGAGTGGTCTGGGTGTTGGAGGCACGAGTTACTATTGAAGGAAGCCTCAGTGGTTGCAGACACCCGACACGATATCCCAGGATGGACACACGCATTAGATATACGTACAGAAAGGCAATCAGGACCAATGAAAAGTTCGAAAACTCTACTTGCCATCGGTTTCTAAGCCCAACGCATAGTGATACTCATGCACGAGCCGCTGGATTCTCAAACGCCAGCCTGATACCCGATCTGACTTCGCTTACGATATCAGCCGCCGTCGTGACTGTGTTCACCAAACCGACGCCCGCACCAGCCCAGACGTTTGCACGATTCGTAGACCCGAACCCTTGGTCTGCTCCCTTGACGGCTTCGTTGTGTTTTTCTCGAATCTCTTCGATAGCCACGCCTTGCACGTGCTCCATGTAGCTCTTGGTCACTAGACTGCGTCCGTCGTACTCTTCCGGCCAGATGTTAGGGCCCTTGACGTTGTCGAACAATTTGCTCCGTACCGTGCTCATTCCTCCGTCTCGTGCTGCGAGAACTAAGTCCCGATATCCCGGCGGCACGGCCGTTTCCTTCGCGGCGAGGAACCTGGTCCCCATCACCGCGCCTTTCGCGCCGAGGGCAAATGCCGCTGCGGCACCGCGCCCATCGGCGATACCACCCGATGCAAGAAGGGGGATATCGCCGTATCCGTTCGCCGCCAGCGTGTCAATCGCCTCGGGAATCAGCGAGACGATACTGGCACCATTCTCGAAGCCGTGCCCGCCGGCATCCGAACCTTGCAGGACCAACGCGTCCGGCTTCGTCGACTTCGCTATCTCGAGCGCCGCACTCACGCTGCCCACCTGCACCCAGATACGGGTGTCAGGGCAGACCTTTCGACTCTGCTCAGCCCAGGCGGCGTAATCGTTTCGCTCTTTGGCCGCGAACAGCCAGATCACGGCCGGCGGGTTCTGGGCCAGATGCGGCAGCATGTCATCAATGTTGGTGATGAATGGTAGCATTCCTATGCCGATGGGAAGTGTTTTACTGCTGCTTGTGTCGAGGGTTTTGCTGGTTTGGAGCAACTCCACGGCGGCGGAGAGCTCTTGCTTCAGCGTCCCTGGTGTGATGGTGCCGATGAAGCCGAGACCACCTGCTTCGCTGACGGCGACGGCGAGCTGGGCACCGGCGAAGCCTCCCATCGGTGCGTTAGCGATGAGGGGAGCGGTTGTCCAGGGAAGCTGAGTCAGGAGAGAGGGAGGCATGGCTGATAGTGGGCTAGATGTGTTGGGTCTTTTTGGATGACTCTTCTTCAGAGAGGTCGGGTGTGTTGTGAATGCTGAGAAAAGGAACAACCTTGCTCTCAAACACCTCGGACCCAAGGGAAAAATGGAAGTTTATACTCCTTAGCTCAGCTCAGCTTAGCATTTTTGGTCCTTTCTTATTTGATGCCTTGACTTTTCGAGTTTGCTGCAGCATTGTAAGGTGAAGGATTCGGACGCTCGAATCTCACTACACAAGGTATGAACCATGTTCGGATTAGCCCACGGGAAACTTAAAATGAAATAATGAGAGGAAATACCAACAACTTATGAAATCCATAGGTCCCGCGGAGAAGAGAACGAGCTCACGCGATTGTCAGGAACTCCCCCCTTTGGGCCTTTAGCTGACCGCGTTTACCTCTTCTTGATATGACATCGTGCTTACTTGGATTAGATCATGCCCGACATACCCTGTTTTAGGCATCCCGCTCGTGACGGAACTTGGCCAGTTATATTTGCTCGGTTGTGATCTCTCAATCTGGACATGTCGTTTTCGCGGAGGGCCGGCGGCGAAGAATGTTTATGAATGGTGGTATGGTTCAAGTTTGGGCCCATAGCATGGGAGATGGCATTACTGTCACACTCTGGTGTTGATTAGTTCTACGAAGGTGGAACGAATGAAGGCGACGCCACCGTTGCGGTTCATGCCGTGCATGAACAATTAATGGGCTAACAACTTTGTGGCAGCATGCAACCTCTCCTCAATAATACTTGCCCACCGTTGAGCATTCGTCAAGTTCTTGTCCTCGAAACTCTCCACCAGGCCCGGATACGTTGCCCCAGCGTACCCGGTCCATCGACCCGGAGCGAAAACCACATGCTTGAACCAAGGCCGGCCGTCTAGACCGCCAGGGAAGAGGAACCGTCGCTCCACGGCTTTGTACTTTTCATTCGCCTTGCGAACCTCATACCAGAGGCGTACCTTCTTCCACCATTGCCACCAAGGCAAGTCCTCTTTCAGGCGTTCTGTCAAATCAGTCGTATACTCGTCAAAACGGGTGGCGACTTTGCGGAGTTTGGTCGTGGCTCTGTCAAGAGCGTGGAAGTTGAAACTCGACTTGCTGAAATACTCCTTCGATATTTCCTTGACCTCATCCAGATACGTTTCGAGATCCTTTGCATAGTCTGCAGCGCTCAAGGACAGAACCGGCGTCTCACACAGCCGGGCTGCCAGAAGGGCCCAAACCTTGCTGATGGCTACGTGATAGTGCCACCCTTTGTCGCCGAACATATCCATCCAGCGAAAACTGTCGTAGTTAGAATGATAATGGTAGACCGCGTCATTGGGGCCATTCCCGAAACCGAGGTCTAGCGAGGGGATTCCCGCAAAATCCTGAAAAGCTGTAAAATCGCTTCCCGAGCCCATGGTTCGAATTCGACCATCCCAGACGTCGCCCACAGATTGTCCTTGAGTGGTCTGATTTGGTGAGGGCACCAAGTGAGTGACTTCGCCGATGAGTTTGTTCAGGAGCGGAGCGGCGGCGGCCTCAAAGCGTTTGCCACGGGTCCCAACGTCCACGTTCAAATAAGCCACGGCACTGGCAGACAACCAGGGGAGATACTCCTCTACCCATTCGGTCGATCCTAGGAGGCCATACTCTTCGCCATCCCAGCTGGCAAAAACGATGGTTCTCAGAGGCTTCCAGCCTGCCTTGAGGGCTTCGCCGAAGGAGCGAATCACTTCATTCATGGCGGCAGAACCGGAGTTAGGATCGCCGGCGCCTCCAGCAATCCACGCATCTCGATGATTGCCCAAGACCACCACCTCATCAGGGATGGTGCCATTGATCATCCCAATTACATTCCACAATGGAGTGGTGACGTAATCTTGCTCGTTTATCAGATTGAGCACCACATCATCTGGCGAGGGACCAATGTTGTAGTCCACGCCCTTGTAACCAAGACCTCCGCGCCAGTCGTCGTTGAAGTCGCTCGCGTTGAGCCCATGCCCATTCAACGCCCTGAGTAAGGGAAGTGCGTCCACGTACGAAATGGGAAGGGACGGTATTTGGGGAGTTGAGCCGTGTGGATCGACACGGGGAACCCCGGGTTTGGAAGGATAACCTGGCGTAGTCGGATCACCGGGGAGGACGCCTGCAACGCCTATTAGAGTTAGTCGGCTTCGTGATAAAACTGGACTTACTGAGAAACTGCGTACTCCCTCTTTGCACACTGCTTGGGTTCCGCGCAGGTCCATCCGGGTACGTTTGGTAGCCATTTTCTTCTGTCATTTCGCCGTCTTCTTTTGGATCGGTGTAGATGACCATTCCGACCATACCCAACTCCTGCGCCCGCTTGACTTTAAGTCCTCGAAAGATGCCACCATATCTCGCCAGTGCAATCTTGCCTTTCAGACTCACATTTGCTGCCTGTAAATCTTCAAAGTCCTGAAATGTCCCAAGGTTGACGTAGACATAGGGTGCCGTGACATTACCACTAGCGGAATAGCCATGAAAAGTCGGAATGCGATCCGTCAGAGACGTAGTCGGGTCATCTTCAATCGTGTCTTCTTCCAGACTGCACTCGAACTTCACTGTGTCTCCCTTCAGCAAGGCCAATCGATGTGACACTGGATAGTTGAGATATATGTCATAGGCGACAATTTCCGACTTGACCCCAAACTCCTCCCATCTTTCTCGCGTCCATATCGCTTGACTCAAATTCTTGCCGGCAAGATGAGACCCGGCGGTATAGTATTCGCTCCATGATCGTACCTTGTCCTCATCCGGGGTGGCGGACAATATCTCTTGAAGCTCTTCGAAGCTTATGCCCGTGCTTTGGGGCCATGACTTTGGAAATGGTCGTGACCAGGGTAGATAGGACGATACAGGATCATGACCACGAGGGAGAATGGCGATGGGCAGGAGGAAGCAGATTACTATGGCGATGAGAGTACTTCCAAGAGCGATCGAGCAGAACCGGCGCAAGGTACTGTGGCGATATCTTGGGCGTCGTCGACTTACGGCAACAGGTGTGATGAGAGGGGTGTGTTCATCCATGGCCAGTTCATTCTCATCAACACATAGAAAGAGAAATATGCGCCAGGGCAACCTGTGCCTAGCCTTTTTGAATATGATTGACTGGCGCAAGTAAAAGAGAGAGACAATACACGGCCTCGACAGCCCCCCTCGCTAATTTAGGAAAGTTGGCCGATGGTCGCCTCCTGGGTCCGGGCGATTTATCAATCCTTCTCAACCATAATACTCCTTGGATCCAAAGGCTGCTAGATTCTAAAATGTTTAGCTTGCCTGAGACTGTGCCCAGAAGCCGACGATTGATGATGGTCCTCAATTGGAGTTCGCACGAATCTGTCACGGATTGGGTCCATGCCGGCTCCGCAGAGTGATACCACCGTCCTCCAGACACATGGCTTTCCTCTCAACCTTTCAACTATGCATGCCCTCCCCTCGAGAGAACTCCTGCATCTGTCCCTTATCAGCAAGAGCTGGTAGCCAGGAAACAGGTTTGCTAACATACAGTACATCCCGCAGTTGCCACAGAATGAGTACGTCCACGTCATCTCGCTATCCTGAACGGTAGCGTATGTTTTGGGGGTTCCTATTGTGAACTTGAAATTTCCATCTGGCATCAGGATGTTCGTGGTGAGGACACCACCAGTAAGGTGCCGGTAGATCATGTAATGGCAGATGGCCTGCAGTCGAATATGAGTCAAGATCTTGCTCGAGTGGGAAATCATACCTTTATGACGGGCTCTCCGATGTACTCGTACTGGAGTTGACCACAAAGGCGCCCTCCAGTCGGCATGGTGTGAGCTGTTGTGTGGGGTACATCTTGATGGATGAAAAGATGGTTCGAAAGTGGTGAAATCGCTTCGCTGAAGAATAACTTTTTATTCATATCTCCAGATTGTCTGACAGGAACTACAGTACAACACCACTGCTAGCCCTCCTCCTGTTTGACGCCGAATACGAGGCCATTGAATGGAGGAGGCCATACCCTATCAACGTGGACACTTACATCTATTGCCAATTAAGAAGGAGCCCGAGTCACCCCGTTGCATGAAATCACCTCAGTATCCGAAAGGCGTACTCAGTTTTCTCAGTGAGCACTTCGACCTTCAAACGTCGTCGACCATTCCTGGACCTTTCTTTGAATGCCACATCGATCCGACTTTACAGTTACACTCTATGCTTGGGAATTAGGAGGTCAATCCCAGAAGTTCTCACTTCTCCCGGATGATGCATTTGGTCTGGAATCAGCAAAGATCCTGCAATACCGACACCCAATAAGCACTTGATCATACGGCTGAGCAAAGACCATTCGATCTTCCCTCGGCCTCCTATCTATCTTGAAGGCAAGGCTTCCATACGGACCGCCACATGACGTCTACTAGGCCTGCTTATCTCCGTTTTGATATACCGATTTTCAGGAATGCTGGAGTCTTGGACATTCATTGGGTGCAAAGGTTATTCAATTCGAAAAGGATGTTGACCATAACTCCTTGGGAATCTCGACACACAAGAAGTCTAATCCTCAAACCCGTCTGGAATTTACTATGAGGGTTCTTCCATCGTGGATAACACTCTGCGAGTAGTCAGTTCCGGGTCTAACGGGGACGTGAAATATCTTGAAGACGCCACAGTCGGGAGTCTCACCGATTCCTTGATGCGGCTAGAAAGAAAAATATTTTCTGGGACAAGTCATAAGAGACGGACGGTGGCACTCCTTGAACCTCGACCACGGGCTAGATCCGAAGCGTGCCATTGCCCTAGAAAGAATAATTCGAGGTCAGCACTGCCATCAGTAGATCTGTGAGCAAAATCGTGTTCAGAACAGGTCCCATCCACCTACATTTCTACAACCTTAAATAAAAATGCACAGGCCCTTGGTGAGATGAGACTTCCTTTTTGGGGGCCTCAAAGAGTGGAGACATTTTGAGAGTCTTCGTCTTCCATATATCTCCACATGGCAACTTGGAGGAGAGCCTCTTTTCAACTCGGCTCTTCCCAAGTTCTCATCTCCCTCTACGAGCGAAGATGTCTTTTCGCAATTCCAAGGCGAGATCAATCGACGCCGGATCGCCCGGCGGGAGGAGCTGAGACATGTACAGGCCACAAGTGCCTGCCGCGGGATCAATCCACTAAACAGTGTCAGTTCAAGATGAATATCAAAGGAGAGCATGACTTACCCAGAAAAGGTTCGGAAGACCACCCCATGTCATCGTACCCTTTTTACAAATCCCATCCACGTCCTTCATGTTCAGACATCCTCCGAGACCAAAATTCCATGATTCACTTTCCACACCTGATCTGAACAAAGGACCGACATCCGGCATGGTCACCGTGGCCTTCAAATGCTGACTGTCAGCAAGCTGAGGCGTAAACATCATTTGTACCGTTTCGGGCCTGAGCAGGGCTCCATCGTTCTTGAGCAGTGAAATCAGCACCTTCACATAATCGCTCGCGCAACTGTACAGGCCACCACCTCCCAGATCATCCTTGGGATTCTGAGCAGGATAGGGGGTTGCAACAACAAAGTCTCCCGTCGGAGTTTTGGCTGTTGTCGCACACAATCAGTTGCGCACGTTCTCATTTTCGGATTGACGAAAGGCCGTAGAAGGCATGTCGAGTGGCTCCCAAATGTGCTTCTTCATATACTCGCCCAGACGGATTCCTCCATTGACTCTTTCAACCATCTGTCCAGCCCAATCGATGGCGCAGCTATAACTCCAGCCTTCTCCCGGCTCAAATAAGAGAGGCAGCGTGTACTGCTTTGCCTAGGCTACGTCAACAGGGCATCCTCCCAAATTCGGGGTTGAATCTCACTTACAATATCTCCATCCACGGGACCCATTTTCTCCCCACGAAGCTCTCGCCATTGTTTGAGTTTGGGCGAGATAAAGTCATACCCCATGCCACTCGAATGCGTCAACAGGTGACGCAGAGTGATTTTGTTCTTCGCCTTGACCATCTGCGGCTGCCCAGTCTTTTCGTCAAACCCCGTCAAAATCTCTGGTTCCTTCCACTCGGGGAGAATAGAGGAGACATCGTCATCTAAGGTCAATTGACCTTTTTCCACACATTGCAACACCGCAACGGTGGTAAGGAGCTTCGTGCACGAAGCAATCCAAAAAGTCGTGTCCTTTGCCATGGGTTTAGCCAGCTCCGGTGCAACAGATGTGACCCCTTGAGCCTCAAAATGGATAATGTTTCCTGTTATTCTGTAAGACTACCGACAAAGATTATAGTCGTTGACAGATTGATTACCGGATGCATCGGCCGCTATGACAACTGCTCCGGGGACCTTTCGATTTGGGCCTGGCTTGGTAGCTGCTTCGAGTATTTCGGTGAAAGTCATCTCGAGTTTGGTTGGCTTCTAGCGAAAATAGAAGAGAGCTATCGAATGGTTCTTGGTTTGCTTGTTGAGGCCGCTGGAGTATAGCGTGTGCTAATTCGGATACAGTTTTCTGACTCAGGCGCAAATCGCACGGCGACACCACGAAGGGGTTTAATTGTGAATATGTCGGGTGGACCGCAAACGCGACTCTCACACTTGTATGCTTTTACGATCGTCAACAGATTTTCATTTATATATTTGATATTGCCTCGCCTGAGCACGAAGACTATCCTTTGTTCTACCCCCCTTTCGTTTCATCCCGAACTACGGACCTTGTCGTACCTGTGGCTTATATAAGGCCCCTCGGCCCAACCACATGGTTTGGGGCAACTTAATCGTCGTACTTACGTCCGTAAGTGGCCATGCTTACCTACAAATGCAGGAGTCAAACAAATTGGCGACACGGCCAAAGGTATACAGACATGGATATTGATACTAAAGCTCTCGGAACCGAGATCCTTCAGCAACCTCCTGGCGGTCCTCCATTGTTAGTTGACGAGAAAACGATTGATCAGCATGACTATCAACAATTCTGATGCATATCTGTGACCACTCCAGCCATGGGATTTCTGACTTCATTCCCAAGGGGACAAAGAGCCTGGAATGTCGATCAGATCATCCACCCTGACGGGTTGGCCGGTGTTAATCGACTTATTGGCCGCAATACCCGTCATAATAGACAGGGCACCATCAACATGAGATGCTGCACGATGGTATTTGTCTTCCACCGGCGTCCCAAAAACGTCCTTCAGCAATTGAGGGTCTCCTCCTCCGTGTCCACCCGGACTGGCAGGAATATCGATCTCGGTGGGCTTACCGAACATGGGGCGCAACAGAATTGAACGGGTCTCGAGTGCACCCTCCAGACTTTGCTCATCACCCGAATTGATGTAAGACCTTTCTACAACTTCAAGCTCAAGACGTCCTCTGGTTCCGGTGAATGCCACCCGAAACCCCTCTACCGGTGAATACGCGGTCAGGGAATAAGTGAGGATTGCTCCCGACCGATATCTAACCAGAACTCCCATGGTGTCCTCGATGCTGATGCCATCTCCAAAAACACTCTGATCTCGATAATAACCGTCTTCCTTTTCCGCCTCCAAATACATGGCTTTCAGTTGGGGGTTTCTGTCCATGTGCAAGGCGAATGGATCATCCTTTGCATGCTCACTGCCGTGTGCTCGAGTGTAAAACCCAGTCATCCCTCTCATCTCGGCATTTTCCCGACCGTAAAACCTTAAGTCACCCATGGCAACCACTGTTTCTGGTCTGCTTTGAAGCCAGAAATTCACCAAGTCGAAATGGTGAGTGGATTTGTGAACCAGGAGGCCTCCACTGTTTCGCTTGTCTCGATGCCAGCGGCGGAAATAGTCTGCGCCGTGAGAGGTGTTCAACATCCATTCAAAATGAATTGCATTTACCATTCCAATGGCTCCCGAGGAGATCAACTCAAACACTTTGGTGTTATGAGGTGCATAACGATAGTTGAAGGTGACGCGAAGCTCTCGGCCGGTGCGCTCAATGGCCTTGACAATCTCCTTACATCTCGGAGCGTCGATTGTCATGGGCTTTTCGGTCACAACGTTGCAGCCCAGCTCCATGGCTCGGACAATATAGATATTGTGGGTCCTGTCGATGGATGTGACGATGACTTCGTCTGGCCGTGTTTCTTTGATCATCCGATCAAAATCGGCGGCCTTGTATGTGGGGACAGCTGGGTGTCCCATTGCCCGGATTTTGAAGTTGGCATAATCCATTCTCGTCTGATTGGTATCACAGAAAGCAACCAGCTCGGTGGTGTCTCTGAAATCTTTCGCCATAGCCGAGTAAAAGAAGCCAGAGCGGCCACCCGTGCCCACAATGGCATACTTTTTACGCATCATCGCGCCCGTTGTCGTCGTATTGGGGGAAAGATGTCTGGAAAATGCCGTGAGTCTATATCAACGATTGGCTTTGATGTATAATGACTTGGCACTCCCTGTTTGAAGTTGAGTTTCTCTCCACATACATGCTGCTTTTCTGGACCCCAATGAATCGGTCCGATGTCCGCTTGACAGAGCCTCGCAGAAGAGAAACAATACGATGCCAACACCGCTTCGGCAACAATTACACCTTTGGAGATCTTTACTCGGGAGGACTCAACGCCGAAGAACCAGGGGGCCACAGTCGCCCAGAAGGTTGGGAGACCTCCCCACGTCTGTGACAAGTATGCCGGCAGATGGTCCTTGAAAACTATATTTCTCTTTTCTGGGGGCCCCGCGTTCTCCCACTTGGGATGCGCCTCCAAGATCCTGTTTTGGAACGGGGTCACCATTTCGCTGCAAATCATGCCTCGGCGCCGCCCTCAAGCAACGAAGAGCCTTGCCCAATCCTTCGCTAATTATCATGCGTGTTCTTCCTTCATTCCGCCTCTCCAAGTCACATCATACCCTTGACGCCTCCAAAGGGAACGCTTGGGGTCAAGAAGCCAACTCGGACAGCCCTCCGAAGCTCCAATAAGTGCTGTGCACTTGGCATTTGGAGATGGCAGATTGTCTTCTACAAAGATGATCCTTGAAGGTGTCTTGGAAGGCAGTGAGGTGCCAACAGATCTTAGGATATTTGGGATAATGATTGTCCGAAAGGCCCCCTGTAGAAATCTAACCGACATACATATGAGACCATGAGTCTTCACCTGGAAACCTCTATTGCCGTTGGGTTTATCGACGACGGGATTGGGACTTCTGATTATCACAACTTCACTGTCTACCGTCATGGCTGCTGCTAACCCTGATTCTAGCTCCCCAGGAGAAGATTCCAAAGATGCCATCACTCACGCGGAAACTACAGTTTCTCAAACACCTGTCGAGCAAAGAGATAAAGCTGCAGCGTTCTTGAACTCTGTGGACGAAGACACCTCCTTCACGTATGAAGAGGAGAAAGCCGTCCTAAGAAGAATCGATTATCGTGTTCTCCCACTCATTCTCTGGGCGTACTTCTTCCAACAACTCGACAAATCTTCCCTCTCCTACGTCTCCATCTTTGGAATCACTGAAGATGCCAATCTACATGGTCGTCAATACTCATGGCTCGGTTCCATCTTGTATCTCGCACAGCTGGCCATGCAACCACTTGCCGCTTTTCTTCTAGTCAAAGCCCCCACTGGAAAGCTCATTGCCGGCGCGATATTCCTCTGGGGTAGCTCTCTGGCTATTATGTCGGCTTGCACAAATTTCAGGAGTCTCTTGGGTCTGCGTTTCCTGCTAGGGTCCTTTGAAGCCATGATAGGTATATCGTTCAAATTTCTGCCCGAGCTCATCATGAACCGATTCTGACCGGTTCAAAAGCACCTTCTTGCGTCGTGGTGACCCAGTCATGGTACAGACGATCGGAACAAACTTTGCGGAATTCTTTCTGGAATGGAATGAACGGTGTCACTGCCATTGTATGTCAAATCTCTGATTCTCGGCGCACTATTTACTGACCGGAAACTACAGATCGGTAGTCTTTTCACGTACGGGCTCGGTCACATCCACAGCGACACGTTGTACCCATATCAGGTGAGCGCGATCCTGTCTGAGCAAAGGTGTGATCTGTGCTGAGATACTTTGGCGAGATTGTCTTCCTATTTTGTGGCTTACTCACGGTGGCTTATTCAATTTTGGTTCTGGCTCTCATGCCTGATTCTCCTATGGAGGCCAAATATTTGAGCCAACGCGAGAAAGTCATTGCCGTTGAACGACTCCGAGCCAATCAGCAGGGGATCACATCAAGACAATGGCGATGGGATCACGTGTGGGAAGTCGCTACCGATTTGAAAACATATCTGTGGTTTCTTATCATCACCTCCATCTCGTATGTTCAAGTCACACCCCCGACTCTCTTCGATCTGGCACTGACGTCTTTCCAAAGAATTCCAAGTGGCGGTATAAGCACATTTGGAAGTCTCATCGTCAAGAGTTTCGGGTACAGCAGTTTCACCACGATTCTTTTCAACATCCCCTTTGGAGTGATTCAAGTCCTGGCAATCATCGGATCCGCCTGGGTTGCTACAAAGTGGCAGAGGAAGGGTCTTGTGATTGCTATCGCCTCAACCTTCCCCACGGTCGGAACCATCATTCTCTTGACTGTCCCCCGAGAACAGAAAGGTGTTCTTCTCTTTGGTTATTACTTGGTAAGCTACCACTCTACGAAAGCTCGGATTCAAATGCTCAGTGGACCTAGATTTCCTGTCTCGCCTGCATTACTCCACTGATTTATGCGTGGCACGTCCAAAACTCCGCGGGAGATACCAAACGGAAATGCACCTCAGCCGTCGTCTTCATCGGCATGTGCACAGGTAACGTGATCGGACCGCTTGTCTATTCCCCTAACCAAGCACCCCTGTACCGCCCAGGCTTGATCTCCAACCTCATCATGTTCGTCCTGGTCGGCGTCCTCGCGGTGGTCATCTGGTTCTACCTTGTGCTTCTGAACAAGCAGCATGCAAGGCGAAGGGCAGAGGTGGGTAAATCTGCGGAGAAAGTCGATGAGTCGATGGTGGGGAAGGACAAGATTGGTATCAATAAGGCCGTCGAATTGGAGGAAGGTCGCAATGGGGAGCTGAGAGCGAACGATAATGGATTCTCCGATCTCACGGATTTGCAAAATGAGGATTTTATCTACGTCTATTGAGGGTGAGGAGAGAGAGCACTTATTGAATAGGGCAAAGTATGTGGGGGAAGAGTGCTCGAGAACAGCCAGAAACCACGAGTGATTGTGGTTAAGCAGTGGCATGAAAATGACCCCGTATGCGTAGTGTATAACGTAATTGGAAGTATTCCTTATACACATATATATCTGTCACCCCTCAACCTTGGAACATTCACGTCAATCGAAGAGAAAGTTCCATACCGCTTCCTGATTCCACGAGTAATGTATGGCCAGGAACCGACTTCACTGTCAACGGAAAACCGCAGCAAAGCATCCCTAGGGCACCTAAAAGGCAGAAGGCGGCACAACGTGCTGATATGGCCCATGAGGAATATCAATGAGCTTCGGGGTAAAGAGCGCCGAGAATTTTCCCAGGCCTCTCCGCACTTTAGCGATGCTGGGCGAGGGTAGGTCTCCGTCGTCCATTGAAGGATCAGGCTTTACTGTATGCGTCGTTGCGAAGGGAAGCCGTAGACTGTTTGTCTTGGTGATTTGACTATTTCCCTTACATATTTTGCTGTCATGAAGCTGTAGTCAGGAGACGGTATGTTTTTGTGGGCGTATCATATAAGCCGAGGGAACTTTATGCCACGACCCGTCTGAAGTTGATGTGGTACTTAGAAGCGGGCATAACTTTGTATGATCGGTCGATTCCATGATGGCGACCAGTTTTCGTACCCAGAAGTCTTTTCTCATATGTCTATACTTCCTACTCTCCCACCTCGTTACCCCAGCAGCCACGAAGATTGACCGAAAATCTGTCGTCGGTCAATTCAATCCCAAACGAAATGCCAGCTCGACGGAGACGCCGATGCAGGTAGGAAACGGAAATTTTGTCTTCTCAACCGACGTGACGGGTCTTCAAACGTTTCAACCATTTAACGCGCTCTCCTCGTGGGGATGGCACAACTCATCACTTCCCACGGTCCCGGGGCAAACTTCCATTGGCGACTTCACGGGCCTGCAATGGTGGACCCATGGCCGTTTGGTCACTTATGACCAGCCCAATCCTGCAGAGGCCAATATTTCGCAGTGGTTAATTGCCAATCCGCATCGAATCAATCTTGTACGCATCGGCTTCCATTTCGAGGGCCGGAATGTCGTCGAGAGCGACTTGAGGAATAAGTCTCAGCACCTTGATCTTTATTCGGGCATTATATACTCGCAATTCGCCCTGAACAATTCCAAAGTCACTGTCCAGACCGCCGTCAACCCTGACAGCGACACTGTTGCAGTTCAAATCAATTCGACTCTTTTGAATGCGGGAGATTTGGGGGTGTTTTTTGACTATCCTTACGCCAGCGGACAGAACAAATTCGATGCTCCCTTCGTAGGTCTGTTCAACGCCACGTCGAATCACACCACGTCTCTGAGGGCACAGAAGCAGACAGCCACCATTCAACACGATCTGGACGCCACCACGTATTTCACGGCGATCGAGTGGCAGGGTCATGCCACGATGACAGGTCCCAAGCATTCGACACATCGTTATTTCCTATCGCCAAACAAAGGAAATCAGCTTTCGTTCACTGCCAGATTCACCCCTGCGCAGAGTGAGTCCGGAGGAGCTGCCAACGATGTCTTCGACTCTTCGGAAACGTGGTGGCAATCGTACTGGAATCATGGAGCCTTCATTTTGTTTCCGTTGAAAAATCATCCTAGAGCCAAAGAACTCCAGCGTCGAGTTATACTTTCGCAGTATCTTGTCACCATCAATGAAGCTGGGCGGGACCCTCCTCAAGAATCGGGGTTGACCAATAATGGTTGGTACGGAAAGTTCCACCTAGAAATGGTGATTTGGCACTCGCTTCATTTTGGTCTTTGGGGGAAAGAGGACCTTTTAGAGCGACATGACGACATTTATCGGCGATTCCTGGGTACTTCGCGTCAGCGGGCTCGCGAGATGGGGTATGAAGGAGCTCGTTGGGGGAAAATGACTGATCCGAGTGGTCGTTCAGCTCCCGGGGAGATCAACTCGCTCCTGATTTGGCAGCAACCGCATCCGTTCTATTTTGCGGAGGCGGAATATCAACGGTCTCCGAACAACCGGACGCTGAAGAAATGGGATGAAGTGCTCACGGCATCGGCGGACTTCATGACATCGTACGTGTTTTATAACCGGTCCCTGGACGTTCTTCAGCTCGGTCCACCAATGTATCCGGTCTCGGAGAACACGAATCCGAATGATACGGTGAATCCCACGTTTGAGCTCGCATACTGGCGCTTTGGACTCGACATTGCGGCGAAGTGGAAGCAGCGCCAGAACCAAACAGTGCCCCAGGCATGGACATCTCTTACTGACAGTCTGCCACCAATACCAACGGAAAATGGAACATATGTGATATACACCGGCGTCCCCGATATGTGGAACGACCCGGACCTCACGTCCGACCACCCCAGCATGGCCATGATATATGGTTTCATCTCTCCGCCGCCTGATTTCAGCTTGACCATCTTCAACAACACCATGCAAAGAATTTATCAGACATGGAATTTCACCGAGTCTTTTGGCTGGGACTTTCCCATGCTGGCCATGGCCGCGGCTCGTTTGGGCGACTATGAGCGTGCAGTGGATTTCTTGCTGGACCCCAATTTCCAGTTCGACGACTTAGGCATGCCCATTGGTGGGTCCAGAGTTCCCACGCCGTATTTCCCGGGCAGTGCATCATTGTTAATGGCGGTGGCGATGATGTCGGGTGGATGGAAGGAAGACCCGGGGTTGAAATTTCCCAAGGAATGGAAAGTGCAAGCAGAAGGATTCCGACCGATGTTCTTCTGAGAAGATCCACACTTCGCCAAATCGAAAGCTAGATTGCCATAAATCCTGCGCCCCAAGCCCCTACTGAGTTCATATGCCTTGACCGTGTGACCTTGGTTTTCTCTTTCTTCAATAGCTTGCCGGTGGTCTCATCGTATACAGCAGGTCGAACAATTTTGACCGTGTAACCGATGCCATAGTACACTCCCACGCGGTCTTTGACCTCTTGTTCCTGTCGTTGCTTTTCCACCGCACGGGACGTTGGTGGCCGAGTTGGAAGGGCTGCCTCTGGAGGATTCGATTGACGGAATGCTTCGACGTGTCGGTGGAAAGCAATATCTGCTTTGATGCTGGCAATTTGATCTTTGCTCAAAGTTGAGAGGGGGCTCGTATCAGATCTTGGTTCCAAATGCGCTCTTCTGGAAGACCGAGGAAATAAGGAGCCGCGGGATGATTCAAGACGAGACCTAAAAGGAGATGGGGCATCGGGACTCATACTGGAATGGGAGACGTAGTCAGGTATTTCGTCCCGAATGCGTTCGCAAGTCCAGCAATAACATGGACAGCCACCATCATCCGATTCAATCTGTGTCAGGGGTGTGACCTCTGTTGTTTCTCGACGCGACCCGTCAGACTCCGACCTCAATAGTACGTCGCTGCCAAAAACGCTTTGGCTGTATAGAAAATAGACCATGGGGTAGAGCATGTGCGTTCGCCAAACTAGCTCTAGTGTTGGATCTTCATTGACACGGGTGAGCCAGGCCGAAGCTCGAGCCCCTATTGCTTGAGGCAAGGCGGAATATTGAGCCAGTGCGCGTCCTAATGTTCCTTCAAGTGAGGGGGATCGGAGCCAAAGAAGAGCATGCATCTTGGGGATAAAGGATGCGCGACCGACCAAGTCGTGGACCGCGGAGGCTAGATCGATCGAAAAGGCTTGATTCGGATCTAATTCGCTATAAGGCGGTGGATTGGTCAGATAAGCAAGTATATCGGCCGACTGAGTGGTAGTCGTGGTAAACAATCGCTCTGCCGCTACAGGGAGAGTATATGTCAATGACTTCGTGTCGATGACGGCCAAGATTGCTTCCCATGGCATGGGAATCTCGAGCAGTTTCGGTGAACTGTGCGCCAAGTTGTCTACCCGATAAGCAGCTGGGTGTTGCATGTAGGCGTACCAGACCAACAGCACATCCAGCGGTGGCAGATAGTCAGCGGTAATTGCTGCGTGGCTAGCATCGCTGTTAGAACCATATCGGTGATATGCGGCCGCGTGCCTGAGGATAGACTCGATTTTCTCAAACCAAATCTGAAAGCGGGCCACTGCTAGGCGGACAATGGTTGCCCATCGCTGTGATTTCTCTGGGCTTACTGGAGTATTCCTAGAGTCGCCTGTCTCCGACGGGCCCGAATAACTTGGCAGATCGAGTATTTCCAGTTGGTCAGAAGTAATCACGCTCTCCTTCAACTTCAGAAAGCATTCGAGTAGGCAAAGATGCACCGTAATGTGGCCTGGGGTGGGGTATTGAATTGGGACTTGATTTGTATTTCCCAGAGAAGGGACGATTGCGTCGCGGAAGATAGATGGCTCAGGAATCTCTGTCTTTGGATGTTTTGAGGATATTGGAAATCTCCTGCCTGGGAAGTGTGATGGTAGTTCCCATTGGTGAGGGTCGACGTCCGAAAACGTCTTGCGGCTTTCATGGCGATGGAAGAGGCTCATCAGTACGTGAAAGGCTGTCTTCTGGACGTGAATGTCCGCGTATAGAAGGCTTGTGTGTGTGTGTGTGTGTGTGCTGTTGATGAGTGATTGAAGATATGAGCGTCTTGGAAGAGTTGCAAAGTGGTGTGGACGTTTATATCGAGTCAGACAAGAAGCGTTTTACAGCAGGAGGCCGTAATCAGGGCCATATGCGAGTGACCGCGTGGTCTGACGGTGCAGATTTTTCTCTACGCGTCAGCCTCAGGCGGCAAACCTTTGGCCATTTCTTGAGTTTTTGTGGCTCATCGGCTGTGCCGTGGCTCCTGCGCCACAAGGAAATTAGCCTACAAAAAGATAACTTTCCCCATCCATCAGATCCTGGAAGAAATGTCGGCGCTCCTCTGACGGGATGACTCATCCTGGAAGTCACTCTGCCTGCTATCTATCTCCGAACACAGCTCTAGAACGGCCTCGCCATGGGTACCATCCCCAGCGATAGCCAATGGATCATTAAAATCCACCCCTTCTACAGCCTGGAAGGCGAAGCAATCGTTTGCCGAGCTTGACGCAGACCTGCAGACCATGTATTCGACTGGGCATGATTAATCCGTCTTAATGTCAACCCAAAATCCCGTTCCTGACCTAGGACAGGACTCGCATCTCGAGGCAATATGAACGACCGAGAATGATGATTGGGCCTTCCCCAATCGCCGATAGGATGTGTTAGCTTGAGGGATCGACTGCACCTTCTTGATTTGGTCCTCGGCTAGGCGTTATCGGGGAGTTCAAGCGCATGTATATGTCGCCCAGTTTCCGTAGTCGAGATCTTTCCCAAAGGCTTCTTGAAGCGGCCGATCGCCATGCCAATGAGGAACTCAGACTCCCAACTCCGGTTCTGGAAACTGGCCGTTGTCAAATCGCTGCTATCCAGCGAGCGCAATGGATACACATAAACACCCATGTTTGGCAATTACGTTGGGGCATCACGGTCCCCAGATCTATCACGTCGGCCTGCACCCGAGTGCCTGAAGGAGTTCCAATATCAAGACAACAAAGGACAACGCACCAGTGATCCGTCATTCATACGATCTGTCAAAGACTTGAATCTTGTGGAATTGTTGAAAGTCCTCTTCTCCCAAACACACGACGAATGCCCGGCTCACTCGGATCCCTCGTCTCAATTTCATCTGCTGCTGCATGCAACCTGCCAACTATTGTTTCCGGAACCCGATTCCGATTTGACTGATTTTCCTGGTGGCTTCCCGGTGGCTTCCTGACCTTCCACCGGAAGAGCTTACCTCTGAAAATTTGAGAAGCAAAATGCTCGACGACACCGCCTGCACATTTCTCCGCCCCCATCTTGAGTCATTTCTCTCTCTATCCATGTCCGAGCCTGGAGCAGACTCCAAACTATAAACATTGATCCTGGCACGGCACGAAATCCACACCTTGATAGACCAACCCGAATTATCTTCCACGTTGAGGGGTTTCTCGGCCCAAGTGAGTGGTGGGCCTAAACCAGATATATCGTGATCTTGACCTACGTAGGTACGGGGGACCTTGGGAGTTATTGAGTTGGTTACGAGTCCCAGGACCAAGAAAAGGTCATTGAATTGAAAGAACCATGGATACCTTGAAGGACGGATGGAAGATGAGGGAAAATGGCTTCAATTACTGGAAGTATATATTATGTCAAAATCCTTCTGCCCGTTTCTGCTCATTATCCACCAGTGTCTCATTTGAGAGTTTGAATCACCATGAAGTACCACCTCGAAGTAGCTGTTTAAGGAATCGATTATTTAGCCCTACTTTCCAACAGCGCTCTTCCCCAGGGGTGCAAATCCTGATGGCATCGAAATTATGCGCAGCTTCTTGATCCAAGCCTCATCGCAATGCCGGGAATCTATTCTTTCCGCTGGTACGAAAACCCCAAGAACGATTGTGATCTGTTCAATCGATTCTTTTCTCGCCAGAAATACATCATACGCTTTTGCAAATTCTTTCTTCCTCCTCTGCAGTCAAGGTGTAGCTCTAACTCATCGTGCCATCGAGGATTTGCCAAATAAAGTCAAAGACTGAATCGCGCTGTCATCACTTACGGTGATACCCAAAATCAACAAAACAATGGACGGATTCCGAATTTTCCCATAGACGAAGTCAAGATCATTTGCCTTACTGGGGACGCCGTTTGTGCTGGCACTCTGACTATCCTCCCAGCGCACCTGGACTATGTTCGGCTCCGGTAGCAAAAACGTGATCCTTGGAAATCTATGAAACTTACGAAAGGTACAAGGACAGCTTGGATGAAGAATCTTGAAAGTAATAGTCACAGACGAAGAAATCCCCGCCAAAAAAAGTTCATTCCTTGATTGGCAGTTGTTTGTCGACCCTATGCGCATTTCTACCGTACTTTTGGAAGTCGATCTGGCCGCAAGGATGCTAACCGCACCAAAAGCAATGCTGGTATAGTACACGTATTTGTACGCTGCGGCGTACGCCGCCGCGTACGCCATCTGCCCAGCACGCACCACGATCATATATGCTGTCTCGTTGTTTCCAATTCCGGGAAGGGTTTTGAGTGGTTCGAGTAGCGAGTCTCCCGTGTATTCGGTGGCGGTTTCGATGGCGTGAGGATCGGTGATGCCCAGTTCGAGCACCATGGCTCCGCCGATGTAGTGAATGGCGTTGGAGGTAAAGTTGTTGACGAAAACCTGCAAAGGAAGAAATGAGTGGCTAGAACTAGGCCATACATTCAGCAAGACGCAATACGGAATAGAAAAATGTACGTTATAATAAACGGCATAACCGATGGCTCCTCCAACGACTCGAACTGCCAGCGTCAGGGCAGCCATTGTGGCGATCAAGTCATCGGGACAAATGATTGTGGTGATGATAGAAGCAGGAACAACAATACCTCCAATGCCAAATCCGGCAATGATGAGAATAATCCAGAGGGCGTTAAGATTATCAATATCAGCCACCGCCATTGCTCCGGTTCCTTGGGGGCATCATTGGTCTAGTTTCTCGGAAATATGACATTCGATGAACTCACCTGCAGTCATCAAAGCAGACGAAAGAATCATAAGTAACTTATTCTGTCCCTTGAAGACCGAGAGTAACCAGAGCACGACGCAGGCACCAGCAAGGATGGAAAGTCCAATAGGGATTCCTCGCACCCCGACACCAACGGGGTCATGACCGTAGACGTTGAATGCTTGGGTAGGCCAGAAGAGAAGTACCGAGAAGAAATTCGCTCCGGAAATAAATGTTATAATGAGTGTCAGGGCCAGGATCCTCGGGTCTTTCTTCAGTCGAGTGGGAAGATAGGATACTTGGCACCGTAGATTTCCCAAAATCCAAATACGATGAGAAGGGCAGCACCCAAGAGAAGTGTAACGAGGACATGGGCCGATTTCCAGGAGTATTGGTTTCCACCCCACTAGGAGTTTTTTTTATTTTCCCTTAGCCAATGGTATCTGTGAGAGAAAGGACTGATCATACGACGTACCTGCAAGGCCATCATGAACAGAATCATACCAGAGATACTGAGGAATCCCCCCACATAGTCGATTTTGTTGATGATTTCTTTCCTGCTAAGACCCTCACTATTGACCCGGGGTGGCGGGAAATAGAAGATGGCCGTCATGACAAGACCGATGAAACCCCACAGACCGCAGAGCAGTCCAATCCATCTCCAATTAGCGTGATAGGCAATCCACTGTCCCCAGAGCACCGAAGGGCAAAATGGGATAATTGTAAATATCAACACGGCGACGTATTTGCCTCTCTTAGAGGTAGGGGCCATCTCAGACGTAGCCGCCAGAGCCGTGAGCTCATTGATACCAGCACCAACTCCTGATATGACCATGCCTCCAATAAAGGTGTTCATAGTATTGGCTGTGGACACGACAATCATTCCAAAAACTAGGAAACCGGCTCCGATCAACGCGACGTATCGTCGACCGATCAAGTCCGAAAGAGACCCGACAAAGGGACAGATGGCGGCCAGGGCGAGGAGGTTGCCCAGCACAAACCAGGTCCGACGGTCGACGCTGCCGATGTCTTGATAGATATACGGAGGAATGCCGCCGAATAGGTACAACGGGATTTGCGAACCTGTCCACAAAACTGCCATGGCTACCAGGGACATCAGTCGCCTCCGTGAGTGTCCGGGTCACGGCCGCTGGGATTGGATGTCCTGGGTACTATTACTCCTTTCTGGGATTCTCGTGAGTATGGTCCACTTTTGGGAATTGTCGATGTCTTCTCTTGGCGAATGATATCGAAAAGCGACTCTGGGTACCTTTCTGTAAACAGACAATTTGGAAAGAACACGGCGTGGATGTCAAGCTGCCATGTGACTTATATTCTCACAGTAGCCATCATCATAAAGATGAGCATGCTACATTTGAGTTCGACCGGGATTATCCAGAAGTATTTGTCATAGACGGTACGCGCTGGACGAGCCTTTCCTTCGGAAAGTGGAATTTCCCCAGGCAACCGTGTTGTCAGCCAGCCGAGAGCAATTCTTTAAGCTGTCATAAAGCTGGGTGATAATCGAGCGTAGGAAGGGAGGCAGTCGTTTTTGGGGCCCAACGACCCCGACCCGCGTTTGTTGATAGAATTGATCTCCGGCATCAAATAAATGGAAGTGTGCTATGATAGCCACGATCAATATAAGGCACATTGAAGGAATATGCGACCGCAATGCCTGTCAAAATACGGCAGATGATATGTGGAAAATGCTTGAGAGATCTCCTGGCCTCGAATTTGTCTCAAGGCCTTGGATACTAGAACATATCCAGAAATGAGGAAGACAACATCGACCATGGCGATTCTAGACCGGAGCAGAGAGATAAATGGATGATTCATGACCCTGGCGCTCAGGATCTCTGGGTTTGCTTCTCCGAGGTAGTTACCAAAAGAATAGATATAGTATGCATAAAAAACAAAGACACACGCAACGCCTGGAAGACTGTCCAGAGATGCGACTTTTGTGTCTGGCTTCTCTTCTTTTCAGTACCGGAGCTCGCAGTCGTGAATCAGAAGATAAAGCTTGGTAAAAGAGCAGGAAGATATTTTGGTAAAATGGAAAGCAAAACGGTGAAGTTTTCGTTGAGCGACGTCGAAAGGTTGGCGAGAATGGGCATATGGCAATCGAGCGAGTGAAATGGTACCCTTCTCATCGATCTCGTTCGATAGAGTATCATCCAGCAGGGTTTCGAATTCCATTACCTCTGAGCGCAATCAATGCATCGTGTCTTGACAGGTTTTTGGAAACAGCGCCGTCGGTAGTTTGTTTGCCTGCAGACACGCAGAACAGGCCAGGCTACTGACGGAAGGCTAAGTAAGAATCAACATGCTAAGCCTGGCTATAGCCTGCAGTAGTGGTAAAATGAAAGGTAGCGATCTCAGGAGCTGAGAGTGGATTGGCAAAGCAGACTGGGTGAGAATACTCGGTGGTCGGTTTTTGCTCTCATTCCAATCGACATTGAACGGCCCGTACTGTAGGAGAATGAGATCAAAAGAACAACGTGTAGAATAGTGGCTCGTCTCCACAAAACCGGAGGGCAGCTGTCTGTCAAAACGTTGTAGACGAAAACCAGGAGGTGAAGGCATACATTTGATTGCACCCCGAAAGCTTCCACGAGCCCCCTTCGCTAGATATGGTTAGCGCATGCCCTTCCGTAGCACCTCTTTGTATGAGTCAAATTATCCAAAATTGGCAGAGACATAATATCACTATTCCGCCAGTAACTAATAGACGAGGAAATTATCTATTCGGGGAATGAGGGCAGGTTCCTTCAAGTACTTTGAAATAAAGACATCAAGCCAGGTTGGCCATCAATAAGACCACAACTCCTCGATGCCACAAAGTGCAAGACGGGCCAACATTATCATTTGCACACACTAAAAGACGGAAAAATCGATTTTTCGTCTCCGCTCATGTCGAAGAAAGCTAACGAACGTGGGAACATGATGTTTGGCGAGTTTTGCACGCCACATCCGTGGATGTCAAACTTTCGACTACAACATAGGCTTTATTACCAAGATGATATATCTGACCAAGATTACGTCTGGCTTCTTTTGGCCGAAACGTCTCATAAATACTCTTACCGAGTCTTCACTCATGTTTTCATGTCTTCCGCTTGATATTTGCCACCCCCCATTTTAGACCTTTTAGAAGACTTGGGTCTTTGATGGAAGAGAATGACCAGGTTGAGAACCCTCTCAGGAAAATTCAAAAGGAAAGGTATGTTTTTGCTTACCCTTTATTCTTTATCAAGGTCCAGGTGCAGAAAGAACTGTGCGTTGTCTTTGATAGCCAATACTTTCGCATCCGGGTGGTCACATTCTGTCCATGCCAAGGCTTGCCATCCCAGCAGATGTGAGATGAGAAGCTTGAATGTGTAGGCTGAACGGGTTTTAAGGCAGAAACATCATTTTTGAGATATGTACTATGCTGGTATGTACAGAGCACGCCTCCCCACTCTTCTCATCCTGAACGAACCTTTCTCATTCGGCATCTGGATCCACAAAGTCGTTCGGCCCCAGAACTTTCCCCACAGATAAGTTATCTTGCGGCCTACATGGCTGGAGAGGGATGTTCATCTCGACCACCTGTCGGCTTTCACGACTGATCCCGTACAGGGTTCCATTGCCACCTTCAGGCCGAAGACTTCGATCCCACGCAATGCCCTGCCCGGCGATATCCGGTAGGTCTGCCGTGGCTACCCATATCAGCACACTTCCAGCAGACGGGATTTGCACCACGTATGCTGCGCTGGCATCGTGGCCCGTGATGTATAGCCAGCCGTCTGGGCCGAAACTTCCACCGGAATTGGACATGGGTGAAAAGACCTCAGACACCATGGATTCGGGGAAAATCCATGATTGTGAAATATACTGAAAGGGGCCTTCGGGACCAGGTGTGAAACGGACCAGTTGGGTGTTCATGCTAAGACCATATGGTTGCGTCTGACCTTCCTGGACTCGGTCGTAATTGGCAAAAGTCCCATACCATGTGCCCGTGCTGTCTTGATCGATCCAAGTCAGGCTTCCCCGGTTGATTCCAAAGGAGTAACTCCGCACATGTTCCATGGTGGTGACATCCCACTCTTCCACAGATGATGTCTCCGGTGCGGTAGGATAGTTCGAGTGCGGCGCATAGAGAGTTCCATTGATGACAACGCCCCCATCTAGATGAATGATGGGGCCGTCCGATCCGCCATACCATTGCCGGAGAGCTCGACCGGTCGTTTTGTTATGCTTCGTTATGGAGTAGTTATCAATGGAGTAGAAGTAGTCACGATCCACGGCGACACCTTGATTCGCGTCGGTGGTGTTGACAGCTCGCACTGTCGTGCTACTAATTTGCTGTTCAGAGCCTACTGTTCCGTTGCCGATCGTGCCGTTGAATGATCGAAGGCATTGGGGCGGAGTTTGTGACTGTGCCTGGGCCTGTGTTGCGGCAAATAGCGAGACGCTTGCGTAGACTACGAACACCCTTGACGGTTTCATGGTCATGAGCAGATTGTGTGAATCTGTGGAATTGCAGTCCTCACGCCGAGAGCGAAAGCCTAAGTTCTACCGTGTTTGATCTCTGGGCCCGGCTCACACATTTATATGTAACTATCATCTTCCTTCAATACTCTTACAATAGAGAATTGTTCAGTCACTGATGATTGGGAAGCGGTGGGATTCGCTTAGCAAGAGACCCCCTTCGGTCGAGACGGCGCGCTAGATTTTTCTTCCACCACAGCGTATCAGAACGCCTCCAATCGGCACGGGACAGGGTTAAATACCAGAGGTATTTCCATGTCGATCTCCGATGCGCATACCAATCAAGGTTGCCACATGGACTGGGAGATGCACATTAAGTGGACTGTCATTTCTGGAACATTTCCGGAGTTATCTCCCACGTGTTCCACTAAATTCTTAACAGGACCTGCAACGAATCGAGTATCCGGATCACAAGCGGCAATTAAGGAATTGATTCTTATCAGAACATGCATGAAATTGTACCCAAGGTTCTGCAAAAAGACGCCTCGCAACTTGAGAATATGCGTGAGAGGCCACTTCGGCCTATGAGATGCATGTGCGGGTGTTGACTTAGTTGAAAATGGCACCCAATGTCTTCTGTGCAATGCCCTTGACACCGGTGCTGGTGCCTTTCTCCTTGTCCTCGTCGGTATAAAATCTCCGGCCATAATCCAAATCGACCGTGCTCAGGTCCACCCACGGTCGACCACGGTAGAAGATCTTGGCTCCAACGTAGAGCACCAAAATGAGAATGACCGAGACGTAATTGGCGAAGAAGTTCTCTGCGTTGGTTTCATCACCCAGTGGCCACACGGCGAGGTAGAATTGAACAATGATGAGAATGATACACATGATGAGCCCGAACCAAGCGGCATAGGGGTATGTCCAGCTTCGCCAGGGTAATTCGGCTTTGTCGCGGCCTTGGAGCGCCCAAGCCCATCGGAAACGAATGTGAGAAAGACAGATCATTCCCCAGCCGAACAGGGTGAAGAGGGACGTCAGGTTGGAGAGCCAACCGAACACCTCCGCGCCGGAATTGTTGACATTGAGATAACCCAGGCCGCCACCAAGAACCAGGGTGGGCACGAGGCCGTACCATGGTCGGCCGGTCTTGTCGGCCGTCTTAAATTGCTTTGGTGCCATGCCGAGGTAAGCGAGACCCATTGTGGTGCGGGCGCCGGCATAGCCTGAAATGGAACCGCACGAGACGACGGAGAGGAGAATGATGGCGTTCATCATGTGTGCGAGAGCGGAAATACCAGCATTGCGATACGCAATGACGAAGGGGGAGGCGTTGGTCCCCTCGCCGCCAAAGAGATCTTCGTCGAATGGAGAAACGGTGATGGTGACCATGAGCGAGCCCAGCAGGTAGAACAACGAGAGCCGAAGCCAGATCGAGCCGACAGCGCGAGGAACAGACTTCCGAGGATTGGCCGTTTCGGCGGCCACCAGGCCAGCGTTTTCAGAGCCGGCCATGGCGAAAATACAGGTGGGCATGACGGTAAGAAATCCCTTGAATCCATTGGTAAAGGGAGTCGAGTTCCAGTACCGGAAGCCGATGGCTTCATTATTGGGGCCACCACCGGCCGAAACGACTGGGGAGCCGTCAATCAGTCGCGTCCAAATGAATGCATGCAGCGTGTCGACTTACCGATCAGGGAAATGATGACGACGAAGATCCAACCGAATTTGATGGTGCTGCAAATGACTTCCACCTCGCCGAAAATGGTCACCGCTCCAATATTCACCGCGATGATGACCACCCAGAAGATGGTGATCCATGCCGCCACCGGGACTTCAGTGGTCCAGAAGCTCAGGATGGTATTGGCAGCAGCGAGTTCGTTCGCAATGGTGATGCAAAAGGAGAACCAGTAGGCCCAGCCGAGCGCAAAGGCAGCCGCAGGATCAACGAACTTGCCCGTCCACTGGACGAAGGCGGATGGCAACGGATACATGACGGCCATTTCTCCAATGGAATGAGCGACCGACCAGATCATGGCACCGGACAAGCAATAGCCCAAGAAGATCCCGGCAGGACCACCACTGATCAAGGAAGTGCCTGAGCCCAACCAAAGACCCATTCCAATACTGGAACCAAGAGCAATCATGGTAAGATGTCGTGTGCTGAGGAGACGGCGAAGCTCGGTGTCCGCGCCATGATCATGGACAAAGACGTCGCCCGTGACAGAGTGACGCTTTTCGGGGTGGAGGTCCCGATCTGAGCTATTTGGCTCCTGAATGTACTCTTCTCCGGTGATCTTGGGATCCATGTTGATCTTGCGGATGGAGGCAAAATCACAAACAAAGAGTAGAATAACAGCAAAGATCCGGCCGCAATGGCGCGACACCTACCCCTCTATTATATAGGCGAGATCAGCTGCATCTTTCCCAGACCATCTGGTCGCCGGCTTCTCGACAAGGTCTCCAATGCCCCACCTCGAGCGACCACAGGTCATCAGAGACATGGCAAGATATCGCAACGTCACATCCCCTACGAGATGGGCGTGGCCAGATAGATAGCGATGGGACATGGAGGTCTGGGTACGAATCGACGCGTCTCCGGCAAAAGATGGACCAAGCAAAGTGCTTGTCGGGGCTGAATGCTTCTCTAAGGGTTGCTTGGCCTGATAAGAGACAAGTGGCAGTGCGACGGTGCCGTTACATTTCAAGAGGGCCTCTAAGACAACTCCAAGAGCCTTCAAAATGCTTCTGGCAGGTCGTTGACGGAAAGTACGGCTAGGCAGCCTGGGCCTATTGCTTCTATCAACGCCGAGCTCAGCTTGGCCCTTCTTGGCGGTTCACTAGCCAATTTGGCTTATCAACCACTCTGCTGCAATGTCATTGGGCCAAGTCATCTTGGAAGGAGGGTGTGTGTTTCGATCTTCCAACCACGTTTCGAAGGGATGCTCCTTGCAGAGGCAAGCCGGTCGAGGTGTCCCAATCGAAAAGAGGGATGGCGTGACAAAGCGGGGAGAGACCTGACTAAAGAGTAATTTGCTTGAAGAACCACCAGCCCATCCATGTCGGGTCTCGCCGAGTCACATGATACTCTAATAGACCAAGGCAGTCCTGAGTGAGCTCTATAACTAGGACATGGGACACATCAGAGAGATCGATGATAGTGTAGCAGTTATCTGATTTCTTTTTCCAAGTTCTTGTGTTCTCGTATTTCTCTTCTCTCGCAGAGGTAATTTGGTATGGGAAACACAGTCAGCGTTGAGGCACTCCACCGTATATACCGGCAAGAAATCCTACGGTCAAACATTCGATACAGCAGGCAATTCCTTTGTGCCAAGAAGAGGCTGAGTCAGCATAGGATTCACGTGATTTAAATGACGCGTGTTGCTCGGGTACAATTTAACGTGTCATGGAAAATCACCAGGGTCATGAAGTATGAACACTCTCGTATATCTTGATTCAAACCACGGATTTGACCGTTCCGCCCTTGTTGGATAATGGTCTTTGGTGATGCCAAACCCCCAACCAACTACGTCCATCATCAGCAGAATTCAGAGGCAATCAAATGAGTTGTACTTACTCTGAGCAGCACGTTGCAGTGGGGCCCTCCAATTCCTCAGCCCATTCCCAAACCAATCCTGCAAAGAAACCCAGCGCCTTGGTTGTCGCCACGAGGGAACCGCGGTGACATAGTTCCGGGAAACCACATACCTAGGTTTTTGAGGAATCCTTTTCCCACGGAAACTGCGTCTGCACGTCCCTCTTCGATGATTTTGCTTCACTTTGACGCTTCCATGATCATTTCCACCGCACTGACCATGATATTGGGACGTCTGTTCTCTATCAGGGCCTACTTCAACCCCTGAGGCGTGAGGCAGCCGATACCCTAGGTTTTGCATCAATCTTTTGACGAATCCAAACCTCCAGTGGCAACATCGATCCAGTCGACTCCTTTTTCAGCGGGGAGTACACTCAGGTTGGCCGCCTGGGTCACACCCCAATGTGGCACTTCTTCAACACTGCCCAAGTATTCCAGCCAGTCGCTGCCGGGAATGCGGATCATCAATGGCACCCCTCCCGGAATGACGATGTGAGTTAAATCAACCACCTCGAGCAGAAGACGGACGCGGTTCTTAAAAGGTCGTCCACCATATCGTCGCCCCGAGTGTTGGAGGCAGATGACAGGAATCCCTCGAGAAGATAGCCGTGACCTGCGTGGATTTGTATGATCTGGCCGATAAGTCATCAAAATGGTCAGTCTGATGCAGTCTGTCGATGCTTCATCAACGCCAGCCGTTAAAGCCAGTTGGATCAAGGCATTCCATGCTTCCTTGAAGCCTTCAATGTCCTTGATGGCCATGGTCTGAAGAACGTATGTGTGCTCGTTAAATGGTTGGTCGGTGACGTTCATAACTTCATCGGACCGCCCACCCAGGTGGGCGGATTTCTCGCACCAGTCATTGGTCCATGTCATGACAACCAAATTTGCCTCTTTCGCTAGCCAAGTTGAACACCAATCCTTACTCCCTGAGAGTGAGAAAACTTCACAATTCGGGCCAATGCTTCGGCCTGAGATTCTTTCCAAAAGACCACAACACGGCGGTGTGATTCGACCTGAAAAAAGTTGACTCGGGTCAGAGAGAATATAATTCATTTGGACGCTTCTATTTCCTTGCCCTTCGCCTTCCGGAGTAATTGCGGTCGCCTCCGTAATAACTACTCCAGGTCCTCTTTGAATAATCCCACCAGGGTGAGTTTAATGCCACATCATGTGGCCACCTTCTGCTGAATATTGACACATGAGAGACAACTATATCGATTATCCGCAGGAATTTTCTCTTTTCGTCCCGTCGGCCCCACCGCGTTCCCATTTTTCGGAATAACCATATTCCTGATCTTCAACGGCTGGAAGCGTTTGTGTCCTGTCGAAGTAACATGTTGCAGAGGTATATAGTGCGAGATCTGGCTCCGTGATGAATAACTTTTACCAACAATGTGTCAAAAACTACCCCCGGTGCGGCTGGGTTGTCCCACAATTCGTCTCCCGGTCCAGTTCACGGGGAGGAACAGACTTCTCTGGAATCGTTCCGTGACAACCCTGTTGAGCGCGTCCTTCCGCTATTGTGATCAGACTGAAATTCCCGTGGATAAGATCCTTCTTCTAGCTTCTCAAACCTTGCGAGCTCACTCCGGGAAAAGAGCATGTATTTATTTATGTTACATGCATGTTTCCAAAGAATCACAGCCCGGCCTGCGACTTTCCACCCAAGCTACCGGGCTACGTCAGACCCAAACCCATTGGCGAAGGACAAAAGTTTCATACATATTCTATCCTCCCACTAAAATAGAGCTGCATGAAGATTGGTCGGAATGTCTTTGTAAATGGCCCACAACCGCTCCATAAATTTTATACTATCTATATGTTTCGGAACAACTGTAACAACGATACCAACGAAGGGTAAGGATCTGTTACGAGGGGTGTAGAGAGAGGGATCATGGAATAGTGCCCATTGTCGGCGTCCAGGCCCCTTCCTGCCACTTCTGCGATGGCTGGGAATTCGTTGCGTGATATTTGGATGTTACAACAACTTTGCGTCTATCTCGTCCTACCTAGCAAGACCACAGCCTTTACTCTTGTTACCAATTCTGTCCTGGTGTCGGTTAACGAAACGTGCCCGGACATCATCAGTTGCCGCGAAACTGTCCCTGTAGCGAAGCTTATCAAGATCTCGAATCTGGCAAGCTTCGGAGCCCCAAAATCCGTGACATTCTCCCTTTGGTGGCTTTACGTCCGCAGGAGGAAGTAATGCTACCATTCCAGGAAATGATGCTGAGCTGGTCCCCTTGCCCAGTCAATCCATTCAACAAATCCTGAAGCCACGTACGCGTATCATTCATCGGCTAGGCCCACGGCTCTAGGGTGTGGTTATGGAGCACTCTACATAGACGACACCTCTTGCTCCAAATCATAATGTACAGTTAGTCACCATGCAAGTGGCTCTATCATCGTCGATGTACAGATGTGTGTTCGCGTCAGCCACAGCTGAAGCCTACAGCATGAGGTCAGGGTCTTATAAGACTCGTACAGCTTCAAGGCACGGTAAGAGCTGCTCGGTTTTCTATTGCCATCCCATCCTGGACCGATTGAATCAACTTGTTGCCTTTTCTTCCAATTTTGTTTCCGAAAATGACCGGAAAGGAACAGGTCCTGTCACCGGTGGGAACGGATTCGTGGCCATGCACATCATCCGCGAATTGATTGAAGTAAGTCCTCTCCTCTTCTATGGATTCAGCAATGGACCTAACCCTTCACGACTTGGTGATCCTGATTCTCACAGGCGTTCATGGAAAAATGACCAACTCAATGCACACTGTCTAGCATGGATACTCGGTGATTGCCACAGGTCGGTCCATGTCCAAAGCAGAGGATGTTTACACTATGTATCCAGATTGGAAACCTTTGTACTTTGAATGTGTCCCCGATATTGGGACCGAGGATGTGCTTCAAGAAATCTTCAAGAAGTACCACGATCGGTCTCAATACATCATCCACACAGCCTCGCCGGTCAATTTCGCGGCGAAAGATATTCAAAAGGAGTTGATCGATCCTGCCGTGCAAGGGTAAGTCGGCCTGTTATTTCCAGCTGCGACATATATGTGTTTTATGCCTCCACAGTACTAATTCGCAATCTCTCAGAGTCAGCAATATCCTCAAGGACGCCCATGAATATGGCGGCTCAAGTATAAAGCGATTTGTTCTCCTGGCTAGCGCAGTGACCGTATTGAATTTGTTTGAGGACATGAGCGTCGCTGGAAAACCGTATACGGAATATGATTGGAATCCGATATGTAAAGCAAAAGAGCGATCTTCTCTGAACAAAGATTCCACCTGAACAACGGGAGTAACTCAACAATGTTTTAGTTGACCGCTGAAAGACGCCGTTTCCGCCTCATCTCCAATGTTAGGATACATCGCCGCCAAAACATTGGCTGAGAAAGCTGCCTGGGAATTTGTATCGACGACAAAGCCATCATTCGGCCTCACAACGATCAATCCAGACATCGTCGTCGGTCCACCGCTGCGAAAGTTGTCGAAGCCAACGGCTTTGAACGAGACGAATATGATTGCCGTGTATAATTTCCTTAATGGAACTTACAAACGGATTGAAGATGTTATGCTTCTGTTTTATTATTTTGTGAGTTTTTCATTCTCCTTCCTGGAACTTCCCATTCATCTCTTCTTGCTCTTGTCTTTCCGACCCGTCACAATCCCACAAACGTTTTCTACAAGGAAAATGCTTTGCTTTCTTGCTTTCTTCTCCTCCTCCTCCTTCTTCTTTTTGGGTACTATTTGTGTATAAACAGGTCGACATTCGAGATGTATCTTCCGCAACAGTCGCTGCAACGACAACTCTCTCCGCCAGTGGGAATAGAATTCTTCTCGTCGAGGACGAACTCAGTCCTCAACTCGTCAAGAATATCATCGAGAAGGATTTCCCACAACTCAAAGACCAATTACCTCTAGGTGGTAACCTGGCTCAGAAGTTTCCATCTGGAATATACCCCACTGGGTGGGATGTCAGTAGGAGCTCCGCAATTCTGGCCGATTGGGAAGGCCTGAACGGAAAGAAATGGAGACATCACGACCTCGAAACTTCAGTTGTTGATACTGTTAAGAAAATCTTGCAACTCGAAGAGGAATGGGCAAACAGGATATAAAATCCAAAATATGAAATGGGTTGGAAAGAGAATAGGCCGAGGTGGCTTCAGGGTTAGAACCCCAAATAATCATTAACAGGCTGCATTCATATTCGTCTCCTATCCACAAATTCTCATTTCGATTCTGCATAAAGTTCATCCAAAGCAAAATTGAACATAATTCCCTTCTCTTGACCTTCGTTCATCCAGTTCATCTCCCCACCAGAAGTCTTCATTTCCCGAATCTTGCTCTGCCCAAACAGTCTCCATGATTTCGAGCACGGTGTTGTACATCTGATATCCGAATTTCTCGTACCACCGATGACAGTATTCACGAGCAAATTGCCGATGCGCAGGCGTCCGTGTCTCACTACCAGCAATGAAGACACAGAATAGCAATTGTTTCTGAATGAGTGAACTTGCTCGGCAGGCGTGCACATGATCGAGGGCGACGCGAGCAAGGAACCTAAGCTGAGGACGGGTACAGGTGTCCACAGCAACGCCGTCAGCGCCGCGGCCGACTTTGGATTGGGACATTCGGAAGATGCGAAGAATATAGATCAGCAACGAATATCGGAAGGCTTCACAGCAGTGGTATCGGTCACGCTCCCTATGCAAAGCTTCCTCGTCGACGTCAATTCCCTCAAATAGCAGATCACTGGCCCCGCCGCCATGGTATTCGTATCTTCGAACAGAAAGCTCAATTTCGGCCACAAGTCGAGAAATGGTTTCACTGTGCCTCTTTCGCTCTGCTTGACGTGCGGCGAGATTCGAGAGCTGCATCATGGGTACCAACAGTTCGCGAGGACAGCCGTTTAATTCGTAGAATGTCCAGGGTTGACGGCCCTCAACTTTCAGAACGGCCTCGAAGTAGGAATATGGAAATACAGGTGCCTCCCGCGAGAGCAGACCGACCATTGTGTCCCACCTGCGATTTACTTATAAGAAGGCGATGGTCTGCTGGAAATAGTGATGATGACTTACCATAGCAGCATTGACACTTGAACGTGGGCTTTTATGCTGATTGACCACCTTTGGATCCCTCCACACAACTCGAGGAGATGATATGCATTCGTCAAATGGGTCTTCCAAATATTCAGTGACGATAGAGTCGCCTATTTGTTATTTCAAGTAAGCATGAGGATCATGGTCCAGAGTTATCTTGAGTATTTCACGCACCTCCACCTGCCACAGAGCTAGAGATGTGTCAAGCATACTAAGTCCATTCAGATGGACATCACTCCTAGACAGAGCCCCCTGGTACAGCACCATAGCCGTGTTCTTGTGATCAATAGCGTCTGACGGAGGCTGAGGTTGAGTTGGCGTGCGCAGGCGGAAGTGGCAGGAAATTGCCATGATAGCATGAAGGAGGTGCTGGGAACCTTTGGTAGTCTCCGGTCGATAGCGGTATGGGTTAACGCAAAAGTCGTTCGTGACTGGGTATTTGCAGAACTCTTGGTCATCTGGGGTACTTTAGTAAAAAAGGGATGGATGTGGGGATCTCAAGCATACACATGTCAAGGAGGCCATAAAATTTGCTGTGCAATGTTGAATGGCAGAATTGAGGAATGAACGAATCATAATATGCAAAGTTTGACTGAGTGGAGAGGTCTGAACCAGATGAAGATTTTCTCGACGACGGTATTCGACATATGTCGTGGGCATTCGGAGAATTTGTTTCGTGCTCATCCCACCCCAGGGTTCCAGAAGCTAATGTGGCCATTTCGAGCCCGAGAATTGGTGATGGAATTTCAAATGATTGCTGTTGAATTTGCAGGCACTGCTTCAGACTTTCACCATCCAAAATATCTTGAGAAAGCTCTTCGCCCGGTGCAGTGTTCCAATCGAGATTATTTTCGTCCCACATGAGCGCACCGGGAGAAGAAGCGATGGGCAAAATTTGCGACTGCTGCAGAGGAGCGTTATTGTAATCATCTGGGGCTGGTGTTTGAAAATCTGGAATATCGTTGTTGATTATATCCCCCGCGACGGGGGCTACCTGGCCTCGATATTCTGGAAATTCGGATGGCTGTTCAAGAGTGGCCTCGTGTTCTGACTTCCGAAGACTCGTATCATGGCTCTTATTCAGTGAAGATTGTCCATCAAGAATTTGAGTCGCACGTGTCGACCTGTAACCCTGTTTCCGTCGTTTCGCTGATCGACCTGACACGAACATGAATTGTTTCCTGGAGGACGCTGGATGAAGTCTTGGTGATTCTTCATCTTGATCAAGCGGGAAGCTACCTCTTTTCATCTGGATGCCAGATACTGAATCATTCCTTCCTGCAACTATCGTTCCTGATTTGACCTTTGGAGGCTTATCAACCATGGAATGATTTCTGTGCCAGGTCAACTGCATGGAAAACCCTTGACAGCGAATTCCGGAATTCTGGCATGTCTTGCAGCGAGGTCTCTGGCGGTCGCAATGCAGACCTAGCGAGGAACAGTTATGACAATCTGATTTGGCGAACGCTAACGAGTTTGTCCGGCGGAATTTTGGTGACGGAGAATTCGGGGAACAAGGAGAGATGGCGGCCGCCATGGTGATAGCTTCGGGATGGTTGGTGGACAAACAGACTCTAGGTTCGAAGAAAAGGTATGAATATATATTCTGAAGGTCTCTTGGAACTTTGTCTACTTGAAAAACAAAGAGGACTTATGGAAAAGAAGAGAATCGGAATGATTGAAGTGAGAGAGGGGATGACATTTGCTCATGGCTTATCATTCGCAGCTATACTTAAAGTGGAAGGGTACTATGGTACGGTATCGGCTTGATTCTTCTTGTCTTTGATGAAATTGAAAAGGGAAGAATTTGATTGGATGGGGGAAAAAATAAAAAGTTCCAGCCCCTGGTGGAAGTTGATGAACTGACGGTCTTCTATTCAATTTGTATCTAAAGTGGGGTGCTTACAAACGACTCAAATATTCTTGCCCTCTGTGACCTCAAATCTTCTTGCCTTCTGACATAGACCGCTGTCGAAGAGCTTGGAGAATATCATCATCGTCTCCTCCAACTGCGATTCCTTCAAGGGTTCGATGGCCGAGAAGTTCATCCTGACGCGCCGCCTGAAGAAGTTCGAAATTGATATTCGGTCCTTTGAAAACGTGTCTCTGGCTTAGGAACCAGGCTGCGAGCAAGAATGAGACCAGACCCACAGTAACCACACTAGTAATTTCATTATCAGCAATTGCCGATCGGCTCGGTCTTGAAAATCGTACCTGATCCAATTCATATTTTCCAGCGTAACGGGGTAGGAAACCGGGATGCAATAAATGATATCAATGAACATCACCCAAACGCACGCGAATACGTTCAGGGGAAGCCCCCATTTACCCAGGTCTAGAGCTCGACGGGGCAGAACTTTATCACGTCCGCGCCATGCCACGATTCCCTGAGGGACAACGTAGGAGGTGGTCATGAACACGATACAAGCGCCGACCATGGAAGCAAATGCAGTCGATGAGCCCAGAAAGATCAAACCATAAAGCTGCGGTAGGGCTTGTATCAGTTTCCTTCTTGAGAAGGGATTTGACCCGGGGGAAAGCGGGCAGCTATACGCACCGTGACCAGCGTTCCGGACAGACATGCAGCATTGACTGGCATCTGCCAGCGCGGATGTACTTGTTTCCAATACCTCGAAAATGGAAAGCAATTGTCTCGCGAAGCAGCCCACATTTGTCGACTCGAGCTCGTGATATTGGCCGTAGCACAACCGAAAAAGCAAATGGCGAATGCTACCATCAGTACCGAAGTGCCGGCCTTACTGCCTGTCGCTTGATAATACACTTCAATCAAAGGAAGGCCGGTAGGTGTGCTGATGACTTGCTCAAAGTCGGTGATGACGAATGACAGCGATATGGCGAAAGGGAAGGCTAACGATCATATCAGCATCTCTCTCATGTCCAGCTTCGCCAGGACTCGACTCCATATTCACCGGAGACCGATTCCATTCTGGGGGAAATGTTCCTGTGACGCAGTGTATAGACGTATTACCGAATCAGGAGTGCGGTTTGTTGTATAGACCTTGGAGGGTCGAGTCAAACGAAGGTACTTCGACGCCACTGAGGAAATTGGATCCGAGCATCGCTTTTTTCTTTTACTTACCAGTCATGAATCCCATCAAAACCGGATACATCTGGGTCGGAAATCAGCCCACTTTCGCTATCTCGTCGGATCGATACGTACAATGACTTTGGGGACGTTTACAGTGGGATTCGGCAATTCCTCGCATCTAGATCAAATGTCAGCAATATTGAAGCGATGAAGAATGTCGGAGACTGACAAGTGAGCGCCGCAATCCACGCCCAGGAAACCGTAGAGCGCGTTAACCATACACAAGAGGAAAGCAAGGCCGTCATTGGACCAGCCAGTCGAATTGGTGGTGTCGGAAAAGACGAATTTGGCAGACTGATAGTTGGGCGCAGCACAAGCCAGAATCGTGATGATCGTAACCACCATGGTCGTGGCAGAAAAATACACTGGCGTATGGCTGTGAGTGAGTTGGATGACTATTTGCGGACAGAGCATCTCACGAATGAACTTGTTCCATAAGGGAAGATATCTCGTTCCAAAGACATTCATGCCGATGGCTGCCCAAGTAACTGCAGCAAAGATCAACCAGATGTGCCATCGCTCAATGGTATAGTCCGGATGGTTCAGAGCGGCAACGCCAACAACCATTGCGGCGATGAAGTTCGTCACACTGGCGAGACCCAGCCACCACCCAAGAGTGCTGATTCCAGCCGACCTAGATGAGGTGAGCGTCGACTTCCTTGGTAAATCAAGAGACGTTCTTACATATATGATGCGAACGGACCCCATTCAGGGCTCGAGACCACATAAGACCAGTAGTATTGGGCTCCAGCGACAGGATACGCGGAAGACAGCTCTGCCATGCCGATTCCCGTGACGGCTGTCATAACTGCCGCAATGGCCAGGGTCCAAATTGAACCGGCCGAAGAAGCCTCAGTGAACCCGGTGCCAAATGCGCTCCCAAACCCGTTCCACGTTGCCAACAGAGCATATGACATCGACATGAGCGAGAGAAGAGAGAACCGCCTGGGCATCTCTCGGGTGTACCCCTGGGCCTTTAGTTCGAGATCATCGATGTCGATTTGGCTTTGGTTTTTTGCTCTTTGCGGAGTTGTCGAAGACATGTTGTCGGAACTCATGATGGAGAAATTGAGAAAGTCGGCGGGAGATTCAAGAGAACCTAGTATTTCTCCCGGCCCCGTGGGCGCATTGCCTCCTGTTATGTATCGTGTTGACAACCCTACCAGGCCCCCACGATAACCTTGGATGATAAGCTGACATGAAGTTTTTTGCCATTTCGGGCATGAGAGATTAATTAGCAAGTAGAACCCAGGCCTTACCGATAGGTCGGGCCTTGTTCCAGAGATATGGCAGCACCATGAAGCGGGAGGGTCTGGGCTCAAAGGTATAAACAGCCAAGCTCCAAACCCAGTAAGGGCCAAGCAGGTTTAAGCGTTCGATAACGACCCCGATGGGGTAGGAGAGTTGGTGGAGCCGGGCGGATGGCCCGCTCGTGGAACTTCGAGATAAGGAATCCCAGACCAAAACGAAATACCCAAGGAATCTCTGTTGCCTATTCGGGCAACAGGTTCTCTGCCATGTGAATAGAAGGAACAATGACTAGAATAAAAAGGGGCCTTGAGAGTTACCATGTAAAAAACCATGGCAAAGAGTGAGTTCGACAGTTTCCTTCGCAACCATGGCTACCACCACGGTCACCGAATCTGTAACGTCAGAGAGGCAATTTATTCCAATCAAGGCCGATGCTTTACCACCTGTTCAGACATTCAATGCCGATGCTAATCCTGAGGACGTGATCAAAGCCTTGAAGATTAGTGGGGGATGTAAAGTCAGAGGAGCAGTGGCGAAGGAGATTCTGGCTCAAGTAGAGCGGGAGCTACGACCTCACATCGAGGCAGATGTGGTGTGGGAAGGAGATTTCTTTCCTATACAGACGAGGAGGGTAGAAGGCATGATTGGCAAGAGCCCCATCTGTGCTGAACATATCATCAATCACCCTCTTTACCAAGCTGTGTGCAAGGAGTTCTTGACCACACGAAACTGGTACTGGTCCGGTGAGAAAAAGATATATGCTACCTCTGATCCTCAATTGAACAATTCTATTTGCTTTTCCATTGGACCAGGCGCATGGGATCAGCCATTGCACCGAGATAGTTGGTGTCATCAAACCTACGAGGCAGAAGTTGCCGTCTACCCAGACAATTACGAGAGGGATGTCGGTATCGGTTGGTTCGTCGCGGGGAAGCCAGCTACCAAAGAGAATGGCGCCACGAGGTTCATTCCCGGAAGCCATTTGTGGTCCAAAGATAGACCACCCCAAGATGAACTGGCCATACATGCGGAATTGGAGCCAGGTGTAAGTTCTAGTCGAAATCAGGAAGAGCCAATTTAACATTGTCCGACAGGATGCTTTCATGATGTTGAGCTCGTGCTATCACGGCGGTTCAGCCAACAAGACAAAGGACCAGGAGCGACTACTCTTCAGCTGCTTTATGACCAAGGGTTATCTGCGTCAGGAGGAGAATCAATACTTGGCCATCCCACGGGAAGTTGTGTTGAAAATGCCTGTTCACATTCAGCAGCTGATGGGATACAAGTTGAGCCAGCCTTTCTGTGGATGGGTTGAATCCGACGACCCACGTGTGGTTCTTGACCCGTCGTTGAAGGATGACCCGTCAGGCCATTATGACAATGAGGAAGAGAAGCACTGACAACCAGTTTTGGGAGCTTGGAGACCAACTTCGAATAACAGATATAATGCATTATCAGAGAATAAGTTGATACTCTGAGACCCGATACCCGAGGTCTAGTATGTCTGTCTTGCCACCATCTGATAAGTCGGCAACGTAGTCGCAGGATTGAGCGCCGAACTTCCCGGACTAGAGTGTGTACGGCCCGGTTGAAGACTTGGTGTGAATGCTGACGTGGTTGGTGTCCCTAAGGCCGGCCCATGACCTTGCGACACTACCGGGTATCCTCCCTTGCCCCTCGTGCTTGATTGTGGCATTGGCGTTGGGTTGCCTTTGTTTGACTGATGGTCTCGACGTAGATGGTCGCCTCCTTAAAAATCAGTCTTGTCTAGGGGAAGGGATGATGAAGACTTACGAAGCCACAGACGGAGATAGTCCGCGACTGGTTGTATCCAAATGACAACCGCCACAACTTGTCCAAAGCTCCAGCCGTCCCAGTCGATGACGTCCGACCGGGAATATTTCAAAAGCATTCGTGCTTGATACCCAAGACATAGTCCAAATAGTGTGCAGGCCAAAAACAATGTGACCGGATGATTTAGAACCCTGATAACCCAGGTCCGTGCCGATTTGATTGGACTCTGTGGTCTTGATGGGGCTTCTCGTCTGAGCCCAAGACTATGGCCTATTTGGTTGACCGAAAGCACAATCAAAATCAGTGTACTCCAACCCCAGAGAAGAGGCGCCGTCTGCAGATTCGGTATGTTTCCTTGATTGTAGAAACCAGCGAGATATTCCAGAGGGTCGTTGCCAATAGTCTGTGGGCATAAAGCAATTGCCGACGAATTCCCACAGCTGGATATTTGGTACAACTTGTGGAGGGTTTCATCTGAGCTCGTGGTAGAACCAATATGAGGAGACAAATTTTCAAACAGGGCCCAGAATACAATTGAAGCAAGGACGTAACTCAAAACTGCTAAGAACCCACCGTACCAAGATCTGCATCCATGACTGTGGAGCAGCATCAAGGTGAATATAGGACATAGAAATCCGGTGATCGCGACAGACAACAGAGCGTAGCCGGTCAAAGGATCAGTAGTCCACGGTGCCGAGCACAATGCCGCAATTTCTAGAGCGATTGTGAAATAACATTGAGCAGCCAGAAATCCCTCGAGTCCTCGCCGTGTGTTGTCGGACAATTTCTGGGTTTCTTCTTCTTCTCCCCGAGGTTGTCTGGTGTAAAGGATGGCGGAGCTGATCAATGCAACGGCGCAAGCGATCACAAGGATGGCTTGTATAATGTAAGAGACAAGGACCTGTCGTAGTCAGTCCGCACAATCCTGATAATGAATGAGTTTGTGTCACCGACCCCTACACCCATTACATCCTGGTTGGCATAGGGGAGACCGCAGGTATTCCCACATATCAAACTCAGACAGCCCGTCACCGCCGTCAGATTGGTAGCAGAACCTCCAGAATAAAGAACGTCCAAGTTGCATGCTGAAATGCAATTCTGAGATTCTCGTGAATAATCGCAAGTGCTGGCGAGACAGCTTGCAAGGGTCATGGACACTGGGCCCACATCCTCCTGACTCGAAAGTGGAAAGTAGGATTGCTTCGATACAGCCTCCGTATCGGAGGCGATGCCGGCGTAAACGTTCGCCAGATTGCTGCAAACTCCAAATAAAGTTATATTCGGGGCTTGACCATCCACAGACTTTCCGTAGGTCTCGAGACTCTCGGTAATGAGGTAGGGGACTTCTTCGAAGAGTCGCGTATAGTTTTGACAGTCCTTGACACAATCGTGAGATGGGCAAAGAACATCAAAGTCGGACGTTGCGAAAGTATTCCATTGAATGTTTGCGACTATTCCGGGATTCAAAATCTGGTTGTATTCGGCGGAAACCGTTGGTGTCGATGAGAACTGAGAGGATGTTGTGGAGGTCGAGTTTTCAGGAGAATCTGTTCTTGTCGGGGAACTTGAGTCGTCTATCGACGAAGGGGCCGTGGTTTCTTCGGACGTGAGTGAGATGCTGCTGGTCGTCGCCCCGTCCGAGAAAGATGTGGTGGACACTGAGGGTGGAACCGCTGTATATTGACCGAACTCCGGCACTGACGTCGCTTCGGTCGTCATATTGGCCGCTGCTGCAGAAGATCAAATCAACCACCCAGAGAGAAAGGGTGACAGCCCTTTTGTAGGATACGAAAAATTGTTAATTAGATGGTATGGGACTCAGCTTCATTAACCTAGTCGACTTGTTTGACACATGAACCAGCCGCTTTGCCAACACAATCGTCGGTTCGAGGCGTACCGTTCCCAAAAAGTTATGGCCATCATTGGGGTGCTTAGCCCTCTGCCTGTCGCTTGAGCATGATTCTCGTAATAGCGGCAAAATAGAGGCTGAAGCGTGGGAAGATAAGGGCAAAAGGGAGGCTTATCACTAGCGCAATAACACTTCAAGGATGGACATTGGTTTTGGGTTAGGGGGCTGTGAATTCTTTTAGGCCCTAGCCCAAAAAGTTTGGTCAAGGAAATCGTCTGCAGTCACCCAATGATGTTGTCCAGAACATGTCAAACCTTGTGGCGGATGGGAAAGAGACGGGATGTCAGCTGTAGACGCGAAGGGAGGGTTGCTATGTGATGTGTATTCCAACTTGACTAGTTGTACTAGAACCGAGTGGTTTGTTTCCCTAAGGCTGGTGCCTGCTTCCGAAACCATCTGTATCAACTTCACACACCAAAGTGCATTCCTCTCGGGACTCGTCGAAGCTAGGAATTTCATGACTGATTTGACGAGAGACAGGAGATCCGAAATCTGGAGGCGGCGCCACGAGCACTCACTTGAGCAGATCCAAGTCTCCCCGGTCGATAGGACTTTTCAACTTTGAAGGTTGTCATTGTCCCGGAGCACCCTGGCGTGAATGCCTTTCCTGGGCGGAATTCAACCAATTTCGCCACATCATTGGGATTGACAGGGTCCGCTGGACCTTCTGGAATTTTGACATTGGCGTGATTGAGTCCATATTGCTCATGCAGCACTCCAAGTCCCCATTTGGTCTCTCGAATTCCCCCAAACTCCGAACTGTCCATCCTAAGAAATATCGTGTATCGTCTGCGCGATCGGATCGATGGATTCTTGGCGTGAGCTGCTCCTCCAACATGTCTTCTTGTGTCGCTGAAGCACATAAGGCGGGATTGACAATTAACAGTTCAACCTCCAGCCGGCGAACAACGGACCAGCGCAGACCATGGTCTTCCAGGCCCTTTACGTTCATGTCCATCATTTATTCTTGTGATTGAAGCTCGTGTTCAAGACCCAAGCAAGCATTGCTTGATCAGGTGGGCGCTTCCGGTGTGGATTCCTTGCTTGACTCGCTTTTCGACCGTTCTCTCTGTGCTGCTGCTTCAGCAGCTTTAATACGCTTTTCTGCTCTGGCGATGGCCTTTCTCCTTGAAGCACTCCATTTTTGTACTTCTCCAGCGTAGTACAGTCGATAGGCCACGTCGGTATTGCTGATGCCAGCCTTGAGGGAGTGTATTGTATAAAGTGGGCCTAGTTCCGGGTCGACATCTTCCTGGACCATTTCCAGGCCCTTTTTGCGGAGCTGGGTATTGAGAGATTTCATCTTTGGATGCATGTTGAAATTCTCAGGGGAGGGGGGTCAAGCCGACAAATATATTATTGCTGGCTGCCTCACGTGACCGGTGGAGTCCCCGTAAAAATCCGAGTTTAGACCGACGACAAAAATTCTCACACCACGATTTTCGTGCTTATAAGTGGCTGTTGGCAGTGACGTTCACCGGATGATGACGGAATAGGAATACAGAACTTAGGTTGGTCATCAACAAATTTCCCAGGGTCGTCAAAACTAGACTCACCATGTTCATAGTTGGAAAGGGGGTAATATTTCCAATCTTCTAGCTCATAATCGAATCTTTGCGCCCAAACCATGACCTTCATACCAGACTTGCTCGTTCCATTCGTCTATCCTGACACCCACGTTAGCCTTTGCGTCCAATGTCAAAGTTCCTCCAAGTGCCTCTCTAATTGTTCCCAAGGCATTGCTGCCCCATTCCACGGGTAACCTGGGGGTCAAGTTTTCCCCGGGTTCGATCGCAAAAGGATAATCCCAATCAATTGTCCCAACTTCTGTTCCATTATAGTACGCGGCCGCGGCAACGCTAGTGACGTAAAGAGCAACGGGGGAAACCAACACAAAGGTTGCCGTTGACGAGAAAATATGCATCTGATTTATTAGCCACATCCCTAAAGGTTCTCAACAACATACCGTGGCTTCTTTCAAAAAGTGACCCGACAATTTTGGTGTTGGCAATGTCAATTCCACGTGTGGATTAGGGACCTTTGGAATGGAACCAGCATGGCTCTTGACCGTCAATGTCGTGTTGTAGCCGGAGATGTACTGAGACAGCCATTCTCTTCCGACATCACCCACTTCCCATGAGGCTCGGACGGTCACATTGTTTGGACCGGGAACAATGTTGGCTGAGGCCCATGCATACCCAATTCTGGTCTCATTGACCCAAATGCTGACGTTGCAATAAGGAACCGAAGCCGAATATCCCGTAGGATTGGTCACATTAACCCTTGCCTGCAGAGTTAATGACTTTTCCGATGTATCGACGACTTCCATACCCTTTATTTCTGGCGTTTCAACCCCCCCGCCAAGAGGTTTGATGAAAATATTTCCTTTCGCCGGAATTCTTCGCACCACAAATTCTCCCAAGGCAGTCTCCGTGTTGACATCGACCGTGGCATGAACTGAAAATGTCGCCCCATCACCGAAAAGCAGCTTCGGAACAACTTTTGAAAATACCGAATCATTCTTAATTTCCAGAGGGGCGTCTTTGACAATCGATTGAACCAACAGATCATTGTCGGTTTGTGTGGCATTGGCCGCCTGCCATTGCCGTAAATCCAAATTGCCGAGCAGCTGACCTTCGTAGAAAACATCGGCGTCCGCTCTCACTCGGTCAACATCCAAGTTGACGTTCATTTCTGGCGGAAGGCCGACCAAAACTTTGACGACGGCAGAAATTTTTGGATGCGAATCTGTCGTCTGGTCGGGCAAGGAGAAGTGAACATCGGCCAAGGAAAAGTTTTTGATTAAATTGTCAAAGGGATGTCCAGGAAGTGAGAATGGCAATGTTGTATCGCGCAATAACCTCCCAATCCATGCCGGTGCATCTTCGTCTTGCCGGCCGCCCCGAATGTATACGGTGGTGTCCTTTCCAGCCAGATAATCGGCAACCAAGCTGTCCAAGGGTGAAGTATTCGTGCCTGGACATGCCGCTGTCAACGACGTCGGTAATTGTCGAATCATTCCAGTGACACTGGCGGTGACATTCTGTTTCGGTAGGATATGAATGACATCAGTGTTGGCGGTGCCGAGTAGAAGATAGTCATCCGAACAGTCTGGGACAAGTACATCAAAAGCCAAAGGCGGCACATCGAATCTGACCGGATAATCATTCATCGCGGAGACGACTGCCATGGCTTTGACACCGTCAGGATGCCCGGGCATGCCATATTCGGCAAAACGAAGTTGTTGAATGTCAAAATTGGGGACGGCGGGAACATCATGACCCTGGAATTGGAGAACCTGCGAAATGGTTTGCCTTCCCAGTTTTATGATGCCACTCTGAATGGGAACGGTGGCGACGGCTTCAATGGTGATTTCATTCAATTTTCCATCTATGAAATCTTTGGCCAGCTGTCGAGCGCCGTCTAGATCACCCGGTTCGAGGTCCGTCAATACGTCAACATGGTTGTAATGGTGGTTCCGAATGTTGACCGTGACGGGAGGCAGAGTGGCCCTTCCTAGCAGAACACCGTCGTACTCAGGGAGAAATACGTGGACTTCCGATTCACCGCTTTTGACTTCTCTTGCGATCCAAGTACCAAATTTACCCAGTTCTCTTGTGGCTTTATTGTGTACCCTGGAAGCGTCCATATAGAATGTGCCTTGGATTCGGGCACGGATACCAAGGGCAGTGAAGGAGTCAATCGATAACTTGGTAGGTTCGAAGACAACTCCCTCCTTTGCATACTCTTCGATCACGGAGGGAAGCGTCAGGCCGAAGCACGCCACTAGCACCGCGAGACATAGGATGGATAAAGCTATGATTGTTGGCCATCGTTTCTGTTTTGGGTCTGTTATAGATTCAGGGTATTCCACAGGTGACGGAGGGACATGGGGATGATCATTATAACTAGTGCGAGAGTCTTCTTCCGTTCTCGAGAGCAGCGGAGTTCGCTCGGAAGACTTGGGAGACGTCGGTCGAGATGACATGGTGATGGTGAGGAGGATGATAATGAGCCTGGAGCAGGCTGCAACCTACTGAGGCTCAGATCATGAGTTGGATCAAGAAAAGAAGGTCGGGGTTTCAATGGGTGAGACGCGGGTTTCACAACAGGAACAAAACGAGTGATGACATGCTCGAAAGATGTGCAGAGACGTTGGAGGAAAAGGAGTAGGGCGCCTAGAATTCCCTCCCGTGCTAGGCATTTCACTAGGCTCCGGGTGGTCATGACTGGTAGGTCTCCCGAGTGCTAACACCGCCACGAGCTGCTGCTTTAACATCCTTGAGCGAAACTGAGCACGATGTATCGGTGTCAAATCTCATTGATCGAAAGCAAGGGCGCAAAATGGTTCTGAAGCGGAGTGCCTCTGTGGCTCATACGAATTGATCCAATCTATTTCTCAATTTCCTGATATGCTCTGGCGTCGTCTTACAACAACCACCGACAATAATTCCCGTCCATTCGCCTCTTTCCTGCACTTCCTTGACGATATCACATATCTGCTGATCCCATGCCAACTGGTCTCGCTCTTCTCCCACCCAGTCGTGCATTTTCGCGTCATACACCTTCCCGCCAGAACCGTCGGGATACACTACCAACCTGGGTAGTTCCAAGGAAAGGGATTTGGCGGCTTGTTCGAATCGTTGAATTAAACGGGCGATTTTGGGGAGTTTGGAGCAATTAATTCCCACGGCGAATGGCCGGCTTTCACCTTCCAGCATGGTCCTGACCAGTTCTTCAACGTCCGTTCCGTCGGGGAGTCTCTCGTCACTATTGGGAAAGACACAGGAGATCCAATACGCCTTGTCTTTGATGTTTCTCATCACCTTATTCGCCACCCTGACCTCATCGTTTCTCGGGAGTGTCTCAAACGCAACGAGATCGATGTCTTCCCAATGCGGACTGTCTTGGAATATCGACACCCTCTCGAAATGAAAATTGAAAAGGTCTTTTTCGGTCATGGGACCGTAGTTTCCACTATACTCGGTGCTCGGCACCATCGTTGCTCCGTAGGCTCCTAGACTCAATGCAACCAGACCGGGTCGGCCGTTGAAAGCGGCTCGGGCAATCCTGACGGCAGAGAGCATATAGTTTCTGGCTTCGTCTGGGCCAATCCCATTTTCACCGGAGATTTTGGTATTTTGAAACCCACGGAAACTCGCCTGGTACGTGGCCGTAAGAATAATATCGGATCCTGCTTGTGCAAACTCTCTTTGGACAGCCTCGACGACGGTGACATTTTCCACCAGCAGATGTGAAGACCATAGAGGGGTTCGGGATGAGAATTTTACGCCGTGATGATCTTCAAGAGTGGTACCCAGACCGCCATCCAGCAGAAGAACTGACTTGTCCAGCAGAGAGTGGGACATCCTGTTTACGCCGTGATCTTACTCCCAAAAAAAAAAAAAAAAAAAAAAAAAAA